TGAAGGATCGACGCTCCACACCCGGCGTGAAGTATGAGTTGTCCCTCCGTCCCGACGACGTGGCCCACGGCCAAGCCGTGGGGCAGCATGGCATGGCATGGGCACAGCATGGCCGCATGGATATGCTTGGAGATGAGGATGGAAACGGGGGAGGGGATGGGGATGGGGATGGGGATGGGGATGGGGGCATTCCCGAAGAGGAGGGGGATGGGGATCGGGATGAAGGAGGAGCAGAAGAAGATGAGAGGGAAGAAGAGCAGACGGCTCCTCCCGTGCCACCTAGGCCAAGAAAGAAGGGGAAGAGCAAGCAGGAGAGTTTAGGGAGTGAGAGTGGGAGTGAGGGCGGCGTGGAGGGTTGATGGTTATCGAGGGGGAAAGGCATTACTTACTACCTAGAACCATAGGGATGGAGATGGGATTTTAGACCAAGAAGCATGGAACAGCATCTATTCTCACACTCATAGCACAATAACATGACATGACATGACATGACATGACATGACATGACATAACATAAGGATTACCCTCATAAAAACCATCAACGAGACATCAAAACCAAGCCCCCTCCCTCCCCCCCCACCCACCCCCCTGCCCTCCTCCTCCCTTGATCCCATCTAGCAATTATCATAAACCCTCTTAAAAAGTTCCTTAAGAACCTCTCTTAAACACCAGTAACCCTCCTAACACTCTTCCTAGGCCCCTCTCCGACAATCATTACCGCTCCCTCCATCTCCAGCGCCCTCATCACCTCCCCGAACTCCCCGCTATCCACCTGGCCCCCTGGGCCCCCCACAACCTCCGCCAACCGTCTCGCCACCTCACTATACCTGACGCTTTGCCCATTAGCAGTCATCTCATCCAACAACTTAACCACCATTCCCTTCAAATCCTCTCTCCTCTTCCTCTCCGCGGCACTTGTCCCCTCCGTCAACAAGCTCATATCAATTCTCCCCTGGGCATCCGTAGCTGCCGTCTTGAGAGCTGCATGGATCAGGCGGACTGCCTCGCGGACGTCGGAGACCTCGACGACGGGCGAGAGGCGCATCTTGGCGTGGGCCTCGGACAGGCGGATCATGGATTCCAGCTGGCGGGTAGTGGCCGTGATGCGCTTTTCGGCGGCGCGCACGTCCTGGCCGAGCTTGCGCATCGCCACGTATGAGGAGACCAGTTCTTGCGCGGCGGGGTCGGAGATGACGGGGTGAATGTGGGACCGGGCATAAGATATGTAGGTTGTTAGGAATTCGACGGGCTGAGACAGAGAATAGTTAGTTTCTGTGATAATAGAAATTTTGAGTTGGGGGAGCCGGGTTGGGGGGGGGGGAAGGGGGAGAGGGAGGGGGGCTTTACCAAGATGTCGTTATTCGTCTGTGCCGTCTCGGGCTTATCCTCCAAATACATGGACAGCAAATGCCTGGCCAGCCGTTGATCATTCTTCTCGTCTGGCCGATCGAGAATCAAGTACACAAGGTCAAATCTCGACAGCAGCGTCGGCGGTAGATCAATATTCTGCGGTACTGATAACTCCGGGTTATACCTGCTCCCGATGGGGTTCGCCGAAGCCAAAATACTCGTCCTCGCATTTAGCGTGGTGATAATGCCCGCTTTGGCCACCGACACAGTCTGCTGCTCCATGACCTCGTGCAGTACTGATCGCGTCGCATCATTCATCTTGTCGAACTCATCAATGCAGCACACACCGCCATCGCTCAACACCAGCGCGCCCGACTCCAAAACAAGCTGTCTCGTCTCCGGATCGCGCGTGACATATGCCGTCAAACCGACCGCCGACGACCCCTTGCCCGACGTGTACACACCGCGGGGCGCAATCCGATGCACGTACGACAGTAATTGCGACTTGGACGTTGACGGGTCGCCGCACAGCAGGATGTTGATATCCCCCCTGTATTTCGGACTGGCGCCCTTGTCAAAGGTCTTGTTGGTGCCGCCGAACAACTGCAGCAGAATCCCCTTCTTGACATCGTCCATCTCGTAGATAGAAGGGGCCAGCGACCGCGCGAGCAGCTCGTACACGTCGGGGCGGGCCGCAACCTCTTTGATGCGGGCCTCTTCCTCGGGCGTGACCTTCTTCACTTCATCGAGAGACTGCCCGCCGGCCGAGACGTGCACCATGTCCTCGTCTTCGGGCAGGTCGAGCGTGGACGGGTCGGCTCCCATCCGCTTGCGGTCGACCTTTTGCACATGCACCACGTCGACATAGGTCTTGTGCACCGCCTTGACGGTACGTAGGCGGGGGTTTACTCGTACCGGAGTAACTTTGTAGATACCCGTTAACTCGACGCGGTCGCCGGCTTTGCAGAAGTCGACTAGCTCATTGTACACACACACCGAGACGGCGTGGGGTGTCTGGCCGGCGGGGACCTCATCGGGCGTCTCCTGCAGTTTAATAACCTGCTTATCCTCAAACACACACCGGTTGTGGATGATCTGCATCGAGTTCTTCGATTTGCAGCGGGCGCGGGGACACTCGGTCGGTTCGCGGATCTTGCCACGGTCCAGCTCGACCGTGACCGAGTGTCCGCAGACACTGCATTTGAAGAAGGCTTGCTTCATGTCCGGGATTACTGGCGTCGTGCGGATGACGAGGCCCTTGATGCTGATCAGTTTATCCATATCCGAGGGGTTTAGATCGCGGAGGTTGGTCGTCTTGTCCAGGCCGAAGGGGCGCACTAAGTAAGGCGTCTGCATGACCTGGTCTTCGAGGGTCGGTTCGCGGGTGGCTTGCTGACCGGCTGGACGGGGCGTGGCCGGGTCCGAGCTGGGGTAGGCGAACTCGGAGCTTTGCTGCGACGGCTGAGGAGCGTTATTGTTGTTGTTGTTGTTGTTGTTGTTGTTGCTATTGTTGCTGGAGGCAGCGACTTGTGCGGCGCGCTGGTTCGTCATCTCGATACGAGCGAGCTCGATCATGCAGTCATGCACACACTGGTCCATGACGGGGATGATTTCGGTAGGATAGTTGAGGGTTTGGTGCCAGAGCTTGACGGTACGTGGGTAGGCCTTGAGGTCGCGCAGGTCGAGGTAGAGCTTGTTGGTGCCGAGAAGCAGCATGTTCTCCAGAGCCTCCATGTACGGCTTGCTGTTGGCGGTCGGGTCGGCGTTGGTCTCGGCCTCGGTCGCCCCATCTGCCCACATGCGGTACTTCTTGGTAAAGTTCTTCAAAAAATCCCGGAACGAGACGAAGGTATCCTCTAGTGACACGGTGGTACCCCAAACTAGACTCTGGCTGGATCCTCCGAGGGCGTTGGCTTCAGAGGTATGAGGGTTATGATGCGCAAAGGAGTTGCCATCGCTCGTGGGAACAGCCGAGCCATCTCTGATGACACGACCAGCATCGTCGAGGAAGACACGGCGCGGGGCACGCGGCGTCCTGGCCAGATCCGAGTTGATATCGCCGCGGTGCGAGCGGAAGGTCAGCGAGCGCTGAGAGCCAACAAAGAGGGCGCTGCTCTCGCTGCGCAGGTCCGAGTGCTGCGCGGCGCGGCCGGGAGACGAGCTGGGGTCGTAGCGGATGGGCGAGGAATCTGACTCTGTTAGCCGTTCTTTTTTTTTTTTTTTTTTTTTTTTTTTTAGGGCGAAGAGAGAGAGCACTCACCACCGATCAAGGCCCCGCTGGCCCGCGGCGTGCGGTCACCATCGTTGCGGCTCTCCTGCGTCTCAGTCTGGCGGAGGGGAGAACTAGGGGGTTGTGAAGGGCCCGGCTGGCTGGCCTCGCTGCTCTGGCGCAGGGGCGACGACGACTGGTAGAAGAGCGGACTCGATGCCAGTTGGGACGCACGGGTTGCTCTGGGAGTTCGGTCTGAGCCCTCGGGCCTGGGCGTGGCCGAGCTGCGTGTCGAGCGGGTTGATCGCTTCGAGGGGGACGACATTATGTCTCGTCCTCCTTTTTTTTTTTCAATTTCTTTATTATTTCGGGATTATTATTGTCGTCTGTCCCTGCGACGTTGTCCTCAAAAACGATGTCGAGGTGAAATCGTAGAAACTAAGTCAAAGATTGTTTCGAGAAAGAATGAAAGTGGGACTCCTGGGGTCAGGCTGGGCTGCGGGTAGGTTGCAGCAAGTGGGATGTGGAAGAACGCGAAAGATCGCGTGTCTCGTTTGCATCCACTCAAAGCGACGCGTCTTCACGCGTATCAATTAAAAACCCCTTGCTTCTTGGCAGCCACTGTTCTTGGCAGGGTACGTACCTCCATGTGGTGGTAGGCCAAGGGTTATGGTGGGGCAGACAGTGCTCAAGACAGTTCATGGACCGTGCTGGCTGACCAACGCCACGAAGCCACTCCAGGTCGAGATCGGGATCGAGGTGCGAGACTACGACGGCGACAAACACCCGCCCACATCACCACACCTCACATCATAAAAATAACCCATTGCGCCCGTCCTACCGCTAGAGGATCGCTGGGAAAATAAGTAATCGACAAATAAAACCGCCAAGATGCCCGGACTGTCACTGTACAGCGTTGACGCCATATGTATGCCCCTATTATCTCCCAACCCTCCCTCTCTCCCCTATACTTTGTTTGAATGATGCTAACTGTACTAGTAATCCTCTCCAGCGAGGACGGGTCGCGCATCTTCACCAAGTACTACACGCCGCCGCATCAAGCAGCTGCCCCCGGGCAAACCGGTAGGCTCTTCCTCCTTTATCCATCCCTTCTCCTTCCCATCCTCTCTTTACCCAGCGCCACTACTGACACTTTGCTATTTCATAGCCCCCGCCAACCCCTACCCCGACAAGTCTTCCCAAACGCGCTTCGAAAAGGCCCTCCTCGCCAAGACAGCCAAGCAAACAGGTGACATCCTCCTCTTCGACAACCGCGTGGTGCTCTACAAGATGGAGGCCGACGTGGCGCTCTACGTGGTCGGCAGCACCGAGGAGAACGAAATCCTGCTGTACAACGTGCTGCTCGCGCTGCGCGATAGCCTGCACTTGCTGTTCAAGGCGAGCGTGGACAAGCGGACGATCGTCGAGAACTATGACCTCGTGGCGCTGGCCGTGGACGAGATTGTCGATGACGGGGTCGTGCTGGAGACGGATCCAACGATTATCGTGCAGCGGTGCAGCAAGGCGCCGGCGCAGGATGTTAGTTTCAGCAAGATCGACCCGTTTAGTGAGCAGGGCGTGAATAACTTGGCGCAGTTGGGGAAGGCGAAGTTGACGGATTGGTTGCGGCAGGGTTTGTGAACACAGTTAGGGATAAAGGAGGGGGGAGGGGGGGAAAAGAAGAGGGGAGGGGGGGGGTATAATATCTGGCTTATGCTTGGGTTGGATGAATGATATCTTTCGCTTGTCTTGAGCATAACATGGCACTTTTCGATTCCCGTCTATGTTACGTGCTCTATATCTGTCTGTGCCTTAGGTATCCTCTATGCCCTAATCTCTGACGCAGCCTTCCTCAACCGATTCATCACCGCTGCTGCCAAATCCTCTCCACGATCCTCAACCCCCTCGACATAAATCACATCCGCCCCGAGCCCATCCAGCGCCCGCAGTGCCGCAAACAGCCCATGCGCAACGCCCTTCACGTCCTGGCCTAAGTCCACATCTAGTAGCTTGACCTCTTTACCTGGGACAATTGTCTTCCCCTCCACAACGACTACCCCTCCCTCCCCAATGACCTCCCTCCTCTCCCCAGATACTTGGAGACTACCGCCTGCGAACTCCCATCCGCCTGTTCTAATAATCCCCACAGTTTTCTCCTCCCTCAGCTTCCCAACTTCTTCCTCAATCATCCTTCCCTTAGTCCCCTGTGCAGCCCCCCTCTCAAACAAAACAACTCTCGCCTTAGGACTATAATGCTTATACTTCATCCCCGGCGCCCTCGGCACGCCCTTGACGACCTCCCCCCACGCTAGCACAACCCTCTCCCAACCTTTCCCAACCCCACGGATCTCCTCAACTCCCACACCGCCCGGCCTCAATACCGCCGGGGGCGTGCTCAGTCCATCCACGACGGTCGACTCAACGCCCACATCACAGGGCCCCCCGTCTAGGACGAGAGAGATACGGCCGTCCAGATCGTCGCGCACGTGCTGTGCGGTGGTAGGCGACGGCCGGGTGGAGGCGTTAGCCGACGGGGCGGCGAGCGGACGGTTTGTCAGGGCGATCAGCGATCGGGCTAGCGGGGAAGCCGGGAGGCGGGCGCCAAAGGTACTGAGATGAGCAGTCACCTCCGGCGCTAAGGGACTCGGCTCCGGCAGCGGCAAAAGGATGGTCAGCGGGCCTGGCCAGAACTTGGAGATGAGGGGATGATAAATCGGGGGGATGGGGTCTGGATCTTCTTCGGTCCAATCCGGCTTGAGGAGGCGCCTCAGCATAGTCAGGTCGCAGACGTGCACGATCAAAGGGTTATCGCTGGGTCTGCCCTTGGCCGCATAGATGCCGCGTACGGCGTCGGAGCGGGTTGCGTCGGCGCCGAGGCCGTAGACGGTCTCGGTGGGGAAGGCGACAGGAATGGGTGTGGTGAGGAGGGCGTGGGCTGCTTCGCGGATGGGGGCTAACACGTCTCCCTCGTTTCTGATGCTTTTGCGGTTACCGTTGGCTGCCGTGGTGACTGAGGGGGAGGGGTTGGATGAGGAGGGAGAAGAAGGGACCTCCCAAACAGAGAGATCGCGTGACCCGTCCGACTTGCGACGCCATCTCCCTAAGGGGGAGTCATCTGCGTTAAGGGAGGCGAGGTTGGGGAGGGGAACTTTGAGGATGCGGGTTTCTATTATCGTTGTCGTCGTCGGCGACGGAGGATTTGTGGTGGTTGAGGGGGTCGTCGAGTTGGTAGTCATGTTCGTTACAGTCGGAGTATGCGCATGCGAATGGACAAGTCGTCGAACGTAAGGAGCCGCAACAGTCGTCTGCGCAAACCCGGCGCGGAGAGATTGAGCTGAGGAAAAGAAGAGTGAGTGGTGAGTTTTGAGACTCAAAAGGTGAGCGGAGAGCGGCGAAATCCTCCTCGTTGCCGCGGACCAGCGCGCAGCGGGACAAACTGGATGGGGCGCCAATGTGGTGAATGGATCGTATAAGAAAAATAACAAAATTCTGAATCACTTCGGGGAACTGAAAAGTGTTCTAATGGTCGATGCAGTTGAACCGATCATGTCGTTGGGTGAGGAAAAGCGTGGGTATAAGTGATGAATGAGTCAGAATTTTTCAACGCCAAAACCTGCAAGTCGTCGTAATTTTCCAGGCGACCGATATTCAATACAAGTTGGTCGACAGGAAAAAAAAAAAAAAAGAAGAGAGAGAGAGAGATCGGTCAAATAACCCAAAATTATCGCTTATAAATTCAGATCGGATATCTCTCTAACTTTATTGATTCTCCAAAATATGATCAGAATATTTCCAATTCCAACTGCCAACATCTCTGTATCTCTGTAACCAATCCACCACCCCTGAAATCATTCCTTACCCCCTCTACAGAGCCCTCCCATCCTCCAAATCATTCCCAATCATTCCCAACTCTCAGTAAGTTCCCTCTTCCATCCATTCAACCATCTAAACCCCCGCCCCAACAGGCGTCTCAGCCCTCACCCTCCTCCCCCCCGCACCTCCCTGCCCTCCCTGCGATCCCCCTCCTTGTGACCCGCCATTTCCCATACTTGGTGCTGGCCCCTCCCTCCGTCTGACAACAACCCTCCTCACCGGCAGCCCCTTCACAACGCCCTTGGTCGCCCCCAGCTGCGCCGCAAAGCTCGCAAGCAACCTCATCACTTCCTCCCGCACCTGCTCCTTACTGGCTGCTCCGAGCAACACCCTATCGGACGGAAATGCCGGGGCGGGAGGGAGATGCGAGTGTCCCATGTCCAGTGATGATGACGAAGGAAGGTATGGTTCGGGCGACGGGGAAGGGGAGGGGCCTCGCGACGGGGCGGGGGAGGGGTGTAGAGAGGGGGAAGGGAGATAGTCCCTTTCTGCCCCTTCGGGGGCCTGTTGGGATGGGGGTTGGGGAGGGCGGTTGATCTGCAAATTAATATAATTCCCTGCGGCACGAGAAGAGCTCCTTGGAGGCGGAGGACGTTGCAACCGCATCGGGCCTGGCCCGGAGCCGGAGGTTGCACTGCCCAGGCTGGCGTTGGAGTGGGACCGGCCGCGGCGGCCAGGGGGTTTACGCCAGGCTGGAGGACCCGGCGGGCCTGGGGGAGGTGCCGGAAGCTCCTGGGGATGTGGTGATTCAGATTCTTCTCTGATGCCCGGAAAGTCGGATGCGTTTTCGTCGTAGCTTGGCGCGCGGGAATGCACGGCGGTAGGGGGCTCGGAGCGCATCACCATGACCGGGGTGTTGCGGCCGCTGGCTAGGCCGCCAGTTACGCTGCTTGGTCCGCTGGGGACGTCGGCGAGGAGAGAGGGGTGTCGGATATCGCCGTCTTCGATGAGCAGTGAGGGCTGGCGGACGTCGTCCACATAGAGGGACGGCTGTCTTGGGGCAGGATCGTCGATGAGCAGCGAGGGATAGCGTGGAGGGGCATCGTCAGCGTCAACCAACAAGCTGGGGAACCTCGGCGGGGGATCATCCACCGGCACAGCCGGCTGGGTGGTCGTAATGATCTTTCCCAATGCTAAATCGCTCTCTTCCGACACATAGATCGACGGCTCCCTCACCCCTCCAGACGAAGGGGGGAAGTACATCGACGCACGCTGCTCGAGATCGAACGGCCCAGCCCCTCCCAAATCTGACCCAGCAACCGACGCTCCATCAGAGTACCCCGTCCCCGGCCTCGTCATGGGATCCGGCATGGCAGGCGGCAGACTCTCGTCCAGATCGATCAAACTGCCCACCGACGCACGATTATCTGCCGCCGGTATGCTCGATGCATCATTGAATGATGAGGGATCAGTGTGCTTGAACCCAAGCGCAGCAGCCGCAGGATGAGAGTACAGAACCGGCCTATTACCCCCCGGAAACCGGGGCGCATCGTCATCGTGACTCGGGAAGCGTGAGACATCAGGGTTCGCCGACGCCGGCGGGATCATGGTCGGGAATTTCCAGTCTTGGGTGCGCCTCTTTGGATCCAGGTCGACGGGGTCGCTTAGAGGGGGCTTGTTGTAGTCGTCGGCGTCGCCGTCCACGTCGCCGCCGTCAGCATTGTCCTCAACATCGCTGGGCAGACGCATGGCCCCGCGGATGGTCGCCATGTCGACGTAGTTGGAGGAGTAGTCGCCCCCAGGGCCTTCGTAGAGGCCGGCGTCGAGGTCGATCAGCGACTCGCGGAGGGTCGAGTGCAACGAATTATCGCGCAGCGGCAGGTCGGATGTCTTAGGAGGCGCCGTCGCTGTCACAGTCGGAGGTCCACGACCGTAGTAAGCTCGGGAATTCTCCTCATAATTTGAGATGGTATTCGGGTCAAAGACCTTCTCTAGTGGCTGCTTGAGCGGCTGCAGCTGCGGCGGCAGTCTTCTTCGTCCTTTCTTGATCGGTCGCGAAGTCGGCTCCTGGAACTCGAAATCAACATTCGACCCATACACATCGTACACTGTCCTCGCGTCGGCGTTCATGACCTGCATGTCAAAGTCGAGCGTCGTGCTAAAGTTCCACTCGTCATCAATCAAGTTCGCCGACCCCGAGTCCATATCATCCGGCCCTTGTGCGCCGACCGGTGCGAAAAGAGACTTGCGCGTGCCGCCCTGCGCTTCCCACAACTTGTAGGCCTTGACGAGCTGAGACAGCGACGAGGTCGGATAAGCCTCCTCTGTGTTGTAAATGTACGGATGCTTCTGAACCTCTTCGATGGTCGGGCGCTTGGCGGGGTCCTCGACCAGACAAAATGCCACTAAATCCTTCAAGTTGTCCGAGTACTGATCTCCCTCAAGCCGCACGTCATGGTGCTTAATGTGCTGCCCCAGCTGCGAGATATTGAACCCTTGCATCGCGTTCGGCGGCAGGCCCGACGCGATCTCGTACACCAACGATCCAAACGCCCAGATATCCACCGGTGTGCTGTAAGACGGCTCAGGATCGAACAACTCTGGAGCCATCCAGTGCAGGGTCCCGATAAACGTGGTCCTCTTATCCAACTTGCTCTCGATAATGCCCGCCACACCAAAATCGCACAGCTGCACGCCGCCGGCCTCAGTGACTAGCACATTGGCGCACTTGATATCGCGATGGATGATACCTTCTTTATGCACCCAGTAAATTGCCTCGGCGACCTCACGCACGATCGGGATAATCCACTTCTCTTGCAAACCCCCCGGCGCACTCGGCCTCATCAGCGTCGCGACACTCCCTCCGGCACAATATTCCGTCACCATCCACATCGTCTGCCCAACCGGCAGGACATCTAGCGTCAGATTAATATTCTTCGCGCCGCTCTCGCTTAGTCGCTTCAACGTGTTAAACTCCTTCATGAACTCGCTGTATGTGTCGGCAAACTTTGGGTTGAGCGTGTCTCCCTCCTCAATGTTGATGATCTTGACGGCGACGACGCGGTCGTGCTTGAGGTCCTTGGCCTTGTACACGCGGCCATAGTTGCCCTTACCAATGAGCTCTTGCAGCTGGTACGGCGGCGGCTCTTTGCCCTCTTTGGCACACTCGTCTTCGACGAGGGCCTGCATCTTGTTGGCGTCCTCGAGCGCCTTTTGCTTGGTGTTGGAGAAGTTGCGGACTTGGAGGGACGCCATCCTTGGACTTTTGATGGATAAATTAATGAATCAATTGAGTTGCAGGGTACTGTTCGGTCAGCTCTTTGTTTGGAGAGATGAATGTCAGCTCGACAGCCGGGCAAACATTTGATAGACTTCTAGCTCGACTTCGAGCAGGCACAGGAAAGAAATCAGGCCAAGGGAGGAGGGGAGGGGAGAGAGAGTTTGAGCCGGGTGAAAGAGGTTTCGGATGAGAGGAGGGGTTATCGACGAAGACGGTTGTGATAGCGATGAGAAGAGAAATAGTCCGTTGAGTAAGAGGTCTAGATTATGTAAGATGTGTCTTGAAAAGCAAAATCGGTAAAGTGGCGACTTCAAAAATACAAACAGTCGGATTCAGAATCGGGGCGGTGAGAACAATGAGGTTAGGAATGTTGTCATTGCCAAAGAAAACCAAAGGCGTTTTTTGGGAAAAAAAAGTTGGCAGCTGCTTACTCAAATATTGAGGGTATATGTTCTGGAAATCCACGAGGGTATCTGGCAACGGGAGGTGAGATCGGAAGTGGAGGAAAGTCGTTATAATAAGGATAAAAGATGTGGTGGCTACGGCCAGGAGACGCGTCCTTACGTATCTATGCCAAGTGCAATTGCCCTGAAGTCTCGATTATCACTATGTTGTATTCCAGATATCCCCTCCAAAAAAGCATTCGCCGAGAAAAGCTGATAATCGGTTTGACAGTTTTGCAGAATCGAAATGTTCCAAAGTCGAAAAGTTGAAAGGCGACGATAAGCAGCTTCAAATGTGAGATGTGAGACCGTGGAACGCCCCAGGCCCCGGTCTTGGCACCCCTGGCTGAGATCCGAACCCCAACTCCTCGAACGCCTACTGCTCCAGCGCGGGCCGCCGCAAGCTTCAGAAAGCTAAAACGGCGCTAGTGCGACAGGGCCTGGATTGGCCAATCAGAGGACTCAGCCCACTAAGACCAAATGTGGCTTTCCAGGTGCTTGGGTCTTGGTAAGTTACCCGAAAAACGGCGTTTTACAAGCGACAGGAAGCCGATAATTGACCAACATACATCGGTAATATTCTCGAATTTTTTCAGCCACAGCCAAACGGCCGACTATTGATCTATTGTGTACTATTTCTAAAAGACTAATCCAAGTGTTGCTCTAGGCTTCTAGATCTATTTCTTGAGCATATTCCTGTTCATTATGTCCATGACTTCTTCATGTCTTCTACACATTGACAATTTTACACTTTGCGCACATGCTTAACAACACCTTCTCCAAGATTGTTCTCGGCAAAAAAAAAAAAGAAAAAAGAAACAGATAAATAGACCCTCTCAATGATCTTGGAGATATCAGCAAGCGAGGTTCGATGGTGTAGTTGGTTATCACGTCAGTCTAACACACTGAAGGTCTCCAGTTCGAACCTGGATCGAATCAAGCGGCAAGAGGTTGAAGGCTTCAACCGAACTTTTTGAGATTTTTGCCGACGTTTTTGTCCAGGGGAGCCCCCAGTTCTTCTCGGCTGCTGTGACTGACCGACCGACCAACCGACTTAACTTCTCGAAGTCGGTCGCAAATTCTGGCATCGACTTTCCGACTTTCCTACCACAGCCGACTTCTATAATATTGAGAATAGCCCCTTCAATAATCCATCCTCAAGACCAACTTCCCAACTCCCTCACCCACTCTTACACTTCCCCCTTACCAAGCCCAACAAAAGCCTCGAACACTAAATTATAACCCCTCAACCAACTGCAATCTTCCCTCAACTTCCTCCACTTCCCAAATACTCTCCGTCACCAACCCCATCGGCGCTCTAACTCTAACAAACACCCCCTCCTTTTAATCGATAAACTCATGCGTGCTCTCCACATGTGTGTCCCATATCCCGAGGGGAGGGTGTGCAGGAGGTCGGTTACTTTATAACACTTCGGCACGACTACCAATTTTATTCATTAAAGCTGTCTTGAGGGGGGAGGGGGAGGAGAACAGCCTCGAGGGGAGGGAGGTGCACGAGTCGGCTGGAGGGGGGATGGACTCGTATTTATGCAGGTGAGCGTCGCAGGCGAGGAAGAAGACGTGGTCGCAGAGCATGGAAAGGGCCTGCGAACGGGTTGTGCCGACGGGGGTTGGGGGGTGGGGGGTGAGGACTGGAGAGTTAACCAAAGTGACGGTATGATTAGGGGAGTGGAGGGACTTACAAGACATGGCTAGAAATCACAAAAGGTGAGTTTATGATTTTTAGTCAAGTCAATTACAAGCAAATGATGAGAGAAGTAAGAGAGTAAAAGGTATGAGAGTGACGTCGACCGAGTCCTGTCCCCACGATGCAAAAGTAAAAGGGTAAAAGGTGAGAGATGAACAACTAATCCAAGACATTCCAACTCTTTGGCACAGAACACAGTGCACGAATTTCTCATTTATATGCCTTGAGCTAAAACTAACAGTCCGTTTCTACCACTATCAAGGGGAGAAGTACCAATGCGCATTGAAGTGGCGATCGAACACAAGTGCCATCAGAACCGGGTATCTGTCGTGACTAAGAGCACAGGACAAAATTAAGAGCGACAAAATGCTTATAGGTTCGGGTCTGTTGGCAAATTGGGTCGACAATTAACCGACTTGACTGGAGGCAGCCCTAGAATTAAGAATCAAAGCTGAAAGAAAAAGCAACAATAACAATGTAGGCCCCTCCCCGGGTTACTCATCTACCCACTGGACCCCGGCCTGTCAGGGTTAGGGTTTCAGGTCAACATCGCACGATTGCTCGGCGGAAATCGCAACGCCAACCGACATCATCACCACCACCGCCGCCGACCTCGCCATCCTAAAGCCCCCCCCTGGTCCCGCAATGGACAAGTTACTCAGACGGCGCGGTACCTACGTGTGTCGCAGCTGCATCCAAAGCTTCCAGCGCCAGCCGCGCCGCGGCTATGCGACTGCTGCCCCTTCACAACCCGACATCTTCGATGTCGTCTGCGTCGGTGGCGGGCCCGCGGGCTTGAGTCTTCTGGCTGCCCTGCGACGTTTTTTTTTTTGCCTCTATATGACCAAATGATCGCTTACTTATTCTCTCAGGCGCCAATCCCGTAACGGCACACCTGCGCATGGCGCTGGTCGAGGCACAAGACCTATCCAAGCTCCGCGCCTGGAAGCTCCCTCCCGATCGCTACTCTAACCGCTGCAGCTCCCTAACCCCCGCCTCGGCCTCCTTCCTCGACCGCATCGGCGCCTGGAAGCACATCGACCGCGACCGGGTCCAGCCGTACCACGAAATGCAGGTCTGGGATGGCGTGAGCGGCGCCCGTATCGAGTTCGACTCACCCCCTACTAATGGAGGCACAATCGCTTACATGATCGAGAACCTGAACCTCATTTCGGGTTTGCTGAAGCGTCTGGACGAGCTCGGTGGTGTAGCAATGTACGACAGCTCCCGTGTCGAGCACATCACCTACGGCGAGGAAACCGAAGAAGTTGACCTTCGCCAATGGCCCGTCGTTCATCTCTCCTCTGGCGCCCAACTAGCCGCCCGCCTCTTGGTCGGCGCCGACGGCGCTAACTCCCCTGTGAGAACCTTCGCTGGTATCCAAGCCCGAGGTTGGGACTACGACCGGCACGGCGTGGTCGCAACCCTGCAACTCTCCGAATCAACCCCCAACACCTTCAAAACCGCCTACCAGCGCTTCCTGCCTACCGGCCCGGTGGCCCTGCTCCCCCTCCCGGGACCCTACGCCTCCCTCGTCTGGTCCACTACCCCGCAAAACGCCGCCCACCTAAAGTCGTTGTCTTCAGAAGACTTCGTCGCCATGGTCAACGCTGCCTTCCGCCTATCCCCGGTCGACCTGGCCTACCTGCACACGATTCCCTCTAACCACGTCGATGAGCTCACCTGGCGCAGCCAGCACACCCCCTTCCCTTCCCCACCAACCATCCCATACCCCGTCACCGCCGTCCAGCCCCAAACCGTAGCCTCCTTTCCCCTCCGTCTGCGCCACGCAGACTCCTACACCGCGCACCGCATCGCACTGCTCGGCGATGCGGCACACACCGTGCACCCTCTTGCCGGGCAGGGGTTGAACCAGGGGCAGGGGGACGTTCAGGCGCTGGCGGGGACGGTTGCGGAGGCGGTACAGCATGGGATGGATTTGGGAGTGATAGGAGCGCTCCAGGACTATAATGGGAAAAGGTGGGTCGAGAATCATGTGCTAATGGGGGTGTGTGATAAGTTGCATAAGATTTATGGGACGGGATGGGGGCCTGTGGTCGCGGTGAGGTCCGTAGGCGTTGAGGTGGTGAATAAGTTGGGGCCGGTGAAGAGGTGGTTGATGGAACGGGTGGGGGAGGGAAGGTTGTTTTGAGGGGGATGTGAGGGAGAGTAGGACGGGGATTTGGGAGTTTGGTGTTGTACTGTAGGACTTGTTTGCTTTGTGTATCATATTTTTTTTCTTTTTGGTTTGTCAGGTTGGTTGCTGATTGACAGCCGGAAGCTGCTTTGTGTGACAAGGTCATTGCCCCATCCCTATTTCATCCATTGTTGCTCTGGCTTCGGTTTCTTTGTTTGCTATGCCTCAAGGGGATAGTCACGCCCTTTGTTTGCTGCCCTCCCCGACACCTCGGTCTATCCCTGAGAGCGACTTTTTGCCACTCTTTCTGAGGAATAGTACATGAAACGAGGGGTACTGCAGGGCTATACTCTGGAAGTTACTGGACTCACCCTCCTATCGAGTATGTCTGAAACGGGGGACAATATTCGTCGGGTACCCAGAAAGTTTGTAGGTTGTTGTTCCTTACATAATGATCGAGACGAACTGAATGTCGAGAGCTACAGGCAGATGGTAAGGTCTTGAGCTCAGAAGACGTATGAGGAGTATGTTCAGGAAAAATAAAACAGGTCGTAGGCCGGGCCTGTTACATAGTAGGTACGTAAATTTGCTGCTGGAGAAAACTACTACATCGTCGCCAATACCTTCGCTCAAAGATCACGGCCTAAGCACCTTACCCCTAACTCCTTTACAGACCTTCTTCAGTCCAACTCGTCACTCATAGCATACCGAGGTATCATGCCCATAAAACATACAGACATTCTCGCGTGCGAAAACACTACCTCGACACTCCCATTATATGTTACCATCACCGTTCCCAACCATCCCCTGCTCGGGCCGTTCTACTCCATCCCACTTCCCATTGACTCAGCCGGGTTCTCGGGATGTCCAAACGGAACCCTGGGATGAGCATCTGGGTCCAATTCCGATATACCAGGACCGGGCTGAGTATTTTGTCGATGTTGCTGCTGCTGCTGCTGACGAGACTGTAGCAAGTCATACACCTCATCTACAAGATAAGCAGGGACTGAGATCGTGCAGAGTTCTTCCTGTTCCGTGGGCTGTGCCGGCGGTGGTGATCCTGTCGATGATTGTGGTGAAACTGAATTTGGAAATATGGAAGATATCGGGACAGAATTTGTGGGCCCTGTATTCTTCGGGTTGGCGTGAGTTGCTGTCTCGCCAGGGAGCCCTGGAGAACCAGCGCCATTGGGAAAAGGCCGTAGGCCAGTCTGTTTGCTCTTCACCCGTTGTGATATCATGATGATGGTCTCCTTCAAAGCGACCTTCTCCGCCCCATCATTGTCTTGAGCCATCTTCTTACGACGGCGATTGAGATAAGGTCCGATAATGATCAGCAGCAGTATAACGCCTACCGTCACTGCTGCTGCAACGATGTCTTCGGTGAGACCCTTACTTTTGTCGTCAATAACTTGGCTGTGCGGCCGCTATTCGTGCTGGTTGGTGAGGGTGGATATCCCTGTTGATATGGTTATACTGGACACTCTACACGTGGATAAGAAGGATCGTGACGATCAGTGCTTCATACAGGTCAACAGTCACTTTCGAAGCAGAGCTATGCGGGGTATATAGTGATTATACTTGCCAGCATCTGACACGATCCAAAACTGAACAACCGGTTGGGTACATTTTTAGGGTAGACCAGTAATGCTCAAGATCGTAGCAGTAAGTGGCAAGAAGCCCACGATTCAATGAGTTAGGGAGGCATTCAACAGTATCTCCGAATGTCACAGAAGAAGAGCCTGCCGTACATGTCAATGCTAGCGCTGTATCAAGTACCAAGCCATTATCCGCCAGAACACCGAACCAACAATCATGTGAAGGGTTCTGCATCAACTTACAAGAATGATTCGCAAACCACTCACAAGTCTTCAAATCTAGCCATGAATTACTAGGCACCTGCTGTTTCGACCAATCTCCTTCATTTCTCTCCCAAACCTCCAACGACACCAACGACCTCAGCCTACTGTCGAGATCGCCCGATCCAGTGCCATCGGAGGTAGGTTTTGGGGTCCAGGCAGTCTCTGCATAGGCAGTATGGTATGCTGTTTGCTCAGGCTGCTGTGCTGTGATTGTTTGACGCGATGGGGTGCCGTAGGCTTTGGCTGCGGCCGCTGCCAATCTTAAGCTTGCTGCCAAGTAAACAAGAGTTTAGCTCTCCCCATATTGTAAAATATAAAAGCGCTGTTATTTCATACTTCAGCTCAAGATCTGGCAGCTCTTAGAAGAGAAGTATACACTCTGAGGAGTAGTTTATGTCTGATCTGACATCGATCTCCTAATATAAACTAGCAAAAGCATGGGGTATATGAAAGATCGAGTCGGGCGCGGTTGGAGACAATCCAACTATATACTATCACAGCTGGACCCAATCAGAGAGGTACTAATAACCGCATGAAATTAGCTACTTACGCTCTGTAGCTAGTTAGCCTGCAAGCCAGAACTGTAACGAGTGCTTAAGCAGGTCTCGGCCACAGGGTTGACCAGGGGTCTATGGCAAAATATCGACGCTCTCTGAAACGTCAAATGCAGTCAAGAAATTACCAAGAAGTGACCTTTCAACAAAGACGCACAATGCAAGCTAAGAGCTCAAGATAATCGCTTCGACGATTCCTCAACCCAATATTACCTTTAAACCGTTACGAGATTCTCACATTTTGGCGGTGCTGTTGTAGTGGTATATTGAAGACTTGCAACATCGACTTGTCGCGCTTTCGTGTGGTATGAGTGTCTGCATGAATGAGTGAGTGAAGGTCTAGGGAGGTAGTGCTAGCTGAGTGATCACAGTTTACTGGGAAGTTTCCTTGCCAACGGCTGGTGGGAATTAAGGGTTTTTTATGCCACCTGCTGGGTATAAGATAAAGTGAGAGCTTGCCAGACAAGGGGCTTGAGGATCGTGACATTAACTTTTGTTGTTAGGAGCATGGAAGTTGGAGGTTGTCCCAAAGACGAATACTTAGGTTGTTTGAAGTATCATAGATATCATCTGCGTACAAAGACTTGGATCACAGATATGCAGCAGCTTGTCCATGATCCATAAGTGCCGATAATAAGACCAGAATCATGAACTATTTTGTGTTTCATCACTTTAAGAAACAGGGGCTGGAGTCATCAAAAGTGCCATTGTCAACAAACGTTGTCTTCAAAAGACTGTGGCATTTTACAATACCCCCTGACGTTCCGTCTCTCTATGACATACAAGATCATGCTTCAGAAGACGCTAAAAAAGTTCTGGAGTTCAATGCACCATGAACTTATCACTGTACGCTTTGACTAACCTTTTTATCTTCTGCCCTGTATCAATATGCAGGACTGAGAATAGTATTGGTGATAGATGTGTACCTGATTATCTCAGGAAGAGAAACAGGTTTATACTGTACATCCCTTCAGTTTATACTCAACTCACACGCTCCTCCTCTCCCTCATACAGTGTGAGCATATCGGCCTAACGGCTGATCTTTCCTGAACTGTTGTCCTTGTCAATAGGAGTAGTATGTCAATCCTTTCATATCTCCCTCCCCTTCACGACGCATATCATTACTGCCCATAATCGCGACTATCCAACATCCACACCTCCATCAATACCACAATCGTGCCGCACAACCCACCATCGTGCCATGCACTCAAGCATAGACTACGTCATCACAACTATAATACTTTCTAACCCTTTCCCAAATTTCCTACTCTTTTCTTCTTCCATTTCTCAAAAGTGCTTGTTAAAGATCTGGTGTCAGCCTGTTACCTTTTCCCCATGGCGTGGCATGATGCCTGGGTCGAATCAGTAGTCCTCTCTCCCATAAGGATGCGTTGAGATCGAGTGTCCCAACTGCAATTCATGAACCTTCTCCAGCCGTCGAGCTGATTCTTCAAATCATACTTATTGACATCAAGGACTGTTGTGGTGGTTCTGTACATGTGCATCATAAACGTGGTTCTTTTGGTGGTACCTTCCTGGGTTCCTGGCCCAGATACCTGGTTCTTTGCCTACCTATGTGTAGGTAGATCTGGTCATCTACTCGCTTTCTTACATTTAGACTTCAGTGACATTGTTTGGCCTCATGTATTCACTTCTTTTGGTGCCTTGTACTGTGTCCACGACACTGTAAGACTAGAGATATTCTTGGTGATTGGTGTGTACTTGAAGGAACTCCTTGGTGACACTTAACCTGCTCAGGCAGTTGTCCTCCCTTTTCCCCAAACTAAATGTTATTATGAGAGCTTAAATAATTCTGGGTTTGAAAAACCTGGAGTTCCCAAGCCTGATAGTATTAGTTGAAACTGCTTTGAGGTTCGAGGACTTTGAGGCAAGACGTCCTGGATATCAAGTCCATGCGAAACCAACCTATTTAGGATTACGATGGGATATTAGACGAGAAGTTGTGCTTTTGGAAGGCCACCATGTGGAAATCGACAAACAAGAGTTGAGATTGTTGCAAATTTGCGGTGCTCGGGCAAATGCTCGACCAACTGCAAACACAACAGATATGAAGAGACTTAACAGTGGATGAATGGTCCAGTTAAATTTTACAAATGTAATTAATGTTTTTTTGGCTTGAACAATTTTGAAACAGAAGTAAACTAACCAAAAACCATCGGTTTCAACTTACCATGGTCTAGGCAGTGGGCTGATGAATCATGGACACCTATGGTAGGCTTGCTGTGACAGCTTCAATCCCGGATTTTTGGATAGATGGAATGCAAACTAGAGGGTGATTGGTGATTAGTGAGCGTTTTCCACGGGAAGTGGGGGGAGCGGCAAACAATGCTTCAGTTTGGCAAGCATTTCTTATAGTAGAGAGTGGATCAGAACGTCTTGGGAGCATGATCTTGCTTGCTGAGCACAAAGCCTGTGTAAACTTGGGCTGAAGAGCCGCTGACGTTCAGGTTCCATTTGAAAGCAAACACAATGTCTTTGTGAGAGGAGCCAGTAAATGTTGGGAGCGATTTGTGGGAGGGTCTGAGAGTCTAACTGTTTTGAAATGCTTGTGTGCCCAAACCTGCATAGAGGAACAGTTGGCAAGTCTGTCAGTAGGTAGGAATGGAAACAACATGAGCAGCAAGAAATCAAGGAGCACCATCTGGGGAATGAGTGACGGAAAGCTTAAATGTTACTCTCTCATGCTGTTTTTGTGTTGTCCCGGGTTGAAGACGGAAAACTTGTCAACCCAAAGCATGGCGTGGCTCAGTCAAATGAACAGCGATTAGTTCTTTGCGCTGGAGCCATCTTGCTTACATCTCCCCGCGTGTTTAGTTGTCTTACAGCATGTCCATTTAGGGGCTTTTGCCTTTGTAGGTCCATCTCTCATTGCGATCCCAAATAGTGTCTCAATTGGGATTCAACCCATTATTAACTAGAGGCTCTTTCTCCTGCAGCCTCATCCTCTTCACCATACATTTGCGAACCTTAGTATTAACTTATTGACATGCAAGCTCCTACCATCACCATAACAGCCTATTGCGATCCAAGCAGTCTTGATTGATACTTGGATAGCTGGCTCTTACCTGGCTTTCTGTCCTTGGATACAGCTCCTGTTACGACCTGACTAAACTATAGTCTTTGCTGTGCTTTAGACATCCTGTCTGGTGATCTATCAGTGCCTGCTTTATGTTCGCAACTCATTACGATCTCAACTTAAGCCTTACTTGAGCATCAAGTCATCCATTCCCTAACGTGAGAGGTCCCGTTTTTTCAATTTAGCTCTCGCCGCTATCTGACCAGTCTTAACTGGACTTCAGGTGACTAACTCTCGGACTCGGTAGTTCCCACCTTCAAGCCACAACATTTGTTGTGCGCAAGCTTAACGATAGTCTCAGTCTAACTTTAGACTGTGACTCGTACAGCTAGCTGCTCTTACGATTATATCTTACCCCCTACCACAATCACAATATAGTTTTAGTGGAGTGCTAAGCCATACACCCCTTAACTAAGGAGTTCCCACTGCTAGATCTGGCTGTTCTCATGATGCGAAAGTCAGTCTTATGCAAGCTGCGGACAAGTGCCTTTTAATAAAGAGCTCCTACTTGCTACCCTTACTTTCACTGCGATCTAAACTTTGGTCTCAATCTTATCTTAGAGAGTGTCCTATAAAACCAAGAACCCCTGACGCACAGCCTCAGCTTCCATTATCATCTCAACTGCACTCTTATCCCTATATCAGACAGAATCTGATAAGGCTAATTGATACCACCCCCAGATCCAGCTCTCATCAAGATCTGAACTCCGAATCAAGGAGCCCCTACATCTCAGCCTCAAATCTCATCGCGATCTCGACTATCTCCTTAGTTTCAAACAAGACCGTGTCAAACAAGATCGACAGTTTTCGTCTCACTGTCCTCGAGCCAAACTGCGGTCTGAACTTGACTTTGTCACACTTGTTTCAAGCCATTTTGAAGCCCTTGCTACTGTCATTGGCCAATTCTGCGCATTCTCAGCGACTTCAGACTGCGAGTTCACGCTGTTCAAACCTCACTTGGCCAGCTTCGGTACTAATTATCTAAGCACCCTTTACCTATCCCTAATCTTCGATTGTTTGTCACTGAGCTCACTGACATCCTAGTAGGCAGGATTTTAAGTCTGCTTTCTCCTTTCTCTTCTACATCCTTGAGTCCCTAGCACAATGCCATTGTGATAGTTTTCAACATCATCTAACAGTTTTCCATCGAGGCTTCATGCTGATATTTAACGTCAGAACGATTATTCCATCGCCCGTTCACACACACCCATCGGTTTGCCGCCACTGCCCAACAGTGAGTTAAATCCCTTGAACAACATTTCATTGCCTGTCTTCAACCTTCGTCCGATGCTCTTCCATTGCCATGTTCACGTTTTATTGAACCTTATTGACAATTGTCTTTACAGTTGAACTTGCGCGGTTCTTGGCTCTCTACTGGGATCTTAAGAAGCTGTGGACACGTTCCATCACCAGTCAGTAAGTACATACTCTCTTATAATATATAATTACCGGTCTTCACTCGTTTATCGCCGGTCGTGTCGGCTCCTCGTCGGTCTTCAACCACTCATCGCTGTTGTCTTTCATCATCAGCTTTGTTGTCCTCGACTGAGGTGACTTTCGTCCTATTGCTTAACGATCACACCTAGAAACTTGAGATTTACTCCATCGCTTTGTTTCACTGGACTCAAATCAGGAAAGAACGTTTTATTGCCAGTCGGCTCCGTCGACTTATTGTCACTCCTCAGTTCGTTCCCTCTCAGAACTTTATAGCCTTTCATTGCCGATATTTAGCTCATCTTCATTGAAACTTTCAAGACCTTGTCCGGCGCCTCTTCACTTCCAGTTACTTACTCTCTGAAGGTTTAAATCCTCAGATTCAATCATCAGGACTTTCTTCGTTATCATCAATCATCAGTCAGTATAAGTCTTTTGACTGTCTGACCACTCCTCTTTACTAGCCTCCAAGTCATCGCCGACTCCCGACCTTCGTCCTGATCATCGTGGCTCTCTTCTCCGTCAGATATACCTTTAGCCACCGCAATTTTCATCGTCTGGACCTATGTTTCTCGTCAGAGCATGAAAAACATCGTCTGACGGTCATTCATCATCAGTTTTCAACCCTTCATCGTGGATCTTCAACCATTTATCACTGATCTTTAGCCTCTTACCGCCGTTCAGCAATCTTTTCTACGCAATACCTAATACCAAAACATTGGGCTTCGTTGCTTACCGCCCATCTCGCACGCTTCATCGCTGAAGTCCTTTTCATTCCCCAGCGCCCATCACAAACGCGTTGTTTTTCACTGCCTATCTACAACCTTCATTTCTTCATCACCAATCTTCACCCTATTACTGCCGGTTGGCAGGCAATCTTTCATCGCCGGTCAGAATTTTTTTTTCCATTGCTGCTCTTTACCCAACCATCCCCAATCTTCATATTTCATCACCAGTAAACATTCTTTTTTATTTATCGCACAACACATAACACAAACGAATTGTTTTTAACCTTGCATCATCAATTTCCAACCTCTTACCACCAGAATTCCACGTTCCATTGCCCTTTCTCATTTTTTCATCACGTCCAAAACTAAATTTTTTCCTTACTTTCACACATACGACACCCACAGCTCACCATCCACTATGTGCTTTCAAGAGTGCATCGCCTACCAGTGTGGGCACCGCTCGCAGATCGTTATGCGCCCATGCCCCATAACCACAGCCTCTCACCACTTTCCCGTCTGTGGCAGCACTCCCACACGTTTCTGGTATGCGGAGACAATGTGTGCTGGCTGTGAACGCTACCTGCACGGTCGCTGGGTGCTTGTTCGTGAGTTCGAGCACCGCTGGCTGCATGAGCGAGGGGCCTGTGGCTGTGAGGTACAGTTCCCAGGTCTGCTGACGACGCCACGTGTTGTTGGTGACAATTCGGATAGTAACGCCGGGAGTTCAGGGTCCATGTTTGAGAGCTCTGACAGACAGTCACAGAACGAGAAGACCTCTCATATGGTGGGCAGAGTGACGGTCACCACTACGGGTTACAATGCTCAGGACATGGAGATGAAGTCTGGTGGCTCTGGCATTGGGTCCTTCATCAAAATGGCGGCTAATCACGGTGTTACTCTGGTAAATACTGGGGTTGATTCCGGAAGTGCGGGGAGTGACGTCGGAAAATGTGGGACTTTTGAGTCCGAGAGCGACCCCGCTTTCACGGACGGCGCCGGTGCCGACCGGGAGGGTCGCCGTAGATCCTATGCTGCTGTGGCTGCAAGCGCCAATGTTACTCGAACGAGCTCTGAAAGCACTTATGCAGGAGTACGTCAGTACAAGGTCGGGCCTTCGGCAGATGCCGGTCTGTCTTGTCCCCATTCTTCACAGAACTCTGGTGGCTCTGAGAATCATCACGGACGTGGTCTGTCCGATGTGCAGTTTTCGCCGATATTTGACACTACTGATGGCAACGGGCCATCCAGTACTTCGTTTTCGCCAATCCTTCAGACTTTGGACGGCAGCGTGACGTCTCATCTCCACAGTTCTTCGCCCGTCTTTCAGACTTCAAACGGCACGTGGTCATCGCAGTCCCCCGTTTCGCTGAACTCGAAGAGCTCCGACGGCAAAGAGTCATCCCAGCTCACACAACCTCTGCTGATGTTAGACACCCAAAACAATAAAGGCCCATGCCATCTCCAATCTTCGCTAAAGTCAAAAAGCCGCGACGACACCACAGCATCGCATCTCCAGAACCCTTCACAACCGTCAAAGAATCCCGACAACATCACCACATCGCATCTCACATCTTTGACAGCTCCTGACGCAACTCAGAGCAAGATCGGGTCTTTGTGTCACACCTCTGCCCCGGACCGCAATATCACACTGTCGGAGGCAAGTCGGTCACATCACAGCTCTCTGTCACGCCTAAACACCAACCACCCAGCAGCATCCTCGCGGTCCCATTGTGCACATGACACTCAAAAGAATGCCCCCCACGAAGAGCCCCCGCGAAATTATCTCTCCTTATCCAGTAGTGACCGCGTTGCGAATTCCGAGGTCCGCCTGTCAGGGACTACATATACCCCCAACATCCCTCTCACTCAACCATCTTCAGGTTTGTCGAACTTCTTCACTTTCTCTTTGTTAACACTCAGCCCGAAAAAAAAAACTAAGACTAATACTCTTCCTCCCCTGCTAGCCCCCATAGTCCCCCACCATGCTCATATCCCCGCCGTCTACACTGAGTCCCATGGCCCCTCGGGCGAACGCCGCGTTGCCGTCCGCCTACCTAGCCTGTACGCTGCCGAATGGGTCGCCGACCACCGTGCGTTGCACCTAGCCGGAGGATGCAAGTGTCCTGTGGACTTTACCATGGTCGAGCTGGCCATCCCCAACAGCGAGCTCACCCCCGAGGAGCTGGCTCGTCTCCGGGAGTGGGAGGAGCAGGTTAACCTGCATAGCAGACCGCGTCATGTCTCGCAGGCGACAGATGAGAGCCAACAGCAACTTGACCCCGTGGCCCGTCGTATTGCAGAGATTGAGCGCCACTTCGGCCGCTTCGACATTCCCGCCGCAGTGCCCAGTACAGCTGCGTGCTCTCCGCGGAGCACACCCGCCCCTCCGCTGGGTTTCAGCAGCCCGCACATACACACAGCTCCTACAGCGGGCGGCACAGCCGTTATCACGCACGTGGCCCCAGCCCCAGGGGGTGGGCTAGGCTCTCCACAACCTTTGCCCCTGCTCCCCCTCCGCCCTCATCCAACCCCCATGCCCCCCTTCAACATCTTCAACCCCGCCTACCCCCTCTACAGCACGCTGGCTACAGCACGCGACATCGTCCCCGAGAACGGGGCATACGAGTGGGACTGTCCGCCGCGCAGGCTCACCCCTTCACAGCAGAGTCTTCTTGGTGGGAATATGAATAGGGGAGAGGACCTTCCGACCCTGCTCCAAGGGCCCGGACCTTTTCGTACGCCGGGGTTCGAATTCCCTTCTGCAGAGCAGGCGGCGTTTATTTCGCGGATTCGTGCTCAACAACAACAACAACGGTGGACTTCGTCGACGGGCGGCGCAGCGGCAAACAGCATTCTGCCGCCGCTCCCTCTTTGCGGCCTCCCCATCGGCGCTGGGCCGGAAGGAGAAGAGAGGCATGTCCCAGCTTGGGAGGTGTGCAGGCTTAGGACACTCCGTGAAGTCAGCGCTCAACAGGAGGAAGCCGTAGGCACCGCCGGCGGTGTGGACGACAAAAACGAAGATGAAACGGATTCAGTTCTGGGGAGGAGAGGATGCTGTCGTCGTGCTTTGAGTCGAGGGGGCTGCAATCAAGGACAGCAGCCGGCCCAAGCAAGGGGAGAGGTGATCTTGAGGGAGGTGTTGGGGGTTACAAGGTCCTTTGTTTCAGGATCGGGGTCGGGCAGCAAGGTGAATGCCGTTGGAGTTATTCCTCTTGAGCCGCAGCTAAGAGCTCCTTCGGCTGTGGTGGTAGAGGAGGAGGAGACTGATGACGAGGTGATTGGGTTGGGTAGAGAGCAGCTCGATACCCAGAGCGACTTCGGTGCCGGCATACTTTTGAACGATGATGGCATTCTGATGCCGCAGCTGCACCGGCGCAGGGCATCGATCTAACCTGAGTTGAGATCGAAATAAAGAAACCTGCTTATAGTAAGTGTTTTATATATATATATATATATATATATACCGTTCGCAACTCCATTTACGAAGCAACCCACTGACGCGGTGACTCAACGAGATAGTTTCAGCGTGATGTACGAGACGATAGCATTGTATGCAACACTGGCGTAACAATTCAGGCCGATTGAAGCGTTGGTCGGACTGATCCAGGACAAAGGAGGGAAAGCAATGGGGGCAGGAGAGACAATGGAGACCATGCCATTGTTTGGTGACCGATAGATTTGAACGAAAGAAATTCAGCGTGCCGCCCGCATTTCTCGCCATCAGTTATAGCCAGGGAGAAGCCCGGCGTATGATACAAATGAGTCAAATTGATACAAAAGAAAGGAAACCGATATGGACAATCACATCGAGAGCGTTGAGTTTCCGTCTTGCTCTTTGCCCTCGGACGCCCTGTATCAAGAGATCCGACTGGACTGGAGAAGTTGGTCCCTCTCCCACCTTGAGGACCAGCTGCACCCACAAATCAAGCCATTGACACAAAAGATCAGAAACAGAGAACGAACTCACAACAGGGGGGACAGCATTCGGTTGATTTGTTTCGATTTCGCCATCTATCGACCATCTGCCTTTCGAAAGACGACGTTTGCAGAGAGTAAAAAAAAGAATTTGCGATAATCTCCGCGACAGTTTTCCTTTCTTCCCTCGTCTTGACCCGCTTACCGATCGACCTCACCTGCGAGGAGACAAGGTTAGTTGCTGTCTGATATGGTATGGTAAAACGCAAGACACTTACCGAACACCAGATCCATGGTACCGATCACAGCGACCGCATCAGCCAGCAAATGGCCACGAGTGATATGGTCAAAACCGCTGAGATGCGCGAAGCCTGGAGCACGAATATGCACGCGGTACGGCCTCTCGCTGCCATCGCTAACCACGTACACGCCCATCTCGCCCTTGGGGGCCTCGATGGCGGTGTAGGTGTCACCAGGTGGCACAGCATAGCCCTTGGTGAAGAGCAGGAAGTGGTGAATCAGTGCCTCCATGTTCTCTTTCATGGCAGCGCGGGGCGGCGGCGTAATCTTGTAGTCCTCGTACCGGACGGGGCCAGCTGGCATCTTGTTGAGGCACTGGTGGATGATACGCAGCGACTGACGGAACTCTTCCATGCGGCACAGGTACCGGTCGTAGCAGTCGCCGTTGATGCCCACGGGTACGTCGAACTCGACCTGGTCGTAGGCGTCGTAGGGAGAGGACTTGCGCACGTCCCAGGGCACTCCGGAGCCGCGGAGCATGACGCCCGTGAAGGAGAGGTTGAGGGCATCGGCCGCGGAGACGACACCAACGCCCTTCAGACGGTTGATCCAGATGCGGTTATCCGTAAGCATCTCCTCGGTTTCGTCGATGCGGTCGCCGAACTGAGTCGCCCACTGATAGATGTCGTCGAGCAGGCCGACGGGGATGTCCTGGTGAACACCGCCGGGCCGGACATAGGCAGCGTGCAGACGGGCACCGGAGACGCGCTCGTAGAATTCCTTGGGGGCAATGGTCAGCTTCTAGGCTCTAGTTTGGAGGATGTGGCATGGTTTGCACGAGTTGATAGAGATTCAGGCAGGCAATCGATGATTTCCACAATATCCCAAGTCTTGGAATCCCCACTGTGTTCTTAAAGTGCCTTCATAAACCACTCACCATCAGCTTCTCACGCTCCTCGAAACCCCACAAGAAGGGCGTCAAAGCACCAACGTCCATGGCGTGCGACAGGACAGACATGAGATGGTTCAAGATGCGCGTGATCTCGCCAAACATGGTACGGATGAACTTGGCGCGCGGGGGGATCTCGATGTTGAGCAGCTTCTCGACAGCCAGCGAGAAGACCTGCTCGTTGGTCATCATGGATACGTAGTCGAGACGGTCGAAGTAGGGCAGGGCCTGCATATACGTCTTGTACTCGCACAACTTCTCGGTACCGCGGTGCAGCAGGCCGACGTGGGGGTCGGCACGGACGATCTCCTCGCCATTGAGCTCGAGAATCAGACGCAACACGCCGTGGGCGGCCGGGTGCTGCGGACCGAAGTTGACCGTGTAGTGGCGAACCTTGCGGCCCTCGACCGAGTCCTCATCGACTCCGGAGCGCGATTTTTGCACGCCATAGTTGGCCGCGTTGTCACGGGCGCCTTCATCGATGAACGGGTCGGGCGGGCTCTGGAAGTCGGCGCCCGTGGGGATCAGCCGCGTGCCCTGAAATCCGTCCTGGGGTTCGGCGTAGCGGCGCAGGGCCGAGGCGGAGAATGCGCGGACGCTGAGGGGGGTCGAGGCAGTCGACGACAACTGGAACGATGACGATGATGTGAGCGGCCGCGAGCGAGATGCTGCTGATGTGGCGAGCCGCCTGGCGCTGCGGCCGGCGAGTCGGTAGAGCGACGCCGACATGGCTAAGGATGGACTGGCGTCAAGGTTTTCCGGGTGACCTGGGGCTGTCCCGGGGATGGCCTCGTTTGGGGCTCGGGGCTCAGGGCTCACACAACGGGCGCTACGCGGCTACGGAGGTACGTTGATGTCGTTTCGTTTCGACTTGGCACGGGCCCGGGTCGGGTTCGTCTTCGTCTTCGAGGAGGGGCCCGGACTCGACCGCAAGCTTTGCGATGTCTTGATTGGTGGGTTGCTGCAAGAGTGGGGAGCTCTGCTGCTTTGAGGCTTGAGGCTTGAGTGCTTTCTGCTGAGTGTTGATTCTCACACTCTTGCTCCTGCCACTGTGGCTGCTGGGAGTAAGGCCGCGGCTAACTGCTGCTGCTATTCTCTTGTTGCACTCGCTGGCAGGTCGCTGCCCTGAGCGGGTTTCGTCACTGGTGTCACCTCACTCTGCTGGCTCTTGCTGTGGCCCTGCGGAGCTCAACCTTTGCCCGTTTGCCAATCTTGATTTGCCGCCCTCCCGATTGGCCAGCCGTTTGGCTGATCGTTTGCCGCAAACCTTCAATTGAGCGATGCCCCTCCTCTAGTGACCCTAACCCTGGATTATGTAGGCGAAGCAGCAGTCTACCTTTACGTTTGCTCTATAACCCTTGACAAGCAGTTGTTCAAAAAGTCATGGAGCAATTAGTATAAATTATGATAATTATTCCTACTATTAGAGCTTGAACTAATCGACTGGAAGAAATGCTCTTTTTTGAGATGATTGGCCTGCCCCCTTGCAGCTGATAAGCCACGGCAGGACGTAGCCGATTGATAACCTCGTTGCTCGAATAGTGGGGCCAAAAGGCGGTCACTTTTTTCCCCGCGACAGGAAATTCTGCCGCTTTCATGCTTTGAGCAAGACGAGGTCGAGGACACCGAGGGTCACCGAGCATCTCAACCACCACTACTTCAGCCAGTTTCAAACCCAAATCAATCACAATGCCTCACAGACCGCCAACAAAAGAAGAACTTGAGGCTCGGAAGGTATGTGACGATTCTATCTTCAACCGACTTTGCGACGTGGCACTCACACACCCAGATTGTCGGCATCAACGAGGAGACCGTCACCAATGTCAACTCGACCGACTTCCCGCACCACTACGCCGGCGAGGACCACGCCTGGGACCTGGAGGCGTTCCGCCGCGAGTTTCGCGTCGAGTTCCACCAGAACGACCCCTACGAGGCCTCCTTCTCCCTGATCGGCTGCCACGCCTCCATCGCAAACGCTTTCCGCCGTATCATGATCGCCGACATTCCCACTCTCGCCATTGAGACCGTCTTCATCAACAACAACACCTCCGTCATCCAAGACGAAGTTTTAGCGCACCGTCTGGGCCTGATCCCCTTTAAAGGCGGCAAGGAAGGCCTGCACAAGTTCCTCAAGTGGTGGAAGAAGCCCGCGGACGAGTCGCAGATCAACAACAGCTACTACGATTTTAACACAGTCTCCCTCCGCCTGGAAGTCAAGTGCGAGGAGAACCCGGACGCGGCACCGGGCGAGACGGACCCGACCAAGCTGTACAAGCACGCGCACGTCTACGCCCGCGACATCGAGTTCTGCCCCGTCGGCCGACAGCACAAGTACTTTTCCGGCGAGAACGCCATAAGGCCCGTCAATCCAGACATCCTGATCGCGAAGCTGCGTCCGGGGCAGGAAATTTCTTTGTCCATGCACATGCACAAGGGCGTGGGGTCCGACCACGCCAAGTTCTCGCCCGTGGCGACCGCTTCCTACCGCTTGCTCCCCGTCATCGACATTATCGAGCCGATCCTGGGCAAGGACGCGGAGAAATTCCAAAAGTGCTTCCCCAAGGGCGTGATCGGGCTGGAGCGGGTGACGAAGGAGGAGGCCTCGCGCAAGGGAAGCGGGTATGAGGGCCACGAGGGCGAGCTCAAGGCTGTGGTGGTCGATCCCATGCGCGACACCGTCAGCCGCGAGTGCCTGCGCCATCCGGAGTTCAAGGGTAAGGTCAAGCTGGGCCGCCGTAGGGACCACTTTATTTTTCTGGTCGAGAGCACAGGCCAGTGGGAGAGCGATGCCATTTTCCTTGAGGCAGTCGCTCATTTAAAGAAGCGCGCGAAGGATATTGAGAAGCAGGTTATGAATATGGTTCGGTAGAGGAGGAGAGGCTACTCAAAAGAGGAGTACTCTGCTGTGAGGTGTTAACCAAGCGGGTGGTAAGGCTGGGGAGATACCCGTTCTTTCATCCATCTCTCGTATTATCTTGTCAAACATGGGCACGGCGTCTGGGGTGTCAAAAGGGAGTCTTTCTGGCCAACTCTTTGTTTCGGTCTTGCGCATAATCGATCATTTTGGGGTAGAAAGGGAAAAGAGAACGAAATATGAGGATAGAAAAGTGCCGTCGTCTTTCTTGACTCATTCGTATCGCCCTCTCAGCCGTCTACTGGTCTAGCGTGTATCTGTCATGCCACCATCCACGATTTACGGTGCTCGTAAGCAATCCGTTTTTCGAGCTTTTCCCTCAACGCCTCGCCATATGCTCCATTTACCGAAATCCCCATTGCAAAAAGATAAGGACAAGTGAAAGAATAGGTAGCCTCAAGAACATATAACACAGCAGAAATCCCAGCGATTACCCCCCCCCCTTTCTCACTGCTTCTTAAACTTCAACCTAAACCGAAACGTAACCGCCCCAAACGCCGGATCCGTCACCGCAATCTCCTGCCCCTCCGACAGCCCCAACTCCTCCAGCGTCTTGTCCAGATTCGGCCGCGTCTGCTGCTCCAGACTCGGGGGACTCTGCATGTACAGCGTCTTGCCCGCCGCGCGCACGCTCGGCTTCTTGAGCTGCGCCTCCGGCCGTCCCGCAAGCGACTCGACCAGCTCGCGCAGCGTCCAATCCGCCGGCTTCGAGACTGGCAACGCCAGCTCGCGCGCTTCGCTGCCACAGACGGGACAGTCCTCTTTGCGCTCGTGCTTGAAGGTATATGTGTAGATGCCGTCGTTGCCCGAGTACATCATGTAGTTGTTGTCGGGGTAGCCGAGAAAGGGGTTGCAGTTGGTGGCGATTTTCAGGGCTTCGTTGCAACACGCCGCCGCGATCACGCTGTTGGTCGCGGCGATGGCGGGGATGATGTTCTTGACGACGCCTTGCGTCAGGGAGTAGGTCACTCCCTGAATGTTGAATTCTTTTGCGCGTTCCAGAGCTTTTTGGTACAGCCAGTTGATGTGCACTGGGTCATCCTTGTCCAGTTGAGGGAAGGGCTTCTCTTGGTCCCAGGCGATGACGTGCGCCCATTCGATACAGTGCTCTGGCTGGCGGGGGATGCTGGCGAGTGTGCAGAGGGGAACGGCTGCGCGAGGGGCGTGCATGTCCAACTGGCACTCGATGCAGGATGTGACGGTGGGCAGGATCACGCGTGCCTGGCCCTTGAAGCCCTCCGTGCCGCCGTCGATCAGGGGCTTGATACTGTCCTCGACGTTCTCATCTACCATATCTACCAGCGCAGCATTGATCCACCTCCTTGCCTCGATACTGTCCAACCCACAGATGACTAACTGGAATTGCATATAAAACGACTCGTCAAAATCCTGAATCTTCGCGTTATGCGGAGTGATCTTCACTCCGCGCACCCGCCTCTCCACAAACCGTGCTGCTACCTCCGCCTTCGATTTGCCCACGTCATCCTGGCGGAAGAGAAACTGTCTGTTGAGGTTCGAGATATCGATTGTGTCCATGTCGATCACGTGGATATCCTTGAACCCGGAGAGGGCGAGGTTCTTGAGGATCTCGCAGCCTAGACCTCCCGCCCCGATTACGAGGACTTTCATCGTGTCCATTGTCTTGACTGCTGCGTCTGGATCGAAGACATCGGGGTCTGTGTATGGCCCAGGCCGTGTGCGAATGTTATCAAGCCACTTCCATCGCGCTGGACGGGAAGTGGCTAGCGTTTCGGGGGAGGACATGGCTGTTGGGTGGGAGGAGGGAGGGGAGTTCGAGGTGATTTAAGGAACGGTTGTGTCCAGACCGGAAGTTTGGTCTGAGCCCTCGAAAGGAGTAGAAGAAGAAGTAGAATCAGACAAGCTGTCGGCCTGATCACCAGCGATGTTGGAGACTTGGGAGCTAGACTTCAGGTTGCTCTCATGTTGCTGAGATATCAGGTTGGGGGTCGAGGCACCGAGGCTCGTCCAGTGGGGAACCGCGATAAGGGGAGCCTGGCCTTTATCTTAGCCCGGCCGGGGTCTGGTCTGCAACAGGAGCATGGTGGGGCTGTTCTTGGCTCACTTTGGCACTTCAGTAACCTTGGAACTTGAAAGCTGTAAGCTTTGAACTCGCAGTTATTATGAGTCGACTCTACACAAAGAAAGACCAAAAGATTATTAATATCATAATGACTTTAATCTGGTTCCTTCCATGAAGATTTTTGCCATACAAACAGAAAAAAAATCGGAAAATAGACTGAACGCCCAGTTGACCAACTGTAGCAGGAACCATCTTAGATTTTATCTCCGTTTAAGAACTTGGCTGTTATCCAACATCAGCTCAACCTGAAGTGTGACTTGTCTTCAACTGCGCACCGCCACGGTTCTTTAGAAAAAAAAACCCAAGATGGAAGAACTTTTAAAGCCAGCCAGCATAATCCGCAAACCCAAACCCGATCCCGAATTGGAGCTCGTCGCAACAAGCGTTATCCAGCACCACTCCAACTCCAACATCGAGACATCTTCCACAACCACCACAAACCCCAAACTTGGCCCCCCAACCTCACCCGAAGACGCCCTCTCAGCACTCAAAAGCCAACCAGACTACGACACTCTCATGACCATCCTCCGCTTCCTCTCCCACCACAAACCCCAGAACTCATCCTTCCCGACCATCAAGCTCCCCAGCCCCCTAACCGCCCAGCTTGTCCAAGTCCTAGTCTCCGACGTCGTGCCCAACTACTGGACCCTCCTTCTCGAAAGCGTCCACGACGCAAAGAACTCGGGCCTGAAGCTCCTTCTCTACTGCTTGTCGAGTGTCACCGGTGTAAACGCAATCCTCGTCCGGTTGAGGGCCCTGATTCAAGATGCCAAGGCAGATGGTGGGGATAAGGGGAAGAAGATCGAGATCTCGATGACTCTGGGGATCTTGGTTGATCTTCTCAACCGGCTTTTGCATGGGGATGGGTGGTTGTCGGAGGCGTGGCAGGTTGCTACGTCAAGAGAGGATGGGCCTGCGAGAGTGAGACCTAGGGTGCAGGAGATATTGACGGCTTTTGGGAGTGGACGGATGGTCTCGCTGGCGGCGGAGGCCGAGGCGATCGTTAAGGGGAATGGCACTGGGAAGGATGTGGAGGGGTCTTGGGTTGCGGATTCGTTGCAGTATATTCAGTGGCTGGGGAGGAACATCGTGGCGTTTCTGGAGTCTGAGGCGGCGGCTAAGGACACGAAGTTTGCTTCGGACGTGTTTGGGAAGGGGCTTCGGCTGGGTCATGCTGGTGAGTACTCTCGAGCGCAACCATGGGAAAAGGTGAAAATGCTGACTTCGCCGCAGACGCTCTCACAAAACAACTCCTCTCGTCCCTTGTTTTACAAAAAGGGGCTGACCCGAAGAAGTTCGGCATGCTTCTTGACGGACTACCACAGACAGAGCAGCGCAAGGTCCTCTTCTCGGTCTTAAAGTTCTTCTCCTCCGATTACCTTAATCGCCTAGGCAGATGTGAGGGAGACAACAGCAAAGCACTTGTGTCCGCTGTGGCCGGTGCCCTCTCCTTCATCGTGAACGGGATGAGTAGTGGGAGAAAGCATCTTGTGGAGTGGCTCACAAGCTCTTCCGCTGCTGGCGTTGGAGAGGAGGTGGGCATTCGGCGGGCTGTCCTGGCAGTTGTTGCTCAAGAAAAGGAAGATATATGTACCGTGGTGGAGAAGAGCATAAACCAGTTCGGAGATCAACTATACATCAAACATTCTCCCATGCTACAGCAGGAAGGTAGGATGACCAGAGCTTTGGACAAGAATGGGGGCATCGCTGACAAGACACAGCACATGCCCAGGTCCTGCTCATCAGCGCAGGATATGTGCACAGAAAAGTTGCAGTCAAACTTGCCATGCTCCTGAGATCGGGTGTATGGATGAACACCATCTCCAATCGGCTGAAGGCATCAAACCTCAGAGCCCGTTTCATTGGAATGATTGTGGGCGAGGCTCTGTCCGCTTTGGTGGACAAGGAAGACAAGCGGCTCAACTTCCATATGGAGGAGACAGACCAAGAGGAAGGACAGTGGTACAAGGGACTGACGAAGGTCATGGATGACACTGGGCCTTTGGATCCCCTGAGTCAACCACTGTCTCAAACAACTCCCAAGAAGCCATTCAAAACATCAAAACCGGCGCAGAAGCCGACAGCACCTATTTCTGGTAGCAAACCTTTGATCATCGAGGAGCTGAGCGATGAAGGTGAAGATGATGATATCATCCCCTATGCCAAACCGGATTCAGACCCAGAGGACTCAGACGACGATCCAACATTGATCAGGAGAGACAAGCCAAAAGCCCCAGTTTACATCCGTGACTTGATCAAGTATCTAAGGGATACAGACAGCTACGACCGTCAGAAACTTGCTTTGGAAACAGCACCAACACTTATTCGGAGGAAAGCCGGCTACGGTACTGAACTGTCAGAGCATGCTGAAGAGCTCGGTAGTCTCCTAGTCGGCTTGCACGATAGGTACGACCTCGAGAATTTCAACGAGCTGCGCGCCCAAGGCATGATCGCCCTCATCATCGCCAAACCTGAGATGATGGGGCCCTGGTTTGCTCGTACCTTCTTCGAAGGTGACTACTCCATCAACCAGCGAGCATCAGTCCTCGTCGTCCTCGGCCTAGCTGCTCGCGAGCTCGCTGGCCTCGAGACATCAGACTACGCCTCGGCGGCAGCCTTCCCCTCCAAGAAACTTCCCGAAAAGGTCGAGCAACTCTACCTCACCCAGCCTTCCACCACCGCCGCCGCCAAACTCCCATCCCCGTCCTCCCTCAAACCCCTCCCCCCTAATGCTCTCGACACCATAGCGACCTCCCTAACAAACGACTTCCTCGCCCCGCTAGCCGCCCGCGCCGCTGACGCCGCCACCGGCCCCGACATCCTCAAGCTCAGCACCTTCACCTCCCGCCTCAGAGACAAAGCCAAGCAAAAAACCACCTCTAGACCCCGCGTTCGCTCCATCCCCAACACCACAGCATCGCTATTGTCGCACTACTTTTTCTCTCCGCTCGTCGCCCGCTTTCAGGCTGCATTGCATTCCGCCCCGGCTAGGGGCAGTTCCATCCGTGGGCAGCGCGCGAGCCTGCTTTGGCACCCACAGTTGTTGGCGCTGTACTTACAAACATTGGCGTTGGTAGTGCACGCCGCCGGGCCGAGTACCCTGTCCCTGCCGGCCATGACGGCTGATCTGTGGCGGCTACTACTCAGCACGCGGGTGCGGGCGTGCGCGGTCGGAGACCTGGCGGTTACGCGGGCGGTGCTGTTCGGATTCATGGCGCTACTAGATGTGAATGAGGAGAGGATGCGGGATGTATGTGGGGAGCTGGGACGGGAGGTCGTCGAGGCGCAGGAGTGGGTTGCAGGGGTGTTTGATGGGTTAAGGGGCGGTGATGAGGGGGGCGAGGAGGAGGAGGTGAAGATGTTGGCTGCGGGAGTGTTGGTTAGGCTGAGGGAAGGGATTGAGAGATGGCAGTTAGTGTTGGTGGGTGATTTGATTGGGTTTGGGTGAGGGGCTTGGACATGGGAGGAGGGCGTAGCAGAAGCTGAAGGAGCAAGACAAGGTGTAGATGCCGTCAATCAATAAGCTGTGTCGATATCTGGGTGAAACAAAAAAAACTGTTAACCGTATTAGAAAATACATTTCACGGTCTCGATATTTTGGGTTCTATTCATGTACTTCATCTTCAACCGATTCCTGTCCATATCCGCCATAGACCGTATGGGTTATCTCAACAATCGGCCGTTAGGGTGGCTACGACGAGAAATATCACGTGATCCACCAAGCGGGCCGTTGACGCCATTGCGGCTTGACAGGGTGCCAAAGCCCCCCCTGTTCCTGCCAGCATCGGCTGCGGAAAACGTGCTCACTTGCAGGACGATTGGCAAATCAGCGTGCGATCGCGCCATTTGCATCTTCAGGAATTAGGTTTGTCAGCAAACTTGGAAGACCTCAACCTCACCCTGAACATTTCCAAAGTCCTCAACGCTCCCCCTGGTCTGGTATCTTAGATCAAATTCAAGTCGCAACAACATGGGGAACTCTCAGTCGACTCCTGCCGCTGCGCCGGGTGAGTGAAAGCCCCGTTCAAGGTTGAACCAAGGTCTTCGAGAACCCCGCTGACCAATTGTGATACGCTCCAGCTCCTGTCGCTGCTGCTCCGGCTGCCAACAGCCAGGCTGAGAACAAGCCTAAGGTGCGCTCTTAAGCCTAAGAGTTCTTGGGTCCAAGCTTGCTGATGACATCCCCGAAACAGCCCTGCTGCGTCTGCAAGGAGGAGAAGGCAAAGCGCGACGACTGCATGCTCTTCTCAACCGCCTCCGACCCCCAGAAGGACTGCCAGTCGACAATAGAGGCCTACCGGGCCTGCATGGCCGGGTATGGGTTCAAGGTCTGAGTAAGGGCTCTGAACCTGGGGTGAGGGAGTGTTCAACGACAATAGAGTGTACTATATTCGCCATGATACCGACGACATTTTGCTGTATATATAAGATATCCCGGACCGGCGGATAGACGGGGTTTTTGGAGAAGACAAAATGCGTTTGTTCTACTCACTTAACTTTAGCATCTCTACTTGCTCCTACTGATGATGCGGCATCTTGGCTCGGTGCTTTTTTTTTGGGGGGGGGGGAGAGGCATTGGGTTTTTGTTCCAGAGAGCACAAGGTCACCACATCCCATCCAGTCCTGCCAGACATCGTTTGTTTTCTCCATCTTCCAGTTTTATCAACTTGTTTTTGCACAACTCCATCAGTGCTTAGGATGCCGAAGTTTCTATAGATACAACGAACTGTTAACGCCTCTATGGGACAGCAAAAAGTGACACAGCAACCAATCCGACAGAGCACATAACAAGGGGTATCTTTGCTCTCCTCATTCCCCCCTTCAACCACGAACGCACCCTAATAGCAAATGAAGATAGCAAAGAGACAAGCATCCATCAAGCAAAATCGATCACACCGCAACTCTTGTCACATGCTCACCTCTCAACCCCTGATCAGCTCCTGCTCTTCCGTATCCGGATCCTTCTCCCCATTCAGCTCCGCAATTAGCCCCTTAATATCTTCTTTCCTGCCTTCATACAGCGTACTCAATTGGATACCGAGATTAAGCATCCTCCTACGCTGAGCAGCCACCTTGTTGGCAATTTGGGTGAGGATACTGTCACGGCGCTGGAGGGCTTCCCGCAGACGGTTGAGGTGGGAGAGGATGATTGCTGAGCTTACTACTTGTCAATTACTTGTCCAGATTATGGTTTGGGAAAGGTCATAGAGTGGAATCAAAAGCATACCGCAGGGCATGGTGCTTGGCTATAGAGCTGCGCAGACGAGCCTCGACTCTGGCGATGGCTGCGCTGTGGGCAGCCGACAGGGCCGCACGCTTTTGATTGCGGTTTTCTTGGGCCTGTGGAGAGTAACAATCATGTCAGCTATATATATGATCCATTTCACTGGTTGCACCAAAAAGCATACTTTTTTCAGACGAGCCCTAGCCGCACTAGCTTCTCTGAGACGGCCATTGTAAGCTTGGTACTCGATGTCTGAGTCAGAGTCCGCTGTTGTGGCTGCTCCTCGACCTCGTCTCTGTTTGGTGTTCGCTGTCGGAGCCATTATGTATTTCTCTGGTATTGTTCTGCTCTAAATTTTGTCTGTCTACTCTCTTTTCTGCTTAAACCTGTGAGAACCAATCTCACTTCACCCAACGCGGAAGGCAGGTGGGATGCACTTACACGATCAAATCGATGCCCCACCATGTGTCCTTGGCGCGCAATCCGACCCTTGCGCATGTGCCAAGACCATCCCAACTCCAGGGCGGTGAGACTTGGCAAAATCTTTTTGCACCTGCTCTCCGCCAAAATTTAATGTTCCACTCAGACCGTGAACATCGGGTGCTCCCTGCACGCTGTTGGAACACCCATCGCTCGGCACGTCTGGGCGACATCTGGCCACAATGGGTCTCGCTGCCGCTAAGAAGTGAGGACACAACCAATTACACGCTTGTAAAAACTTGACTGACCCCTCGCAGCAAGAAAAAGATCGGCCTTGACCCTAACAACACCAAGTGGTCGCGCAACACTGAGACCTTCGGCCAAAGGATCCTTAGAGCCCAGGGCTGGAAGCCCGGTGAGTACCTTGGCGCAAAAGATGCGCCTCACGCCGAGTTCCACACGGCCGCCAACGCGGCTCACATCAGGGTGGTTTTAAAGGAGGACAACCTCGGTCTCGGTGCGAAACGGAACAATGGCGACGAGTGCACCGGCCTGGACGCCTTCCAGGACCTACTAGGCCGATTGAATGGCAAGAGCCAGGAGACTCTGGAGTCTGAACGGAAGGCCCGTGAGGAAGTGAAGCTCAACCTCTATGTTATGAAGAAGTTAGGGCCGATGCGGTTCGTCAAGGGCGGGTGGTTAGTCGGTGACCAGGTTAAGGCTACTCTTGAGAACGAGAGCGCGCAGGAGAATTCTGAAGATTCGAAGGAGAAGAGCCCTTCATCCGAGTCAGCAGCCGATGCCTCCAGCATAGGGAAGACCGAGCAATCTAACGACGAAGAGGAGAAGGGCCAAAAGAAGGACAAGAAGTCCAAAAAGAGGAAGGCCGAGTCAGAGCCTGAAGAGGAGAGCGAAAGCTCCAGGGAGAAGAAGAAAAAGAAGAAGGGGAAGAGAGAACAGAAGGACAAGAAGAGGAGGTCAGATTCTGAAGGTGTCGAGTCGGAATCGAACGGAGTGGATGGCTCAGAGGATCGGAATGGAAGCAGTACGATTGCTTCCAGTGTGAGCAAAGATGCCGAAACTGGCAGCTCATCTGAGTCGAAGAAAGATAAGAAAAAGGAGAGAAAGAACAAAAAGAAGGACAAAAAAGAAAAGAAAGGGAAGAAGGACAAGTCTGTGTCTGACTCTGGTGCTGAATCAGGGGAAAGCATACCCAAAGAGAAGAAAAAGACGAAAGAGAAAAGCGCCGATGCAGTCAGCTCGTCAGCTCCTACACCGACCGAAAGCAGTGTACCTACGCCCAGCGGGAGCGGTTACTCTACTCCAGTACCAACCGGGCCAAGCCGCTACCTAGCGAGATCAAAGTTTATTGCTCAGAAGAAGATGGCTTTTACGGATAGCACAGCGCTTAATCAGGTAAGCTTTACACTGGAAGCCCAGATTTAGAGGCATACCAACTGACTTGCCACAGATTTTCATGATCAAGTCATAGTCAATGCATAATAAATATACCACGATTGTTTTCATCCACGTTTACAGGCTTATTGGATTCTGTTGCGACATATTGTTTCGTTATTGTGGATATGGAAGGTCTGGCACAAGTGCCAATGCTTAGACTGCTTGCTTCCACTCATAGACCGTGCTCAGCCTAGCCCATAACCTCGTAATATGACCGGGCTCTCGACAGTCACCTCCTCGGCATCAAGCTCGACTCAACTACTAAGCCATGAAGAAACTCACCTGTCTTCAAGCCAGGGCTGTCTAGATTTAACCTATGTCTGGACAGATTGGAAACCAAAGGAGACTTCAACTGGTCCCGAAACTTCTGCTGTACCACCTAAGTTCATTGAAGCGCGAACGTTCATGGATCTAAAAGCATGATCGAAGATATGGTCCGTTATATTCGCCCCACTGTTTGTGAAGTTTGTCTTTGTCTGGCCTAACAACTCAGCCAATCGGTGCCATTGCTCTTCAGGACTGCCTGGCTCAGTGTTTTTCATCCGGTTGTTTGAACAGCTCTCTGGCGGGAAAAGGGCAGTCACCTGGTCAGAGCTTTATCAATTTCTATTTTGACCTTTCCCCCTCTTTCGACAAACTTCAGCGAACTCGGTCCTCAAAAAATTCGCCTGAAACCAGTCAAGGGCACCTTTGCCTACCATAACTTGGGTGTCGACAAGTTGACTTCTCTTCTCAGTGGTTCACTAGACGAGATTTTTCGGCTGCAATATCACGGAACAGATCGCAATCGATAACCTGACCAATATCACAAGCGCGGTCAGCCACGCTGGCATATTTGCTGCGTGTGCGAGCAACGACCGACTCACATCCTTCATCCGGGAGGTTGGCTTTGCTCACCCTACGTACGTCTCGGGACAACTGAGACACGACTACATCACCTTTCACAGCTTCTAGACTACGAGCACACCAATTTCTCGGGCAGAAGAAATTGGTTGGCTTTGCCCTAGCGGTCGGGCTAGCTCGTCATGGGTTCCATTCAACCAGTTGCTCAGAAGCTGACATTCTCTTACGCCGATGCCCTCAAAAAAGGGCCGAGGACTGTGATAGCCCCAAAAAGCAAGCCACTTTCTGACCAGAGCGAGGATGACAAGTCCAATCTGACGACACCGCCGACTCCGGCTGCACCCCAAACTCCTACTGCACCAGTAGCTCAAATAGACTTGAACGATAACACTACAACAGCGGTCAATCATCAAGAGCCAGAGACTCCGGCAGCGTCGGAAGAATCAGCCCCGTCTCATGATACAGAGATATTGGATGGTGAGAAAGTAAAACCAGCTGAACAGAAAAGTCATGACGAGCCTAAGCTGGCGCTGCGGCAACCACTGGTATCCTATGCCGAGGCTGTCAAAGGATTGAGTTCGACTCCAAAGGTCAAATCAGCCCAAGACAAGAACAGTAGCAAATCAATTGGTGGGCCTTTAACACACCGAAAGAATGCTAACGCCATGAACTGGTTGACCACGCAAAGTCCCGTGAATGGAGAGTCAGTCAAAGCACAGAGTCCAAAACTTCAGCAAATTCCCATCCCAAACCTCATAGTCAAGAGAGCGGCCATGAGAAAGGCAGTTCAAGCAGCAAAGGTGGCATCTCAGCGAGCGGCAGCTCAAAAAGAAGTCACTCGGAAGACTGCTCAAAAGTTGCATTCACAAGTCCTTAATGGGCAACGTGCCTATCAGCAAGAGATCGCACAAGCTGAATTGGTGCGGCGATCGGAACTTCACCCTGCAGCTGCCCCATTCAAACCGATGGCGGCTCTCCAGCAGACCTGCTTCCAAAGCGACACCTACGTGCTCACTGCTGCAGACAACATGTGCAGTCAACGGCTGCTAACCAGCACAGTCGCTACCACAACCCATCTCACTCATGTGCTGATGGCACAGAAATGCATGCATTGCAAAGAGATTGGTCTGTATCCCGCTGCCACTATCATCCATCGTCCCAATGACGATGGCTGGGCATCTGCAAGCTTCTCCCCTGAGAAAGTTCAGACGGATCAGAGCTTCCACGACCGGATCGCAATCAACTCTCAGAAGTACGTGGATGGATCTCCAGATCAGAAACCAGCCCAATCTCGCATCTATGACAGGCGTTCGTCCCAATGGTACCCTCGTTACTATGGAAACGGCACACTTCACTTAGAAAATCATGCAGCACTCATCGAGCAGTCTGCCACCAATTATGCCAAAAACGGGAATATTGATGGGAATATTGATGCAGGTGACTGGGCAACTGGTCCTGAGCGCTCAAAAATCGAGCCAAAGCATGCAATTCAACGCGAGAAATCTGTCCTTAATGCTCCCAAAAGTCGACCGGCCCGTCACTGTCCAATCCAAATACAACCCAGGCTGGCTGATTGCGGTATCGTGAGCACCCACTCCTCAACATTTAAACGGGCTCGTTCTGCCTCTGTTAGCTCATTCTCCTTTTCACGAACTTCACAGAGGCCCTTCGAGCATTCCCCACGTTCTCAAATTCCTTACCGCCGACTGTCTTCATCCACCCTTTGCAACCGCTTCTGTCGACGGCTAGCAGAACACAAGATGGCTACCATTCGTGTTATCGCATCTCCACTCTTATCCGCACTTTTCCTCCCAAACCCTCGCCTACGTTGGCGAATGAAAATGAATTTGGCCATCCGTCTATTTGATCAGGGTATCAGCAGTCTTTCTTCCAGCAATCATGGCGCCGACGTTGTCATCATTTGTGGGGAACGGCAATGGACGGTCCACTCTGAGCTTTTGTTACGAGAGTCATTCTGGCTCCAAGCAGTGCTGAAGCTCGATGGTGTGAACTTTTGCTGGTCGAGAATCACTTTGCATCTCCCCGAGCATAATCCTGAGCTCGTGGGCATAGCCCTTGACTGGGTTTATTGCCCCGGTTATCTCCGGGATTCTCCGGAGGCGGGAAATTCAATGCTGTCAAAAATACAGTTTGATCGCTTCCCGGAAGGGGCCCCAATTTTCACTGCTATTCGCTACTACTTAGCAGGCAGATGTTTAAAAATTCATTCCTTAATGTATTCCGCTTGTGCCGCTCTCAACGAAGCAGCGAAAAAGCTGGGAGAGCACTTCTCACGCCTGCCATGGCTAGTTCTCCCATGCAAGCATGACAATCGTCATGTCTGGCTTTTCGAGGCAGACAAGTTCTACGAGCCCCTCAGGGAGGGGCTCCTCCTAATGTACAAGGAAGAGGGTGCAGACATGCTTCCTCTTCGAGCGGCGGTCGCAAACGTCATTGACGCTTGCTTGATGTACTTGGCGCTGAGCGACCAGTTTCAACTCGAGCTCCAAACGCCAGTATGGTCAAGCATCCTCCTTCCAAAATTGATTCAGGACAACCAACGCTTCGCTGAGATGGGGCTTCTTCCTCCACTTTTGAAGGACCCGATTAGCCAGGCGGAGTGGGAAGAACATCAGGGTGAGGCCACCCTGTTGTTGTGGTATGAGGCCTACGGTCCCTCGGGGTACGAGAGGATCAAAGATCTTCACGAGTTTCATACCGCCAGGACCACCCAAACTAAAAAGTATCTCGAATCCCGAGAGTACACAGACAGCTTATCAGGCTGGGACATTTATAATGTTAACCTTGCTCTTTCGCACATTGATGAGGTGGCCGATGGAGTGGTCATTGACGCAACGCAGACGTACTATGAGGCCAACGAGGCCGAAATGGAACGGGAGCATTACCACTATAAGGTTTGGGTTGGCCTGCCTCCCGAGGTTGAGCCTTCAGAATCCGACTACGTCGTCTCCCGGCTTGTTGTTCAAGCTGGCCAAGAGAATCCCTTGCCGGAGGGTTTATCAGCCAACTCCGAGAGCCCCAGTAAGCGTTCCGATGCCCCTGGCCACTGAATCCGAGGACTAAGTTGGCTTTTCCATTCCACTACAATTCTATTCTTCCTCCGACAAACACGTCACCATCAAGTCGATGGCTTTACCTCAACTTTGAGATCAGTGGGATGATCAACATCTTCACTGGGTCTCACTACACCAGCAGACACACATACACGTTCACTCACACTCATCACAGACTCACCCACTCAAACACACAACAGCCATATGTTTAAACACACTCACGCACTAAAACAAAGACATAAAGACTTTACAAAAATCGGTCTATCTGGAGTAATCTTCCTCGAGCCAGCGTTACTCTTCTGTTATCTCTACAGCGAAAATCGCAGCAAAGGCAGTTAATACAGCCAGCATCATTTTCATCAACACCAGTATAATGATATCCACGTGCCTTGTGACTGTTGACTGCCCCCTTCAGTGCCTTGTCTCTTCCCATATGATAATGACGATAGCAGCGGTTGCCTTGTTATTGTTATATGGATGTCGCCCATGACCTTCTGCATGCTGGCATATGGGGAGAGATATACTGTTTACTTCAGGGGTTGCGTTGCTGGGGTAACCAAGAGATTCTTCCTTCGACAGTTGCCACCACACACCTACTGTAGAGGGTCGTCTAGGATCATGACGTCATGGGCTTTCCTGATGTATTGCTGTCATTCCATTCAGAAAGCAAGGGATGCGTTTCTTCAATGCCTATTTTTTTTTTTGTCAAATAGTTATTTCCTACGTATGGCAAACAGTGAGAGAACAGAAGAGTGACAATATTCCCATCTGAATTTCCAGATCACTCACTATCGCAGTCTACGTCAACCAACATCAGACAAGGCATCCACACTTCCGTATCTAGCCTCCTCAAACTTAAACTTCAATGGCGCGTTAATCCTGTGAACCTGCCTCCCTGTTGGCATCCTCCCACACAGGCCGTTTACCTTGTGGCTGCTGAGTGGGGAGGAGCGATGGACCTGTTAGACCACACTATTTCTTGGCTTCGGCCAGCCTAGAGGAACCCCTCCCAGTTTCCTTCCATAACACCATGTCCTGTATCTCATCCACACCGTGCACTAGGCTTTCCAGCCATGCAGGGCCATCCATCCGTTTCCAATCAACAAGGTAACTCTATTATCCTAGTCCTTTCTGTGGTACCGTCTTCCCTTTCACATGGTAACATTTTCGGTTCCACAGCGCTACACTCTGCTGTAGCAGGTTCGAGGCAAGATGTTTGCTAGCCACTCGGGTCTTTTATGGAGTAGTTCGAGATCGAACGTAGAGCTAAGCCAAGGGCAAATTGCGGGGGTTCGTGTGACGTTGGCTGGTGTAGTTTACTGCGCATATGTGTTTCGTGCTAAGGAAAGACTCCGAAGTATCTTACGAGGAGTCTAGAGAATATTGTTGATGTTGGGGCTTCTCAACAAGAAGTAGTTAAAAGAAGCATGGAATTTCAATGTTTACCTGTGACCGCGACCAAGTTGCTGTCCAAGGCCTTGTGTCACCCTGGCTCAAAACTTGATTTCGGGACTTGGGTGAGTAGTAGGTGCTCCTCTGGCCAAGAGTTGATCAACGACCTTGGACCCATGGCTTGAGTAAACAGAATCAGGAGCCCTGACTCAATGACAATATTGGATCCTGTGGAGAGAGAGCCTTGTTATTCATGACCGTGCTCCCGGTGCGCCGACAACGCCGATCAGCACTACCATATGGTGTGTATGACAAGACATAAACCGTATATGCGAACATTCAGGTGATGTCTTTGATTTATTACTCTGCATGAGCCATCTTACAGCCTCATACCCAGCTGTTTTCCTACAGTTTTGAAGATATAGTGCCCATCAACATCCGGTGATAAAAGATAAGAGGATATCTCCGATAAGACTTCATTTCACGCTTAGATTCACTTTCAGTTATATCACAATTGACTGGCCTGCTGTCGCAATCTCAGCTGAGAACGGCTGCAAGCCCTTTATCTCATTCGGCCAGATTGACCAGTCACCGTCAAGCTCGGGACACCACCTCTCTCCGGCCTGGCGAGCCGTGGCTTGAAGGCTTGCGCTAACGCATGTTTGCCAAGGCTGTCTGGGAGATTGACTAGCACATGGAAATTGCGGCATGGAACATCCTTCTTGTAAAGGCGACGCGACTTCTCGGCTTTCGAAGCACTTAGTACATCCAAAGAGTAGGTATCTTACAGCTGCTCGACGGTTGCTCAGCTACGTAGCATATAATTATTATAACTACCTCTATTGAGAACATGGATAGAATAAAAGAGGCTCCAGAGCATGTCACGATGAATTTCTATGCATCAGTGCTGCCGTACTGAAGCTCTGCTCCAACCGACGGTACCGATGAGCAGTCGACGTGGCTCTGCAGCATGCGCATAGGTCTGAGACTACGATAACCGTTATTCCATCCAATGACAAACGGCAGCGGCGGATATCTGTTCTGTGGCAAAAGTGATGATGATGCATGCCATGGGACTACGCAACGCATCCGGTCAAGAGCAAGTCCACGGGTCAAGGTCAAGGTCAAGTGAGGGGCAACGCCAACAAGGCCATTGTGACCTCTTTTTTCCCCTCACGGATCTCCATTTGCACCGATCCCATTCTACAGATCCGTTAAATAGACTTTCTAATCCAAAAAAAATCAAATCCCAACCGATCCGTAGCCAAGATTGCCACCTGTCAGTTCACGTTCAACTGCGTCCCATCGGGTCCCTTCGACGTTGCCCGTCTGTCTGCAGCTTGCTGTTTTTGCTTCTCTCCATCTGCGTGCAGGGTGGGTCTCTACCCCGCATGGCCGGCCGGTTGGGAGCCCGCCAAGTGGAGCTCTGACGTCGGGCTCGGGACTTAGCTCTTTCTTATTGCGGCAAAGTACCAGATACCTGCGGGGTCACCTTTGTCTGCTGGCGCGTGCGGTATTGGGGACTATGTGGGGTCTGGAGAGGTACCCCTGGCCGGTGAAGGGTGGCTCACTGTGATTGGCTCAATGAACACTGGGGAGTCCACTTGTAAATACGCTAACCAATCAAATCACATGCTGCCAATGATCATCGCAGAGGCATCAATGGCTTCCTGGTTGTGATGGGCAAGAGCGATAGAGGCAAGCAGCTGGAGAATGTGCGTTTGTCATCAATGACTCCTGAATCGGAGGAGATGTGGCTCTCTCCCATCTTAATTTCCCTCTCGACTTTCTTTCTTGTTTCCTAAAGCCATTTTTCTCCTTTCTTCCAGTCAGCAATTCTCCTGACACTATCGCTGTGTCACCGCCCCCCCAGCAACCATCGAGTCAGTGACCGTGTCACACAGATACCCCGCCCGGTCCAGAACATCGCCGCTAGCAGCGGACGAAGACAAAGAAAGTGAAGGAGTCAAGGGGCTCCAGTACCTCTCTACGGCAAAATTAGGGCAGTCAGAGGTTGAAAGGGTTTTGATCCATCAATATCATTTCCAAATCCCATCGATCCAGCGCCCCATCGAACGAGACGGTGCCGATCAGGCTGAGCTGAGGATCTACGGGTCTCAAAACGGGCACAGTCCAAGAGAGTTCACAGTCCACCGACACCACACACTGCCCGTGACACAAAGACAAGTCCATCTGTTCCGCCGCCAACTCCCGCTGCCGCCATCGTTCGACCCCCATACATCTTCCCATTTAAGCGTTTCATCTCCGGGCTCGTCCCGCCCTCTGCCCAGCTTCGCTACCGCCCTGCTCGAACCATCTCCCGCTACAGAACATACGAGTCTGCGGCTCTTGTGCGCCACCCCCGATCCGCGCACCGCGTCCCGTCTTCTACCGGAGCCACATCTGCAGCCCTACGGGGGATATAAGTCTGTTGTCCTTTCAGTAGTCGTCTACTTCCCTTACGATGTTGTCAGACACCGGAAACCAGCCCTCCTCCAACCAGGCCGACGAGATGGCTCGCACCCAGCGCCGCGGCTCGATCACGTCGAGCGCCTTCTCCAGCTTCTTCCGGAACAACTCCGTCTCGCAGGTCCCTCCCGTGCCGTTCGCCACGCCCCTGGCGACTGCCGCCATGAGTGATCACCGCCGCCGGATGTCCGTCGCTGCCATCGGCCTCTCGGGTACCTCACCCACGACCCCGTCAGCCCTGCTTCGTCGCGCGAGTTTGTCGACCAACGACTCTTCTATTGATGAGAGTGCTGTCGACGACGACGAGCCCCGTCCCGCTGCGCCCCCTTTCCCTCGCCGCATGAGCTTCGGTGCTGCTACTGCCGCTCAAGCTATGCGTAGTGTCCGCGGTCCAACAAGCCCCGGTCTCAATGGTAGGCAACAGCCACAGTCCCCAGCGACACCAACGACCCCGACGACCCCAACTGCCGCGAGCATCATGATGCGGCGCGGCAGCCACACGTGGGAACAGATCATGTCGTCTGCCCAAGCCCTCCAAACACAAAGCCATCAAGCCCAGACACAGATCCAGTCCCAGGCAAGCACCGCCACTTTATCCAGAACCTCTTCTAACCTCTTCTCTTCTTCTCCTGCTCGATCAGACCAAGGCTTCAATTGGTCCGATCAGCTTAGGTCGCGTGCCGAGAGCACCGTGAGCGGCGCCGCGCGGGCGTCTTTCTCTTTCCCCTCTGCCTCCATGGCAGGCTCGCCGCCTCGTCCTCCTATGCCCGCCCCTCAGGCTGCCGTTGCTACTGCTGGTGTTGGTGTTAGCCCTCGTCATGATAGGGCCAAGTCCGTGTCAGATATGCCTGCGCCGCCGGCCCAGCCGCCCAAGCCCCGTCAGCCACAGAAGCCGGATCATTTCCAGGAGAGGATCTTGAAGGGAGATTTTTATATGGACTAACTAACATGACTGCGTGGATATCGTTTGGTTTGTTTTCCATGCATACTCTGCGCTGAGTTTGATATTTCTTGTTCGAGTACTGTCTTTCTTCTTTTTCTTTTCCACCCCTGGGAAGCAAAAGGATTTATCTCGACGCTTTCTCTCTTTGAGACATGGGTTTTGTTCGGCGTTTGATTTGTTTGAATCGCAACGGTTAGGCGTTTACTCTGAACGGGAGTTTGCCACTCCAGACTGGACTGGAATGGGTTGGAATGAATGGGTTGTTGGGGCTCTCATCACCATAAGCAGGCATCACCCCCACCAAAAATTTCTGAAAGCAATAGTTGGCGTTTACTTGATGGCAAGGTTCGGTCAAGGATCGGTCATCTGGGCGACATCACGTCAACAACATGAGTAAATGAGCATTTCATTGGGTTCGGGTTCATGGTTGGGATTACCTATCTCAGGATGGACATGAGGCGATAGGCATAAGGAAGGCAGAAATGAATCAAGGATGTGCTACTTCTCTATTACGTTGACTAACCACTTGTGAGCGAAGGGATATGAAACGTTTGTTTTAACGCAACCAAATCAGAGTGTTTTAAGTCTTTGCACAAAACAGTCTGGAGTCTTCTAGCTTTTGGGGTCGGCTTGGCTCAGCGTTGTTTGTCTGTCTTGAGCTTTGTGCTTCTTCTACTTACCTGAGTATCCAGACTGGACTGGCAATGGAGTTGGGCTCAGTTTTAGCTGTGTATTAGCATTATTGAGAATTGCCATTTCCATATTTGACACAATCACATAAAAGTACTTGGATACAAGTGAAATGATTCTCCTTGAACTTTTTCTCGGCTGTCATTTAACGCTTTGTCCTCTATGCATTGGAGTTGGACAGTCTACTACTTGACACAAAGACCCAAGACCAGGTTACTGCAACCATCACCTCACCGGACTGTGATGATGAAAAGACTTGACCTTGGCACCAAGTTCAAGAAATACATGGCTCGGCACACTTGGACTGATTACTGAGCTGACTCGATCCTCGATGATCATGCCTTGACTGACAGAGAGCACAGTTGAACTAGCTGTTTGGAGGACAGTCTGCTCTATTGTCCTCGCAGCGCACCTCGCCTTTCCTGCCTTTCCTTCCCTCCCCTCATTGGTGCCATGACCCCAAGTTGGGATGAAAGCTAGTTCTTTTTGCGCCATCCAAAAATTAGACGCTGCGGCTTCTCAACAACTCGGGAGACTATTTCCTCGACCAAGGGACAAGACGCTAGGTATACAGCGTGTTACTACCACACCACAAGCAGGCTCAAGTTTTGCAGTAGCCTGATGTCGATGAACAGGATCGCACAACAGGCTATATAGTCCCAACCCTGCTCAATACAATAAAGCATAGTTGAGTTAGCATCTGCGACTTACGGCTTCAAACTTGCATTGCGCTGGACGCCGGGTTTGATTTGGAGTTGAATTCCCGACCCAAACTAATCTATCATTTTGGTAGTGCCCGAGAGAGTAAAGCGGTAACTTATCTACAAAAGCATAAACTAAACTAAATGGTATACCTTAAAATGATCCTCCTCGATCTCAAAAAATCTAACGCCTACTAACACAGCGCCTCGACCGGCAAATAATTGAAACCTAGAACCCTTCAAGTCAGAGCAACAGTTTCCTAGTTAGTTCCAGCCACAAAAGTCTGCAATCCTGTTTTTCTTACTATTAGCATTCATCATGATCATACTCATTCCTTCATCCCTTCCTAATCATTATTCTCCCCTTACTCTCTTTTTTTTTCTGCCTCCATCCCCCTCTCAACTCAAAACCCATACCCCCCACTAGCCCCCTGCTCCGCATTTCCCCCCGACCCGGCCGTGCTCCCGGCAACCAACCCATCCATTGCTGTCTGATACCCCCCTGCCCCTGCCCCAAACCCAAAGCTCCCAATACCAGGAAACATCCCACTCGTATCGGCCCACCCACTCAGCGTGAGATCCATTGCCCGGGCGAAGCCGTCGCCCAGATTGGCATAGTCGTAGTCGAAGTCGGCGGCGGAGTTGATTGAGAGGAAGAAAGGTAACGGGTTTAGGGTGGGGAAGGATTGCGGTTGGGTTGCTGTTGATGGGGGGGCTGTGGAGGACCAGGTTGTTGTTGTGTTGAAGGGGTTACCAGGCGTTGGGGCTGAGCTGGCGGTGGTAGTGCCGAAGTTGGAACCTGCAGCTGCGGAAGGTTGGGTAGCTCCTTGAGCTGTGGCAGACCTTGAGTGGGATGGCATACCAGACTGAGAGGGATGTGGGTGTTGAGGGAGGGTTGTTGTGTTGAACGGAGGCGTGGTTGACGACGAAGGGAGGGGTTCGATTGAGGAGGTTGCCGGGGGGTTATTGCTCGAAGACGGGGCCGAGGAGTCGTAGACTGGATGCTGGCGCAGCCAAGGGTTGTGGGCGACAGGGGCAGAGGTTGAGCTCGACGACAGCAAGTCGGACGCAGACCGTGTGCTATTAGCTGCGGCTGTTGCTGCTGCTGCTGCTGCTGCTGCTGAGGCGGCTGAATTGTTCGTCGCGATCTCAGAGAGCAGCTGGAGAGGCGTGCTCGCAGCAGCGCTATAAGTCGGCTGCTGCGGTGGCAACGACGGCGGCAGAGCAGGTGTGCTGGAGCCCGTCCTCTCTCCGTTGCTCTGCTTTTGCGGATACGGTGTCGGAGGGGTACCCGCCGAAGAAGGGGGTGGTTGCGCCGCATGGCCGGACTGCTTGTGCTTATCGAACCAGCTCCGGATCAAGGACAGTACTACGAGAAACTTCGCAGCGGGCCGGCTACGCTCATCGGCTGCTGTGGCCCTGAACTTTTCGTGCAGCGCCTCCAAATGTTGCTCGACCTTCATATTGTCGCGGTTGATAACCTTGCCAAGCTCGCTGTTGGGCGAGGAGGCCGCGAAGTACATCTTGATGAGGACGACGACAGCATATGCGACCCGGACGAAGTTGAAGACGGGCAAACAGCGGATCGTGGCTACGTCGAGGGACAGGAAAACATCAAAAATGCCGTCGATGGCTGTCAAGCAGGCCGACAGGGCGTTGATATGCGCTACCGTCAACGGCGCATCTGACCCGAGGAAGACATCGCCCGTCGCGTTCATTTTGCAATCATCATACGGATCATGATGCGTCACGATCTCATGCATGTACAGACTCAACACATGATACGACATACGCAGCGAAGGCTGCTGCAGCTCCTTGGGCGTGGCACTCTGCAGCCGTTCCAGCTCACGTTCAAACCCGCGTAGCACATATTGCGTCCTAGCATCAGCGATGTTCGGGGTGGTGGTGAAGTCGTCCATAGAGAACTGCACGCCAACCTCCTCGGCCAGCTTGTGTGCCAGGATTAGCTGGCACAGCAGGCGATCGGTCGGCGCCGCATCGGGTGACGTCTCCAGCACGTCGATACATTCGGCCAGGAAGGGGGACCAGCGGATCAGGTTAGGTCGGTGCAAAGCCATGGCGGTGTTAGTCGCCAGGAAGTAGCATGTTACCCAGGCTCGACGGGCCTCGATGGTGGTCGGGTCTGGTAATGGGGACTTGCGCAGGGGATGGTCGCGCCAGCTGATGGCAAGGTTACTCTTGAGCGGATGACGGGCCTGTTTTCTGCGGCCCAGGCCAAGATCAATGGCCATGACGGCAGCGACATGGACGAGCTGGTAGAACTTGAGCTCTTCGAAACGCTCAGGAGGCCAGTACCAGATGACGGCGACCTGTAGGGCCTGGACGAGCTCCAAGCTCTTGTTACCCAGCACAATGATCTTCTCGGCGAGGGTGACCATAAGCTCCTTGGTCAGTGTACGCTGCAGGTTGGGCAGCTCGGAGGACGCGGCGGCCATGACGGACAGGAAGAGCGTTGGCTTCGTCGCGCGTAGCTCGGCAGCCGTCATGGTTGGAGGGAAGACTACGCCTGGCAGATGTTGGCACATACGTAGGTTGTAGCGGGCAAATAGCTCGGTTGCCAGTGTCATCGTGATAATGCCCCGGTCCACGATGTCCTGCTGTGGGTGGTTTAGTTCGCGTTCCCGAAGCCTCTCCCGGAGGGTGTCGTCCCGGTCAGGGGCAGAGCTAGGCGGCGCCATGCTCGGACAAGGCCCCCGGATGAACAGCCCTCCTTCTTCACAGTCCTTCCGCTCGTCAAATTTCCTCTTTGTACCCTGCTGCGTCGGTCCCGCCACAGCAGGCCTCGACTCTGTAGGAGGAGGCGCTGTACTGGTTGTCACGGCAGCAGGAGAACTACGCCCAATCTCACTCCCATTCACATACCTACCTCCTCCAACTCCACTAACACTACCTCCCAAACCTCTCTGTTCCTGCGCATCTCCAGCACCTCCTGGACCGCCATTCCCAACCCCCGACCCGAACAACCCTGCACTCCCCCCCTCAGGAACAGCATATCCAGCTCCCAGCCCGCCCCTCGAAGCATGCAAGCTGGCTGCCAACGCATCGATCTTCCTTTCCAGCTCTGCGACCCTGCTATCCGTCTTCTTCTGCCTCTTACGTGTGGGCTGGGTCACCACACACTGCCTTCTAGCCTTCACACACCGGCGACACGGCCCCTCCGGATCAGACGGGTCAGAGTCGCAGCGCACTTTGAGGCTGCGGCAGGACTCGCAGGCGCGGGGCTTTTTGTTGCTATTGGCGTGCGGGTTAGGGGGGTCGGAGGGATGCTGGGTGTCTTCGTTGGAGGAGAGGTTATTATCGGGAGCATGGGCGCCGGGGGTTGAAGAGCAGTCTTCGGGGATGCTTTGGCTGTGGCTGTTCGCCTGGGCGTCCGCGACGGCAGGGGATGGCTGGCTGCCGGAAGCAGTGGATGCGGGTGTGGATGTTTGGGGGGAGCGAACATGCGACTGCGATGGAGCTGCTTCGGGGCCTTGTTGGGGATGTGCGTACGCGTGGGCTTGGGATTGGGTTTGAGGCTGGGACGGCCATTGGGATGAGGATTTTGATGCTGCAGTCGTTATCGAACTCAAGCTACTGCCAGCCGAGCCCGGCGTCGCGCCGGCATTAGCATTAGCATTAGCATTAGTGTTGTTGGTACCGACATTCGCCGTGCTCGCTGCCGTTGCCGACCCAACCTGCGCCCGCGCAGCATCGACACTGCGGAGCACGGGGTCTAGTGCGCCGGCATCCATGAGGTAATACCCTTTCCCTTTCTTAGCTCAGCTCAGCTAGCACCTCCGTGCTCGGAAACTGGATCGTCGATGAGATCGCTTGACTATCAGTGTATCGTCTCGGTAGCTGCTGCGCCGACGAAGAGGACATGAACCATGAACGACGGCGATTCAGCAGCCGATGCGCCGATCGAGAGCCTTCCGCATTAGCGCAGACACAATCGGCGCCGTGCTCCCGAGACATCCGAGGGCTGGGCGTTGGCCAGCGACGTCGTGCGCGGTTGGTCGTACAGTTTTTCCGACTCAGAACCATGTTGAGCTAAGAAAATTTTGTATCCTTGCCGAGAACTCCCGGAAACGGCGTCCGCACGAACCACCTCGGCGGCTGGAAACTCCGACATGGCCCGTGCACATACCATCATAGAGCTTGTTAAGGTCTTGGCTGCGCCCTTGGCACAGCAATATTTCCCAAACAAGATCAGCTTGCAATCACATGAGAAGAGAGAAAAGTGAGATGCCCAAACAAGAATTGAAGAACATTTGCTTAAGAGAGGAGTTCGCAAGAAGAGAAAAGAGTTAACTACGAACTATTCGTGAATGGATCTCTTGCTTACATAAGCAATCTCTCCTCAAAGCCTCAAGGTTAGCCTCAGGGTTAGGGGTTGACTGCCTTTCACGATGAAAACCTGCCAACATCCGACATGATCATTACTAGAACAGTTAGATGGTTCTGTATTTTGCAGTAATATCAATGCTCTAATTGGCTTGTACATAGCACATACGACCATACCTGCTGGAAAACTCGGGATCCCGTCCGCTCTCCCATAGATAAGCCAGCAAGGGCGGGGTTAGTACTCAGGTCGGTGACGACTGGGGAATCCCCCGTGTTGTATGTTTTGCCCTTGTCATCTCTTTACTCTCTTTTTTTTGTGCTCTCTGCTGTCTTCTACATTGTATTCTAGGTTGCAGTTTTCTTATTTAACTGGGTACAGGGACAAAAGCTAGCACCTGAAAATGTTAAAGCTGATAGCAACCATAAACCGATGGTTTTGCATTTAAACATGCTCCCTGTCTTTAAAACTGCAGTCATTAAAGACAGTCAAAACCATTCGAGCCAATATAATAAGCATAAACATCGGTATTGATCACAATATCCATCATTATCTCACACTCCCTGTAAAGTGGAGGCAAAACCCCTCCTCAAACACTACCTTCCAACACCTCCTACATCCCAACTCCATCCACACTGCCCCCCGCCTCAAGCCTATTTACCAGCTTCTTTACCGTCCCCCAATCCTCATTCCTCAACCCCTCCTTGCCCCCCAGATCCGGCCCAACCTCAAACATACTCACCACTCCATCCAACCCCCCAGTAGCCAACCTCTTCCCCTCACTCGGCTCCCAAGCAACCTTATTCAGACTCTTCATCCCCAACAGAGCACCCCTATCCTTCCGAGGCGTCGGCACGACCCGAGCAACGGGCTCCTCCGTCTCGACGGTGATGTCCCATATCTCGAGCGTGCCTGCCCCGTCGACGAGGCCAAACACGCCGGGCTTGATGGGCGACCAGGCCGCGTCGTAGACGACGTCTTCGCGGACCAGGTCCAGCAGGGGCGTGACCTGGGAGTCTAGTGAGCCGGTCGTGCTGCCCGGCAGCGGGGCCGTGACGGCGGCTGCGGCGGCGGCTGCTGCCGCTGCTGCCGAGGGGGAGGTGACGGACCCCGAGGAGAGGACACCCGACGTCGCGGCGGGCGCGCGAACCTTCCAGAGCTTGACGCTCCAATCGAGGGAGGAGGATAACACCAGATCGCCGAGATCGACGGGTCCACGGGCGGGATGAAACGCAACGGACATGACGGGGCCAGCGTGGCCGCGATAACTGACGCGGGGATCGACGCCAGCTTTCGCGCCGGCCCGGTCGTACCGGTGGCAGGGGTAGATGGTGCCCTCTTCGGTGCCGACAAGGAAGAACGTTGGGTCGGCCTGGGGGAAGGCCATGCAAGTCGGGGAGAGGTCCTCGGATTTTGCGGGTAAGGGGGCGAGGAGGGTGAGGGATTCTTGGGGCTGGGCAAGCATGTCGACGCTCCAGCCGCAGACGGCGCCGTCGGTCGAGCAGGATATGATATTGTTCGCGTTTTGCGTGCCGACGATGTCGATGCAGTAGACGGGATGGGTGTGGCCGGAGCCGGTAAGCGGGGTTTTTTGCACCGGGGCGGACCGCGCGCGCGTGTCCCAGAGCAGGACCTGGCCGCTGTAGGCGCCGCCGATGATGAGGTTGGGATGGAAGGGGGAGAACTTGGCGGTGAGGATGTCGGATTGGGCGTGGAAGACGAACTCGGGCCGGTCGTGGAGATGAAGGTTCCAGACCTGGACGATACCGTCTGGGTCGTGGGGAGCCGTGGGGTTCTTAGTGTAGGAAGCCAGGAGCAGCTCGCTGAACTTGGGGGAGAAGTCGATTGAGCTTATCATTCGCTTCTTGGACCACCGCTCGTCGTAGAATTGCGCAATCTCTCTGACCTTCCTGCGACCCTTGCCGCCCACGTTGCCGCTCTGCTCATCCTCATCCTCAACGTCGTGTACTTGCAGCGTGTAATCAGTGAGAATGTCGTACTCCTGATCCAGGGCCTTCTCGATGACCTTGGTCGACCGGTCAATGAAGTCCATGAACTCGACCGACTTGGTCACTGCATCCAGCTCTTCGGCAGTGAGGGCCCGGACGGGGAAATTCTGGGCCCCTGACTGCTTAAGCACGCCATCGGCCACGAGCTCCTTCGTCGCCTTGAGCTCCTCCTCAATCTCTTTCCTGATCTTCTCGCGCAGCTCTTCCTCGCGATCGCGCTCCCTCCTGCTTAGCCGCTTGCTAGGCGACGCCGCGGCACCCAGGTCCTCATCGTCAGAGTCACCCACGCCACGCGACTTGCGGGGCGTCCACTCCTCGGTCGTCTGCACGCCCTTACTGTAGGAAATAATCTCCTTCACCGGCGATGGTGGGCACTCATAGACAGTCTGGAGCGGCACCGTCGATAGGGGCTGGGGCTGCGAAGGCAGTTGGCCGGTGGTTGTTGCTGTGATTTCGGAGGCATTGTCGGTGCTGAGCTCGCCAGTGCTAATGACGCTGTTCGGCCGACTGCCCCGTCTCGGCGAGTTGGCGCCGGCTGAACTCGAGAGGATGCTGTCGATCAGAGACTCGATCTCGCGGCGGCTGTTGGCTCGACTGGGTGTCGGAGAGACCAGCTAGATGGGAGAGCGCCCGTCAGCACACGCGATGTCATGTTATATAAGGGCGACAAAAAGTGCAGAGGAGGAGGAGAGGAACCAACCTCGCTGGGGGTTATGCTCCGGCCGGCAGCCTGCTGGGCCCTTAACTCCCGCTGGCGCTTGATCTCTGCGAGCCTCGCCTTCTTAGCGAGAAGTTCTTCTCGCCTTGCCTGCATCTTGCCGGTTTTCTAGGCCATCGCAGTTCTGAGAGAAAGAATGGCGGCGCAAATGTCAACGACTCCCGACTCGATGCCTGTCGCTCCGGCGCGGTGATTACAAGCGGGGTGCTACGGGATATTGGTATCGCCTTCGTAGCAGTCTGCGACTCGTGATCAACTGAGATTACTCCCAAAGCCAATGGTTATGCCCGTCGATCAAGCAAACGGATGTTGGCGCTGTGCTGAAGGTGTTGACGGCGACTCTGGATCGCGTCCGCCGCGACTGGCCACTGGCCTGGCCACCCGGGTGCGTGGACCCACTTCAGATCCAAAGGGGAGGGGAGGCAGGGGTTTTACTGCAGCAACCCCGGGGTGTTTCAATCACATGACCTTCTTGCCCAGGTCGATGTCATGTCTGAGGCCTTGGTGACAGGAAAACAAGTTGGAACTCACGGAATCAGGTTTTACGAACACCTTAATGGAATCCGGCATATCCTTTCGTCTCCTAGTTGCCATAGACACTGGCAGCTGGACCCCTCAAGCTTGGATGCTTTAAAAACCATAACCGTCGCCGCTGTAAGTCCAATATAGCTAATGGAAGACTGTCGAGTTGCTAAGGTTATTAGGAAAGAATTATGAAATGTTATTCGACCTGTTTGAGAATAGATATGAATCGTGACGGTCTTCCAGCTCAGAGATGAGCCTAAAATAAGACAGTTCCAGGCAGAATTCAGGATTGAGGATGAATATTCTCTAACATAAAGGCACGCTCAAATCATCTACCTCACAGAGCTGATCTTACATACCAAAATTTGCCTAAAATTATCATGACTTGATACGGGTCGAATGCTGCTATGATGGGTAGGAGAGCTCTAGGCTAGATGCTTCAAAAGAGTTGTGCACAGCTTCCATATTGAATTTTATATCTTGGCCAGAGGCTCGAGAATCATGTATATATGCAATCTCTTTAGAACCTGTCGGTCTATTCCAAAGTCAAACTTTCAAAAAGTAAGCATGGGCTACAAGCAGAAGAGAGTCCCTAGAAGGAGGGGCAAGTCACTTACACCAGGGTTAGGGTTACCCCACAGCTCTCTCTGTCTCCCCTCCAGTGGACCCTGGCTTCGTCAGGCCGCGGGCAGGGGAGTGGGCCCTAGCCAGGAAAGCAAAAAACCGCGACATTTCCCGAGCTTCAAAACTCGACCTGCTCTCTTTGCCCATCCGCCGACCGAACCGGACCACAGCCCTTTGCGACCGCATCCTCCGATCGACGAGCGAAACGAAACGATCGAGCCCCCGGGCCCCGTCAATCTTAAATTCCAACTCGTCAATTGCTCGTTCATCGGCGACCAAAGAGCTCCCCACGAGACCCGACATCCCAACCCCTTGTTTCGATCCGAACAAATAAGTCGCAATGGCGTCCAAGTCGACTGGTGTCAACGTGAGTTACCCCTCTGCGGCCCGGGAAATCAACACTATCAGGCGTTGTTAGCAGCGGCGAGGGGTCTTCGGTCAACGTCGTCGTCCGCTGCGAAACCCCCCCCCCCTCCCTCCTACGACTTCCAGGACAGGACAGCTTGGACCCCTCCTAGCTACGACCTTGGGCTTCGGACAAGGGGAGGGGAAGGAGGAGGGGCATCGCAGCTGGCAGCAAAGCCGCGATCGTGGGACACGTTGTCTACTACAACCCCGCACACACACAATGCACACATAATTCTACCGTCCTCCTCGTGCTCACAGCCATTGTTGTTGTTTCCGGCGCACAATCCGGCTAACATATCGCGTTCCACAGGTCCTCCGGTGGTCCGCCCTGGGCCTGGGCGTCTTCTACGGCATCTACCACCAGCGCAGCATCACCGCGGCGCAGAGAGCTGCCGCCGAGGCTGCTGAGTACAAGCACAAGGAGGAGTTAATAGCGAAGGCCAAGGCCGCCTATGCTAAGCAGAAGGCCGCCCAGCAGCAGCAGCAGCAGGGCACTGCGCCGGTCAAGTCTAGCGGCCGTACGTTCCCTTATGTCCAGATAATGCTATAAAGCCAGGATTGAATGCTGACTACTCTCCACAGTTGACCAAGACCCAATGTCGCCCGACTTCGACCTCGAGGCCTACTTCGAGGCGCTGATGCAGCTCAAGGAATAAACAAAATTCAATAAACTAGCTCTTTTCCGTTTCGGCGTCGTGTTCCCTCGCACTACAACCCAACACAGTGACTAGCCCACAACACACAAAACACGGATTCGAGCAAGATTTCCACCGTCCTTCGAAGCCCGACAGTTCGGGCCCCGTCTTGCTGTTACTTTTTTCTCCTTTGTTATTATTTATTTTTCCCTTGTTTTTTATGTCTTTGATTGATTGAAGTGCAATGACCAAACATGGGACGTGGGAAAAGACAATCTTTCGCGCTATGACATCCTCCTTTATCCGTCTGTCTGTGCTTGAGGAAGAGAGACCCCAAAATTCGACGATACTATGGGAAAAGGCGGGATGGACATCAGCTCAGGCATATCGGATGACCTGATTGGTTGGTGTGGAGCATTGGGGGGAGATCAGGAATGGGCGTGCGGGATGAGTTCTTGAGAAGACCTATGAGCCAGTCTGGTGGTGAGGGGGTTAGGGAAGGGAGAGCGGGGAGGGAGGAGAAGGAGAGAAAGTGCCTACGTGTCTGCCGGTCGGTTCTTGTCATCAGGCATCTGCATTGGCAAGGGGGGAAAGGTTGCGGTCGTACAAGCTGGGCGGAGGAGCTCTTGGCCCTGGCCCTAAGCTGACTGACCGTTCCTGAACTCGAGAATAAACGGCAGACATGGATTGTATTACTGTACTGTCTCTTGTTTTGATGTCGCGGAAGAAGTCAACGGATGAGTGTCTCTCTTGGTCCTATCCCTTTTCCCTTGTTATCCCTCTCTACCCCTTCTGACCAGCGCTGGCTCGTGTATTGTACTAGTAGCATACCGGGACTGAGATATATATAGACGGCTGATTGGCGGGATGAAATGCTTCGTCCCCGTGTTTTCGCGGTTGGTGTCTTGGTGGTTACACAACCAGGCGGCCCGTAACGGGCTGATAGTGATCTAAGTGGCTCGAGTTGTAGGTCCAATGTTGTTGAGGACGAGATCCGTTGGGCATGTGGTTTTGGTCCTCGAAGAATTATTCAAACAGTTTCTTGGTGATTGGGTTGGTCTAATTGGGTTTCTATACTCTTCCAAGTTCACTCTTGCTCAACTACTTCAGCGTATGCAAGGGATATGGAACAGGCTCCAGCCAGTAATCAAGGCTATCAAATTCAGAAGACATTACGTATATTTCCCAAGCCGAGGTAGTTCTACGACCGAGCTTTGCAGATACGAATTAAACAGAGCGGACTTTACTTCTCTTGAAAGTTACACACCATGGCGCAAGACATACGCATAACTGATACATGAGACTACCTTGAGATGTCTCCCAAGGAGCAAGTTTTTGTATTGTCCTCGTCTAAATCGGTTCGCTTCTTTACGGTATCAACTTGCAAACAAAGCTTCTTGTCATCCAACCACTGCTTGTACCTCTTTTCTTACAATCAACTCGCAAAGGATTTTTTTTTTCACTTCTCTTCAATTACCCATGTTGGTGATAGTTGCAACTAAACACGTAGGCACCTAAAGTGCTCTGCTACACCCTTCAACTGCACACACTAGACGTACAACACCCAACAGACAACTCAACTCGAGAAAAAGCAATTAGCCACCCAAAAGCAAAACTACACTCCGCAATGGAACCACCAGCACCGTGGTGTCCCCATAAGTAAACAACATTCATCCTTCTTCTTCAACTCCTTCTACCCACAGAATTGGTCCTATACTCCATGCGGTTTGTAGCTGGCAACACAACACAACAGGGACGACAACAACAATAACAACAACAACAACAACAACAACAAACAACAAACCATTTGCCTCCGTTACTCTCTTGAATGCCTACGTGATTGGGCTTGATTGATCAGCAACTACCTTAGAACTCATGGTCTTGCCCGTTGGTTGGCTGGTTAAATCGAGTACCTCTGTAATTGCTGCCTTGAGTTAAGCGAGTCTTAGCGGTTGTGTTGGCTCGACTTTTTTTTTTTTGGCTTCGAAGGATCGCCGTTTCCTTGCGTCCATGGATGACCAAGACATTGAAGGAGTAGGCTTGAACCCCGGTACGGCGGCGGTACAAAAGGAGAAAGTATCCGTAAGCCGATGTCAGGAAAAACGAGCAAGTCAACACGCGGAACTGGGTTTGGTTTGTTTTTGTTTGTTCTCTTTCTCTGACTAGCTAGGTAGTAATCCCATTTTTTGTCCCAGGGTCAAGTGTCAAGGGAGCCTCTTGAATCTCTTTTGTCTTTCCCACGTTCGGGTTGTCTAGTAGGTACCCGGTAGTTCCGTGGTCACACCTAGGCAATATAGGCATGCATCGATGTTCCTGGTCCGCATCAACTCCAAACTATTGACGTAGGAAAAGACAAAAGAGAGATCGAGACTCGAAGAAGAAGCAAATGCCCAGTTTCCGCTCCTACTCCACCCTCCCTTCACGTTCCCCATGCCTGCCCCCTATGAAAATTGACCGCTCTCGTTCGATGAGGATAGTTATTTTTTCTCAGCTTTCCTGTTCTGCTCTTGTAGCGCTAGGTAGGTAGGTAGTGGTGGTGAGGGAGACGAAGGTACTGCAAAGAACAGGAATGACATCGCGTCCAATGCAATGTGAGCTAGGTAATAGGCAAGGGCAATTAAAAATCGACGATGGTGCTAAAAAGGACCCCTCTTGTGTTTGTGGGTGCATTTGTGTCTGCGTGCGTGTGTATGTTTAAGTGTTGTGTATCGAGCAAAGTATGAGTAGAGAGCAGGGTGTTGCAGTTAGTGTGTGTAGTAAAGTAAAAAGACAATTCCGATGATGCTTGCTTGCTTGCTTTGCGTGATCAAAACACAAAAAAAAAAAAACAAAGCCCAGATATCAACTCGAAACGCCAGCCGGCCCCCCCCCCCCTTTCCTCCCACGGAAACCAACCCGTAACCTAAAAGCAAAACTAGCAACAACAGCAATCCCTAAACCCCATCTATCATTTCCTTCCCCCCTCCCACCCCTCTCCTCCTCCCTTGAATTAAACCCATCAATGACGACGCCCCTGCTCCCACTGAGGCGGCGCCGCCGTCGTGGTAAATCTCACGGCAGTCCACTGCACGGGCGGCCTGCTGCTCCCACCATTGCCACTCCTACTCCTGTCGGCCGTCTCGAGCGCGCTGCGGATCATGCCGTGCAGCGTGGGTGGGATCTCGTCCCAGCGGCCGGCGCGAGCGGCTGCCATCACTCGCGAAGGGAAAATGTCGTCGATCGTCAGCGTTGTGGTGTGCGGCGTCGTGCCGGTGTAGCGTGCGATCTGGTCGGTGACGTGCGAAAGTTCGCCGTTTTCGATGGCATTCTTGAGCCAGGTCTCCCAGGCCTCGTCGAGCGGGATGGACGGATCGATGAGCAGGTGGTGTAGGGTTGCTGTCGTCGTGGTCGTCGTCGGGGCGTGTTGGGACTGCTGCGGCTGGGACCGAAGGAGGGCTTGCTGAGCTTGCTGCTGCTGAAGGCGTATCTGTTCTTGAATCAGACGCATGGAGGAAGCAGCAGCCTCGTTCTCGTCCTCGTCGCTCTGCGACTCCTCGTCCTCGTCTTCCTCGTTCTCATCGGGATTTTCTTCCGTAGCGGCCTCGTCGTGCTGATGGCGGTGGTGCTCACGAGCCGCCTGGCGCTGGGCCCGACGCCGGGCAATGGACTGCGCGGAGTAGGGATCGTCCGGGTTGACGTAGTTGGGGAAACCGTCTGCGGTGGTATCGCGGATGATGACGTTGTGATCGGCCTCGTAGCGCTCTTTCGCCCATTTGGTGCCCTCCCAGTGGGCGAGGCCTTGGATCTCGGCAGGCGTTAGGCGCAGAGCGTCGAAGGCGCGGAACAGCCGGCGATGCCAGGGCCAGCGGCTCAGGCGGATGCGGTGCACGGGATGAGTGTAGTCGAGGCCGGGGTACTTGGCCTCGAGGCTGTCGATGTGGCCATAGAAGGAGTGCGTCTCGTTGCGCACCTCTTGGATCAGGCAGCGCTGCAGGAAGGAGTTCCAGTTCTGCGGATCCGACTGTCGTGGTCGGGGGAACAAGTACTCGTAGACTAGCTCCTCAACGGGGCGGCCCTTCATGTTGGCGGTGGTGTTGGTGTTGGTGTAGAGTCAGTCGGCTATCGGATCGGCTGGGTCGAGGCTAAAATGTCACGATGCCGATGATGCCGCCGATATGGAGATGCAAAAGTAGACTGGATTAGGTAGGTAGAGATGCGCAGATGCGTAGTGTGTATGTGTCTGTGTGTGTGTGTGTCTACGTGTTTGTTTTCTTTGTTTCGCAGGGCCTGAGGGCAGTGAGGCTGTGCAGCTATTGCGTGCGTCGTGGGAAGAACCGGAAGCCAGAAAGAAAGTGTGGGCTGTGTGCTGCAGAGTTTAAAGTATCGGATATATATCGAATGAGCAGGGATCGCCGATGATGGCAGCAACCAGCAGTGCTTGGTGTGTGCTTGTGGATGGAAATGCGGAATGGTTTCAAGTGTGCAACCAAGAGCCCGAGAGTGGAGGGGACGGGAAGGCTTAAAAAGGGCGGGACAGGGAACTTGGTCATGGAAGCATGCGGCATGCCGCCGGCCCGGGGGGGGGGGAGGGAGGGAGTGCAGGTGAGTGAGAAGAGTGGATAGAGAAGAGTCAAGAGTGGAAAGGTGGAAGGGGCTGGAACTGGGAACTGTGCCCGTGGAAAAGAAAGCGCCCGACGCCAAAGCCAGGATATGGGGGACGGAAGATGGGGACGCAAGTCTTGCCTGTCCTCTCATGCCAGGTGCCCACAGCCCGCAGTCCGCCCCCGAAGACACAACACGCAGCAAACACAGCCGCCATCCATTCCACAACTTACTGTTCCAAGCTTTCCTGTTTGCTGTCATCAGCCCCAAACGTTGCCTCCGGGGCCTGGGGCTTGGGGCCTGCGGTCTGGGATCTGGGACCTGACTTTTGGCCCTCGGACCTTGGATGAACGCAACGAACAGAAGGGACGGTTCACCGTTCATCAAGCATCCACATTTCATCATCAGGTTTGTACCTGGCATCAGGCACATGCACACACGTTGACTGCTCGCTATGGGGTCCATAGGCCACGCAGGAACAAGTCATCTCGATATCCACTCATTTACATTACCCTATTCATTACTGACCTACCAGTTAGTGATGATGATGATGATGATGATGATGCATTATGCCCAGTCCCCTTGGGGCAGCAAACCGTAAGTACGGTACCGTTCTGTAAGCTGAAGCGTCGAAATGGGCACTCAGGCCGAGTTCGGTTGTTTTCTTTTTCTTTCTCTTTTTTTTTTTTTTTTTCCTCAAAAGATGGCGTGAATGACGAGCAAAAGCCGGCATGCCCGTGGTTCATGGCATCGCATTGATATCACCGCTGTGGCTCGCTGCCTGTGGCTTGGATGCTGCAAACCCCAACCGAGCTGCATTGCGTTGTGCAGCAACAACGTTCATTGACAGCCCGAACACCCTGAGCCTTGGATGGTGACACGGTGAACTTTGATGGACGAACAGTGCGTTCACTCACTTAGCTCACAGCGTCCTTGTCCTCACTCATCGTCCCCGTCGCTCACCCACTCATTCAGTGCCCACTGGCACTGCATGCCAGATGAAAAATGATGCCAGAAACCTGCAAGGTGCAAACCATCATCCATTCAAGTCATTCAGGTCCAATTATCGACAGAACCGACGAGAGTAAGCGCAAGCGCAGAGCATGCCACGAGTCCGCTGCTCTGGTTAACTGGTCAAGTGAGTGCATGAGGGAACAGGTGAGTGGGCATAGTGGGCAAGGAAGCACCAAAAGTGGGCACTGCCAGTGGGATGGTGCATCTCCCATGCATTTTGATCGATTCACCCCTGCTCTGCGTTGGTTCTGGTGATTTTACCGGGGCTGAAGAGACAAAAACGATTGGATTGCAATGGAAGCATTGTTCTCTCTGTTGTTTGCAAGGCGACCTGGGCTGAGTTCAAGTTGGGTTGGCCTGGCTATGGAATGGGCCACGGCGAGCGGCGAACAACGGCGTCAGAGACGAACTGACCTGAGCTGTCTGACGAACTGTTGTGCTTGGATGGAATGAGTGGATGAGTGTGCATGAGCGGATGTGGCCTGTGAACCTCAAACTCCGGGTGGCAGTGTCCGCTCTTGGGCCAGGCAGCCCAGCAAGAGTGGACTCGATGCTGCTGAATGGTGATTAACCCCTGTACACAGAAGGTCGGGTTCATGGTGTGGGGTTCGGCTCATTCAATTGCAGCCCCACTTTCAAAAATGGATCTCGAACTTTGTTAGAAAGCCAAACGAGCTTCGAGATCGTGGGCGCTTCTTTTTTGTCGCTGCTGTGCGCAACACAAGTGGCTTGTTTTGTTGCCAACCGATCGATCCAAGATATCCTCAATCTAACAATCCGCTTTGTGGATGCCACGCCGTCCGACATCCCGTCCATCGAGATGGAGATCTGGCGTCATAACCCACACCGGGCTCCATCCGCGCCCGTGCACCTACCTACTGGGCGTCGGTCAGGCCCGGTTGGGCTGAGCCAGCTGTCAATGGGAACGTTAAGCCTTGTCCCTTGGGTCTGATTAGAACAAAAGAAGTTCCATGCCCCCTCAAATCCACGTTGTAGATGAATAAAAGACTCAAACCGGCAGGCAGGCAACGCTGTATTCACTACATCATGATCTGCACCGTTGATCCTCACTCACTACCACACCGAACCTCCCAAAACCCCCATCATTTCTAATCCATGATTTTGTAGAGTGCCTTCGTATTTGTCCATCCAACCTGATATATTTCCGAACCTCGGCTCTACTGCCCAAACTCACCTTTAAGCCTCGCGACAAACGATCAAACCATCCGAAAGATCCATCCGATGCCCTACCAGCCCAGCTCAGTGGGACCCTCCCCCCCCCCACGAACAGCCAACCCTTGGAGAACTAGCATCCTGACGTTTCGCTCAGCATAACGTTGCCAAGCAGGGAAATGACTGGCAACCCCGCTCAACCTTCCCCACGTCGTCATGCCTCGCGGCCTCACCCCTCGGGTCCCCCTCGCTCATGGCCGGCTTCAATGATCCAAACCCCTCCGATGTTCCCGATGCGTCCGATCGCTTGCTCCGTTCGCCCATCACAACAGCGAGGGGGATAAGAACCGGCCTCAATGTCCTCATCACCGTTCGGTCATCAACCAGATCAGCAGGTGGCCGCTCGATATGGCTACCACAAACAGGGTGGTGAGTATCATTCATCCAATCAATTGGGTCGAATGGGATATTTCCGTTTTGTGAGCATGGGCGAGGTTGGCCTTGTCAAAGGCGACCACCTCGTTCGTCCCTCAACAAAGATCTTTGCATCATGCAACGGGCTCCAGGTTCGGTATTTTTTTTTATTATATTGTTGGCCTACCTTTGGGCTCGAGGCGGTTAAATCTGGGTGGGTGGGTACCTTCTCCCCTAGATCGAGGCCAACGAATGTGCTTTTTTCTTTTTTTTTTTCTTTGCACGTTGGCGTTGGTGAGTACGTAGCGTAAGTTCAGCTACGGTGAACGCTGTGCCCCCGTTTAGTTCGCGCCTTCGGCTCCGGAAGCAGACCTCAGACCTCCGCTGCCACCGAACTGTCGACCTCATAGCGGTGAGACCCGAAGGTCACTCCGGTCTGCAGCCTGCAAGCCCGAGAACGGCCTACCGACCGGGAACTTAACCCCATACCCGAGGACTATTTAGGATCAAAATGACTTGGTTGGATTCCATACGCTGTATCTTCCCGGATCACATGGTCTACTGTTGGGTCAGTCAGGGCTCAGGATAGTCGCATAAGGCATTCTGTACTACTCGGGCACTTTGGATTTGGAACGACGAGGGATAAAAAGCCAGTAAAGTGAAGAGGCCAGTTGACTAGACCGAGGTGGTCTCAACGGACGGCCGGAGACTGTCCTTTATCGAATCAGGGGGAGCATTGGCGTGGCGAAAGAAATTCCCCCCTTCCTTCCTGCCCAAACTTCCTTCGTTTACTGCCTGATACAATCAATCCATGTTTACTTTTTGCAACTACAGCCACAGCTGTAGCTAGCTTTGGAGCTGGTAGTAGATTGGATATGGTGAGATGAGGCATAGCTGGAGCATAAGTGCACTGCAGAGTGCTGACGCCCTCTTCAAAAACGTAAAACGGTGATGCATCGCCAGAGCTATTGTAGGCCTAGTAGGAAGGGTTATCCTCTCGAGGACCTAGACTCTAGCCGTGTACTGCACTCCATCGCCATTAGCCACACGACACGGTAAGAAACTCAGCCACCGAGATTTTGCTCCGTAGTTTAACTGAGCAAGGCCAGCAGGTTAGCGAGCCAATTATTGCGCCTTCGCTGTCTCGGTGTTAGGTTGCTGGTCTGTGTTCGGCTGAGCTGAACGAAAACTTGCTACTTGAGGACGCAGTCCCGGTCTTACGTCTAAAATGAGAAAAAAATAGGAACCAACGAGTGGTGCTGTAGCCTGAGCGGTTGAAGCTATTTCGAAGAGAAACTTGAACTCAAACTCCATTGTAGTAATCAACATAGTGATACATAGTTACCCTCGCGGGCGTTATATTCAGCGACTCCAGAAACGCCAAAATACACTGCCCAGCCACATTCGTAGAAAAGCCCTCCATAATGTAGAAATTGTCATAAGCCATAACTCCGTATCCGACTCATTCCTACCAGATAGCCCAGCCCGTTCCTATCCAAAATCTTCCGGTGCTGATCCCACTCCTATCCCAACCTAATCCATTTTATCCTTAAGCCCTCCAAAACGCCAGCGACTTCCCCCCCCCCACCTACCAAAAACCCAACCCCTACCCCTAACGACCGCCACACGCCGCCGCCCCATCCCTAATCCCTCCCGCTCCACTGTATATCAGGGTACTTCCTGCCCCCAACACCAGCCATCACTCCGACAACTGGACTAGGCATGCGCTCTCTCATTCCGCCGGGGCTATGGCTTGGTTTGGGACTTGGGCCGGGAGCGTCGCGATCCCGAAGGGTACGGTCATCGCCTGCTCCTCCTCGTCGGCGGCGGTCGCTTGACCCACTACCACTGCTCATGCCACCGCCTGCGTCGCGATCTTCGCGGATAAGTCTCTCTCGGTCGCGGTCACGGTCCCAGTCCCGCTCACGATCCCTTTCCCGTTCCCTTACCCGCTCCCTCTCACGATCTCTGTCCCGATCCCATTCCCTCCTCCTCTCCGCATCTGCATGGCTTCCCGCCCTCCGATTTGAGCTCCTCCCAGTGCTGGTACTTTCCGAAGGCCAACCGCGCGGGGAGAGATGCTGTGTGTCATCATCTGACGACGGGCGAGCCGCTGCCCGTCGGCGTGATTCATGGTCACGGTCCCCGTGTAAGGCTGAGCTGGCAGCTGTGGCGGCCGGGCTGGGGGTTACGGGGCTGGGGGTAGCTGAGGGGGATGTGGGTGTGGGTGTGGGTGTGGATTCTATCTCGGTCTCGATCCCGTCCACAATCTCGCTCACGTAGGGCGTCCCTATCGCGGTCACGGTCACGATCTTTGCTGTGTCTATGCCGGTCACGGTCACGATCACGCCTCCGCCCCCGGTCATGTTCATGCTCGCTGTCCGAAGAGTAGTCACTAATCGTTGGAGAGCGGGTACGGGAGGGATTGTGGTCGCGATCTCGGTCTCGATGGTTCACCCTGGTGCGGCCCCTGCTTCTTTCATGCTCGAGGCCCCTCTCCCGTTCACGGGTAGATCGTTCTCTTTCTCTTTCCCGCTCTTTGCCCCTCTCAGATCGATCCTTCTCCCGATCTCGACGGTCTGACCGACTACGATCTACTTCCCTTGACCGGCCTCTTTCACGAGACCGAGCGCGCTTGCTACTGTCGCCGCCGTGAACGGCTTTGTCGGAATCAGAGTCCGAGTAATCGCTATCGATATCAGACCATGACTTGCTCAACTTCGAGTTGGGCAAGATATCTTCCTTCGACATCTTTGCTGAGCCAGGAGCGCTGCTGCTGATATGGTCGCGCTTTCCTCGCGAACCGTTGCTTGAGCTTCGGGGCCGGTCAACTATATCACCGAGGGCCGGGCTGATGATGCTCACGAATGCTTCCCTGAGCTGGTTGATGTGGCTGCTCGTAATAGAAGGGATAAACGTACTGCGTCGCTTGCTATCGTCGTCTCGGGATGACCGGGCCGGTTCCGACCGCGCGGAGTAAACATGAGAGCCAGTAGGGGGACTCGGCGGCACAGCAGTTCGGATAATTCGAGGTGACTCTTCGGACGTACCGCTGACATAGCGGCGAATAGGGATAGCTGGGGGCGAGCGCCGCGAGGAGCTTTTGGGCGTCTTCGGGCTGATCGATGAAGAGTCGGAATCGGAGTCGGAATTGCTGCTGTAGTGCCGAGGATGGCTGTGCCGTCGACGTTGGGAGCTCGGCTGGGGGGCAAGATGTGCGGGTCTAGCACGCCGTGCCCCGTCAGGGGAAGTCGGATAATCCGAGAAGCTGCGCCGGTGCAGGGTAGGGTCATCGGATGCCTGCCGGCGGATAAACCTCTCTTTTTCCCGCGCTCGCTCGCGTTCCGGGGATCGCATGGAAGTATGGCGAGGAGGCGAGATGTGAACATAGGCAAAATTGGCAGGATTAGATCTGAAGAAATCGCGCGGTGATGTCGGAGTCACACGGATATGAGACCAGTGGCTTTTGAAGTCCGCAAAGTCAGGCCTAGCTTCCCACCTAGGGGTCTCAGTTCGTGCCTCTTCGCTGGCCTTGAGAGATCTTTCTTGACACTCCTGATGCCAGCGCTCGGTATCCGGGTCCGTTTCTGAAGGAAAGGCCTCCTTCGGAAGGTCGGCAGGGAACAGTAACCCCGTATCCGGATGCTTCAAGCCCCAGTTCGCTACGGCATACTGGAGGACCGGCACCTGCGTCTGAGGCTCCAGCAGGATCTGAATTGTCTGCCACTGAACAAAACCCTTCGCAGTCAGCGCCGGGATAGACGGCGGAGCAAACACATTATCGTTCGGCAGTAGTGCATGTTGGCAGCCCAGTGCCTGGTAAATTCCAGCAATGGCGCCGTGTGGCAGTTCGAGGAAGAATCCTGGTTGAGAGATATCAGAACCCGTTCAATATATCAAAATAAGGAAAAGCCTACTATCCCAGCCGTCGTATCGAGCGGCTCTGTAAAACGCAGCAAGTTTGATTGGAGTCAAGTACGCCTCAGTTTTGTCATCAAATTCTGTTGCCTATTCGCGTAAAACAATGTCAGAACTATCATAGACTTGCAGCCTTGCTTGAGGTTCATACGCACAATGTACGAGGCTATCGCTCGAAGGAGAGCATCAAGCACGGGCGTTGGGCGTGGAATTGGCTTCGACTTCACGAATAGATAACCATAGAAGGCCTTTCCGCCGTTACCCTCGCTTGCCGAAGCCGCCATGATCGGGCAGTATCTTTGAAGCAAGTAAAGATGCCCGACAAAGTCAGGAGCATAGCCTCAGAGCTGATGCCGGAAGAAAGTCGTAGATAGATAAAGATATTGTTGCGATAACGCTGGCAGTGATGAGGGGTTCTTGGTTCGCAAAAGACTGACTGGCGCAGCCAGTAATGTCAAGCTGCTGTTAGCCCTGCGGAATATAAAAAAAGCCTCCGCCGCCTGCCGATTGCAGGTGTCCGGGTGGCACGCCCGATTTGCAACCTAACTCCAGGCTGCTGCTCAAATCCGCGTACGAAACTTGCAAATCGCAAATACTCATGCGAGCACGGATAGAAAACTGAGCAGCTGGTGATTCCTTTCTCTGGAGATATCGATGTTGTAGGCAACCAGGCAACCTAGTCACTGAGCCGCAGGCAACGGAATGCGGAGTGCAGGTCTCATATCAGGTACCTTTGCCGCAGCGACTGGCGGCGTGGTGGTGAGGTGCAAAACCAACCACTTTGCATGGGGGGCCAACATGCTGCTCTGGGGCAAATCAGGGGACCAGGCATGCTGATGTGTGCTGATGAGGGGCTCGTCGGGCTGACAGGTGTTGGCAGGCTATCTTGTGCCCTACACGAATGCCGACACGTGCTGGACTGGGTCTGTCATACGTCTTACATGGTTAAGGAACACCACACCCCATTTGACCTGCAGAACGGGTCAGGAAGTCAAAGAGAAGATGGTTGGTTGTCAAAATTTGAGAGATAGCTGAGAGAAGTCCGGTGGGACGGGAGAGATGACCTCTGCCGTGGCCCCATCCTGATCCACTTGTTGAGATTTTGCTCTTCGTCCACGGGGCTGACGGCGAGCAATCCTCTCAGCCACAAAGCAGCTTGTGTGACGTGCATGTTGGGACGACGGTAGGGGAGAAGATGTCGGGAGCGGCTGACAGTTTGCCGAAGAACGTTGAACCAGGGTTAGGGTTGAAGCTGTTCGGGCTGGCATTTAGCACACAGCAGACTTTGTCATGCCACAACGAGCACACAATACCTATTGTTTCAGATCATCATGCTTGGATTAATGAAGGTTTCAACAAATTTTGTAATTCAACTGCATATTGTCCATCCCTCGTTCTTTCTTGCCTTAACTTGATCCCAAGTGTAAGTGAGCATGGCCCATATTGCTGCCTGTGCTCAGCCAAGGGCTTGGCAGGCATCCAGGGGAAGATATCCTTTTTATCCCATTCACACGTTAACGTCAATTTTATAACTGTCAAGGCTCTCAAAAATAGTAATAATAATAATTGTAATAATAAATATCAACCTTTAACAATGCCATTGTCCCTCTTGATGGCCACTTCACCGACTAATTGATAGCCAGCAACATCAATACATGTTAATCCGATACTGTGTAGTTCAATGCACGGTCTTTCCCTTGTACAAACCATCAGGACGGGTCAGGCAGCGGGCTGCACTTGCTGCACTGCTGTAACCTCGACTTCTCTGTTCTCAATCCACCTACTACGGTACCGGGTGATCTCCCGAAGGGTTACTCTTTGCCTACCAGTTTTTTTTTTCCTTTCAGCCTCAAGCATGCTGGTGATCAGAGGTAAATTCCCGTTCCAACCTCTGGCTGACATGGAACCGTATCCTTTCTCGCTCCTCATGAGTGCTATCGTGCTGTCGCCCAGCCGGCAGATGCCGACCCACTGATACCTCGCGGCTGCTTGTTCTCGGTCAGGACTCAAGGTGTGTCACGGGATGTCAATGATGGCATGTGGGTTAAGAGGTCGGACAGACTCCGGGGAAAATGGGGAACCCACTGTGGATATGCTGACGCTTTCTTGCATCTCAAATTAACCGGACCCTCTGGTTGGCTCCAGGGGATATAACAGGCTAAATACCAAGCATGGCCGGATACCGGGTCAACTCGACTGTTGTGGGAAGAATTGTGAGAAGGCTCCAGCGCGCTGCAGCAACGGTGCCTTGCCGAAAGAATGCTTCGTCTTGTCCGGATGGATTCCCTAGATTCCACCGGCATCGGCCAGGTGATCGTCAAACTTGGGCTGTTGTCCGAGATTCTGCCAGGCGCACGATGAGAAGGCCGCGCTGGCTGGGCTAGAAATGACAGGGAAGCTGTGAGCAGTCGAAGAGCAGCCGCGTGACAGGAGATGTTAATGCTGCGTCAGAAAGGCCAAGAGCGTTGCGGTGAGCCCAAAGAAACGCAAGACTGACGCTGTCAACCCACAAATGTATCCACATCTTCTCGAACCGCTACCAAGTGGGAAGACGCCCGTTTCACCTACGCGCAAGAGAAGTTGGGAAGCTGCCCGGTTCCCGTGCTGGGGGTCCCATCACTACCTTGTCTCCGTGACTCTGTAAGAGCATGCTCCGTCATCCATGCACATCAGTGGGCAGGGTCGGGAAACCAGCCGCCCGGCCATTGCGTCTCTGCTGCGTCTCTGCCGGCTCGCACACCTGGAATAGCCAGTCGAGCCAGTCAGGACATCATAACATGCGGGTTTTCCTATGGCAACCGAGCCTACAAGCATGATCATGCAACCTTAGCGTGCCGTTGACTCCGAGGACGATCCTGGCGTTCGAACCTCGAGCTTTGCCGCTCCCGCGCGCGGCCCTGCCACTGGTGCGGGTCTAAGACGCGGGAGTAAGAGGAGCGCCAATGCCTCTGTTGCTGGAGATACCGCAGTTGGCGGGACGGAATGTCCCTGCACGGCGGCACGTCATGTAGATTCAGGCGCGGCGACTCGGCCAGGAGAGCGCGGGAGGTCGGCTGGTGGCACCCTCTTGCCCCTCTTCCCCCATCCCATCCCATCCGAATCGAAGGTGGACATGGTGGGCATGCCCTTGGGACGAGCGGCCAGCAGTATAAGTAGCACACACGCTCTTCGATGCTCTTCTGCTTGGTCTGTCTTCCTCTCGATCTCATAACTACCTTGCTCTCTCTCTCCGTCTCAGCCTCCTAGACGTGCTCCCTCCTCTTCATGTGAGTCCGAAACCCACTCCTCTTCCACACAGAAGCCGGAGACAGGAGCATTTCTTTCTGACTCGCAAGCGTCTAGAACCACACTTTAGCTTTCCACGAACATACAAACCGTCGCAATGGCTCCCCAGATCCCCAACATTAAGCTCAGCAGCGGCTATGACATGCCCCAGGTGGGCTTTGGACTGTGGAAGGTCGACCGCTCGATCTGCGCCGACGTCGTCTACAACGCAATTAAGATTGGCTACCGCCTGTTTGACGGCGCTTGCGGTAAGTTTCTGTCGTCGCAGACTCCCGCTGTTGCCGGTGCAAAGTCCACGTCCCATCCATCCATCTCCGCGAAAAGATGTCCCCGGACATGAAGCAGTACCAGCCAATTCGTCCATAACAATGACATGGTCATGGCTGCCGGAAGAATGCAAAGTGAGGGGCACAAGCTCAATTACCCCGCCTAATTTTTCTCTAGCCTGCCCCACTCTGCGCTGGGCTCCTTCCCATAGTGGGTGGGGTGGGGGGGGGGGAGAGGAAAAGAGAGAGGGCTCAGGAGCAGGGGGCCATCAGGGTTCGCGCGGGTGAGATTCACATGAGTAGAGCCCAGCGCTCAGTGAATGTCACCAATTCAGTCAATTGGATGGATGGGGTGTAGGACAGTGTTGTATTGCTGAAAACTATCTAATACGAAGAGAACAATGTTGACTGACCTTTGCTCACAGACTATGGCAACGAAGTCGAGGCCGGCCAGGGCATTGCCCGCGCCATCAAGGAGGGCATCGTGAAGCGTGAGGAGCTCTTCATCGTGTCCAAGCTCTGGAACACCTTCCACGACGGCGACAAGGTCGAGCCCATCGTCCGCAAGCAGCTCGCCGACTGGGGCATTGACTACTTCGACCTCTACCTCGTCCACTTCCCTGTCGCCCTCGAGTACGTCGACCCCTCGGTCCGCTACCCGCCCGGCTGGTTCTACGATGGCGAGAAGGAGATCCGCCCCAGCAAGGCCACCATCCAGGAGACCTGGACCGCCATGGAGTCGCTCGTTGAGAAGGGTCTGGCCCGCAGCATTGGTGTCTCCAACTTCCAGGCCCAGCTCCTCTACGACCTGCTGCGCTACGCCAAGATCCGCCCGGCCACCCTTCAGATCGAGCATCACCCCTTCCTCGTCCAGCAGGAGCTGCTCAACCTGGCCAAGGCCGAGGGCATTGCCGTGACTGCCTACAGCTCATTCGGCCCTCAGAGCTTCCTCGAGTTCAACATGAAGCACGCCGTGCAGCTCACCCCGCTCTTCGAGGACGAGACCATCAAGAAGATCGCCGCCAAGTACAACCGTCCTGCTTCGCAGGTTCTCCTGCGCTGGGCCACTCAGCGCGGTCTGGCCATTATCCCCAAGAGCACGCGCCCCGAGATCATGAAGTCCAACCTCGAGAGCATCGAGTTCGACCTCAGCGAGGAAGATATTGCCACCATCTCGGCCTTCGACCGCGGCCTGCGCTTCAACCAGCCCACAAACGTGAGTTTTCCTTTGTCCTCATCTAACGTGATCACCCAAGTAAATGATGCTAACTACTACCGATTACAGTACTTCCCCACCGAGCACCTCTGGATCTTTGGCTAAATGCCTTCTCCCCTTCACACATATACACATCACTCCCGCAGTCGCATCATCAATGCCGGAGTGCGCCCAAACTGTGGGGCGAGATTGCATCAAGTCCCGTACTATACAACACACCAGCTATATATACAACGGTGTAATATGTGCTGGCGCTGGTTAATTACCGATACCGCATGCCCCTGTCACGAGGTCTGGGCTGGGGTGCAAGACACGGGACGGCTGACACCTCTCCCGTCTCGTGCTCTTTCATCCATATCTCACGAACGGAATGACAGAAATCAGCTAACAAACCTAAGTTGCCGGCTGCGCCGCTTGAATGATTTAGAAGAGGGAAGGGAGGGTAGCAAGAGAAAAAGAGAGAGAGAGAGAGAGAGAGAGAGAGAGAGAGAGAGAGAGAGAGAGAGAAAGAGAGAAAGAAAGAGAGAAAGCTGGACATATGGATTATATCCGGCGAAATATTTCCTTGTGTCTTGTTGACTTGCATGACATCTTGTACTGGGATTCCAATAGAAATTATCTAAGTATATCAATCACTCGAGTGTTGTGCTTTTGCCGGCGTCTTCCTCTGCCCGTATGGGGAGATCGTGATGTGAAAAGTCGTCAACTATGATGCTACTCACCTAATTCAGTTAAAGAGAACCCGAAGTAGAGAATACGGATCCGTACCCGGCTCCCAAAATGAAGTGTCTTCAGTAGCATCCACTCATGAAAAGAAGGACGAATGAAAAGCATAGTTGAGTTCACCTATTGCTCATATTTTAGGTTACTCAGACCCTCATCCCCATACACCACCACTTACTGTTCACCCTCGTAACAGCCATACAAGCCTCAGACATGGTAATCGGCCAAAGATACTAGGGTATGCATCTTACGCCTTGCCAGTAACGCCGCGCTATATGGTATTTATGGGATATTTAATTTTGCTTCGTGGTTCGTAATGGCTGGTACGTAGCATAAATGTGCCTGCCAGCCCAAGACAGCTTCAGGAAGCTAACCAGTCGCCCCCGCTTTCCCCCATAACCGATAAGCTTACACTTCATAAACATGAACCATGCCTACCAGAGTTCAGCATGGTATCATAATTATGCGTACCTAGTCCACTCGGGTCATAGCTACAAGTAAAGAAGAAGAGTTTATTAGCATTCGATACCAACTAGCATCATAGAGCAAAAAGGGCACTCACTAGCATCAATCTGCCGAACCTGCGGCAACAGCAACCGGACCTTATTCCTATACAACGCCGGCTGGCGCGTCTGCAGGGGGTTCCCCTCGAAGTAAACAGTCGTCAGGTTCTCTTTGTCCGCCAACTCGCGTTCCACCTCTGTCCAGTCACCCAGCTGGTTGTAGCTGGCCCAGAACTCCTCGAGCTGCTTCAGCGGGCCGATGCCCTTCAGCGACGTAATCCGGTTGCTGGAGACCTCCAGCACGCGCAGGCGAGTGTTGTGCGAGATGCCCTCCAGCGACTCGATGCCGTTGTGAGAGATGTAGAGCTCCTCTAACTGGGGGATGTCTTTGAGCGGAGACAGGTCGCGGATGCGGTTAGATTGAATGGAGAGGAGGCGCAGGTTGTTGAGGCCAGCCAGGCCATTGAGAGAGGTAATTTTGTTCTTTGCAACCCACAGCTCCTCGAGGGCGGTCAAGTGGGAGAGGTTTTGCAGCTCACGAATGCGGTTTGAGCCGAGTTCCAGGTTGCGCAGCTTGGTAAGGCCTTCGAGGTTCTCGATCTTGGATATCTTGTTTGCGACGAAGAACAGATCCGTGAGGTTGGTTAAGTGGTTGACGTGCTTGATGTGCTTGATCTTGTTGAAGGAGAGGTCGAGAGAGGTCAGGTTGACGAGCTTGTCCAGACCGCGCACGTGAGAAATGAGGTTGTCGTAGAGATCAAGCTCTTGGATAGTGTCGGCGATGCCGTCCAGGCCTTCAATCTCTTGGATCAGGTTTTGGCGCAGACATAAGCGCTGGAGATTTTTGAAGCGTTCGAGACGGAGCGCTGGGATCGACCGGATGCGCGCATGTGTGCAGATAATTTCGTCTGTCTCAGGGTCCTCCTCGTCCAACAGGTCTAAAGGCAAAATGTCAGCGATAACAATTATGGTGTCTTCATGTTACACTGCCTACCTTCATCGGCCTCAATCTGCTCTCCAGGGACGACGTTATCCTCATCGGAGTACTCAGGATCTGAAAGCGCCTCAGGGTTCTTGAGTGTTGCGCTCTTGGAAACACGGGCCTTCCCGTCCCAGCCTTTGTGATCCTTTAGTTCTGTGCTACCCTCTCCTTCATGTTTCGGTGTTTCGCTCTCCGCGGGGAGTTCGATATGGTGGCCTTGGCTCTGTTGGCTCTGTTGGCTTGGCTGGCTCGGCTGGGTCTGCTGAGGTTGTGTCTGAGGGGTCTCTTCTTCTGTCGGAGCGGGCATTGTCGGCGGTATGGTATCGGTGTGGTTCGATGTGGACTCGGGGTTGGTTGTCATGGGAGAGCAATGGGTGGAATGTCAACGGTGCTACCGAGGAAGGGGGGCTATCAAGCCCTGGTTTCTCTTCGACACAATGCGCACTCCTAGCAAAAAAAAAGACTCGGCTGTCTGAAGCTGTCGGATGATTCTCGTTTTTTTCTTTCTAGTTTTCGATGTAAGGTGCTCTGGGCGAGGCTTGTTTGCTCGACGTCAAACGTTCATTGTTGGCTGCAAAAGAGGGGCCTGGGGCTTATCTTCTGAATGCTGGTGGGATGTTCATGCAGCCATTCGATTGGTGGGCCCAAGTTTCTACGAACCCTGGAAAGCACAAGAACCCTGAGGGTAACTCAACACTTCTTCCTAACAGTTCAGTGCGACTTGTTAGATGCTGCACTGTATAGACTCTTGAAACACCGGAAATGCGGAGCCACCTCACATGCGGGATATCGTCAACATCGAAATTCCTTGCTTTCATCGACAGTTGAGCTTTTACACATGCAAAATCCCCACGTCGAATAATAGAGTGCTGCTATCGAGACAGGGTGTGGAGGTAGCCTGGTGTGTGCAGAGAACCCACATGGACTTCCCGCGAATTGCATCACAATGCCAAGGGAAAAGAGCGCTAATTCCCATCAAACTTAGTTCCGCCTAACCGGGAAGCTCCCTTTCATCAACCCACATCTGTCCTTCACAAGCTTCAGTTGAGGTGCGCCATATTCACGAGGCGTCTTGACAAGCGACCGACTGCCGGAACTGGGCAGTAGCATGAATGGCTCGAATGGCATGAGCAATAGAACTCAATGAATCCACAAGCTCTCTTAGAGCTTCTTCAGCCATCAACGAGTACCACCTCAGAATCTCGTCAAAACCCAGCATACCATACCCGCCATTTCTCTCCCTACCTATCCCTTCCGGGCCTCACACCATCCTGTGCAAGCATCCTGTCGATGGCTACAGTTGGCATCTGACCCTACCGCCATGATAACCCGGTTTCACATCCCGGAGGCTTCGGCCGAACGGTGCCGGCTCGTCCTAAGAATGACGAAAGCTCGCCTGCATAGTGGCCGGGATAGACCGCCTCTCGCTCCATGGCGGCTCTGGGCTGACGTCAAACATCGCAAGTCCACTGACGGTCGTCTGCCACTCGTGCTATCCATTGGAGGAAGCCGTCGCAGCATACACATCCCACCCGTTCTTCTGCCACCGGTGTACTTCACTGGGCTGCTCATCGGCCTGTGGATCTGGAAGTGTGTGATGATGGTTATTTTCCAAAACAAAATCATCTACATGCCAGGGCTTCCTCCAAATGCACGGTGGGAGAAGATCACGGACTGGGAAAAGCACTGCGGTGGCTTGAAGTGGGAAGAGGACCGGACGGTTGCTGAAGACGGGACGGATCTGGCCGTTGTCTATGCGACTGTCCCTCTACCAAAGAGTAAATCTCGGGCTCTTATGGCAACAAAGGAGGGACCCTCTGCTCACGTCTACATTCTGTACTTTCAGGGTTGGCACTTACGGGACATCCCAAGAGAGACTTGGCACTAACAGCATCCCAGGCAACGCATCATCAATACCCCCAAGACTGCCAGACATATCCTGGGTGCTCCATGCCGTCACTAACAATCCAAAGGAGAAGATCCTGGGCGCTAAAGAACTCACGTTTGTTTGCCTAAGTTATAGAGGATACTGGACATCCCGAGGCCGACCTTCGGAGCCGGGGCTGAGGCTTGATGCTCAGGCCGGTGCCCGATGGATAGCGGAACGGCACGAGCGCATATACGGCAAGCACTCCGGCACCGTCCCCATCCTGTTAGTCTGGGGCCAGAGTATCGGCTCGGGGGTAGCCACAAATCTTGCAGCAACCGGCAAGCTGCCGGCCAACATGCCAATAAGGGGTCTGTTGCTCGAGACCCCATTCGTGTCTATCAAGGCAATGTTAGAAGCCATATATCCCCAGAAGTGGTTACCATACAAGCATCTCTGGCCGTTCCTGCGAAATCATCTCGACAGTTGGGCAAACTTCGGTATTATTGCCAATGCGTGCCGGAAGGAAGGCCGCCCAGCCCCATTGGTGTACATCCTACAGGCTGAACGGGACGAGATTGTTCCGAAGGAGCAGAGTGAGCAACTTTACCAGAGATGTCTTGAGCTTGGGATCCCTGTCGAAAGAGGCATCGTGCCCTCAGCATATCACCAGCAAGCGATCACTTATGGTGATGGGAAGGCACTGGCTGCTGAGGCCATCTTGAAGTTGATTAAGGCAGGTCTCTATAATGGGTGAAATTTTCGATTCTCAAGATCCCCCTTCCTATTTAAGTTTGTTGGGGATATAACTCCGAATTGCTTAGTGGCAAAATGATAAGGTGTGCCTGGAGCCTTTGAACACTGTCTGTGGGTATAACCCTGCATATCACCCCGGCAGCAGTCCAAAAAGACGAGCATGTCTTTGGGCGAGACAAGAAGAGGGTGAACGGAGCCAACAACCAGAAGGCATCCGGTAGGACGATACAGCCGACAGTATGTTGCTGGGGTGCTACACCGTCTCACACAAAAACGGGTTCGTTCCCTGTAGACTCGCCGAATTGGTGACCGGTTCACATCAGCTTCAAGCCGCACAGGCCGCGCTCTGTCCCCTGTGGTGAGCACTCTGTGCAGCACTGTTAAGACCCCAATCCTCAACTCACAGGCACAGCATTAAAATTCAGAACAATCTCAATCTGTCAACTTCAGGATCTACATGACCAATTAACAAAATTGAGGTTGGAGAACTTGGAAATCATGGACTTACTCGGAGATGACCAGAAACACTATGCAAAAGTTTTTCCTCCTCTGGATTCTTAGCCACTTTAAGTTAGACCTAGGCAGTGCCACTACCACCCTTTCACAGGGGCGTGAAACGTGAACCTGAACTCGGGCTTGGCAGCCTCGCACAGTTGCATTGGCCTCCATTCAGGGAGGAACAAGAGAACTTGCGGACCTTGGCCTGCCGCCTTACACATGGCTGCTGCAAAGCCTTGGATCACATTTGCTGGTTGGTGTCCCAAATCAATGGACCTTCACAAGGTCCAGGGTTTAACTCTCCCACAAATACCCGCCTGGACCGTACGTGCACTGTGTCCATCACTTTCCAAAAAGGAAAATAGTCACCTGATAGCGTGTCAGCCCACGCGTTCGCAAGCAACCACTTAGACACGGCGAATGGGACCACCGCGGCTGCCTTCCTGGTACCCGCACTAGGTTACGTCCAGCCCTGAAATCCATGAACCCCCAGGCACCTTTGCAGGCATAGCCTGTGTCTGACATATAAATGCCATGTCCCGCCCTTCCTCCCGCTGGCATGATGTACTGGCCTGCTCATCGAATGCTTATCTCTCTATCCCAGTTGAGGGAGGTAGGGTCTATCGCGCTTAGGACAATCGGTCATGCCCATCTCTCTGTCCTAATTTCCATCTTATCTCGTCAATACAGCCTGTGCACTCCTTTGTCTTCTGTCATTGTCAGCCTCTCCTTTTCTGATCGATCTCTCCCTCCCTCCAAGCCCGATTCTACACCGGCTTATCAAAGGAGGCTGTCAGCACTCAACAATTAAGCCATTTGGGTGACTTTCCTTGGAGATCGACACAGGAGGCTAAATACCCCATAAGAGATCTAAAGATATACAACATCGTTGGTTAGTGGTCGGAATAGAAGTCAAAATGTTCTCCCGGCGTTTCGATGCATCCTCTTTCAGCAAAAGCTTCTCGAAATCCACCAGACATTCGAGGTCAACCTCCTTCAGCGTGAAGGATGCTGGCGTCTCAAAGCGGCGGCCTTCTGAATCACGCCGTCGTCCTGGCACCTCCTCCGGGTCTGTTGCTGACTCGTCTGATGTGACCTTGGAGTAAGTGTCCAGCCAGTATTCGTATAACGAAGGAGACGTGGGGTGCTAATTTCCTCTAACAGCAACGTCATCTCCCCTATTGTCACCCTTATCGTCGGCCCCGACCAGCGGATCTTTGCCGCGCACGAGAATGTCCTCGCTAAGTCTCCTTTCTTCCAGAGCATCCTGCAGAACCAGTTGCTGGAGGCTCAAACGAAGAAGATCCTACTTCCTGACGAAGAGCCTGAAGTATTCTCTGCTGTGCTCGAGTACCTTTACAAGGGTGAATACTACCCTCGACTTATCTTCAACAAGAAACGGAACACATGGGAGCTGGAGCAGGAAGCTGATGGTGGCCGTGCCGAAGCCACCATCCACCATCATGAGGTTGAGGGAGAACTTCTCAAGGATACAGCCATCTATTGTGCAGCTGAAAAGTATGGCCTGGAGGAGCTGAAGAGGATTGCTCTACGGAAGCAAGGGCTTCGTACGTCTTCCCATCTTCTCTCCCCTATCATTCTCTCTTCAGCCAGCGCTGATTGACTAACTGAAGTTGAAGAATGTGGCATCCAAGCCAGTACCATCCTGACCTCGGCTCGCTACGCCTACGCCCACACCCCCGATACCGACTCCAAGCTGCGTGCTCACTACCTCGCGCTCATCATTCGCAGCCGCAATACCTTCAAGCGCAGCGGCACGATGCAGCTGGAGATGTTTAACGGTGGCACTCAGCTGTTTTTCGATCTGTTTGTTGCCTTGTGCAACCATGTGGACGATATCTCCGCTGCCGCGTATGTTCTGAGTAGACCTTTTGATGAGTCGACATATGACTAATTTATCTTGGAACAGCAGCTCGCCTAGGAGCCCTCGCAGCGGCCGCGTTTTCTGACTATGTGCATGATTGTTTTTCCTTTGTGATACCTATCCACCTCACGACGAAAAAAAGCAAAAAACGCGATCCCCCGATGCATCCTCACGCCTCTCTTACGCCACGAAAATGTACGACAACAACACCAGCTCTCTGATTGATTTTATGAATGATATATGATGCGAACTCTTATCCCGATCTGCAACAGTTCGGTTCTTGGATGCGGCGCTTTTCAAAGTCATATATACAGGTTGTAATGTGGAACATTTAGGTGGGAAATAGACTGGGTTGATGCTTCTTCTGCTTACTGTTGTCACTTTCTTGATCATCTACATGGCGCTGGGCGGCATTTGTCATTATTTTACCCTTGTTTTGAGTTTCTGGATGCAAGTTTGTTCTGGAATATTTCTCATGACGAAAACCAAAAGAGTGCAAAATTTCATTTTTCATTCTCTGCTCCCTGCCGTTTCCATTCTCTTAGAGGGTTCCACAGGTATGGATTTACTGGTCTCATGAAGATTGCCATGGAAGGAAATGGGCTTTCATATGCTTTGGGATAGCTGTTTGAGGAGAATTGCAGAATGCTTCACTTCTTTTTCCTATCTGAGCAGCTCAGGGGGGTCTTTGGGCATCAACAGCCGAAATGGCTTGGGCTGTTCAGGGTCTTGATGGAGATGGGGAAAAGGCTACCAGTGGCATCGCTACTCTTCATGCTCTCCTCCAGAGCCATTTCCCCCGCTCTTGTGGTTTACCAATGGCGTGACAAACAGAGAAAGACAAATTTGTTTCTGCACAGAACGCAAAAGCTGGTACTTATTCCATCACTAATAGACAGAGTGTCAGCATATTTGCAGCCTCTCCTTTCTGGTGAGAAGCATGTGAAAGTCACAGTTTCCAGAATTTCAGGTCGCCACGCAACATGCATGTCTACTCATCACTGCGGTCGGATTCAATTTCACAAGCTTGCATACGCTAGTGTAGGACCTTTTTGCTTGAATCAAAGTAAAAATCCACAAAAAGATCTCCTCTTTCTTCGTCCGGGATGTAGAGGGCCGAAGTGACAGTCAAGCTTGTGAAAATGGCGTGAGGCTTACAACTTCCCCAGACCCACAAATCGCCCGCCCCATTGGATCAGCATGGGATGACAAATTACGCAAGGTGTTCTGTGCCTTCTTGTTCTGGACAACAAGACACCTTCGCTAATGCAAAAGAGCACATGTCTGGTCAAAGTGAAGGAGCGTTTGCTCTGGTGGGGTTTGGTTGAGGTTTAGAGCCTAAGGTCAACGTTGCGTTGTCTGTCAGTAACTTTCTCTGGATTACGGTGATGACCGGATCAACGCAGAGATGCCAGGTTGTTTTTCCGTCTTATTCTGACATGGCGGGTAGCGAATTCTCTCTTACGGCATTTTCTCATAGAAACGGTCAGTTGAAGTTAAGTCACGCAGTCTGCTTATCTCGCGCAAAAAGATGACGAAAAGGATCTAAGTCAACATCATGACTCATCTGCGAGTCGCCGCGCCCCGGGCGCTTACAGCAATCAAACAAGCATCCTGCCCGCAGTCTTGGCTCTGTGCTTAATTGATCTTGCAGCTGCAGGATTGGTGCAACCGATCTCGCAGACAAAACGGATCTCAATTTTTTGCGGGGTAACCTGAACAACCCAAGTCGCACAAGTGGACTTTGAAGATGGGGAAACGGAAACAGAAGACAACTTATTGGCTAGTGTGTTGCAAGAAAAAAGCCAAAATGAGGCAAATGCAAGGGGTAATTGCTCGAAGTGAGGCGAAGCAGGAAGGCAATGGAAGTCAATGGACTGTGTTGGGATGGAAAAAGGGGGCGTTTGTTTGGGTGCCGTTCCCTGATTGGGGCGTTTCCAAAGCAACCCCGCTTTTCGGATCCGGCCTTGGCATCGCGCCCAAGGTCTTGGACTTGAAGCCTCACGAAACTTGGCAGGGGTCTCTGGTGGAATGAAATCGAAGTTTGGGAAAGATTCTTGTCATTAAGCAATTGGACAGTGTCCCTATTTGTAAGGCAAAAAAAAGGATGAGCTGAAAGCTGATCAGGTTGCAGAGATGGTCATCCCAACTGGACGACGGGATTCCTGAGCTATCATTGCTTCTCTTCTTGAAAATGGCCTGAAACTGTGTGAACTTTAGCCCTGGCACAGACACACAGTTACCAGATCAAAACGGCAACTGTGCTCTGACACATCTATTAGATAAGATGCCGCCATAGCTCCTGCGATTTGCGACGCCAAACTAAAGCATTGCAGGGCTCATCCCCGTACCGCCTTTACGGGCGGGTACAACATCGTGGTGTAGGATGCCCAGGCTACAGCTCTATACGGACATATAGATCTTAGTTCCGTCAAGCCCCGAGCGGACTATGTCGAGTGAGGAACCGCGCCTTCGTTGGCTTGAAGTGTCATTCCCGAGTCATTATAGGCACGATGCTCACCGCCGAGGACAGCCTTCAGGATGGATACTCAGATGCCTGTGCCAGGGAATGCGCCGGATTTGCTCAAAACCACCATTCCATGCTGTCGGGAGACGTATCCTTTCATGAGACCCTAGATAAAAGAGAAAGAGAGTCAGCACATGAGTCATTTCTGAATAAACTAGTCTGATAGATAAGCTCGTGTACACCGCCCCAAAAGAACAACGCATTCGACTCACCTTGTAAATCATGTTGGCCAGCAAGCACTCCACCTCGTCGTTGTCAATCTTCTCCTGACTGCCAACGCTGATAGCCGCCGCGAACTCGGCAACTGGAACCCGAGTACGACGCACAGGCTGCCCGCCAGGCTCCTTGGGCTGCTCCCAGCCATTGACAACAAGGACCTTGCGGAGCAAGTTACGTAGGGCGATGTCACGACCACGCTCTAATGTGAGGTAGATGCGACGCTTAACAAACTCATCTTCATTCGCCTGTAGTGCAAGGTCGAACTTGTGCAATTCGCCCTTCTTGATGTGCCGGCAAAGGGGCAGGAAAAGCTTTTGCAGCTTTGGGAATGGGGCCAGGAGCTTTTCGCTTGGCAAGGTGTGAGTGTTAACGAGATGGGACGGGATGAGGTAGGTAAGGATAAGCCTAGGGAGCGAAGTTAGTTAACTGCAGAGTGAAAGAGAAGATCATTAGAAGGATAACTCACTCCTTATTCCTCGTCGCATCCTTGTGGCAGAGATTCCAAGCCTCAGTTAAGCTTTCTTCTGCCTTGTCATAATGTTCCTCAAGGAAGGCCAAGACTCCTTCATGGTACTTGAAGGTGACTTGCTGTGACTTCGGGAACGCAGAGAAGTCAGGCATGTCTGCCTTGTTCGCATTAAGCATCCGGAGGATGCTGTTAGACAGAGATACCGAGTTGAGCCTAAAGTGAGTCTTAAGAAGCAAATTGATTATATAGTAACTTCCCCACTTGCGGGATTCAAGGAGAGGTGCTCTGAGACTTATCAGCACTATATGATAGACCGTACATGCTCCAAAGTTCTTAACTTACCGATCTGTCTGACATACTTGGAAGACGTTTGTCAAAACTCTCGCGCAGTCCTCCAACTTTTGGTTACGGTGACTGTCTGGGTCGTAGTCATCACCGAAGTTCTCTGAAGCCATATCCAGAGAGGTGCTGTTGTTGCGTTCTTCGTCTGCTTTGATGGCAAACGCCCGCAGGTTCTTGCTTACCACGTAAAGGCAAGGAAGAGTCCAGGCCTCAAAAGCATTGTTCCGGTAACAGCGGACCAGAGTATTCAGCAAGCCTTTCCAAGCCTCGTACGCCTTTGTCCACGGCAGCTCTGATTCTGAGGTCTGTTGTAAAGTCAATATAAACCAGGGTCCTTTCCAGAAAGCTTGGTCGGGTATAAAATATTGAGATGAGTACTAACCGTGGAACTGGGCTTCCCTTGCGCTTCACGCGCCGAGATGATCTCACCAACAGCAGTGAAGTAAGCGGCATACACATCCACCCAGCTCTGTATCTCTTCTTTCCCAGGGCCGTTAAAGGGAGTCATGGCATTTTGTAGGCCCTTCTTAAGAGCGCCTTTGATGCCCTGCTCATTCTGACTGTTCCATATCCTTCTCAGCTTCTCAGTTGGGAGTTCTGGCGTTATGGTATCCGCAAGTCGATAGCCTTTGCGGGCAGTGTAAATGTTTGAAAACTCCTGGTAAAATGAACTGTTGAACTCCATGTTGGCCTATGTTGACTGTTTTGCAGTAAAAGGAAGTGGTGAACTGTGAGAATGACGGGTGTAACAGTTCAAACCCCTGGCAGCTAAGGAAAGCTCGAATTTGCTTGCTCACTGCGGCTATGACTTCGTTCCGATGAAGAGTATCCCGTATCGTCAAACTTTGTATAGATCAAGGGTCCAAGGGTCCAAAAGTCCAGCTGTTAGCAAGCCCAGTTCACGCTGTCCGAATCAATGGAGCAAAGGTTGAGGCAGAGATCGAGGGATGTAAGGAAGCCATTCAGCTTCAAGACTTCGCGGTCACAGTGACTTTCGAGGAGGTAGTTTCCATGTTTGGCTGCGGGCGCCAAGCCTTGGGAGCTGTCGGTGCTCCATCGACGCCTCAAAGATGGTAGGAACCCCACGTCCGCTTGTGGCTTTGGACGAAGACACAGCCACGGAGTCTTGGCAAAGTGGCCCGGGCGCTCGAGCCCTAAACCAGGCGCACCCAATTTTTTCCAGACATCGAGATCGCTAATTCACGACTCCGATAGCTCACCAACGACTTCGCGAACCGTAGCGGCAGTTCATCACAGTGAGTTCCCCCTTGCTATGTGATTGATGTTCAAAGCAGAATCTAACATAAAATAAGATGGGTAAGCAATTTTCAATTTTTTGCTTGTGCTTCTTGCAAGACCAGCGACATCCCGAGAGCATCCCCGCCGATCGATGTGCAAACGTAACTTCGAGATGTGTCACGAACTTCAGCTCGATATTATGGGTCAACTATGTCGAATTAGAAGTTGGGGAGGAATTTGAGCATCAAGAGTAAAATGGGTTTGGGTGATAGTTCAGGGTCTTTATCTCATGGAAGAGGACCCTTTGTCTACGTTTTCAGCTCCCCAAACGCTCGGATGCGAACCTTCGAGGCTTTCCACCACCGCCAGATGCTCGACGATATTTTCTATTAGGATTCACGAACAGACCGGAGAACTAGGTCGCTGACAATGGTTCAGGTCGTCTCCAGGAATACCAGGTGATCGGGCGCCACCTGCCCACTGAGGCCAACCCCAACCCGGCCCTCTACCGCATGCGCATCTTCGCGCCCAATGAGGTCGTCGCCAAGTCGCGTTTCTGGTACTTCCTCCGTGGCCTGAAGAAGGTCAAGAAGGCCACCGGCGAGATCGTCAGCGTCAATGTGGTATGTTGACTTGAAACGGAGGGGGAACAGGCGACATGCTCACTCCTTGCCTGCAGATCTCGGAGAAGCACCCCCTGAAGGTTAAAAACTTCGGCATCTGGCTCCGCTACGACTCGCGCTCTGGCACCCACAACATGTACAAGGAGTACCGTGAGACCTCGCGCGTTGCCGCCGTTGAGGCCATGTACGCCGACATGGCTGCCCGCCACCGTGCCCGCTTCAGGTCGATCCACGTATGGACAGACCCGTTCCGCAGCGCTAACGCCAAAGGTCGTAATGCTGACACCCTCCACAGATCCTCAAGGTTGTCGAGCTTGAGAAGACCGAGGACGTCAAGCGCCCTTACATCAAGCAGCTCGTCGCCAAGAACCTCTCCTTCCCTCTCCCTCACCGTGTCCCCAAGATCAGCACCAAGAAGATCTTCAGCGCGAAGCGCCCTTCCACTTTCTCTTAAATGGTTTCATGATGGCTGTTGGGGTTGGCAGGTTCTTCATCAGGTGTTCACTAGGAAAAATGGGATATCCTGCATTTGCTCCCTTAGAGAGCATGAAATGAATAAACTGCCAAGCACGGGTTCAGCGTTTGTGGGCATCCTTCAGCGGTCTTTTATGCCTTTTGTGCGCGCCATTCGCCCAGAGCTGCGGCTGGAGACTCCACGGCTTGTCAGCCATATCATACGCAGGTGTTGGGGGCATTGGCGGGTTGCTTGCACCATTTCTACCAAAGCCAGCCGTCTCCCATGGAGTATAAGGTCACATTGGTAAGTGACACTGTCGCCATGTTTTGATACTCTCCGCTTCAAGTGGACGTGATGGACCAAAAGCCCAGCTCGGATGACTGGATTTTTCGAACCCGAAGTATGGAGTTGTATGACACAGCACAGCGTCTTGAGGCATCAGAGATGGAGCGATTGAAGATGCCTACCAACATAGAGCAGAAGTACAATGAGCTTGAGACGACTCTCCCCCAAGCTCTCGGTAATTTGCGTATCTTGCAAAGGCCTCTTCGGCTTCCTTCTGTTGGCAGCGTCCTCTAGCTTTGCGTTGACACTCCCACACGGTCCTCCTTCCTCCCGCGTCCCGACTCCGAATCCACTCTCTAACCTCCTCCAATCATTCCACTTCCATGTCCGTCCATACAGGGTCCTCTGACTTCTTGTGTGCCTTCCGAGGGGAGATGACCAGCTTCGCTACCTTGATACCTGTCCCGGGTTGTGTCCTTATCCCTTCATATATTATGTTTCCTTCGTGAACTGTGCTTAGAACCTCTTTAAATGACATGATGCAATCATCAGTTTGCCCTTACGAGATAACACCAACTTCTGGCCTGATTCCAAACCCAGATGGTGGTCCAAATCACGATCTGGACTCGACACGGGCCAAAATTAAGCTCTCTGCAAGAGCCCGATGTGGCACTTAAAGTCAAAGGCTATGTTAGCATAAAAGGTGCCTTTGACTTTGGTTTGGTTGGGTACATACTCAGAGGTCTATGTGAGGATCAAAGCATGGCGGTATAGTCAGTATGAGTTTCGGAAGATTATGGAAACGTTCTCAAGAGAGAGGAGGTTGGGTGTCAAATTGATGATAGACTGTCACCTCTGATGAAAAACTAGGAGGTGAATGAGGGAAACATGCACGTCGGAATCGAGACAGTATCATCATTTGAAGTCAGTAAGAAAAGAAAAGAAAAAGTCAAGTATCAATAATTTCTATCAAAACATGACAGATAAAGCATTAAATGTACCCTGTTATCCGTCACTTAGCCCCCAATCATTCAGAAGCCCCTACGCGAACGTTACCTGCTTGAATTGCATTCCAATTGCTTCGATTGCTTAAACGGCACCCCTTGAAGGCAACACGACAACCCATGAGCTGACTACATCTAGGGGAGTCTGCTCTTTGAAGAACGAAAGGCAACTTCACTCTCCAGAGTGCAGATTTCATCTCCTGCGACCACAACGATAGAGCGAGAATATCTTAGGATTCAGTTTTATCAAACTTTTGTATTTCAAACTGTTGGGGAGAAGTTTTGACTTTCATGGTCCCGCACTAAGGCGATACAGCCAACACATAGTTATGGGGATTAGGATACTATGAAGGCCACCCATTGCGTAAACTTGATAATAAAGCTCGAACCCTTAGGTTATTCAACTTGGTGTATCCAGGAAGGACTGCCCCATAAGCACCGATAATGTTACACCTTCACTTTTATTCGAAAACTACCATACTCAGACAAAACAGCCACACCCTTTTACTCTACACTAATCACAGGTTTAATCAATCCATAATACTATACGTAACCCCCTTATTACCAAACGCACCCAATCAATACCTGAGTACGCAAACGTAGTTCACTCACCACCCAATTTCACAAACAAAGGAAAACAAACTTCAAACAACAACCGTCGAACTCCCCGCACCACTGCCACTACCACTGCCGCTCGCCCCCTCGGTCTCAGTATCTGAAGAATCATTATTCAAGTCCTCCTGTGCCTCCTGGTACTCATCCTGCGTCTCGTCAGCCTCAGTCTCAGTCCTTTGGCCCTCCTCCTCAGCAGCAGCAGTCTTCTTCTCTTCCTGCTCCTCTTGAGCCTGCTCCATTTGCTCTTTCACCTCGCGTTCGATCTCCTCATGCGTAACCTGCTTCTCCTCAGCCTGGAGATCGGCCTCCGGAACCGGCACCAACTCCGGCATCAGAGGAGACTCAGGATCAGGCGCAGCCTCCTCCTCCTTGTCTTCGGCGGCCTGCACTTCCTCCTCAGCGACCGCCGTATCGGATGGTGTCGGCTCATCCTCACCCGCAACCCAAACACTGTTAAGTTCGCGCTCAATCTCAGCATAGCGCCGGCGCCAGTTCTCAACCTGGGCAAGCTTATCGCGCAGCTCCTGGACCTCGCGCTCGTAGTGCGTCTTCTCGCGCTCTGTGCCGATACGGTTCAGCTCCCACTGGTCGCCGTTCTCACCCATGCCGATGGTAAGGTTCCAGACATGGTACTTCTTGAGGGAGGCGCGGGTGGAAATGGTGATGAGAGCTGTTTAGTAGGTTTTAGTTAGTAAAGCTGTTCACCAATGGGGATCTGGATGAAAGGAGGAACATACTAATGCCCTTCTCCTTGCAAGTCTCATACAGCAACCCTTCTACATCACTCGAGACAGCGCTCGTACCCTCGTCAATAACGGCGTACCTCGGCTCATGGTACAGCAGCCGCGCAATCGCCATGCGCTGCTTCTCGCCGCCGCTGAGCACATCCTTCCACTCCTTGCGGGTATCCCAGCCGCCCTCGCGGTCGGGCAGGTACCCGAGGCGCGCCATCTCGAGCACGCGGCGCAGATCCCACTCGTTCTTGCGCTTCTCTCGCATGTCGGCCTCGCCGTCCGGGTAGATGACCTGGTCGCGCAGCGTGCCGACGCTGAGATAGGGACGCTGGGGGAGGAACATGATGCCGTCCTCACCGTTCAGCTTTGGCCGGCTGACTAGGCCGCGGTAGACGGGCCAGAGGCCGGCCAGGATGCGCGCAATGGCTGACTTGCCGACGCCATTGGGGCCAGAGATCTGGGATAGTTAGTATTGAAGACTGGTTGGTTTTGATTTTAGGGAGGAGGGAGAGGAGGAGGAGGGGGAGGAGGGAGGAGGAGAGGGGAGGGAGGGGAGGGGGGGGGGGGAAGAGCACATACCAGAAGGTGATCACCTCTCCGGATCGTTACCGACAACGACTCTATCAGCTCCTCACCACCCTTGGGCCACAAGCCGGGAGCCACAATGGGCACATGCTCAAAGCGCACACCATCGAAGCCCTTTTGCCATGGTGCCTTGGACGTCGGAAAGCGAGTACAGCTCGTTATTGCGGCCGTAGTAAGCGTTCGCGTGGATTCTATGCAGCGTCGAAACGAGGTTATACACACGGCTCGTGTAGCCGGCTAGCTCGGACAGATCCTTGAGGGAATACATCATGCGACCCCCGGCGTCGGCTAGTGACAGCATAAGACGCTTGTTGGTGACGAAGTCCTTCATGCGAGAGCGCTCACGGCCTCCCATATCGTCGTGGCGAGCGAGACGCTCCGTCTGACCGGTGAAACCGCCCAGAGCTGGGACGAATACCGGGAGGGAAGCAAGGAGGTATCCGTAGGCGCTCCAGCTGTACTTTAAGATGAAGTCCTCCAGAATGTTGTACCTAACCTTGAGTAGATAGACGTGTTCCATGAACTTCTTCAGCTTGGTGAACTGCTTGTTGAGCGTCGCCTTCTCGTACTCGGTGCCACGGTAGAAAGCCACCTCTTCAGAGTTAGCGATGAGGCGGGAGTGGCTTGAACGGAATTCTCCTTCCATCGAGCCCTCGCTGGCCTTCAGCTTACCGAAGGGCGGGGAGAGTTTGCGAAGAATAGCCCCGGTGAGGAAGTAGTTGCTCAGGAGACCTGTTAGCGCGAGGGGACCAAGAGAGTGGTACAGCTGGTAGTTGAAGACGATCAAGTCAACGAACGGCTTGCCCAGCGATGAATAGAGAGTCGCGGCAGCTTCACAGAACTTGTTGAGGTCTTGAGTGATGTATTGGTCCGCACTAGAACCAATGCCGCCATCCAGGTTATGCAGCTTATAGTAGTTGAGGTTATCGTTCAGGTATAAATCGTGAATGTAGCGAGTAAGGCGCGTGCGGAAGGCAATCGACACCTTATTCTCAAGGAATTTGATCATGGAATTCGTGTAGGCTGCGACACTACCGAGCCCAAGGAACTTGATCAACCCCCACAGAAACCCCTTGCCATTGCCGGCGACAAGGTCCCGAACGATGGCACCGTCAAGTCTAGCCACTATGAGCGACAGGTAAGTGCGGACCATCAGAAATAGACCATGGGTGGCCAGCAGACCGGCCTCCTTGCTCGTCCAACGCGGGATCATGATACTCAGCAAGCTGAGAAACTGGTGCAAGAAGGCGAGGTTGATACCGGGCTTTGCCTGGGGCGGAGGGACAGTGCTCTCAGCCATGCCTGCCATCCGTGGTGGGTTAAGGAACAGACGGCGATGGGCCTCGAAGGTGAGCGGCTTGGTGGTGTGAATAACCACCTTGGAGGTGCCATTTTTGTAAGGCACATAGATTGTTCGGGAGCCATCCTTGTTATGCAGCCACGAGTTCTTGCGTACTAGGCGCATGCCCTGCTCCCGCTCAGCACGCTTGCGTTTCCACCAGCGCCGGGCGCCCGTGCCGGCGAGAATGATGGATGCGGCCAGGGCCAGAGAAGCCAGCAGGCGCGTCACCCGGGAGGTCTTGCGCAGCCGGTCGCGAACAAGGGTCGAGTACTGGTCGATGAAGGCGGCAATGGCCTCCTCGGCGGCCGACTGCCGCAGCGTCGATTGCGCCGCCATGGCGACGGGGGCAGCTGGCAGTGGCGTAACGAGCTTGAGCGGCGCAATACGGACGCAGAAGGCAGAGACGGGATGCTGTTCTTGTCGTCGGGTGTCCCGCGTCTTCGGGCTCAGGTGCGCTTGTCCATCAGCGGAGGCGTTGCTGTCGCTGTGGTGTTGGGGCAGCAGAAGACGTTTGAAGCTGGTGGTTTGAAGTACTTTATTAGTTCGGTTGTCTCGGGCTGGCTTATCCGGCGTGTCTTATGCTATCGCCTGTTGGGCTGGCGAGCTTAATACTGCAAACAGGTCAGCGGCCAGCGTCAGAAAGCTTGTGATGCGAGTCGTGGTGTGGAGCAGCCCGGCTAGACCCCCTACGATTTGGCAAGCTGTCCCCGGGGCCTTGGGGCCAACCAGGGCAGTGGTCGGCCATCATCCCGTCCTACTGGAGCAAGAATGCAGTCGGCAACGGCAATGGAGAAGTGGATAATGCTAATACTGGGCAGTGGATTGGGACAAAAACAAGCCAAAGAAAGCGAGGCCACACACCTTAGTCCACACAGCCAGGCACGGCTATCTGCTCTTCCTGCAATATCCTACGACCGTCAAAAATCAAAGGAAATTGTCGCGCACTCGGATGCTTTTGCCTCTTTGTGTCTGATGTCTGATCGGGGGTGTCACCGTTGGCACCGGCTGCCACGCTGGATCGAGCTTGGTCGCTTGAACGGCTGGGAGATTCCCGAATGACATGTGAATGTCCCGAGGTGCTTTCATCTATTGGCTCCAGCCACACCCGCCTCTCCCCCCAACGTCATCGCCTACAGCCAAGCAGTGCTCAAGCCACTCTGCCCCGGATTGACCTGCCAATCAGGGAGCACTTCCCCGCACGAAGCCCTCTCGAGTGAGGCTTGGCACCGGCAATGTCCAGCCGGAGGTTTATATCAGGGTTAGGGTTGCGATGGCCCCATCCAAGAGTCACAGATCAGCTTTGGTCAAGGGGAGCTCACCGTGAGCTTGAAGCTCCTCCATCTCTGTAACCTAAGATTCTCCAAACACTTAACCAGGCACTCACTGTGGAATGCTTCAAGTATATGTCAGCTATTACTTGAGATATCTCGGAGGCACAGTTGCTATGTCACTGTTTCACCTCGTTCTGGACAACTCTCGTACGAAGCTTGCATAATCAAAGCCTTGCGAACCTTTCTCACATCAGACTTCAGTTGCCCCTCACAGCACCTTGCTCCGCAAAGTTCTATTTATGAACTTGAGGCTCAAGTCCCTACTGACAGATTGCTGATCTTCACTGCTCAGAGATCTGAGCCTAAGGCATGTGCGAAAGCGTTCGGAACGCAGCAGCATATGCCTAGTGACGGCAGAGTAGGCCCTCCATGTCCTCCTCATCCTCTTCGCACAACCACTGCAGGGGCGGCGTACGCGATGCCGGAGCGGGATGAACGGGTGTACCAACTCCATGGTCCAGTGAGTGTGATCGAACCAACCGCACGATGCCGCGGCCCACGTTGAACAAGTTGCTATGCTATGGAGGCACAAACAGGGCAGGGCAAGACCAGAACAGAGAGGTTAGCATTTGGCAGCAAATCTGGGTCTGGCTCTCCACATCCGACGCTGCATGCTGCGCCCACCCACAGCTCTTCAGGACATGTTTGCGACTGGCTTTGTGCAGTGTCTTGGGGCCATGCAGTCACCGTCCCGGGCGGTAACATGGCCAATCAGGGCAGCCCACTACAGTTCTCCAGCATCCCTTGTTGGAGATGCCGCGCCTGCTCCACGACGGGGAACCGCCCTGCCAACTGGACCTTGGCGGGCCGCGCGACGAAGAAGAACCCATGCGACGTGGAGAGACGGTGTTGTCCGATGTTTTGATGGCCATGGGCCTTGATGAACACTTGATGTTGGCCGATGCTATTCTCAACGGGCATTGAGCTTCGATAGGATAGGACTTTTCGAGTGACAAAATTGCTATGGCCAGTGCTCCAGCGCATATCCAATCAATTTTCTGTGCCAGCAGACAGCCACCTTCAACTGTCCACTGCCACGAAGTTACACTGTTGGAAACGCACCGGCACACCCCGTGCACTGGAGTCTTGGAAACCGCCTGTACCCTTGCGGTCCACAACCAGCGGGTGCCCAAGACTCAACCCCAAATTGCTTTGATAAGCTGCAGTGATTGCTTGCATCCGATGTCAGCCCGACATGGGGACGGAGGCCCAGAATGCGGCCACGGCTTCGATCGTAGCTCTGCTCGCGCGACCCCCATCTTGGGAGATTTCTTTGATGGCAAGCAGATCGGCTTTTCTACGAAGGATTAGGAACGGAATGGGGGAAAAAGCCGGCGGTTTGCCCATCAGAAAAAAAAAAACAGCAGTCTTTTCGTTGGCCGCCGAGCATGGGATGCGGCGCGGAACGACCCAGGGATGGGAAAGATGGCGCTCCGCCGATGGAACCTGAAATCTGGAAACAGCCAGGATACCAGAGACCCCATGACTTGGCGATGGGATGTGTTAGTGCGTCATCTCTCGATCAGTGTATTGGCACCCAATTTTGTATGGAGGCCTTGGGGGCACACGAGCCACATCTTAACAAACTGCATCAGCTTGCAGCAGCTCCAGTCCCAGCTGTGCTTGCCTGGCCGCCCTGGCTAATCTCTGCAAGGCAAGCGGCTATCCCACTCTGGGCTTAGGCATGGGTGTGATGCTCCCCAGTCGCCCTCTCAATGCCCGGCCCATCACCCTTCCAGGCAATCATCTCGCTTGCGCCTTGCACACGCTGCACGCTGCACGTCCTCTCAACCTCTCTCATCAGCCCGTCAAGTCCTCCTCTTTCTCCTCAACATCATCCGCTCGGCCATCGGGCTGGTTGTCGGTTTTGGCTCCTCTTCAATCGGCGCCTCGTTGTTGTTTTGATCTTTTCGCTTGCTCCTGGTTTTTTTTTTTTTTTGCCCATTCTTCCAGCTCCTTGTCGCTTCTCCCAAAAGCCAGACTTGACCCCCCAGCTCACTCCACGCTTAGCCTTGTGTGCTCGGTCCCCTTTCCCTTTCCCCCAAGCCCGCCCTTTGCGAGCCAATTTCCCGACCTGCACCGAATTCCTTAACCTGTCGCGACGCCTTCGAGCTCTGTCGCGACACTGTCGACTTCTCTTATTCAGAACGCCTTCCCGAGTCTCGACAGCGGGCAATTACGGTTCACGCGTGGTGGTTGTGACCCGGCGGCGGAGGACAAGGGAACCAGCGGTCAGACTCCGCTCTAAATTAGGGGCCTGGCCTGCGCCAGAGGATTGCTTTCTAGGATTCACTTTGTTGGGACTCACAGAGGTGCGTCGACTCAGTTGCTATCGAGCGTCGAGCTCCCCTTTGCTTTTCGCCGGCTCTTCGAGGGAATGCATCGCGCAATTCCCGATCGAAGCCTGCTTTTTTCTTGAATCACTTGTGCGCCCTCCAACGTGAGTTGGTCAGCCGCAAGTCCGCTACTTTTAGCTGCCCAACCCCGTGTCATTGTGCGCCGACTGCAAGCATCCCAAAGCCTTGGCGCGCAGCAATCTGCTTCCTCTCGAGCTGCGCTCTTACTGACCACAGTGCGCCAACTCCAGATAGCTTTCAATTAATACCATCCGATTTTCCTTCCTGCAAGATGCCGCGGAACAAGGAGCAGCGGCCTCAATCGGCCTCGGGAAGCACAAAAGAGAAAGACTTCCACACATCCGATGATGGACCTGCTCCCAAGCGCTCCCGTGGTCTTCTTGGATCATCCAGATCCCATAAGAACCAGCCTTCTCCGACAGCGACAGGTTTCAGTGGCGCGACTGCAAACCCCAGGGACAGCACCGACGCCCAATCCAGGGAGTCGAGAGGCAGTATGTTGCGGCGGAAACGCAATGGCAGCACATCTAGTAACCGTTTAGGCGTTGGGACAGGACCAACAGCGACGCCGGAAAGTTCCGAGCTTGGTTCACCTGCCGTTGGGCCTAAGAAGAAGAAAGGAGGTTTCCTGGCTCTCTTCGGGTGCTGCGGCGTCCCTGACTCTGCAAATGGCCTCGACACTGAGCCTCCCGAGCCGAACCACAAGCTCGAGAAGATCCCTGAGAGACCGGCTACTGCCAGTCGGGGGAGAGCAACGCCGTCGGAGCAGCCTTCGGGAAGCAAGACTCAACTCTCTGAGAAGGAGCCGATCCCGCAGCAGGGTCACATGCCTAAGTCTTCCTCTAAGAATGGAAAGCGGGTTTCCGGTGCTAGCACTCAGGATCAGTCTACGGTTAGCGGCGATCGGGACAACGAGTCAAAGCAGACTACGCTCGTTAGCCATGGCGCAAGCAATCCCGTCATCTCGGTGGAGTCGCCGAAGGCTTCCAGCACGGAGTCGGAGAAGGTGGCGGAGTTTGTTCCAGAGAAGGATGCCGAGGGTGATATCACCATGACAGACGCCGAGCCGATTGAATCGAAGCAGGAACAGCAAGAACAGCCACAGCAGCAGCAGCAGCAGCAGCAGCAGCTACCAGATGAGGCTGAGAAGGATAGTGAAACCGAAGCTGTTGAGATCGTGCCCCGGATCCCGCCACCACCTCCAGGACCTCCAGTACCTAATCCCCCAACCTCTGACCTGATTGAGAGCCCAGCGGAGCAGCCTCGGAAGTACCTTCTTCCTCCTCAAGCCCCTGAGCTTAAAGGCCGCAAATGCCTAGTTCTCGACCTGGACGAAACGCTCGTCCACAGCTCATTCAAGGTGAGAATTGCCGTTTGAAAATTCTCTATACGACGAACAAGCAGCTGACTCTGACCAGATGCTCCACCAAGCTGACTTCACAATACCAGTGGAAATTGAAGGCAATTATCATAATGTCTATGTTATCAAGAGACCCGGTGTCGACGAGTTCATGAAGAGAGTCGGTGAACTCTACGAGGTTGTCGTCTTCACCGCGTCGGTTGCCAAGGTATGTTCCATACCCCCTCCTCCTCCTCCTCCTTCGTATGTATCCAAGAAGTCGCTGACTTTGGCCTAGTATGGTGATCCGCTCCTTGATCAGCTGGATGTCCACAAGGTTGTGCACCACCGGCTATTCCGTGAGAGCTGCTACAACCACCAGGGCAACTACGTCAAGGATCTGTCACAAGTCGGCCGCGACCTGAAGGACACCATCATCATCGACAACTCGCCAACCTCATACATCTTCCACCCGCAACATGCGGTTCCTATCAGCAGCTGGTTCTCAGACGCCCACGACAATGAGCTGCTCGACCTCATCCCCGTCCTAGAAGACCTGGCTAGTCCGAACGTGCGTGACGTCAGCCTGGTTCTGGATGTCACTCTTTAACCGTCCCGTTTTCTTTTATTTTTTTTTCATCCGTCCGACGAACAAACGCAAAAATTCCGTTCCACTTCCTCCATCGCCCCAGGCTCGACATAGCGAAGGCGTTCTATTTCTCAATCGTTTTGTCCACAAAGCATACCTGGTGTAGAGACGCCATGGCTATTACCTCATATCTAATACCCCGGCTAAGACGATGCCTTGGCGAGCAGGATCGCCAACTCAAGCTTTTCTTTTACATAGATGCAGCGTCGAGCCCATTTGCTTCAAACACAAGGCTGGTCCCCCCGGGCCAAAGGAATCATCACGTTGCCTTCACTATACCCTTTAGTGCTCTTTTACAACACACCATGGGGAACACACTCAAAGAAAAGAGAATGGGTAGAAGCATGGAATCGGGCTCGACTTGGGAACATAAAAAAGTGAAAAAAGGTTTTTTTTTCTTCCGGAAGTGCCTTGGGAAGTTTGGTATATGTCTGGCAGGCTGGTGTTGCCTCTTTTGACTCTTTTCTTACTTCTTTTCTCCTGTCCTTTTTTTGTCCACCCTTTCGTTGATACCGGCGGAGCACAGAGTAAGTAAGCCTCAGGTCGGGAAGGAAAGGTGCGAAAAGGAGGAAGGGAATTACGTTGAATCTTTGCAGATACCTATCATTCGCTGTTTAGTTTCTTTTTTTCTCTTGTTGCTTTTGTCGTTTTTGGTCGCTGTTTCATATGTCATGTCACCTCTGTACCCGTGTTTCTATACTAGTCCACTGGTTTTCGATCGATCATACCCCCTATCCGAATTCAATCCGGTGTTTTCTTGGTCTTGCTTTGCGTCCCTCGAAGGGCGTCATCGGTTCTTAGAATCTAGTTTTGCAACACCCTTGACCCCTATTATCGACTCGTCGTCACTCCCTTACGCTTTTTTCTCTGCATCCCCAACCCCCACCTACCTAGCTACCTCACCTTGCTTTCTTGCTTGCTTTTGCTATTTCCATGTGCTAAAGTTATACCTAACACCACAAAATTGCCTTTCGTCATATGTTCTTTACCATACCAAACCATAACGTGTACATTTGATTGCCCAGCGGGCAGATCACATTTGAACCTGTTTCTGCTTGATTTTGGTGTCTTTATTTTGATTTGATATTGTTGCGCCGATATAGGAGAGGAGTCACAGGTATGTTGGTGGTGGCTGGGGAAGGGTTCCAACAAAACAAAACAGACAATATACAGTTGAAGAGGGAGTGTTGGACGAAGTGTTGATAGGACTGGGATCAAACTACTAGGAAGCCTTTTAGCGGTGGAAGTCAAGGGCTGTGTTTTTCTTGCTCTTGTTACTGTATGTTTGTCTGTATAGGGCGGGACTTGAGGGTTTTCATTTCAGGCTGGGTGTTTTCCGAACTGACTAACTCCTGCTGTTTTCCTCAATCCTGTATCTCTCAATGCACTGCCAGTTGTGCCTGGAATATACCTAGTCAAGCGAATTGGAGTTTTTCTGTGTGCATATTGGAGACTTACCTGGATGGAACAGTTGTGGTTTTTGTGTCTTTGTTAACGATGAGACTGCAGCTCTTAATAGTGGAAATCCGTAGAGAGTGCCATTAGCAGGTCTGTGTAAACCGTTCTGTCTCCTTCAGTGAGCAAAAAGTTGGTACTTCATGTAGGAAGGGCGTTTCATCTCGCTAAAGTTTCGTGACGACTCAACTAGCCTTCCTGAGATGGGTTCGGGGTTGTTTCAAGGCTTATGAGTCCGAGAGACAGGAGTTCTCACGCAGATCCAGAAGCGCTGCGGTCACCGCTTGGTTTGGGCAACTTTTTTGTGTTGCTGACCTGGGGAGTCCTTTCGTCCCCCATCCTGCTGCGAGAACTTCATCTATTTTAGATACTCAGAACCCTTCCATGTCTCTTCTACTAGGGGGCTTTCAGTCCTTCATCAGTTTTTCTTAGCTCTGACAATTTTTTCGTTCGTGATTCTTAGATTTACCGATCTTTCGTTAGCACTTCTTAAGTCTGACGACCGTTCGTCAGAAGCCCTTATTTCTTTTCCCATTTGATACTCCCTGCTGGTCGTGACTTTTTTTTTTATGTTCTAGTCTTTCAATAGCCAACCCATGGGCGAGTATTATGGTGTTCAATAGCAATTAATTGTACTTGAAGACCTTATAAACAGTTGAGAGAGAAGCTTTCGTTTTGGCTGAGGAAAACTTTAGATCCCCGAATCTTTGGGCTCTTATGTTCCTTGGACCGATGAGCAAGTGGTTCAATTATTTTTCCTGTATGCTATTTCAGATGTTATCCTTCAGTTGTTGACTGATTCCCTTTTATAAGGTTCCTCAGTAAGTTTAGTTGTCAAGACTGACGGCTTGCTAATGCCGGTGTACTTTATCATTTTGGAGCTCACTGTTGCCTTTGAAGTTGTGATTAGAGAGTTCGCTCTATAACGCAAGCAGGAAGCCAGCTAGGCATTCCTAATGCCTTGTTTACCTACCACTCTCAATAGGAGCTTATTTTTAACTAATAATTGGATAAATGTCCTTGTTTGCTTCACCTCTTAGTTTCACGAACAGTTCACTGTCTTCGCTGGTCTGGAGAGGAACAGTGATGCAACTACGATGAGGGGTCAGGGAGGTAGTGAAACAATGACCAAGTTTCGAAGTCGGACTGAAGCAACAAAAAAGCTAGCCAACAGTAAACAAGAGACCTCTCCCACCAACAAATCCAACATAGAAATTTGTGAACAAGGCTTCCAATTACTTCGATCTCAACTGAGGGTTGATGGAAGCTGTTCATAGAAGTCCGTCTTATCGATAAGCAGGGCCAAGGACATGGGAAAGCCAAGCCTGACCTTTGGCAAGGACCCACTCTCTGCTCTTGATCGGCCAACCAGCGCTTGGCACGATCTCGACCTAAGCTGGCCCCTGCAGCGAGTCGGACTGGGGCTGTTCCTGTTCTGGATGTGAGACTTCGTGGCCTCAATTGGGAGCACGGATCACTTTCGGCCATGAATTAGGGGCGCGCAGCTGCCGTGTGTCTGAGCTGGCAACTTTCGAGACAACTTTCAACCACCAAACTCGACCAACCTCATCGCATCCACGCCCTTCGTTCTCTCCTTCATTCGCCCTTTTTAATAAATTTTCGATACCCTTCTTCTTAATCACTCTGATTTCGCAATGGTATGTTTGACTGTCCTTCCATTTGCTGGTGCTGCTCGTGTCCGGACGGACAGATAGCATCATCTCGAACACAACACCTCCCCCGGCATTGACAGCAGCCCTTTCACCTCTCCTTTCCCCTTACCTCCCTCCAATTCGCTCTCTCCAGCTCAAAGCTAACCCATCCTCCTCCCACAGGCCTCCCCCCGCGCGACCTCCCCCGCCCCCGCCGGCGAAAAGGGTTCTGCCACAGGCGCCTCTACCTCTGCCTCCCCCGGCGTCCTGGGCGGTCCGCGCGGCTCGTCGCCCCCGCCACCGGGCGGCGCGCGCACCGCGATCCGTCGCCGCGCTGCCGCCGACCAAAAGGAGCGCTTGGCCAACCAGCGACCCAACAGCACGCGGGCGGCCGGCGCCGGCGGCTCCAGCAACACCATGCTCAAGCTGTATACGGATGAGAGTCCCGGTCTGAAGGTGGACCCCGTGGTGGTACTGGTGCTGTCGCTGGTGTTTATTTTTAGTGTTGTTGCGTTGCATAGTGAGTACTCTCCCCTTTTGTTTCTTTCCTTCGGCTTTGGGGGGTTTGGTGTGGGGCTATTAAAGTGGGAGGATGGGAGAATTGGGAGATGGGAGAGTTTGAAGATATCATGGCATTGCAGTTGACGAAGTGATGCTAATTTGCTGTGGACAGTTATCGCCAAGATTACTCGCAAGTTCTCGAGCTAAAGGGCTCGTCATGGTTGACGCGGGACTGGTGATGAGATGCAAGCTTGGGCGGATCAGCTGAAGAAGGAAGAGCGGTCATGCTTGGAGAGCAGCACTTGGTCCTCGGCCCAAACCTCATAACGACTATACGAACTCTTTAATTGACTGAGGACTTTGGGGTGGCGGAAATCAAGTCAGCAAATCTACTTCTTTGTAGACGGTCCAAGGCAAAGGCGAATATAACATTTGGCGGCGGCAGCGGCGTACAAACACTGGGGGTTCTTCGGAGGGGCGGATAGATAACATATACCTAGGGTTGACGAGATGGGAAATGCGAAACTACATCTTAAAGAGTGAGGTCTGAGCTTGGGGTACTCGGGTTCGGATCTGTCAGCACTGGGTGGTAAGAAGGGGGGTTCTTTGTGGTTGTATGATAAAACATCTAATGGGTCTAGTCTGAAAATTGGAGGTTTTTCTTTGGATGGGCATTTGTGCTTGACCCAGCATACGCATGCTGCGTGTTAGTGATTGCTATGTAAGAGTGCTTGTCGGCCTTGGGACGCAGTTCTCTTGATTTCATTCTATGGAGTGCCAGGGAGTCTCAACTTACGTGCCCGGGCTATATAAAGCCAGATGGTTGTTTGGGCGCTTTATGCTGTTCTTAAGCTGTGCAGAGGACTCTTAAGCTTCATCTGGCTTTCCAGGAAGCTGGTAATGCAATTGTTGACATCGTTGTTGCAATAATAATAAGAATAACAAGAAGAAGAAGAAGAAGAAGAAGAAGAAGAAGAAGAAGAAGAAGAAGAAGAAGAAGAAGAAGAAGAAGAAGAAGAAGAAGAAGAAGAAGAAGAAGAAGAAGAAGAAGAAGAAGAAGAAGAAGAAGAAGAAGAAGAAGAAGAACATATGAACGCAAGAGAACAATGCATTATTGAGTGCTATTTCCGACATTGCCCACCCCGTATGTGATTCTCGTGCACCGTTTGTAACAACTTTCTCAATTATATCTCTCGTGATCCTCTTGCTCATAATGATGACTAAGGTCCATTAGGCAATAGCCTACCTGTTCATCTGCCAGCCATTTCATTAAATAATGAGGACGATCATCAGCTCCATACGATTTGACCTTAGAAAACTCTTGAGATTTATGGTTATTGTGATACACAGGTTGAGCCTTGATCTGACCCAATGGTTTCACTGGAGGGATATGTATCCAATGTCTCTAATCATTTACATGGCTTTCATCAATAAGTGCTCTTCACACGCTACGGTTAAGCCTGCAAGTTAGTGCTTACTTTGGTCTCAGTTGCCGAGTTAGATCCTCGGTTCTGAGTCAAGGAGGGCTTAGGCTCGATTCAAGTAGCAGTTGTGTGACGACGGCATCTTCTGCCGGTTTTACCAAACTAATGTCCCCAGCCTCAGTCCGACGTAAATCTGTTTCCGAGAGAGTAGGCAGTTTACTGTTGTCTAGTAGTCAGGAGACTCCCTTCGCGGTAACTCGATGGGAGAAAGTAAAAACGTGACGTGCACTTGTTCTCGGTGGTAACCCCAGCGTCGTATGAAACTGCAAGAAGCGCCGCCAGCTTTGACTGGCCAAACCACTTGGGGGATGTCATGTGGTCAAGTATGTAGAGCAGCGTGCATCCCTGTATAGAGAAAAAAGGGAGCCGGCACAACAACCTGTCAGGCGGTCGGCGATACTCTCGGCGCCGGGGAGGGGCCAGAATAACATCCAGAATCCTGAAAATGCATGTTGGTCCTTCAAGAGTTGCAGACTGCTTCTAGAGAGGATGAAACGGACAGTTTTGACAACTGATCGCCCATTTTACCCGGATGCTCCAACCAAGACGGGAGCTCTTATTTTTTTTTTTTTTTTTTGCTTGTAACCGCATCCTTCCGCGTCTGCTGTGTTGTGGGTTGAATGTACATGTGGTACTAGTACAGGATGGGTTGACAGTGGCAAGGTGAACAGACAGACAGCAAGTCCATGTGGTCGGGACCGGTAAGACAAAGTGTTGTTGCGTGGTCTAGGGAGATTGTAATATAAAGGTGAAAGATGTGTGGTGGATGTTGGTTACCAAGCTGTCGGCGTGCACAGTGACGGGTCCTTTCGGCAGAGGACCAAGACCACAGGACTCGACGGTCGTCGTGCTGGTGTTGTCCTGAGTACGTAAAGGCTTCTCTAAATGCCATGGCAAACTGGACAGCTGCGCCAACGGGATGCTCTTTGGATGGAACCTGACGAGCGGCGCAGCGGGATGGCGGTTGGCCGGGGAGGAAATTCCTATCGGCAAAGACGGGCCTGCATTGCGGTGTTAAACGGCCCAGCCGGGTCTTGTTTGGACTTGGCCCGATAGAGTGAAGCAAGATCGAACTCTCCGGCCTGGGTAATAATATCTTTGGCCTTCCAAGATAAACAAAAGATCACTGGCCTACTTCGCCAGCTCGTATCTCCTGCCCTGATATATAATGGAAGTTCTTCGCAGCCAGCATAGTCGACAGCATATCAAGCTCGTTCGCGATGCCAACCTGATGCTGGTAGCGGTTCGCTTATAGGCTCGTGGAACGCCGGCTGGAAAAGAAGACGGCCAAGATCCGGAACAAAGGCTGCTAGCAACGGCATGGAGGAACGGGGGACCGCTCGCCATCTATCCAGGCGGGTGGGCCACGGGAAGCCCAAGCGAAGAGGCCGTCATTTTTTTTGTCTTAGATTTTACCCCACACTTCCGTGGCCGTGGGATCTTGTCAGCGTGGCACCCAGGATTGGGAGGAGTGGCCATGTTTATGAACAGGCCAGTGGCACGATTGGACGGGGCATCGATGTTTGGTAGGACTCGAGGTGGGAAGGCCCGACAACAGATATTGTAACCACACCAACGGGCACATGCAGGCAGCAGCAGCAGCAGCAGCAGAACCAGAAGATGCAGGCTGGGTAGGTCTGAGAGTGGGAGGTCGGCGATGTGTCGAGAGGGTTGTAGGGATGCTCTCCGAGCCCAAGGTCTGATTCCCCAGTTTTGAGACTGATCGGGGAGCCATGTGGCACAGGGCTGATCACCGTTCGCCCGTCCCAAACGTAGTTTTAGTGGCTAGTGTAGCCGCCACAAAGCTTGACGAGCAGCAACACACCAGCAGCAGCAGGCAGCAAGCCGTGCTGCTAGTGTGTGCGTCTTTCCCGGAGCTGGCTCAAGATTCTCCGAGGATCGCTGGGCCAGCGGGCGAAGCTCCAACAGCCACATGGAAAGGGTACGTTAGCGTTGAGCACCCCTATCGCAAGCGTTGCGACGCTTCGCTTGCGGATGGCTCGATAGGCTCAACGGACATGCAGCTTAAGCGCGGAAAAAAAAAAAGGGCAGGCAGAGCTCAACATTGCCAGGCTTGTTGTGATTGAGCCGAGTGGTGGGAGACGAGGGCGCCAGAGCACAACTGCCTTGCTTTGCAACGTTGCCGTCTTTGGAACCCCCAGCATCCATGGACGCCATCGCCGCGTGGTGCACAGATTATGTCATTCTGGGCTGGCGTCCTGCGATGGACGGCGACTTAACTTGCTGCGGATGATCTGTACACAGTACGTGAGATAGCAGATACCAACAGAGGCGCAAAGCCTCCAGGTACGTAAGCAATCTAAACGCCGCAATTTATCGCCAGCAGCTCTCGCAGCTCCAGAGAGGTAGCTGTCGCGGAGGTCTCGTCGGTCGCGGGCCTGACGCAACAAAAAAGGCCGCCTGCTGCTCGGCTCTTTGCGCCTGGTTTGGCATGCTCGTGGCTTGCCTGCAGAGCAGAAAACACCGAGTATGTTACATACATGATACACGCCGTGCAGCGCAGAGGGTGTAGTGTTTCCGCTGGGGATTGGCTCCGATGCAGCAGTCCAGGACGCCAGAGATGATGCCCCAACCCATGATGCTCCCTGGTTGGCACTGGCCCAACAGCCCAACGATGGGAAGGCTGTGATTGTGCCATGTGTGTGTGTGTGTGTGTGTGTGTGTGTGTGTGTATGTGTGTGTGGGCTGTGAGCGGGCGTTCATTGTAGGTGATATTGGGGGTCTTTCAGGTTGGCTCGTCAGTTTCATCCGGTGGGGTCTCTTATCCACAGTGGCCCCACGATCCCCGCCAGGAACTCATTCTGGAAACGAGCGGGATTTCCAATGGATGGGGCGCCATGGGGCACCCACGATGGGGGCCCGGGACCTGGGCGAATGATCGCCAACAAAAAACAGAAGCCAAAGAAGCATCCAAGGGTCGCCCACCGACCATCGCTCATCGCCCACACTTGTACCTGCCAGCACCGCAACCTTCCCGTTCCCTCATTCTTCGTCGCGGGAGGTTGATTTGGGATGCCCAGTGCCCCCCGTACAGCTGTGCGAGCGCCAGCTGCTGTCTCCGACACAATCTGACTGTTTGCACTGCTGCCTTTTTGCAGTTTGCTTCTGGCCCTGACAGCCGTGACCTGCTCCATTGTACTTCTGCCTTTCTGTACTTTGCGGCGCTCGGGCTGCTGTTGCTGATCGCTGGTCGCCTGTCTCGAGGGACCCTTCGATAACTTTCGGATCACGTCGTTTGATCTCGCGACTGCCTTGCAATCGCCTGCCTTTTTGCCTTTGCCTGCCCACTGTACACAGCAATCCACGCTCCCCACGGTTACCCACGCATGTCGCGATCCACTACTGCGCTTCCCTGGGCGCCCAAGTGACTCTGCGCACCACGAGTCTGAGAACTGTCTTGGTCCATCCAGCCGACACCCGTACGAACAAACACCTGCTTAAAGCGTCCTTCTAGCCTTCGTTTCCCACAGTTATTGGCCGCCGCTGCTGCTACCGCCACCAACGACGACCAGGACGACGAGGACGACGACAACGGACCGGCTGCCCTTAAGTTGCTTGCTGCCATTGTCGCCTGCGCCCCCCTCCTCCCCCCCCCCCCGCCGCGCGCCTCGGCTTTCCGAATGATAGACGACGGCCCTCGCCAACCCGCCCTGTTCGATCCCGACACTGCTCTGTATTGCTCACGCGAGTCCCCCAATCGACTTTGTCCCCGCCTGCCGAGTGACGCGCCGACGGTCCGGTGTCCTCGGCGCTCGCCATGGCGGGGTTCTTCCAAAAGCTCAAAGCGGCCGGCACTGTAAGTCTTCGCCGGCGATGTGCCCGTCGCCATGCCTGTCCTTCCTTTCCCTCCCTTCCCCCCCCCCCCACACCTTCCCCTGGCAGATGGATGTTGGGATACCGGGACACAGGGACACAAGGACACATGGCTACAGGACACAGAGCCAGAGGCGCAAGACAGCCCACTCTTGTGTCCAGCCTCGTGCTGTCCTTGGGTGACCCTGTGTCTTATCTCCCGCTGGCGTGGTCTTGATGCTGGGATCCTGAGCTGACAGTGGACTGTGCAGGGTATCTCGAGATCGGATAGCAATGCCTCCAAGAATACCAAGAAGGAAGATCCTACGAAGGACCTGTCGCCCGTTGAGAAGCTGCTGTACAACGCGGGCCCAATACGCCCAGACGGCAGCGACAAGTTCTTTGGGCTAGAGAATGTAAGGGCTTGCTCTTGGGAAGTCCAGTTCACTTACTATAGGACGCTAACCACAGTCTGCATGCTAGTTTGGAAACACTTGGTAAGCCGACCGCTCGAGAACCGGCGACGACCCCTCCCCAGTATGCTAACCGCCATTTTAGCTACTGCAACTCGATCGTCCAGGCGCTCTACCACTCGGAGCATTTTCGCGAAAATGTCATGAATTACCCCCCTCCAGCGCCTTGGGACAACCCGGACGAGCCGAAATCCAAGCTCAGCGTGACAGTACGCCCTCCACCACAACCAAATGGAACGGTTACTGGTCCAAGCAAGCCGGGGCAGACAGGAAGGACCTCTCTCAGCGGCGGTCAACTGGCTCCTAGTATGGGCCCTCTACGGCCCGAGGACAGGCCCGACTCCCCGGAGTACAAGAAGAAGCAGGCCATGCTCAAGGGACCTGTGCTGGATCTCACTCAAGAGTGCTCCGATCCATATGGCATGAAGGAATGTACCTTTACTGGGCTCAAGGATATCTTCACCGCCCTTATCGAGAGCCAGTCTAGGACGGGTGTATTAAGCCCTCAACGGTTTCTAGACATCTTCAAGCGCGACAACGAGATGTTCCGAAACTCCATGCACCAAGACGCCCACGAATTCTACGGGATCGTTCTAAACGACGTCATTGCGAACGTGGAGGAAAATGCCAAGCGGATGCAGGAAATCGCAGAGAGCAAGGGCATCAAGCTGAATCCAGAGGGAGAATCTGGGTCAAGGGCACCGGGCACGGGCTGGGTGCATGACATCTTCGAAGGCGTACTAACCTCGGAGACCAGATGCCTGACCTGTGAGACAGCATCACAACGAGACGAGACCTTCCTCGACCTGTCGATCGACTTGGAAGAGCACTCATCGGTTACTTCATGCTTGCAGAAGTTCTCGGCCGAGGAGATGCTGTGCGAGAGGAACAAGTTCTTCTGCGATCATTGCGGCGGTCTGCAAGAGGCGGAAAAGCGCATGAAGGTCAAGAAGCTACCCAAGATCCTGGCCCTGCATCTGAAGCGGTTCAAGTACACCGAGGACTACAGCCGGTTGCAGAAGCTCTTCCACCGAGTTGTCTACCCATATCATCTGAGATTGTTCAACACGACCGACGATGCCCAGGATCCCGACAGGTTGTACGAGCTGTACGCTGTCGTCGTTCATATCGGAGGCAACGCCTATCACGGACACTACGTCGTCGTCATCAAGACGAAGGATCGTGGCTGGCTGCTGTTCGATGACGAGATGGTCGAGCCGGTCGACAAGCACTTCGTGCGCAACTTCTTCGGAGACAAGCCCGGAATGGCCTGTGCCTATGTGCTGTTCTACCAGGAGACGACCTTCGAAAAGGTCAGGGAAGAGTTGGATGCTGAAGGATTGGATGTGGATCAGATCAAGCCCGCGGCGAAAGTGCCCAATCTCGCCGCAACTGCCGAGGTCAACGGAGAGCCAGAGTCGAACGAGGTGCCTCTTACTAGGATTAAGACGCAGCCATTGCCCCCTCTGGCAGAAGATGAGCTTTCGCCATTACCGAACGGCAAGGCGATCAAGGGCGGCGGCGGCGATAGTCCAGTTGATTCGATCCCGCATTCGCTCTCTCGGTCTAGATCTCAGCCAGTGCTCGTCTCGTGGTCCGGTTCCTCGGATGTCCCACATGAACCCGATAAGAGTGAGCCTGTTATCGCATCGTACAAATCAGAGAAAGAGAGGAAAAAGGAGCTAAAGGCTCAAGAAAAGGCTCAGAAGGCCCAGGAGAAAGCCCAGAAGGCGGCCGAGAAGGAACAGGCACGCCTTGCGGCCAAAGAGCGCCAGGGGAACCTAAGAAAGGCCCAGGAAGCCGCAAAGGAGTGCGAAGACCTGCAAAAGGCTATCGAGGAGAGCAAGCGGATGGCCGCGGAGGAAGAGAAGCGACATAAGCGCGAGGGCTCCGAGATAGCTAGCTCCGATGGCGGCGACTCACATCAACATCATCATCATCATCAGCAGCAGCAGCAGCAGCAGCAGCAGCAGCGTCGTCATCACAGCCAGAGCTTCCTCAGCCGCGCCAGCCGGACCGGCAAGGCTATGACCCGCAAGAGCATCGCCACGTTCATTAATAAGGCCTTCCTGCCCGAATACCCCGACATGGCACATACCGATCACCACAACCACAAGGTTGTTGTTCCTGAGCGTCCTTCCGACGTAGCCAGTTCCTCCAAGGCTAGCGACCGCACCGTGGCTGCTACCGATGTAACGGGCGCGGGCACAGCAACACCTGCCGAGAGCGAGATCTCCCACCCGACAACGATAACCTCCATGACTACCGCCAGCACCATGCCATTGCATCACCAAAATGGCACCGCCGCTGCTGCCGCTGCCACGACTATCCTCGCCAATGGCGATGTTACCAAGCCAGGCACAGCAGCAGGTTGTAACTTGGAGGCCTTGTCGTCCTACCCCTCCCGCACCGATACTGCTGTGTCGTCCGGGGCGGGCGCGCCGCCGCCTTCCTCGCACCACTCTCACCATTCTGCTTCTGACCACCACAACTACCACCATTATCATCGGTTTTTCCACCGGCATGATAAGGACAAGGACAAGGATCACAAGGACAAGGAGAAAGATAAAGAAAAGGAAAAGACGCCTCTCAAAGAGCGCTTCCATTTCGGTCTGGGTAAAAAGAAGAGCGGTGTTTTGGGCGCTGGAAGTAATACGTCTCTGTCTTAGTTGGGCAGAGACAGTTGCAAAAGGGCGAACGGCAAGAGGCGGAGAAGTGACGCGGTGTGTTTGGTTTGTTGGGCCGAAGGGAGAGGGTCCTTTGATGGGGGGAAGAATATGGGGAGTTCGGAGGGATGATGGGGTTTTGGATTGGTATAGACTTTTGTCCCTGGGGGTAATAACAGAGGAGAGTATTGTTTGTTGGAACGGGATAGGTTTGATATTGGGAGGATTGGTTGGTTGGCTTGTTTTGTGAAGGAAGGAGGAGGAGGGAAGAGGGAAGAAAGGAGATGACTGACTAGTTGGCTGGTTTAGGGACCTAGTCGGCTCGTCTGTCTGGTTGACCAATCAATGGATTGTAGTATCACAAGCAGGTATCTTAGTTCTTAGGATACGTTAGGTATATACTAATCCGGGAAGAACAAATGGACGATGGGACAACAACCGTTGACCTTGGCTGAGTTCCGGTTGGATGATGCCTGTCTCTGACGATATCCGTCGTTGACGGACTGGGTTGGGTAAAATACTTCTTTTGTTTCGGTGGGCTACCGACCTTTGGTTTATCCTTCCACTTGATGCAGTTGAGGACTTGATGGCTTGTTGGTTCGTAGACGATGCTGCAGAGTTTGATGGATGTCATTACTAAGCACGAGTTAACGTAGGGAAGTAAGTGGTTGAGCTAGACATAGGCCCAGCAAACCTGGAGGGGTGTCAAGGCTTGTTTAATCGTCCCCAAGATCACGATTTGAAACCAGGACCATACAGCTTGCCAACCTCATTCATGTGTGTCTTCATTAAACCTAGTGTTGATTTCCACACAACATAAGACCTGCTTCCAACGTACTACCGCAATATCCTTTCCCAACCAGGCATCAAACATTCACATCGCCCATAACCTCCGCTGCCCCCTCTTCACCCCTATCAAGATCCCCGTCCCTCAATCAACCCAGGACCAACTCATATACTATGATCAACGTGTTTATAATAATCAAAGGTACCCTCATAACTGTCCTCACGCTTGCTGTCAACTGAATAAGCTTGTATTTCACTCCGGTGTCGACTTCTTGGCCGAAGGCGCGGTGGTATGTTGCGGGGGTTAGACCAACTAGGAGACGGCGTTAGCGCTTCCTCAAGCTCAGTGATTCTTGCTTGCTTCTTGATTTGGCTTGAGGATGGTTGTAGAATTCCAGGTCTCGCAGTGCTTAACGCGTAGATTACAACGAGGTCTGAGCTAGGATGACGGGTCGGGAGAAGGGGCTCAGGGTCCAAGAAGGTGATTATGGGGAGCGCATACCACGTGCAAGAAACCGGTCTTCACTCGGGATACAAATCGCATTGAGCAGGAGGACGGTGACTGTACGGAGCTCTGTCAGCATCTGCTCACCATTCAGTGCGGTCAACATTAAGAGAGTTTAACGGGTCCATACTGTAAAGGAGCTTCCCCAGGATGGACATCTTGGTTGAATTGTGTAGGAATGCGTCTGCCCCGACGGGCTTATCGAGTGGTAATTGAATAAATACAGGTCGGGTTTGGCTCTTGTACAAGGTACTAGCTCTGGCAGTTTGCTATGATGGTGTCGTCGCTTTCAGGAAGCTCTCGTTGCTCTGGTTCAGTGCCTCCTACAACGTTCTCGGGCAGTTCGTTCCTCGTGCGGTCGTTCCCAATGCCAAGCGCAGCTATCAAGCGATTCTTTGTGCTACAGTTGAATCGAATGCGGCAACAAAACTGTGTGCCAGCAGATCCAGGCGCAAAACACTATGCTCCAAAACCAGAACGGAAGGTTGCTGTCGCTTGAAGTTCAACGGTGGCCGTTGTCATGACGGGGAACAGGGATGGGGACACGGGGAAGAGAAAGCACAGACCGTCTAACGACGCCAGCCAAGACGCTGTTATAACCCTAACCCTGGTTTACTAGCATTATGTGAAGGAAGATTTGAACTCCCCCGAGAGTTTTACAACCTGTACTCTACATGCTTGTTTCACGTGCTCTCCTTCTCTCCCGCAATTGTGTTTCGTAAAATAGTATATGGAAATGTCATGCTTAAATCAATCATGTAAGAGAAACAAAAACAAACAAGTAACAGAGCAATGTCTTCAGCAGAAGAATATGAACAGACATTTTTCACGAACACGGCACTTCATGAGAAACCAAAACTCGAAGCCAAAGCAAACAGAAAAAGTTGACTTCAAATGAAGCGTCTCATTTCCACAAAAGCTCGATATCCATATCCAAACATGCCAACAACATCCCCTTCCCTGAGGGGTGTTAATGCCCATGCCATCATGGACAGACTAGAAGAGGAAGATGAGAAGCCAGTCCGGCTCAGTAATGTTAGCCAACCAATCCATAAGCTCAAGTTAGGTCATCGAATCCTCCAAACCAGTCAACAGACCAACCATTCAACTAACCGGTAGTGTGTAAAAGTGTGTAAAAAGAAGAAAAGAAAAGACGCCGGACAAACACAATACACCAACAGATAAGAATCATCATTATTCTTCCATTACCGCCACCATGATTAGCCCAACCATACCAGCCAGCCAAAACCAACCAACCGACATCAAATATTCCGGTAGAGAAAGAGAGCATGCCGATGTCCCATCTCACCAACCATAACTCAAAGAACCAACAGTCCAAGAAAGCTAGCGGCATGGGGGAACAGGGGTATGAAGAAAACCTATCATCGAACAAGCGAAACGAAACGAAAAGAGGAAAAATTCCTGTTTCCATGCCAATCAAAAAAAAAAAAAAGAAAAGAAAAGAAAAAGAACGATAGGATAACTCTCATTTTTTGGTATCTCTCAAGCCAAAAACCAGCCCAGCCAAGCCAAAACCGACCGACCGACCGTAACATCATTAACAGCGACAGAGCAGTAAAAGTAAAATAATACTAGTAGTAGGAGCAGCGTGCAAACCAAAACTGACCAAGCAAGCAAGCAAGCAACCAACCAACCCACCAACCAACAAAACGGAGGGTAGGAGTATAAGATAAGAGAGAAGGGTAGAGGAGGGGGGGGGGGAAGAACGAGTACCGCAACGTCGAAGCGAAAATCACACCTCGAAACAGCTACTCATGAAGTTACAACTCAATCAATCACTCATCATCGCCATCAATCAAATAGCCTCACGGCCTAGCCAGCCCCTTCATTTCTCCTCACTAACAACACCGCCATTTCCATTTAACACACTCTCGAACTCGGTAAACCTCGGACTGGCCAGTGGCAAAGGCGGCAGCTGAGGGGGGCCGGGGGATGGCAAAGGAGAATCAGACGTCATATATTGATCGTTGGCGGCATCGTCGGGCGGCAGGGGTCCGTAGCGGGCCTCGTAGCGTTCGAGAAGGGCCAGCTTGGCCTGCAAAGTGTCGAGGACAGAGGCCATGGGGGCGCGCAGGTCGTTGAGCTGGCGCAGGCGGTCGCTGGAGAGGATGATGTGGCGGATGGCGAGGGTTGCGACGCAGGTCTGGGTAACAGTTAGTGTCAATTCGTTCAATCAAGCCGGTGAGTTAAGGGAAGCAGGGAAAAAAAAAGAAAAAAAAACATACCTCGATCCGGCTAACCTGATGCTCCAAAAAGTTCAACAAAAACCTCTCCGTGACCTCCCCACCGCGCTGCCTCATTCGCTCCATCAACTCCGTCTCCGGCGGCTGCAAGCCCCTTCCACTCATATCCTCCAGCGAACTGCACAGCATCTCTAGCCTGAGTGCAATCCGCCATAACCCCCACACATTTTCCGGATCAAACGACAGCTGGCTATCCGGGCTCAACCTAGCCGGCTTCTGCTCCGCCTCCTGGCGCTGCTTCTGGTTGAGGTTATGCATGTCGATGCGGCCAGCCAGCGCGTGCGGATACAGCGAGTAGATGTACTCGGGGTTTTCGAGACCCTTCAGCTTCATCTCGCCCATATCTTTGACCTCAAAGCCCTGGCTGCTCAGCTCACGCAGGTTCTGGCGGATGGACTTGGCGAAGGGGTCGTTCTCGTCGTCGATCTCCATGCCCTCTTGGTAGGTCTCGAGGCAGCGTTGGATTTCCATGATGAAGTCGGAGGAGACGGTAATCTGACCACCATCCGCGCATGCCGAGATACGGCTCGCCTTGTTGACCATAGGACCGAAGTAATCCATGCGGCGGGTAACCGGGTCAGGCTCGGCGAGGGGCTCGCCCCAGTGGATGCCCATGCGCACCGAAAGGCCGCGGAAGATAAGGTTGTTGTTGCGATCGAATATGGGCGCGCAAATGACTGAGTTGAGCATCTCCGCCGGCCAGTTGAGGCTCAGCAGGTGGATCTGCACAGCAAAACACCACAGCAGTGCGGCCGTGGCGGTCTGGAACGAAACCATAAACGCATCACCTTCCGTCTTGACCTCAAATCCACCAATCCTCCTCAACTGCCTCCTCATCGTATCGTTATGCAACTTAATCGCCGACCGCATCGCCTCAGGATACATCTCCCATAACTGGGTCGAATTCTTGATATCCGTAAACACGATGGCAATCATACCGGTCGGGGCAGGCACCTCTGCATCCAGCCTCTGCAGCGTGGAATCCAGCGGACCATCCACCTTCGCCTTCTTGCCCCTGCGTGTCGACAGCGCCATGCTATCATCAGGCGGGAAGTTGAACCACGACATGCTCTGCCCACGATGCATGCGCGAGCGCTCGCGGCGCCGCTTAAGATCGGCCACGCTGAGCATCATCACCATGATCTTGTTGGTGGCGCCGTAGGCCATGGCCAGGTCGCGGATCTTTTGCGAAGCGCGCATTAGGTCACCGCGCACGGAGCGGTAGACGTCGACGACGAGTTCCGGAGTCAAATACTCCCAGACTTCGCGGGTCGCGACGAGGATGGCCTCGTCCTGCTCGGTGATGCTGTGATGCTTGACGTGCGGCGCGGCTTGCACGGCCGGCATCATCTCCGAGTAGCCAAAAGCGCGGGAGACTTCGAGGGTATCGTTCAGCCGTCCGTTGCGCGAGACCCAACCGCCGGCATCGCGGATGCGCGAGCGCTCGTGGGGATCGGCCGGGTCGTGCTTCTTGGTGAGCATCTTGAACTGGCTGTCGGTGTGGATGAGCATGGCCTGGACGTCGCCGACATTGGCGACGTACAGCTCCTGCTCGTTGAGATAGACCACCGTCGCCACGCTACCCGAGTTGAGATCCTCCTTGCTGAGCACAACCGAGTACGACGAGCGATTCTGCGTAGAGGTAGCCGCATTAATCAACTCCTTATTCAGCGCCAGGAACGCACGCCTGAGCGCATCCTCCGGCGTCTCGCCCTGCGCGGCTCTCAGGTCCCTCAGCTCGCGACTAAAGATCCTGCCAAAGTTCTCGTGCAAGAACTTCGCGATCTTCGACCCCCCACTGCTCAGCGCCTGCCCATCAAACAAGGCCATGAGCAGCTCAGCATCGTTTGAATTGAACCTCGGCACGACCAAGTCCACAGTCGACAAATGCTTGTTCTTCCCCAGTGTATCCGCCATGCCGTACGGCAGATATCCCGCCATGGAATCCGACGTCCTGATGCGGCGGTCCTCGTTTTCGTCAGGCACACTTGGATCGAGCACGGTGACGTCCATTAGACCCAGGACGCGTAGGTGGACCAGGCGGTTGAAATCCTCATACTTCTCGCGACCCTGCGAGGCGCCGCTCGGATACGTCGGCTTGATCTCCAGGCGGCGGTTGCCCGAAAGGTTGAGATAGCGCAGGTTGGGGTTGAGGTTCCAATTCCAGTCGTAGGGCACGTTGGCGATGTTGTACTTGAGCGAGTTGCTGCCGCAGTCGAGCACCGCGAGCTTCTTGGCGCGCTGGATGTCGGCGGGCAGGTTGGTGAACTTGTTGTCGTTGATGTGCAGCGTCTGCAGCATGGAGTACTCCTCCAGGTCGTCGGCGGGCAAAGTGGTGAGATCGTTGCCTGAGAGATAGAGCTCCGTGAGCTGCGACCAACTCTTGATCGACCGCTGCGGCATGTCTGTGAGCGAGTTGTACGAGAGATTGAGGACGCGAAGCTCTTGGAGGTGGACGAGCTGCTCGAAGACGTCGTCATCAATGTGGTTGTCCGCGAGGTACAGATACCGGAGAGACCCGGCAAAGGTATGCGTAATCAGCGTCGACAGGTTGGAATCCTTCCTGTAGCTAGGACCACCCATGGACGTAGAGACGCTGCTCTGGGTGCTGCGAGACACGACCGACGTCTTGCGACCGCCCTTGCCATACAGAGACACCATCGACCCCTTGCGGTCACCAGCTCCGGGTACCGGCGAGGGACCGACACTGAGGAGCGTGCTCGAAGCCTGACTTGGCCTCCTCGAAGCATCCCCCCCCCTAAGCTCCTCCGAGCTAGGCATCGGCGAGAGCCCGCGGCCCGCGACAGACTTCTTGCTGTAGAGCGAGTTGGGCGTGCTGGAGGGGTCGCCCGGGGGTTGAGGAGCACGAGACGCCGGCTTAGGGAAGTTCTCGAGCAGGTTCGAGGATGCATTGAGGGTCTCCAACTTGTTGGCCCACCACAGCTCCGTCGGCAGCTTGCGGATGTTGTTGCCATGGACATCCAGCACACGCAGCTCCGTCAGGCAACCGATCTCGGGGGGCAGCTCGCCGATGGTGTTGTGCGCTATGCTGAAGTGATCAAGCCTGCGAAGATTACCGATCTGATTGGGCAGCGACACGAAGTAATTGCGATCGAGGATCAGCCGCTCAAGGTTCAGCATGTTGTTGAAGGACTCGTCGATGCTGGCCAGCTGGCAGTTGGATAGGTTCAGGACCTTTAGCGTAGGAACGGGCTCGCGGAGTTCGAACTTGGTGATGGGATTGGAGTTAAGCTTCAGGCTCCGGAGTCGAGAGAAGGTACCGACGAATTGCGAGATGCTGTTGTGGTCGGCAGTGAGAATCTCGAGCTTGGGCAGCTGCGCGACCACATCAATATTCGTAATAGCGTTATATTTGAAATTCAATTCGCGCAGGCTCCCCAGGTTTTTAAAGGATTCTGGGAAGGAGCCGGTCAAGCGATTGTTTGTGATGACAAACTTCTCCAGACTCCTGAGATTGCCAATATTGTCTGGCAGCGTGCTGATGAGGTTGAAACTCAAGTCAAGGTCGACCAGGTTCTCCAGGTCACAAAGGAAACTGGGGAACTTCTCGAGGAAATTGGACGAAACGGTCAGCGTCCGCAGCAGCGTGTAATTGGCGAAATAGGTGGGAAGGGACTTCAGGCGATTGTTTGCCAGGTTAAGCTTGAGCAAGCCCCTGAGGTCGCCCAGTTCCGCGTGGTCCAGCTGGTCGAGACGGTTATTCGACACATCGAGATACGTCAGTTTCTGCGCACAGCTGAAGCTCGGTGGTAACCTGCGAGCCTCGTTGTTGGTGTACTTGATGTCCTTCAGGCCCGAGCAGGCCTGGATGAAATCACGCGGGACGTCCAGTGAAAGGTTCCGCGACAGGTTGAGAGAAATGATATCGGGTGCCTTTCCGTAGAGCGGGACGGGGATGGTGACGAGATTGCGACCAGAGAGGTCGACATGGATGAGTTTCTGCTGCATGCGATTCAGTCCGACGTCGTAGGTGCCATAGTGGAAGTCGCTCTCCCGGATGGAAAGGAACATGAAGCGACAGATGTAGCTGTTGTCGTCTCGTCCGATGTCCTCTATTCGATCCCGTTCTTCGTATCCGACCTGCTGGAGCAGGCGCTTTTGTATCAAGAGCGGACGCTCGGCATTGTTCAGCACCCGTATGAGATTGCGCCTCTTCATTACGATGTGGTAGTTCTCGATGCCATCGATGCGATACGTCTTCCTGACGATAGTGGAAATGAGATCGTGCACGGTCGCATCGAGGGCCATCTGGAGCGTGACAAAGGTGTCGTCCGCCCTGAACACGCGGATACAGTAGTTGGTCAGCTTCTCCTCGGGCCGGGGTAGGACGGTGATGTCGTCGACTTCGGGGGCCTGCGTGGAGTTATCGCGCGGGCGGACGCCCCAACTGTCAGGGGCAAACCAGGCGCCACTCGGGTCGGACTTGATAGGTAGCTTGTCAAAGTCTAGGTCATTTATCAAGTCAGAATCCATAGGTGTGAGCGGCAGCGGCCGGCTAACGATGCCCTCCATATCGTTGAGGTTCGTGTCCAGATGAAACACTGTGCCGACCTCCTGTTTATCGGTGGGCCCGATGTTCTCATCGTCGTCATGCTGCCGCGAGCTGCGGCTCTTCTTCGAAAAGGGGAACTTATTATTGAATGTTGCGCCGCGACCATACGAAGGGCGTGGCCCAAAGAACTCACGAGGATCGGGAGATACCGGCCACTCTGACCCTTCAATCGACGCCGCGGCCGAGTCTTGCCTAGATGGACGCGACCCGAGAGAGTTGGAGGACGCTGAAAACTTTTTAAGGTCGGCAAGATCGTACTTCTCTTTGTGGTGTTTGCGGAAGCGAGGCAGAAAGCGGCTGCGTTTAGATTGATGGCCGGGTGACGTTTGTCCGTCGCCGCCGGTGCTTCGTGAGCCCCAGTAGCTGCCATTGGCGCTCGGAGCCGGGCTCTGCGCCCGTGATCGGGATCCGTGCATGATAGACGAGCCGCTGCGCTCTTTCGGAATACTCGATATTGAATCTTCCCTGCTGATGGAGGGCCTGAGGGCTCGCGGATCGTCGTTACTCTTGTTGTGTCGATGGCTGTGGCCGCCGAGATGGACGATGGAGTGGCCGGAGCGTCCAGAGCCAGATGTTTTCGGCGGATTCTGTGATCCGCTGTCACTTATGAAGCGTTCGCGATCCGGACCGGTGAGGACTTCGCGAACGGGTGCTTCGCCATACTTGGCAATATCCTAGTAGGAGGAAGCAGGCAGGTTAGAGCTGATCAGGGGATGGGTAGGATGCAAGGTGTGGCAGCGCCTTTCTTCTGGAAGCGGCATCAAAGAGAAACGATTGGTCGACAAAAATGTGACCCCTCCTAAGCCCTCAACTGAAAGGAAGGAATGGAAGAGTGGTAGACGGAAGGGGATAAAGACAAAAAGGCTCAGGTCGCGTTGGGGGAGGGAGGGAAAAGAAGGAAGGGAGAAGGAAGGGAGAAGGAAGGAAAGGATGCCCCCGGGGGGGGGGGGGGAGAAGGGGAGAGGAAGGAAGGGAGGGAAAAGCAGGTCTGGGCAAATCGGACGACAAGGGGAAGACGCATACCTCGACTTCTTGGTAGAGGAAAGGCACAACTTCGGGGGCGGGCACCGGCGTGCGGGGCCTAGAGCCAGATGGGGACGCATCCCTGCCGTGGTCGGTAGCGTTGGAATAGTTTCGGTCACGGTGGGGACGGCTGTAACTATACGAATGCGAACGGTGCTCTTTCCCAGCCGTTGGAAAAGGCAGGCTGAATTCGGACGAGTCTCGGCCGGGGAATTCCTCGCCGAAGAAGCCCTGCAATTTGCGGAGTCCTCCCCGCGCGCCGCTTGTTCGAGAGCCTTGGCTGCTGGCCGTGGTAGCTATGCTGACGACCGAGGGACGTCGATCGTCTGTGAGGTAGGCAAACTCAGGCGAATCAACAAAGGTAGCTGGCGTGCGCGAGCTCGGCGGCGGGCGGCTGCTTGAAGTAGCGGGCACGTTTGGAGACACCTGCGAGCTCAGGGAGAGGTTATCGGTCGAGTCATTGTAGAAGGTTGTGGTTACGGGGTCGTTCGGTGAGAGGCCGGGGGCGGAGCTGTTGGCGTCGCCGGCTATCCATGACGACGATGACATCGCTGACGGTGCGTTCTGCTGGGCGAGAGAGCCGGAGGATGGGCTTGTGTGTTGGCCCCTGGCCGCGCGGCTGGCGGAGGGGCCCTCGAGTATGGCTAGGTCGCGACGGTGTTCAAAGAGATCGCTCATGATATGTTCACGCATCGACGAGTTCGTTGATGAGGTTGGGAGCCCAAATGGGCGCGAACCGTTCGAGGTCGGAGAGACCTGGCCTTCGGATTCTTTAACGGACCTGCTGGGTGTGGGCGCGTAGAGCAAAGAGCCCCTCGTCAGCTCCAAAGTTCAAGCGCTTTCGATCTTACAGCTGAGTCTTTTGAGACACCTAGGGCAACAGATGGGCAAATATGGGCAGATAGATGAGCAAGCGGCCGGGTCGCAGGCTCGAATGGGAGCAGGGCCAGACCGCCGTCTCTGGCAGATGCCGTGACAATGGCAATATGGACACGGGGGACGGGAATGGCAACGGCGGGCCAAGTTCGGGAAGGTCTGCTTGTTGATGACGGGGATGCCGGAGTGGAGCCAATGATGGGCTCATGGAAAGTGACTGGAGCAACTGGAGCACAGAAATGTGGGCGACTCACCGTCCAGGATACCCGCTGTCTTCATCAGTCTTGAGTCGCGACGGGGCCCCTCGCCGCGATCCGTGCGTGGCAAGGCGATGAAGAGCATTACTGCTGCTGTGACTGCTGCTGACGCCGAGGCCGACACTGGCAGCAGCTGTCGCAGAGGGTACGGCATTTGACTCGGGCGGCAACGAGGGCAGCGGCTTCGCGGTGATGCTCGATATCGCACTGTCGGTGCTGGAGCCCGTCATGGAGCTGCGACGGGCGCTATCGTCGGGTCGGGGCATCATGGATCGTCACCAATGCCAAACTCTGACCTTCCACTCTGTGACGGGGTCGAGGACAGGGACGGATGGGGATGGGAATGGGGATCGAGAAGAAAACAGAGGAAGATGACGGGAGCTAAGAGGTTGAGAGCGAGCAAGCTGCGGGTTCAGAGTGCGGAGGCCATTCCACCGTTTGCGTTTGCGGCTGCTGGGATCCAACGTTGAGAGGGCTGGTGATGGTGTTGGTAGGTACTTCGCGGGCGTGCTGCTTCCTGCTTGTTGCTTTTCCTCAGGTCATTGCTGAGCGTGTCGCCAGACAGTCTGCCAGGATAGATGGTATGCGGCTTAGTCGGTGTTGCCAGCCCCAGCTCTCAGGTCGTTCGGTTTCCAGTGGATGCAGCTGAGCAGACTGCTCGGACGCTGGAGCGAATTGCTTTAATTGTTTGGTGCTTTGTTATGCTGGTGGCTGCTGGGTCTGGACTTGAATGTGCAGTGTGCAGTGTGCAGTGTGCAGTGTATGCGATGCGGGCGGGTAGACGGGCAAAGAGCCACGGCAGACTCTCTCTCACACAGCGCAGAGGAGAAGCGGGCAACGGGGCCAAGCGACGGGGGAGTCAGAAATGACGACGTGCTGTGTGGATGGAAGCTTGGATGAGGCGACGGCCCACGGCCCACGGCCCAGCAGCGCAGGGCACAGCAGCACTTTTTGGACGCTGGACAGCGGGCAACCCCTCCTTACGGGCCAAGCTTGTGCTTGCGCTGGGCTGCTCGCTGCTCGCGGGACTGTGGGCCGGCATGCCAGGCACGTAGGTGGGACCCCGCTACTCCACAGTTTCACTTCCACTGGCCACTGACCTGGCAGCCAGCCGACAGGAGGGAGTAAAGCCCAGCCTGAAGCTCTCCTCCTCCCCCAGGAATGGAAAAGCAGGCTGTGCGGAGACTTTAGCCCCACGGCGTCTGAGACCGCGAACAGAGTCGTTGGGGATTGGAGGTTTTGGAGGCTGGCCTTGGATGACGCACATCATGCCCAGGTGCGATGTGTGTACTGAACTAGCCATTGGTACTGAGAGCCAATGACCTTTTGTTTTGGCGCCGACACGGCAGGAGTCCACCGGCAGTAATTGACAACCGATACTGTGGTAACTCACTGGGCCCTGCAGCCTGCAAACCAGCCTAGGAAATAGCTCGCCGCCGAGATCAGCATATGCACACAGGTCTGTACAGTAGATGCTCCTTCAGGGCAAACGCGGCCAGCAATCCAACTCTGCGATCCGCAATCCCGCAAGAAGTCGGTACCTACAAGGGGGGTTTGAGCAACAAATGGGAGCTGCGGGACAACATCCGGCACAAACCGGTGGGGTCCAGCGTCTGTCGAGCCCCCTCGCTGCTCGCTACTCTCGCCCACCGCATCGTGGTCATGGGTCGAGATGGATGATCGAACTCAGCCATGTGGTTTACCTAATTCGTCCCAATTTGCCCATCTATGTCCTTATCGATTCCCAACAATGCGCGCTGCTTGCGACGAAAAAGGGCTCATGCCGAGGTAGAGTCGTAGGACTCCCATCCCAAACAAACGCCTTCTCTATCAGAGAGGCAGAGCGACACGATCTCCAAAAGTCCCTAGGCTGACCGACCAGTCTGGGGCACCATGGCCCCACCATCACCGGGAGCTCGGGTCCGAGCCTTTCCCGGGTCTTCCCTCTGTCCTTTGCCAAGCAAGCAATGTTCCCCCCCCTTGTTGAGCAGGGCAATCATCATGTGATCAAATCCATCATTCAAACCCTTTTTCCCCCGCCCCCCCCCTCCCCCGGGGCCCGCACTTTCCTGAAGAGCAGAGGCCGTTTGAAATTCTTGACCTTTGGGTTTGGGTCTTGTCGAGAAAAGGCAAACCTTGAGAGAGTGAATGCACGCCAATCAATACTGGAATCTGGTGGCCCGTGCATCCTTTGGTGTCTCTCCAGGCGCTTGGTTGGGAACGCCAAGACGCCTCCCCGATCTGACCATCTTCCGAGACTCCACCTGCCACGCTCTTCTCCACCCGATCTGAGGTAACTTCCCATCGTCCCCCGATACACTAACCAGGCCATTAGAATCCGGCTTGTCGTTGACAGGGGGCAACAAAAGTCGATAGGCAAATGTCACTGATACTTAAGCAATCGTTGAACGGCAATAGTTATGTCTAGACGTAGAGTCGCTCATGTCTCTTATCCCATATTTAGCAAATTCAGATCTCGCCGTTTTAGCAGTTGCTGGTGCAGCTCTTTGTGCTACCCACCAACCTCCTTACAGACGTATATTTTGCATGAAGAATGAGCCTCGTAGACTTTGGAAAACGAGACTTCCTTATGCCGTCACGAAGTCCATATTGGTCCCGCTATTGTTGACTCCAATCTCTATCCTGGCTGTCACGGTTCTCCCCAAGGAGTCAAGCCAGGTCAAGTTGTTGAGGTGTGGTATCATTTGCTGTGACTACGCTAGCGGTACAAGCTACCCTGGGCACTCTCCACGATTGACTCTCTTAACCTTTTCCGTAAATATTACGTACACTACTCGTGTGCATCTATAGTGTGCCAGCCAATACCAACCAGTGTCCAATGAAGGTGACAGAAACAGCGACTAGCAAATCACAGGCAGGAAGCCCATCGGCTCTGCTCCCTCAAGCAACTTCCTATCCTCAGGCCCGACCCTTAGTCGTCCTGAGACCCGCTGTCAACGTCGCCGTCGTCACTGAAGTCTTGCTGTTCTCTTTCACTATTCGCCTTGTCGTCATCGCTATCGACATTCACAACATCGGCAATCTCATCGTTCAAGAGATCACCAACCCACGAGCTCTCCTCCAGCACCTTCCGTGCCTCCTCTTCGCCGACATTCATGTCCTCCATCACGAGTCGCATTGCCAACTCCGGCACCAAAACAGACTGCAGGAACCTCGTGGTTCCACGGGCTGACACCAACTTGTCCAGCACCGCTCGCTCTCGCAATAGACCGGAAAACTTGCTGATCAAGTTCTCCGACATATGCTGCAACCCCCGAATGCCGTAATACCCAGGTGTCAGGTTGACATCGGAGCGAAGCAACGTCTTGTTGCCTCCGTCCTTGATACTGTCACTGAACTTTTCCCTGTAGTACGACGGCTTGCGCAACTCGAGAATGTCCCGCAGCACCGGGTAGTACTTGGCGATGCGCTCGTCGAGCTTCGACCAGTTGATGTCCGGGTAACCCTTATTGTTCCAGGTCTCCCGGGCGGACTTTTTATTGTGCTGTTCGCAGAAATTGCGCATTGCGGCAACTGTGGTGAGTGAGTGTTCCTTCTTGAAAGCTTCAAGAAGCTCTGCGGAAACTTCTTTCTGGCAGAGAGGACATTTCGGTATTGCGAAGAGATCGGATAAGTCTGTCATTGGCGAGTCCGAGCCGGAAAGAGACAGCACATCGATCGATGTCGTCTTGTCAGTGGATGAGGGCTTGTTGGCGTTCGCGGTCCCCGCTTCATCGTCAGACATTCCAGGTAGAGGTGGGGGCATCCTGAAGCCGGTGATCGGCTTCTCAGGAGTATCCCCAGGTAAATCTGGCGGCCGCTTAAAGCCTGTGTCAGGGGTAGAGTCGCTTAGGGGAGGCAAAGATGGTGGTCTTATGAAGCCCGTTCCTGTTGACTTTGGCTTCTTTTTTCGTTCGGGTGTCTTCTCCGTACTCGGACAGGTCGTCGTCGCAGGCTTCGTAAACTTGTTACGACTACCATACGTTGCCTTCGGTTTCTTCATAAAGCTGAAGATAAGGTCATCGTCCTGCATGTCTTTCGAGTCTTGCTTCTTATCCTTCTCTTTGCTCTCCTTTGGACTTTCTGGGGCGATGGGAGAAGATGATAGCGTAATCGTTTCAGTTGTCTTACGCTTTATCTCGGGACCTGATTTGGGTTCTTTCGGAACAGATGACTTTGCGGCGGTCCGGGGGCGTTTCGAGGCTGCTCCCATTCGCTTACTACCCCATTCATCGTCCTCATCTTGGCTGAGAGATGGCCGCTTTCTGGACTTGTTGGAGGAAAAAAGAGTAGGCTGGATGTCACCTCGGCGAGGCAGGCCATCATCGCTATCACTCAAATCTGAGCTGCTCAACGGGGGAGCATCATCTGAGACTTGCTTCATGGCAGTAGATGTTGATAGCTTTTCGCTAGTCTCGTTCCTGTTTAACAGGTTTTGTTTCTCCAAGGCTTTTTGTTGACGAACGCAAGAGAGAAGACGAGGTACGTTTTGGTTCTTGCTGAGGCCTATATACCGTGGCCGAAACATGTGATATAGTAAGGATTTGGTGCTAGGTTGGAAGATAATGGGACTGTAACGTGGACTAGAGCGTGGTCAGGGATCATGGGCGCAGCTTGATGAGCGCCAGACTATATAAGGATAATGAAGATTGCAATAATTAGGGTGAAATGTGAATGAAAAACTTGTCCACCACATGAAAGTGCAGTGCAGAGGTACGCAGTTGGGCTCGGATCCTTACCAGGACTCCAGGAGGGCACAGCTACAGACGTAGGGTTGGTGGAGTCAGCAAGGGAGAAGATAGATGTAACAAATAATCTCAAAATTACTTCGAAAAGCATTCAGCATCCTGCAGCTCGTAACAGTCTTTACATTGGTCGCAGGTAGCAACTGAGCACATGGAAGTCGCGGCTGATACATGGAAGACGCGTCTTGCCTGTGCATCCGTGGCGCTAAAACTGTGGGTCTTAGAAACCGTGTGTATGGAACCCACAACGCCAAGCCCCTTGTCGCTCCAGTCAGCTGCTTGGCGGCTGTCGCCCACGCTGCCAGGTGGTGGTACGTACCACCACCAGACAACAACGCGCCGTGGACGAGATGCATTACCTCCTATCGAGCACAAGAGGGTTCATGGTCTTTGACTGGCCGCAACAACAGCTATTCATAATCACCTTGAGTTTCTGCTGTTAGCTGTATTATAGCAATGGCTACCAACCGGAAATATGCTGCCCTTCCAGACCTGGTATGGTTGTTACTTGCGGCTCCTCAGACTTGTTTTCCCCCCCCCCCCTCCCTCACCAATGATGGAGCGGTCTGACTAACAGGCATCACTCAGGACTCGGCTCCAGATGTCTATGAAACGCCAGAACTGACCGATGACCATTCGACAATTCCTGTAGGTTCTTTTCAAGCTGGCGGGGAGAAGCGACCCTAAACTGACCTGTACCATCAGCCCACAACAGTCCAGTCTCCATCCGACGATGAGTACGACGAGGACGAAGATACCAGCGGCATCTCGCGGTCGCGCCTGCGGATAGATGAGGCTCGATCGCGGTTCATGCCCGCTGTTGTGGATGCCAGCAACGTGGATTTCTCAGAGAGACTCACCAGCAAACGGAAGTCATACAAGACCACCAGTCGACGCCGCCGTATTCTTGAAGACGGGACCGAAGAATTAGGGGACTTGAGCGATGAGGATGGGACCGTGAGCTTAGCCCGGAGGATTGCGCGGCTGAAGCGCGAGATCGAAGAGGCCAGGCAGGAATATGAGAAACAAAAGAATGCGGCCGCGACTACAGCAGAGGAAGGGAAAGGGGTGTTACCTGTTGAAGTAGAAGACCAGATCGACTCCCTCAGCAAAGCCCTCGACGAAATCTCCAAGCTCGAAGAACCCCTCTCGCCACCGGGTACCATTCTCCCGGCCCCGAAGCCCCCAGCACCCAGCACCACCGACGAAGGAACAGTAACCGCTACAGTCACCACGGGCACCACCTACACAATAACCTATTCCCCGACCTACGACCAAACCCACGCACTCGCTAAAGCAGCCGACTTCGACAGGCGCCTCCTCATCCTTGAGCGTGCCCTCGGCATCGGCTCCGTCGACGTCCCGGGCCTAACTCCTGACAATCTCCCGCGCGCCATCATCCCCCTTCTCGAACAACTCCACAAGCAGATCACCACCCTCTCCGAAGCCTCCGTCCCCACGCTAGACGGCATCACCCGGCGCGTGCGCACCCTCACACAAGAAACCGAGAACTTGGAAAAAGCCCGGCGCAGCGCCAAGGCCACACAGGAGGCCATCGCTTCCGCCGGCGGCAACGCCGCCGCCGCGGGAACAGGCACCGAGGGTGCAGGCGTATCTCCCGAAACCGCAGAGCAAATGGCCAAGATCAACGCATTGTATGGCACCCTGCCTACAATCGAGAGCCTCGCGCCACTCCTTCCCCCCTTGCTAGACCGCCTGCGCTCGCTGCGTATGATCCACGCCGAGGCAGCCACTGCGGCCGAGACTCTGGCACGGATCGAGAAGAGGCAGGCAGAGATGGCAGCAGAGATTCAGCAATGGAGGGAAGGGCTGGAGAAGGTGGAGGCGGCGGTACGGGAGGGGGATGCGACGATGAGCAAGAATGTTGGGGTCATGGAGGGCTGGGTCAAGGCGCTAGAGGAGAGCATGGCGAAGTTGTCGGGTTGAGTAGGAGGGTGCAGATAGATAGATTGGGGGGAGAGGTATGATACCCGGTGATTGGGCAGTGCTATATTCTTCTCGACCTTGGTCTCGTACTGTGTGGGTAAGGTTATGTGCTCGGCTTTTGTGATTTCTCCCGGTTGTGGTGTTTTGTATGTTGCCCCTATTACACCCCAGGTGCCGACCATGAAGCTGAAATCTCCATCGACTGGAACTCTACTTGTTGCTGTCCCAAGAACCATGGTTTATCTCGATCTATCATCTACAAATAACCCGCTACTAGACCACTATGCCATTGATCAAAGGACGAGCTCGAATCGGGGACTATATCAGGGATCACAGGTTCCTCATCAAAACCGCACCAAAAGCGAATATTTTGTAGTAGGATTCGATGTTGATACCAGTGGTCGGTCTCATGCCCTTATTAGATTTACACATTACCATTAGAAACAGTATTGTGATTACAATTCCTGAGCGTCCCCTGTATAGCTCCCAAGACTACCATTTCTCTAGTCCTCCTTCCAACGCGCTATCAATATCTGAAGACACTGGTAATCTCTTTGGCGACGGCCTTGTATTTCTGCACGTAATCGTCTTGCTTCTTCCGTTGTCGTGAGAGCATGCTTCCCATTGTTCGTGGCATAATGCATCGGCCTTCTTCTCACCATTGTCCCACAGAATCTCTTGCAGTCTGCTCAAGCCACAACTCCTACCATGCGATTCATCCAGTTCCCATGAAGAGAAACTCTCTTCGAAGGATTTCACCAGGCTCCGATTGGAAAGATATTTGTCCAGGAGGAGGTGTTGTTTTCCTCTTCCAGGCTTCGAAGTACTTGAGCTGTGTAAGTGCGCAGCTGAATCGCCTCTTGGCGGGTTCAGAACATTTTTTGTCAGGAATAGAAGGCATCTGTATTAGCAAAACTCTAGTGATCGATCCTAGGATCTGAATGCATCAAACGAGCACGTTGAGTGTTCTCTTTGCAAACGCTTATCGGACTTCGTGGATCCGTTTTTGAGGGAAGAAGCTACAATAGCGAGTCTACTACGTCACAGAAGATATAATGTGGAATTGACACGTAATCATGATCCTCTCCAGGTGAAAGAGGGTCGAGATCTTGGTAGATTTCATTGTAGATTCACGCGAGGCTATAACTACCGCAGTCACTAGCTAGCTCATGGTCTTGGATAAGAATAGTTTGAGCTGCCGCAAGTAAAGGGCGTGGATTCCAGCAATGGAATTTCGCCACACATACCAGACCCGGCGTAAAACACTCGTCAAACAAAACCGATAGCTTGTCAAGACGAGCTCCGATTGGTTTGCGTAAGTTTTTTGATGCTTGTGTGCTTTCCATGCAAGATCAAGCTCGGGAGCAGACTTGAGCTAGCGTAGAATATTCATGGCCATCAACCTAGTGGCATAGCACCGGTGGCACATGTTGGTCAAGTCACACAGCTCCTCTAGAGACCATGAGTTGTTTTCCACGGACTCCAACAACTCCTTCTCGTCCTCTCTGTGCGTTGCGTCAAAAAAAAGATTCATATCATCTCGAGGATCCAAAGAGCAAAGTTCCACAGTTGGTAAACGGCCTGTGTCTTAGATCTCGAGGGTCATGATAATGCTATCATGCCATTTGGGCAAAGCCTTGTCGACCTTCTCCGATCAGACAACCACGAGCACGACAGTGAGGTCTGCTTCCGTCTTTTGGGCGAAATACCACACTTCAAGAACAGTGCAAGTCCTGCCTGTGGCAAATATTGTAAGCTAAGCTGTTGAGTTTGCCGGGAAATGAGGACAAACATGAGCTTACAAACATGCTGCCCCCATTCTTCCTGAGTCACCCGAGGAGGCTGAACCGACTGGGGGATCATGTTTGACCCACTTCGCACCGCGGGACGGTGTTTCTGAAGACGACCCCAAATTCTTGCTAGAGTCCGCAGGGTTAAAAACGACCTTTTTTATCCTTGAAAGCTTTTCACAACCCTGCTGGGTGGTTCCAGAGACATGGCGAATGGAAATTCGAGGCTTCAAGGGACTTGTTGTGAGAAAAACTGAACTGTTGCTGGGCCAATGCGTCACGAGAAAAAGTGAACTGAAAACTACAAGTCGAAACAGTAACAGAAGATATTCAAAAAACGGCGTCAAGTACACGTTTTTCTTTTCCAAAGACCTGCCTTCCTCTGAGCCGACCGGCGACCTTGTTGAACACGGTTTCAACCTGAGGAGAGACAGCTATAGCAAGGAGCTAGCTGCTCAACCCTCTCATTGACTTTCCGACATCAACATCCTCTTTGGGTCAAGATTTTGCAGTTGTCACAGCGGACAGGAGAACTCACTCTTGGGCTACGATAAACCTCAGTTGCTTGCAACTTATTCGAACATCGTTCTTGTCTTTTCCGAATCATGGAATCATTTCCTCATCAGCAGGCTGAGGAAAATCTCTCCCTCTCAACATCCTGAAAAGTGGACAAAAGTTGATCTAAAAGATTAAACTTTCTTCAACTGCCCCACCTACAAGACGGCCACGACTACTGTTGCTGACTCTTCTGCTGCTGTCACCCGCAAGGGTGGCATTTTCGAAAACGGCGTGTGGATGTGTAAGTCGGCCCCATTCGTTTCTCCCCTCACCCTGCCCTGACGTCGGGATTTTCCCCTCTTCGGGCACCATCACTGCTTTTGTAGTTGGCACCTCATTCGGAATCTTACATCGGGCTTCGCCTTATGCCCCTCGTCGAGTTCACCTGCACCTGCAACCCTGCAGTCCGCGTTGAGACTTCGGGTTTCTCCAGTTAGGACCTCCGGCTAGGACGCTCCATCGACATGCCGTATTCGGAGTTCTCTCGGGACTTTGTGGAGGGCGATCGATCGGGTCTTTATACGAAGAAGTCGAGTCGAGCGCTTCTTCAACTGTCTCCAATCCCATACCCGACACTCATCTAGTTTTACTTCCCCTGCCCCCTCCTAACCACTTTGATCATACACCTGCTCTCTTAGCTCATGTTGACTGACCGATAATTTAACAGGCGCCTGCGACCCATGCACAGAGGCCAAGAAGTCCCAGGTTGCAAAAGAAGGGGAGAATATGGACCGTTGGTTCTGGCGCTGGTTAGTATCCCCCCCTCTTGGCTTTGTTAAAACTCTTATATTGTTTTTCTTTTTTTTTTTTGTGTTTTGACTTTCTCTAGTATCATTCAGGTTCTCACGCCGCCTTTTCACCTGAAGTGGTCTTTCATCGGCTTGGTGTCTCGAGGCACTCATCGTCTGACTTAATCTCTTGTTTTCTTGCTTTCCTTCCTATACTCCGTTTGCTTCTGTTTTTGGACAAGATCTTTGCTAACAAAGTCAATAGTCAGAACTTTAGAAACCAGTGCCAGTTCTTCTTGTGGGAGGACAAAGCCACGCTCGCGAGCGGAGGTCGCCGATTTCATGTCCTTGCCCCTCCCCCACAGCATGTTGCCCCCTCCTCGTCACAGCCCGCCTGAGCAGTCAACCAGTGACGGGGCCAGCCGGGTTTTTCTCTGCGCGGAGTGCGACGCCGGGGTGGATTCGCAACCCCGGTAAGTTCGGCCGGCTGGTCATCCCCCGGATGACCGTGAGAACGACACCCCCACGCCTTCCCCCGGCCCGAGCCACCAGTAGCAGCCGCCCACCAACAACAACCAGGGGCCGATGCCGGGCTGGCACAGGGACCCCGGCATGTTTGGCTGCCTGCCTACCACCATCGGGCTGCCTGGTTCTATCTCTCGGGAGTTTACTCCCGACACGACGGACAGCGAGGCCGAGGAAAATGACAACATCGTCCGTGACTCGCATTCCGGCCCCCACGGTGTTGTTCCCGCCAGCAACAACAACAACAACAACAACAACAACAACAACAGGAAGAGCAGGGAGCGGGATAAGGTCTCCATCGCCGCCGATACGGTGGACACTCAAAGGAGAGGGAGTTCGTTGCGCTTGCGGAACGTACCGAGGGAGAGGTTACTGCGTTTCGGGAGATGTTGTCGACATCCCAAGCTTTCGCCACCACGATCCCCAACACGCCGGGTCGCCGCGAGGCGACCATCTTCAGAAACAATCTCCCGACCTCCAACAGTAGCATGCCGACTTCGGACGAGCTGGGCGCCAAGCGGCTTAGGATCACGCGGGAGAAGCCATGCAGATGACGCCGAGCCCGGTGCGCAGCCCACGACGCTCTCGCCCAGTTCCAGGGTAACGACAAGGACGACGAGGACGAGGACGAAGGCGATGCGGAGATAACCATCGCAGCCATGGCCCTCCTCAAGCCGAGCGCGCAATGGATCCTGCCGGCCAGCCTTCCATCGCTGCGCGATATGCTCAACCAGATGGATGAGAAGTCTCGCAAGATGCAGCGCAGCCGGGACTAGCTGCGGGAACTGCTCGAGAAAAAGAGAAGCTTGTGCAGTAAGGAAGAGCAGATTCGGGGGTTGGAGGAAGCAAATGAGAAGAAGGAGAGGGAGACTTGGCACTTGAGGGAGAAGTTGGAGAGGCGTTGAGGGAAGGGAAGCACATGGCAGAGCAGAGCAGATGGGGATACTGGCTTGGGAGAGTGCGCACGAATTACTCAGGGGTCAGTTTAGGGGATAGGCTTAGGTTTAGGCTTAGGGTATCGATTCTATGCTGGGATGGTTAGGTAGATGGCATTGTGGGTTGTGGGCATAGCATTTGAAGTCAGATGCCCTGGACTCGCATGTATGTCTCCTTTAGCTTGCTCATGCATGCCTGTTGCCTTCCTTGGGCAGGATAGAGACAGTTATCTAGTTCAGATGGTACGCAATGACTGCATGGATGATGGTATAGTTGTCGTTTGATAGTCCTGTTCAGCTCAAGCGACGATGTGGTTGGAGCTTAATTGAATGCAGCAGACCCTTCCAGAACCCCCGACGCAGGAGTAATGGCATGCAGGAGGCCCCATCGCCCCTAACCATGTCCGCCCGTCCAGGCGATGGCGTCTGCTGAGCCAGATGGAGACGCGGTGAGCGTGTCGACGTGTCTCACCCGAGTTCGGGTACGTCTTCCATTAATCTGCGGCGCTGCGCACAAGAATACCTTGAACGGTAAACTCGGACGAATTGACAATGGATGTCAAAAACTCGATCGAAAGTCGGTCGATCCTCATACATGAGAATCGAGAAAAGTCGGTCGGTTCAGCGAGCAATCCCCTCCCGTCAGGTCGCCCACACACAGTGGGTTCCGTCGCGTCAACCTCCTTTTACCCAATCGCTCCACCGGAGCGTTGCGGGCGCGTCGTCTAAATCTTGTACATGCCCATACCCTGGCCGGACATGATGAAATGCGTCGGTGTTGCACCGTTGCCGGGCCGCCCAAACTCGAGCATGTGAGCCTTGCATGTTGATTGATTGCCCTTTTCAGAAGGCGGGACGCGTTTTCTGGCGTTTTTATTGGTCCAGCCCTGAATTTTTTTTTAAACGCTCGTTATTGGAGTGACGCCAGACGCGGGACAGGGGTGAGGGGGAACACGGTGTGTGGACCATGAAGGGAGGGACCCGTACCGCGAGTTAAGATCATTGATTCGAGAGTCAGATATCTACCTACTCCGTAAGGGACACAACTCACTACCCACTTCCATATCCAGTCCACACCCACAGACACGGCCAGGGCCCTGGCACACACGAATGAGCGTTCATGGTTCACGGCTCGTGGTTCATCGCGATCTGAACCCCGTCTTTTCCTCGTGGGTACCGTACTTTAACTCTTTCCCCGCGCCTCTTCTTACGTTTTTTCGGTTCTTCTATAAACTGAACCGCGTCTGTCTGCAACTGGTGTCGACTGACTTGTCCCTTGACGGGGCTTGTTTATTTTTTTTATTCTTCTGACTTTTGCATCATACTCCATTGGCAGCATCGCGCTTGCATATGGGACTAGTAGCGCGCTCCTGATTGATAACAAGCATCACAATTCCACAATGGATAAAGAAGGGCCCCAACAGCTCCGCGACCAACCTCAGCCTCAGGGTCCCGCCCCGGACGTGTCTTCGTCTCAGGAACAACAGCAGCAGTCGCCCACGCAGGCGACAGAGACGCAGACACAACAGTCCTCGTCGTCGTCACCCAACAGTTCATCACAGAACCAGACCTCCATCTCCCCCCCGGCGACCAAGTCCCTCCCTGCCACGACAGCCACGACGCCAATGGCTACGCCAGAGCCAGCAGCCCGGCCCAAGAGTGCCCAGGAGTTGTTTCACCCCAAGAACAAGCGGAAGAGGACCAAGTATGCATCTCAATGTCTTTGTCCTGGGTTGACGTGATCAAGATGCTGACTGACTGCCCCTACCCCACAGCTCCCACGACAAGGAGATCCTCGAGGCCGCGTACCGCGCCAACCCCAAGCCCGACAAGGCCGCGCGTCTGGAGATTGTCAAGAAGGTCTCGCTGAACGAGAAGGAGGTGCAGGTCAGTCGTTTTCGTTCCCCTCGTCGTCGTCATCGCCGCCAATTTAGGTACCGCGACGCGTCCATGGCGCGCGCCCACGCGTCAACTCAATTGATTTGCCTCTTCTCCACCCCCAGTCCCTTGCCTAAAAACGACGACCTATATCTTGCTTCAATACCCATGTCGACTTTAGACACGAGCTAACCCGCACACTGCCCATCTGCAGATATGGTTCCAAAACCGCCGCCAAAACGACCGCCGCAAATCACGCCCTCTCACTACCGACGAGTTCATCGTCATTACCGACGCCACCCAGGTCCAGCCCGACGCGACAGGACTGTATTACCCCTCCCCTGCTGGTCCCGCTCCGTCTAGCTCGTACTCTGCCCCCCCGACCGTGGCTCAGACCCCGGCCCCGGCACACATGCAGCCGCCTTCGCAGGCCCCGATGCGGACGCCCATGTCGGCTCCTGAGCGTGTCAGACAGCCTCCTTTATCATCATCTTCTGCGGGGGATAGCTCGGCCGTCAAGGAGACGCCAGAGCCTGATAGCGTGGCGTGGGAGCGCCGGTCGATGATTGGCTTTGACTCGGCCACCCCGAGTCATGCCCCTCCCGGCACGACGCGCTCCGCGCCAGCGACGCTGACAAGGACATTCTCTGGTGATGTGGGCTATCTCGCAAATAGGTGGAATACCGGCAGTGCGGTGACGACGCCTAGGACGCCGTTTACGTATGTCCCCTGCTCCTCAACCCTTTCCTCATGAACGATATAGCTGACCTTGGCATCACCAGATCTGATACCCGCCCGCTGCCCCCACCAACTTCCTCCTCCTCCCAACCCCTCCGCCTCTCTCTTTCCTTAGACGGCAAAGCCGAGCTGGTCTCCAACCTGCCCTCTCCCCCACGCCCAACACCAACACCTCCATTAGCCCCTCCCCCCATTCCTCGTGCCGGTCTGCAGAGAAGTTACTCCACCTCCGCCGTCTGCTGTACCCCCTCCACGCCCATAACCCTCCCCCCTCTGAGCTCCATAACCTCGTCTCTTCCCCCACCATCAAGTTCTAAGTCGACCCCCACGGCGAAACCGCCCCTCCCCCCTCGTCTGACAAGGGGACGCTCCCTGGATGTTTCGGCATGGGAGTTCTGCTGTGATAGTGAGAGTAAGGGGGAGGATGCTTTGTCGGTACAGGCGAAGCTGGAGAGTCAGAATGCGAGGGATGCGATGGTAGAGATTAATTTGGTGAGGAGTACGGGGGGCGCGGGGGCATACCTGGGACGGAGGAGGGGGTCGCTTGGTGGAGGGCAAGGAGTTAAAAGGCCGAGGGCTAGTCTGGGTACCAATGGGAAGGTTGGGGTATTGGGGGTGAAGGGAGGAAGTGTTCTCAATCAGCAGCAACGGCAGCTTATTGGTGCTCGGGCAGGGGAGAAGGTTGATCTGACTGGGGCGAAACCTCCCGCCGGCATTCAGAGCTACCGCATCTATGATGGGGATGACTCGGATAAAGAGAACTGGTCGCCCGAGAAGGCGGAGTGGTTGATGCGTCGTCGTCGCAGACGACTCTCCCCCGGGCCTGGCGCCACCACCTCTGCATCACCGACTCTCTTGGCCACGGGCAGACGTCCCCTCCCATCGACCCCGTCAGTCTCAGCTTACGGAAGGAATCCCCGCCGCACGGATTTCGAGAGCACGCGGACCCGGCTGGCAAGGGATATGATGCTCTCTACGACAGCACGCAAGTCGCATACCGCTCCTGCGGGAGGGTCAGGCTCAATGACCGACTTATTCGATCCCCGCCGACGAAGCGCTCACCGCCTAGCGTGGAGGTCTACCGCGATGACGACGACGATTCGGACATTGATGAAGAGGATGAGCGCAGCTGTGAGGAGAGCAACTGCCAAGGAGATGAAGCAGAGGGAAGAGATGGCAGCTGCTGCCGCTCGAGTCCGACAAACTCGCAAGCTTCGGGACGATCGTCGGCGCTGCTGGATGAGGAAGTGGAACGATTCATGCAAAGTGTCAGTCCGAGTAAGAAGAGCGATGCGGATGCCGTGGCGGGGTTGTTGAGTTTGAGTCAGGGGAATTGGAGGTGACCATAAGGGGGTATATACATGTTGGAATGCTTGTTCCTTTCCGATCCTAAACAAAGGGGTATGGGGAGAGGGATATACTGAGGCAGTCGCCCCGTTCTGGAACTCTTACATACACAGACCCATTTCCTTTGTCTGGCTTATGTACTATACATATATGTCTGGCGTTTCTTATGACGGCACGGGACAAACAAACAAACGGATGGGCGGACGTCTGGATGGACGGCATGATTTATCTGATTTTAAGGTCCCCGTTGAAAGGAAGGAAGGAAGGAAGGAAGGTGCCTACCTACCTAACGACGACGGCGGCATCATGCAGCAAAAACAAAACCTGGGGGCAGCACCTCATACAGAAAGAAAAAAAAAATCAGCGATGCGCCCGGCTTATTTATTTATACCTACACCGCAAATTTTACGTGAGAGAAAGGAGGGCATCTCTGCTTGTCTGACTGCTAGTTGTAGCTGCCTACCTTAGCTTGTTGGCAATGTTGGAGGTCATCTCTGAGGCGTCAGGAGTCATGTAAGCTGTTAACTCGGCTACATAGCGAGGTTAGCTACCTAGGCAGAATATAAGTCGTGAACGAGAGATGACTGTGAGTTTCGTGTGTTTTGTGTTTGCTTGTCTTGGCATGATGATTACCTCAGCAGCACCTGATGTAGAAGAAACGAGCTTGGAGAGACGTGTCACTAGATCAAAAGTGAGATGGTTCCCTCAAGAGTTCGAAATAGCGAGTGATATTTTCCGAGGCTACTATATGGGATGAGCTTCAGTATCTCATTAGAAGCTTTCAGTCACTCAGTCATCCTCATCATCCGTGACTCAGCACTACACATCATGATACAATAGAACAAAAAAGTTGAGACAAGACACCTATCAAAATTCCCTAACCGACCCTCATGCCCTATCGCCATTCATTACCATAACCCCATGTCATATTTCACTTGCTTGCATCATGAATGTCCATGTTTGCTTGTATGTATATGTACGTACGTATGTGATCGCACTCCCTATGGATAGATATATCATATCGATAGTATATAGTCGTAACCATAACCATTCCCCGTCCGTCCCTTCCTTCACCCTTCCAACTCACTTCCGAGCCTGCTCCCTTCCTAGATACCTTGGATATGTGGATAAATAACAAGAGAAAATAAGACAAGAAGAACGCCCGTTTCAACAAACCCTAGAATGTCCCTAAGAATATAACAAGAATGTAGCATGGTATAGCGCCAACAAAAAGCTCGCTCGCTCGTCGAAGCCAAGCACTCCTCATTAGAAGAATGAGGAAAATTTCACAACCCCAACATACTCATCTGCCTCCTTAACGGGCTCGCCGCGGTACTGCTCTCCTCACTCGGGTAGCATGCCGAGTCCGTATCAATATCATACCCTTCATCCTCATCCTCGTCCGTCTGACTTCCGTTATTATTATCCCCTGTCTTGGCGACAAAAGCCTTCTGCGTCGCCGCCCTCGTGTTCCACCTCAGCGTCCGCGATACGCTATCGAACCATTCCGTATCCGTCCGCTGCACCGTCGGGAACGGGTACTGCGACGCGGTAATGGTGACGTGGTCGCCCTGCCGCAGCTCGATGCGTCCCTTGCCGTCAAAGGCGCAGTACGCGCCGGCGCGAGAGTTACGCGGCACGCTGACGCGCAGGAGCATGGTGTCGGAGAGGACCATGGGGCGGAAGGAGAGGGTGTGTGGGCAGATTGGAGTTAAGAGGATGGCGGGGATGTCCGGGTGGACGAGGGAGCCGCCGGCGGAGAGGGAATAGGCAGTTGAGCCCGTCGGAGTCGACAGGATGATGCCATCGGCTTGGACGATGGTGAGGAGCTCGTCGTCCCCGTAGAGCTCGAGGTTAGAGACGTAGGGGGAGGGGCCGCGGTCGATGACAAGTTCGTTGAGGACCTCGAACTGCTCGCCTTCTTCCATTTCGTGGCCGTTGGGCGTGTCGCGGTAGACGGTGCAGGTGAAGCGCATGCGGAGGTTGACACGCATGCCTTCGTCGCCCATGACGCGGTTGAGGTGCTCCTTGTAGCGCTCGAACTCGAAGGAAGTCAGGAAGCCGAGGCTACCCAGGCTGAAGGACAGGACGGGGGGCACAATGCGCTGGAAGAGCCAGGATGTGAACAAGACCGTGCCGTCGCCACCGAGGGTGAGAACCAGGTCGAACTTCTCGGGCTGGCTCCAGCACAGGTCGGGCGTCCAGTACCGCAGCATGTCCTGGAAGCGCGGGTTCTCGTCCAGGATGCCCCGAGCATTGAACCTCTTGGAGTGGCGCAGCTTGGCATCAACATAGACGTTGACACCCAGGTCGGACCCGTACCGCGGGGTCTTGAGCAGCCAGAGGGCCAGCTCACGAGTCAACAGCACCAGCTGATTGTCACGGGCCTTGGTAACGATCATGACGTTCTTGACCGCGCGGCGGATGGGCCGGCGCTGTAGCTGTTTAGACACCTCGCGGACGCCCGTTGAGATCTGCACCAGACGCGAGTGCGACATCCACTCGTCATTCTTAATCTCCTCGAGGACCTTGTCGATATCGACCGCATCATCGAAGCGGTTGTGGTAGAAGCAAGGCGACTGCAGGGAAGGGAAGATGGCCGACGGCGGCTGGGGGGCCGAGCGGGCGTTCTGGGCCTGGGTCAGACCGTTGAGGGCGTCACAGAACTGCTGCGACGAGGCCGACGCGGGCCCGTTGTCGCCTGGAGCGTTGGCGGAGAGCATGCTGGTCAGGGAGAGGGCCTCGGGCTTGTTATTGCGGGCTACCGAGGCCAATGCCTTCATAATAGTCTGTCGCGGGACAGACTCGATCGAGAGAGCGTTCTTCTTGTGGCCGCGGGCAAGTGCCGGAGCCGGCTGCAGACGGAAGTTCTGGCTGTTCTGGTGAGCAGCAACCTGGGCTGGATGATTCGGCTTATAGTTATCCGAGGTGTTCGGCGTGCTGGAGGCGGCTGCGGGAGCAACTAAGGACTGCGACTGCGGCTGAGCAACGCGATCAGCATCGCGGGCCGCCACGGACTGGGGGATGACTCGGGGAGTCTCTGGGGCAGTGTCCGTCGTGGGCGTGGGAATGGCAGGAGTCAGATAGGAAGAGAGAGCGGGTGGCAAGCGGACAAACGTCCTGGTCGGAGTCGTGGGGTCGTCGTTGATGGTGACGTTATTGGGCAGAGAGAGCTGGGTTTGTTGACTCTGTTGAGAGCTTTGGGAAGTGGTTTGGGTCTGGGATGAGTGTGCTACCTCAGGGCGCTGAGCATTAACATGGCCATTCTGGTCCTTGAGCGATTTGGCATCGGATTCTAAGGGAGGAGGCGGCAGTTTAGTAGCCCCGGGCTCGACGCAACGCTCCCCCTGCGGAGAGAGCGGAAGGCCGGCGGGGTGACCCAGTGCTGGTTGAATTGAGCCGGGCATGTCTTCTGGCGAGTGCTAAGAAATCCGGGATGGGGTTAGATGGGACTAGGAATGTTGGGGGAGCGCCGACGGTCCACGTATGGGTTCCTCTGGGGCTCCTCGCTGAGTGGATGCTGTGTGGATGCTATGTGGACGCTGACACGCTGTGGTATCTGTGGACAGTGGGGTGGCTAGTTTCGGCCCCACCAAGCTAACGCGATCTGAAATCGGCTTTTTTTTGCCAGTGCACGTTTTTTTTTCCTGGGTTTTTTTTAGGGTGGCCGCAGCGAATTTTAGCGTCGCCAAGAATGCGTGCCCTGGACCCTGCAGAATCTTTTCTCCTTCAAGAGACCCTGCCCCCGGCCTGTCTCGACAAGCGAGCGGCGCCCGGATCCTCTGGAAGCCTGGACGCTGGAGTGTTCGGGCGGGTGGGATTGCCCGCAATGGCTTGAGTTCGCGGGAGGCGAGTGCTATTGAATTGTCCGCGCGTTGAGATGCCGTTTGAGAAGAGATTACCGACGATGCCGAGATGCTATCTCGCAGCTCGTCGGACACGAGATCGCGGAAAGGCCTCAAAGCTGCACAACCGGACTTTCCAGGCTTCCAAAGTAGCCAACGTGCAGGAAAAAAGGTTGCACAATGCAGGAGTGTAGTAGCCGATCCGATGAACGGTTTGGAGACGTCACCAGCGGCGTTTTTTCAAGCCTCAAGGCAAGGCTGCTAGCAGCAGGGCTGGAAAATCCGGCCGGGTTACCCGAACAATAGGCTTGCTGCAAATCGACGAGAACGCCCGAGGATAATATATGTAGGATTTTTCGACGTATCGCAATCTCCGAGAGAACGAAAATAAGCAAAAAAAATAATAAAGCTGCGTCCCGTCAGCGAATCTGTCCGCATGAACTGGCCTCAGTCAGAAAAAAAAAGAAAAAGGAAAAAAAAAGAAAAAGAGAGAACAACGGGCTGCGTGCGGGACCGTATGCCGTCCCAATGCTGCCTTGTGGTCGGCGTGGGGATGACGATTAGTGGACCACCGACCAGTGGTTGATGATGTTTCAAGCCCGGGTTACGGATTGGATGAAAAGACAAATGACGTGCAAGCAGGACCGATGACAACACTCAAAAGCAAGACGCTTACTCACATTTGCTGGCTACAGGTCTCGGGAGCAAGACAAATGACCGAGCAGAGAGGAATGAAGCACACGAAGGTTAGACGCAGAGGGAGTGTTGCTGTTGGCGGGATGCGATTGGCTTTTTGTGTCTAAAAGAGGGCCCGGCGTCTTGGTGGCGGGCTGGCGGGGTCAAGACGAACAGGCGTTGCGGCGTTGTCGTCAGGGGCCCGTTTTGGTCCAAGCACGTTGCTGGCTTCTGCTTGTCCCACGTTCCACTGGCCTGGGCACTTCCCAGTTGATCTTCCTCGCGTTCCTGGCTAAGGCACGAGATCTGGCGCTGCCGTGGGATTATTGTGCACAGTATATGTGACCGGACCTGCAGCTGGTTGTGATGACGCTTGTTGAGATCAACCTCTTAGAAGCGTTATCGGCTTCCAACTCCCGACCTGCAGGTTGATTTGAGCTATTCTTATATCAAGCCAAGACGTTGTTGCCGAATTGAGAATGACGTCGGTGTGACTGCCCGCAGGATCACGGAAAGCTGAGATGCGTTTCTGGCCGCTGATCTGAACTTGGCCAATGTGATGCTGCTGATGGTTGGATACGTTGTGTGAAAGAGTGGAAAGGCTGCCTGGGCACTTGAAAAAGATAGAAGAAAATAGGACAAATTAGGTCGAGAAGTAATATATTAAGAAGCGGATAGATAAGAAAAGACAACAAAGATTAGAACTACCAGAGCTCTGTCGATATGCTCCCGGAGCCTTCAAGCTAAAAAACCAGAGGACGTCGAGTCGGCAGTGTCCACTCGGGCCAGAGTCAGCGAGTGCGAACTGAGGATTGGGAATCATCAAAATCGCATTCTGGCAGATGCGTTTAATAGCCGCCGTGAACAAGATTGAAGCGGAGGAGGAGGCCAGCAAGGGGATTACCGCCTTGGGGCAAGATGGGGTAGCGTGTCAGAGATGTTCTGGGGTTGGAGACAAGTACGTACTGCGGTACGTACACGATGCACCAAGGGGAATCTGAAAATGAGATCGATGGTTCACGGCAATGCTACCCTGAGGAGAAGGTCTGCCTTTTCTTGTCAGAGACCTGGCCAAGACCGAACACTTTGCAATGCTGTTGCCGTGGTTTCCCATTTTCATGATTTCCATATCCATCCAAAATTCGCAGGCGGTGTAGGGGACAAGTGGATGGCCTTGCGCTTGTGGGAGATGGGTAAATCAACTCCCCCGCGCTTCGAGAAGAGCCGTCATTATCATCCTCTAGTTAGGGATGGAGGCGTGATTCGTGGTTGGAATGGACAAGAACCTCGCACTGCATACACTAGTGTACAGCACTTCACCCAAAGCCCCTCTCATCTCACCCCCCTGCTACACATCGTGGATGGCAGTCAAGCAGCAGCACAGCTGGGTGGTAGGGCTGCAACGGACAACAGCTATTTCGAGCTGAGAACACCATTTGGTAAAACACGGATATGAGAGTCTCATTGAGCCCCCCCCCGGTGCGGCCGGGGTTTGGAGGAACGAGAAGCGAGTTGGGACGGGGTTTGCAGTCGTGGTGCGGCTTCGCGGGGCAGCATCCCCCTGCACATCTGCCGCTCGAGCTCAGATTTCCTGCATCAAACCACAGCAGCAACAGGGTAACCCAAGACTCCCCATCCCAAATTGTTGTTGGCTGCAGCCGCATGAAGATCGGGTTTCTGCCTATTGATCCCTCGAGGCTAGGAATTGTTTGGAATGCCATGCCACCCAATTGGCCTTCATAATGATGGATGGGCTGGGCGTTTTTCGCAGCGCTGCAGTTCTTGAACCCCGCAGAAAGGGGCTCAACATCCCTGTGCAAATCATGCAGAAAAGCAGCGCACCTCGAATCGGAGACTCTGGAGTTGGGCGCTCGAATAAAGATTTAGGGGCGTGGGGAAAGGAGACGGGCGAATGAGGTCGAGAAAAGCCTTGAGCCTCATATTTGGGCCTGTAAGATAAGAGAGATGTGCTGTGAAGGTTAGCCTTCCCCACATTCCAAGAAGGAAAGCGGCTAATGGTAGCTCGGGAATAAGCGCTCGGGGTTCAACTCATTCTCTCGATCTTCTCTGTCACATCACAATTTTCAGCATTGTTATTTCCCCCCAAAATCCACAACTTGCTCTCTGTAGTCTCTCTGTGAAAATGCGTAAAAGCGGTGTCACGACTCTTCCTAGCGTTACGTTGGCCGCCAGGAGCGATGCTGAGATGAAACAAGCCTCGGCCCGCTCGTGGGACAGTCCCAAACACGCCCATGTTGCACCGGATCCACCCTCACGTTTGGGATGACGGCGCTTGGTTCCCATCACACACAAAAAAGCCCCTAGAGAAAGGGGTGCAGATAGCAGTAAAGTCGCAAAAAATCCAAAACGGGAGTATCCATTTTGATCTCGCTCTCGTTGCTGACGATAACTCCAGACTCCCAATGCCGTGGCTCAGTGCCGCGACATCCATTCGCCGGCACGTAGGCCGCACACTCTTTCAAGCTGTTGATTGCGGGTCCATCCCATCTATGCTTGCGAGCGAACACATCCATGCTGATGCTCTCGATCCGCATTCCTTTTCCTGCTCCATCGTGCCGCGACAATAGCGGCGGGGTTTCGTTGCCCGCATCCTATGCCTGATGCGAGCTCTCCCTTGAGCGTTTACCGCTCTTGGTAGCTCCGCTGTCTACTCGAAGCACTCTATGCTCCGAATCAGATTCAAAGTTGACGTTCTGAAGTCGCGAGATAAGACAGAGCAGCTCCATGAGCCGCTTGTTTCCCCTCTCACGTCCCTCACGATTTCCAATGGAGATCGGTAGCGACCTTGGCTTCCATCGTCGAGCGGATGAAATGGCGCAGATCCGGACCGACGAGACGGTCGTCATCAATCGCCATCATCTGTACGCCGTCCATCGTGGGTGACGGCCGGCAGCAGATATTCTTGGCAGTCTCGTAGGCGGCATCCCACTCCTTGATGGTAAAGTCCCCTTCGCTCTCGGCTAGTAGCAGCTCATCCTGCGACGTGAAGGCGAACACGTGCACCGACTGGGCCAACTCGACCTGCCTGGGGGACGGGTCGATCAGGGTCTTGGTGGCACCGTTTTCACTGGCGAGAGCAATGGCGGTAGCTGTTGCTGTTGCCCTCATGGGGACGCCTGCCGAAAGCAGGGCCAGCATTGCCGTCTGGAATAAGGCAGGCATGACGGCAAAGTTCTGTAGCAGTTAGAATAGCAGAAACAAAGCAGATATTCTTGACAAGATTAGACTCACCAGGCTAGCCTGAACAAGCTTGGTGTTCACATACTCGTTCTCGGGCGACTCCTCAACCTGCAGGACGATCTGGATAAGCGAGCGCGGAAAGCTCTTGACCAGAATGATCTGGGCAAACGAGGACTGCAGGATGGACTCGAGGTGTCGCTCGCGGGTGCCTTTTATAATCCAGTGAGAAAATTGACAGATTCTCAGGTATGCGGGGGCCAGAAGCTCACTCACCTCCCACCCCTGCGGCCGGTCGTACGATCACGTCGACATGTGCCTCATAAGGGTGCTCATCCCGACGCTGGGCCTCGATGGGCCCGTTCACTGATGCTGTGACGGTGTAGCCGGCGTGTGAGTAGCGAGCCGACCCATCTGCGCGCGGCAGGACTCCCAGGGCCGCTTCGGGAGCTGTCGTTGCCGTCGTTGTTGTCATATTGGCAAGCTATTTGAATTCGGACCACACGAGGCCGGCTGTGATGAGAGCGACAAAATATTGGCAATAACTGAGCAAACGAGCGTCTGTTGGCGGCTGAGAGCTCCCTTCACTCCGGCATTTAGTGAACCGGTGGGGATGCGACTGGACGAGACCCAAGATTTGCTCAGCCGTTTGAGTTTTGCAGCGATCACTGAGATTCTGGGCTGATCTGGGCCCCGCGTTGATAGCGGCTGCGGGCATCTGCGGGCATCGCAAGGCAGCCAGTTGCAGCAGCTTCAGGGATCTGCCACCTGCCGAGACCTGCCACTGGGTCCCCACTGTGGCTCTCCACACCAACCAACGAGGAGCTTCTGGATGTTCTGTCAACCTCACGACAACCTCCCTTGGTCGCTCCAACCCCAAAGCCAACTTCAAACACCTTGCCGTTCGGCACGCTCGTTGCTGTTTGAGAGTCCCGAAAATCGAACCAGCAGCTGGAATTACTCTTAGAAATAAAGAAATAAACAGCACATGCGCAATGCCATCATCAGCAAACACCAGCCCTCCCGATCAAGGGGCTAAGGAAGCTCAGGGCCGAGTCCCCTCCGCGGGGCAGCCCCAGGCCCCCCAGCAACCCTCACAACAGTCCCAATACTCTTCATCCAACCCGAGCCCAGGCATCCCGAATCTTCGCGACAAGATCCCGAAGCTAGAGCCCCGGCGCCGCAAGAAGCCCGAGCCAGAGAACCCCATGCCGGTGCCGGAGACGCCCGAGCCCCCTCCGAAGCCCGACCTCTCGACGCTGACCTTCACCGTTCCCGTGCGTCGTATCCTCTCCCCCGACGACCACAAGCTCTTCCTCTCCTCACCAACCTACAAACTGATCCTATCCTTCATCTTCCAACTCTCCGAATCCGTCCGCGACAAGCCGATATCCTCCGTCCAAGACGCCGACTTCACCCCTACCCTCCGTGCAATCCTCACCATCCTCGATGAAGCCGAGTCTCTCTGCCGCGCCACGCCCCCGGAAGATCAAGGCGGCTCCCGCTTCGGCAACAAGGCCTTCCGGCTCTTCGTCGACAAAGTCCGGGCCGCTGCCCCGCAATGGCACTCCACACTCTTCACCTCCCCTTCTCCCTTGCCCCCCGCCTCCGTCCCCGAACTCTCCACCTATTTGACACATTCCTTCGGAAACCGCACCCGCATCGACTATGGCTCAGGCCACGAACTCAACTTTTTCATGTGGCTGCTCTGTCTCGATCGGCTCTCCCTCCTCTCCTCTCCAGACTACCCTGCCCTCGTCCTGCGCATCTTCCCCCGCTACTTGAACCTCATGCGCCTCGTCCAGCTAACATACTACCTCGAACCCGCCGGTTCCCATGGCGTATGGGGCCTAGACGACTACCAATTCCTACCCTTCCTCTTCGGCGCCAGCCAGCTGCTCCACCACCCCTTCATAACCCCCCGCGCCATCCACCAGGAGCTGACACTCGAAGAGTTTGGTCACGAGTTTTTATACCTTAACCAAGTCTCCTTCGTGAATAGCACCAAGACCGTCAAGGGTCTGCGCTGGCACAGCCCGATGCTGGACGACATCAGTAGCGCCAAGAACTGGGGGAAAATCGAGGCCGGGATGCGGAGGATGTTCGTGAACGAGGTGCTGGGCAAGTTGCCCGTCATGCAGCACTTCCTGTTCGGGGCGCTGATACCCGCTGCGGAGGGGATGAGTGAGCCGGTGTTGAAAAAGGAAGGGGAAGGAGAAGAGGACGAGGATTTGGAGGGAGAGGTGAAGGTGTTTGATGATAAGGAGGGGAGGAGACACGTGCACCAGCCTAATGGTTGGAGCGATTGTTGCGGGATTAAGGTGCCGAGTAGTGTTGGGGCGATTGGGGAGATGCGAAAGAGAGGGATGATGGATCAGTTGAGGAGGATTCCGTTTGATTGAGGGTTCATCTACTCACGGCGTTGGGATTTCAAATGGGATTTGGGGATCTGGGTGTGGTCTGGTAGACTGGCATATTTATGTCTAGACGTTGACGCAAAAAACAAAAAAAAATCGGGTACATAGGGTAGTCACATAAATGAATGCATTGCATCATGACCATCTCAGTCTTGAATCTCGCCAATATCATAATGTACTCATCAATAGCTACATAGTCTCAACATTCCTCACTTAATGACTCCCAAGTTAAGCCGAACCTAGCCTCTCCTAACTAAATAGACAAATACAATAGCAAAAACAGAACAGCGCAACATAAATCTGGCGTAATGAATGCCATAAAATGTAATAAAGAAGAAGGGTATCAAAAGGACAAGACCCGTCAAACGCCTGCCAATGTGTTGTTTCCTTCCTTCCTTCCTTCCTTCCTTCCTTCCTTTGCCCCCATCTCTTGCCTAAGGTAACCATCCATCCACCCATCCGTCCCTGATGCAAATGAAAGAGAGAGCGAGAACGAGAAATAAGAGAAATGCTATATGCCTGCAAACCCGACAATAACCTCCGTAGACTCCAGTAAAAGGTATAGCTTTTTTTTCTTTTGGTGCGATGTGTCGCAAGGGTCGAAAGTCGTGCCAGGCAAGTAGGTAGGTGTATATGGACGTGCCATCCTCAAACGGGCTTCATCTCAAAACGAAGCCACGCTCCCCTCAACGTCCTCAAGGAGCTTAATCCTCCCAAATAGTTTCCAAATCAAAATCCTGCCGTCTCTCTGCACCACAGACACTCCACCTCTTCCTCTTATCGCGCGAGCTGAACCCGCCGAGCGTGCGTCCACGCAGAGGCGCGTCCAACCCTGGCCTAGGCTTCGCCGTGCCGCCCTCAGAAGCTTCAGCGGCAGCTTTGAGCTGCGCGATGCGCTCGGCCTCCAGAGCAGCTTCTTCAGCGTCCGGCGAGTCGGGAATCGTCTCGAGGCTCGAAATGCTGGGGCTCCTAGACCGGATGGACGTCGGGGTCGACGGGACGGAGGAGGCTGCGTAGTAGGACGACGGGTAGCTGGTTGGGAAGGTGTCGTAGGGACGGTAGAGAGGGGATGCTGAGACTGAGGAAGGTGTGGCGGGGACAGAGACGCTCGTGGTCGAGTTCGCGTTCGAGACCTGGCAGAGCGGTGAGGAGGGTCGACGGAGACGTGGGACCGGGCCCAGGCTGGTCGTGGCGGCCAGGTTGGGAGAACTGCTTCGCTCGCAGAGACGGCGCTCGGGGTCGAGGACCGACATGCGGGTTGGAGAGGACGGGAAGGACTCCTCGACAAACTTGCGGGGGATGCGGATGCGGCTGGGCGAGCTCGGGCTCTGCGGACGCATGTTGTTGTAGAGCAGGCTGCCGGTGCAGCTCGGTGTGGGCATGGACTGGGTGCGCGACATGGGCGGTGCCAGGTTGGCCGAGCGAGACCTCACATGGTTGCTAGACAAGGGCGAGGAAGCACGAGGCCGGTATGGCAATGGGGGAAGAGTCCACGATGGCGAGCTGGGAGAACAAGGAACCGGGTCGGTCGAGAGACGGATTGCGGCTGTCTTCCGCAGGTGTTGGAACTCGGGAGGGTAGATGGGAGCGTCGTTTGCTGGCTCGGCCACCTTGAGGGCGGGGACGGGAGAGGACTGGAATTCCTCCAGCTTCTTAGTCTCGGGGACCGGCTCCATTTTGACCGAGGGATGTGGTGAACTCGGGTAAGCCGGTCGGTTGGGCGGGAAGAGTTATCTCATAGGAAAGGGTAGGCCAGGCTGGTAGGATAGGCAGGTTGTGTGGATTGTTAGTCGGAGGAGGAGGGGAGGGGGGGAAGTGAGGATACGAGCAAATGGAGGAAAGCTGGGTTAAAAAGGATTGCGAGCGGTGTTTGTAGGCACAGCGCCAGTTGGTCAGGGTCTGGGTATGGGTTTGGGTTCGGATCTAGTGCCGTGGCCGTATTCCGTCCTCCTGTCAGTCTGTCCGATCGCCACAGTCGGTTGGCTGCAATGCCGAGCCCAGCGACTCAACGCATTGGATGTCTGGGTGTGATGCGTGATGTGTGTGATGTAGGGAGGGATGGAGGGAGGGATGAACGATGGAATCGCCCGGACCCTGGGGGAAGTGAAGATGCGATCGGTCGGCAAACACGTGTTATCACCGGCCTGGTTGTTGCTCGTCGGAGGACGTTGGTGGCAGGAGAGATTGGCCGACGGCAGGACGGTGATGGAAACTTTAAGCCGTTGGCTGCAGGAGCTGGCAGAAGTGCGGTGCGCCGGGTCTGCAGACTTGCAGGTTGCTTGGCTGTGGTCATGCAGAGGCGCCTCCAGGCAGAGGCTGGTGTCGGCCATTTAGGTGACGGGACGGCGCAAGAGGGAGCAGCACAACAGCGCGGCCAGGGTCCTAGCAAGCCCCCAGCAAGATCCACTGTTTGACTGGAGGGAACCTTGACACGGCCCGGGTCCGGAATCCAGGGCAGGCACACGCCCAGCACTCCCCAGCACTCCAGTGTCCCAATGCCGACCCAGCGCCTGCCAAACAGGACATAGGGGTGTTTACCCGGCAAAACGGGCCAATCACAGGCGTTCGGTCAGAGGCATGCCCGCTATGACGGGACAGACAGGGGGGTCGGCAAGCCCGCTAGTCTCGCACCGCGGGGTCTCGCTGCGGGGGAGAGTGTTAGTGACGACTGCCTGAAGAGGACAGGCCGAGAGCGCGGCTGGACGGCAGGAATGAGCAAGAATGGATCATGACAGAAGCTGGAATGGGGTAGCTGAACAAATCAATGACCTCGGGAGTCGGACTCAGGATGAGGGCATTGCCCTGCACTTGCATTGACTTACAGCATTGATTGACTGTGGGTATGTGTGAATCCTTTTTACATGTATGAAGTTGAAGTTGGATGCTGTCCTACCTTAAGTCTGGTCGTCTTTCGTTAAATCCTTCAACGGTATGTGCAAGACAGAAACCGAAAACAGACACTCCGATTGCCAGCAGTGCCTGGGTGGCGAGACTACGGCCGCTGTTTGGCGCACAAACGCCGTGCCTGGCCGACATCCCGGCTCTTCGGATCACCATCGTCCGCTGCCGTCGTACTTGGCCGAATGGGCGTCGAAGCAGCAACCAACCCCCACGAAGTCATACTGTCGATCCCGGCCGTCATGTGAACGCTCGGCCTTATCTCTTCTCACACTTGCATCACTTCAAAGCTCGAGTCGAGCGAGTCGAGTCTCGAGTTTTACCTGTCAATTCTAAAGACATAGCTGTCTAATTCTCTTTTGTGACGCCACCCCCAAGTCTAAGTATGTTTCAGTGCTCGTTTGCGGCACGAGCACCATAAATATCCCGAGCACAGAGTGCAACTCGATCGAAGTCCCAGCGCACGGCTACGGATCAGACGGGGTGACGGTGTCATGGTGGATCTCGATCTCTCTCTTGAGTCGGGCCCATTTACCCCAAACACTGTGCCCCATCACCACTGCCAACATCATCATCATCATCATCCTCACTTTTAGTATCAGGAAATACTTCGACTGACAGAGACCTGCGTAACCCTACCACAACAGTCATGCACCGAGATGGCCCAGCATGCTGACATCTTTCTGGATTGGCTGGCCTGCTATCGATCGGGGTTTTTCCCTGCAGGGGAGCAGCCAGGATGCATCCTTCTGGAAGCTTCCGGGTGTACGGCTTATACAGGCAGAAAGATTGATATGAGATCATCATGCATGCACGACCAGTCGCCTGCTTAGCGATGCTGACGAGGTGCGAAGTGAAGACCCGTGCATGTCTTGGCTCTCACAGACCCCAAGGTTCCCAACCAGTTCTCGGGCCTAGGGTCCGTGTCATTGTCGAGCTCGGAGGGTCCGGCCATGTACGAACAGTGTGGCCCACAACGGGCACCGATCGTAGCGGCCCTCCCTTCTACCAGTCCCCACGTCTCCGATCCCGTAGCTTCCGGCTTGTTCTCCCGATCCGGTCTTGGGCCGTCACCAGTCATCTGGGGTCAACAACAACGGTGAATGGTGACCGAAATCGATCGCACGCTACCAACTCGCCATACTGGATCACCAAGAAGCCCTTTGCCGTCTGCTGGCCAACGATACAGTACAATGATGTTGTAGGGGAGTTGGCATGTTAACCTCGCTCCGTTGCCCTCCCAAGATGGCTTCCGTGATTTGTTATTGTGGTTTCCACACACTTGTGTCCATACGACTACAGGATACAGTAACGTGACTTGCTTCTTAACTCACCTAAAAAGCAAGGAGACTCGACGATTATTTTTTCCCATCCTCGGTTGGTATTGCGAATAGGCAAAGACGATGCGCTCTGTCCAGCCTCCACCCCGGACCGCAAAGCAGCTGTCCAACCCAAGCATCCTGTGTGGCTGGAAGGCCACAAATCTCTTCTCCACGCTCGCAATGTCGTTTCTATCGACTCACATCTTGGGTGTCCGCCGGTCTGTGACGCCTACATTTAAAGACGCTGCCCCCTGAGCTGCGCCGACTGGTCCTCCTAAGTATCGACGACCCGGCCGATCCGCGCGGGCTAATACAACGTATCGCCCATCTTCCACAAGCAATACCTGCTCAACCAGCACATAATCCTCTCGGCCGCATCGAGCGCACTCCTGGAAAAACATCTTCGTCGACGCCTCTATCGGCCACTTCACAGCTTGCTGCCCACATCCAGAGAAGCGTGAGCGCTGGAAGCATTCTCGAAGAGACTCTGGCAACACCCTTGCATTCTCCAAATTCTCCAGAAGATGTGCGGCAAAGGATGGGCAGAATTGGAAGAAGTTATGTACTGAAGAAGATCTACGAGCCATGACGCAGTGCTATCTGGTGACTGTCCGTCCGGTACTACCAGAACGCACCATGCGTTATTTGGCTGGAAGGAAGGAAGGGCTTGGTATGTTGAGCTGCGTTGTGCTGAGCGTAGGAGGCTGTTTGAGGGTGCTGTATCATAGTAGATTGGCTGTATTTCTGTATAACAGTAAGACTTGGTCATATCTCATCGGCCGATGAGGAGGGGTTCAGGTTGTCCTCACGATAGTCGTCGCGGTCTAAGGTAAGCGAGAATTTATTATCACAGTGGTGTCATAGGTAGGTCACTCGATAGGATTCGATTAAGTTCACAAGAGGACAGTGAGTCATAAAAATCACTTTCATGAGAGTCGCATGTAACGGTTGGATGGTAGTATGATTCATTGTCAGAAACGCTGCTGGCGTGAGAGGATGGGGAGAAGTTGACCCGACCCCTAACCCTGAGACCGGAACAGTGCCTATACAGTGTTAATACAAACATTTTACGCAGAAAACTTTTTGCTCTTCGTACTGTGTTATTACTCATCCGGCAACTTATTTGCCATCCACATCGTTTCTGCCTTCCTACTAAGCCTCGAGCCGTTTTCTCCCTTCAATCGGGACTTTTTCACTCCCCAACAGATTTGAGCTGAGACTCGGTTTTCTTTCGAGATCGCTTTGTTTCGGTTTTTTTTTCTTTTTGTTTTAAACGGTCTTTCCAAAGTCGCTGTATTTCAAAAAGCGCATCTCATAGGGAGTGTTTCTCACTGAATCCTCACAACTCGGAATCCCACATCAGCCGGAAATTGACATAAGAATCACACCACACTACTACCCTGGAGCACGGAATTTTCTCTCGAGTCCAGAACCAGCAACGCAGTACAGCGATGGCCGACTCAGCACCAGCTGCTCAAATAGTCCCATTAGAAGATAATCCACGTCGCGGAAGAGGGGGCCGCCGTGGAGGACGGGGAAGAAGGGGTCATGGTCATGGACAGCCGAGGTCACGACCCGCGCAAGACGGAGAGCAAACTCAAACAACACCATCAGAACCTATTGTTAGCTCTGCGAGTAATCCGGCGCCATCCAATGTTCCCCCCAGTGGGGCTCCGGATGCGGCTCATCGCGAAGGAGAGCAGTCAGGGAGGGGTAGGGGAGACAGAGGGAGACGAGTGGGTAGGGGCCGAGGGAGAGGATGGTCTGGCCAGAGGTCGGTGGTAGTTTCGCATAGGGGAGGCCGCCGTCAACTTCCTCCGGGGTTGGCAGGGCCTTCTCAAGAAGGGGAGTCGCGTGCTTCGGGTACGGACTTGCGGCCTGCTGCCCCGGAGTTTGTCCCTGGCCAGTCAGTCCCAGCTCCCAGCCCCGAGCCGACTGCACAACAGCTTACACCAAAGCCACCGAAGCCACCAAAGGCCCCAAGAGTGACGACCAAGTCTTCGGCAGAGGACCTGCCGACGAGAATCCACGAGGATATTGACAACAAGCAGTACGAGTGTGTCATCTGCACCAACGATGTGCTGCGGAACTCCAAGATCTGGTCGTGTGCCATTTGCTGGACCGTTATTCACCTTTCGTGCGTAAAGAAATGGTATGCGAACCAGATGAAGGAGAAGCAAGAGAATCCAAGGCCTAACCAGCCAGAGGGCTGGAGATGTCCTGGGTGCAATTCTCAGCTGATCGACCCTCCGGGGTCATATCACTGCTGGTGCGGCAAAGACTTCGACCCAAAGCCGATTCCGGGACTGCCGCCTCACAGTTGTGGCCAGACTTGCTCGAAGCCCCGCGCTACGTGCCCGCATCAATGTTCCTTGCTCTGCCATGCCGGTCCTTGCCCGCCATGCAACCTAATGGGGCCGCCCCAAATGTGCTTCTGCGGTAAGAATACGTCTACAAAACGATGCGTCGACACCAACTACGGCAGGGGATGGAGCTGCGGGGAGCTATGTGGCGATCTGCTGCCTTGCGGAGAGCACACCTGCTCCCAGCCCTGCCATCCCGGGCTTTGCGGTGCTTGTGAGATCCTCGTGCCGTCGGTTTGCTACTGCGGCAAGGAGCGGCGCGAGATCCCTTGCAACCAGCGCGATGATATCCTGGAGTCCTTTAATTGGGGTCAGTTGCCGGCGAAGGAAGAGGAATTGCTGGAGTTATCGAAGTGGTTTGATGGCTCGTTCCAATGCGGCAGTATCTGCGGTCGTCCTTTCGACTGTGGGCATCACTCCTGCCAGAAGCCGTGTCATCCCCAGGACGAAGAGGTTGCGCATTGCCCTTTCTCTCCTGATGTTGTCACTCATTGCCCATGCGGCAAGACACCATTGGCGTCACTGTCCACGGAGCCGAGGACATCATGTCTCGATCCGATCCCTCGTTGCAACAAGCCTTGCAACAAAGTGCTAGCTTGTGGGCATCGGTGTCAGGCCGAGTGTCACACCGGCTCTTGCCCGCCATGCTCCCAGATCGTCGATATCGCCTGCCGTTGTGGCAAGACAACGGCGAAGTCGGTTTGCCACCAGGGCGAAGTCGTCGCCCCACACTGCTTCCGCATCTGCAAGGCCCAGCTCAACTGTGGCCGTCACGAGTGTGGACAGCGGTGCTGCCCGGGCGAGAAGAAGGCTGCCGAGCGGCGCAAGCAAAAGCGTACCGGCGCCAATGAGAACTATGAGCCTGAACATATTTGTCTTCAGGTGTGTGGTCGCCCACTGAAATGCGGACAGCATAACTGCCAGCAGCTCTGCCACAAGGGGCCGTGCATGTCGTGCCCTGAAGCCATCTTCGACGAGATTAGCTGCCACTGTGGCCGGACAGTCCTCCAGCCGCCCCAGCCCTGCGGGACTAAACCTCCCGAGTGCCGGTACCCGTGTACGAGGCGCCGGCCGTGTGGCCATCCTGGCGTCCAGCATCAGTGTCACCAGGACGACATGCCGTGTCCCAAATGTCCCTTTCTCGTGGAGAGGCCTTGTGTGTGCGGCAAGAAGATGCTAAAGAACCAGCCGTGCTGGTTTGAAGAAGGGAGCTGTGGTCTCCCATGCGGGAAGAAACTTAAGTGCGGCGCCCACGAGTGCCGAAAGCCATGCCACAAGCCTGGCGAGTGCGAGGATGTCGACGTTCCCGGCACCCACTGCTCACAGCCCTGTGGCAAGAAGCGCAAGTCGTGCGATCACGCTTGCGCTGAGCAATGCCATGCGCCGTTCCCTTGCAAGGAGGACAAGCCGTGCCAGTCTAAGACGTTCATTACGTGCCCGTGTCAGCATCGCAAGCAGGAAGTGCGGTGCAACGCGACCATGCTGAACCCTTGGCCGACTCGGGAGTCAATGCTCAAGTGCGATGACGAGTGTTTGCTGTTGCAGCGAAACCGCAAGCTCCAGGAGGCACTTAACATCGATCCCAATCACACCGACGATCACATCCCGTATTCTGACACCACGTTGAAGCTGTTTCGCGATAACATCACCTGGGCGCAGGAAAGGGAAAGGGAGTTTAAGTTATTTGCCGCATCAGACGAGAAGCGGATGCGCTTCAAGCCCATGCCCGCTCATCAGCGTGCCTTCTTGCATGCCCTGGCTGAGGACTACGGTTTTGACCACGAGAGCCAGGACCCTGAGCCGCATCGCCACGTTTGTATCTTTAAGACACCAAAGTTCGTCTCGGCTCCCAGGAAGTCACTGGCCCAGTGCCTGCGCATCGCGAAGCAGGCATCAACTCTAGCCGCTTCGGCCTCGTCCCTACGCTCTGGAGCCGCCGCAGCCGGCCCCAAGCCGAACGATGTCCAACCCTTCAACGCCATCCTCCTCGCCTCTCCCCGCTTCGGCCTAACCATCGACGAGCTCGACAAGGCTCTCTCCACTGCCCTCTCGTCCCCCTCCCGCCCCTCCAGCCTAACCTTCACAATCCACTTTCTCCCCTCTGACGAAATAGTCATCAAAGCCTCGCCAATCTTCACCGCAGCCTCCATCGCCAACGCCTCAACAACTCCGCAAGCCATCGAGTCCGCCCTGACGGCACTCAAACCATCCATCACACGCACTGTCACACGCGAGGGTTTCGCCTCGACGGTCCTGCTCTGCCACGTCGTTGACGTCGATGGCGTCCTGACCATTTCTCGGCGTGAAGGGGATGATGGGAGAAGAAAGAAGGTTGATGCAGGTGGCTGGAGTGCGGTAGTCAGTCGCGGGTCATGGAGGAGGGCTGCGGCGGCGGCGAATGCGGCTGCTGCGGAGAAGGAGAAGGAGAAGGAGCAGGGTTCGTCAGGGAAGGGGTTTGTGGCGTTGAGGAAGACGGTTAAGAAGGTTGAGCCGGTTGTGCCGATTAAGAAATTTGAGGAAGAGGTGGAGGAGGATTGGGAGGTGGCTGCGGACAGGATGGTTGGGGAGGATGAAGGGAGTCAGGAGAAGGCAAAGGGTGAGGATGATGATGTTACAGATAGGGGAATCTTGGACGAGGAGAAGATCCAGGATGGTGAGAGCAATAAGCGGGAGGAAGACATCACGCCCAAAGGCGACGGAGAGAAGAAGTCGGACGTAGCGCTGGAAAGTACGGGTTCATCGTCATCATCATCATCATCGTCGTCGTCGTCATCACCACCCCTGCAGGACGATGGCTCAGCACAGGCCGGTGCTGCTGCTGCCCCTAGTGGTAGTGGCAACAATGAGTTCTCTTTCTCAGCTTAAAATCTTCGAAGTCGATCCATTCCGAATGCTTCTCGCCTAGATCAACTGATCGCCTGCTCCTCAGATCATGTCATCAAATACTTTTGTATGTAAGCACTCATCATAGAGAGAGATGAGCGTCCAGTGTAGTGGCAGATAGAGCTACCTGTGATGGCGACTTGATAACATGAAAATCTCGTTTGAAAGAGTTCTTGTCTTTGTATCTTATCCACTTGTGAGATTGCAAACTACCTATTTTCTTAGAATTCCCACTCTTTTGCGCTCCATACCCTTAAAATTCCCATCCGAACTAGTCCGGATAGCTCGCTTCGCTGAGCTAGTAATAGTATCGCCGATACTAGACTAGTGGAGGTAAAATCAGCATTTTATCAATTTCCGATCTGATAAAACCACCAGATCAGAAATCTGGCGCTAGAAGGTCTTAGACACACGCTAGCATAGCTCTATTTGGACGGGCTCATATCACCATCTTGGTCATCATAATTCTTTTTTTTTTTTTGGGAACATATCCAGATATGGGGGAAAAGGCTCTGTGAGGCTGAAGCTTGTCTTGCCTCCACCCAGGAGCTATCACTTTTTGGCAAGGAATGTGGATCTCGGATCTCGGAACCGAATTGAGATGGTGAATGGGTATCTCATTTATTCTTTTTGGAAGTTTTCTGCTCCAAGTAATTACAGCTTGCGGAGTGGCGAATCGGGGGAGAAATGGGTTACCCAGCTCAAAACAGAGCCAACTCCCTTACTCAACCACCGCGCCCCTTACTAGGCTAGGTAAAAACGGGGTATCAACAAGAATGAATAACTTTGGAACTTCCCACGACAAGCTCCCCATCTCAGGGGCTCAGGTTCCCATCCTTCTTTGATGCAATTAGCGCAATTGAATTAGTTCGTTACAGTTTTTCTGGGATATCCTCAGCCCTGTACTCCCCGGAGACGATCTTGGTGATGAATTCGGCTATGGTCTCAAAGTAACCCTCCTCGATAACGCTTGAGTTATGGTCGCCGCCGGGCAGCGGCTTCCAGACTTTGACGGGAGCACGGGACAGATCATGAAGCTTTTTCATATGGATGGGCCTGTACCATATACGTTAGTGAAACTTCAAACGCGAATTTTTTTTTTTTGGAAAGAGGGATTTACATACGGGACAATCTCGTCCTGTAACCCACTTAAAAACAGCGTCGGCACCTTGATGCTCGGAATCAGCGTATCACTGGGCCAGACCTGATGGCACAGATACGACAGCCATTTGGCGGGGGGCATGATACTGGGAATCAGTTTGCGAATGCTGAGGAACGTGTTCTCCAAAATCAGGCCCGCAATATCGCCCCGGGCCTGGTTCTTCGCAACCAGCCTGATTCCCACGGCCCCTCCCAAGCTCTGTCCATACACAATGATCTTGTGATCCCTCGTCTCGGCGCGATTGCGCAAATAATCCAGCGCGGTCTGGGCGTCGATGTTCAAGCCCGTCTCGTCCGGGGAACCGGTCGAGATGCCGTACCCCCGGTACTCCAGCATGAAGACGTTGCAGCCGGCTGCCGCAATCAGCATGCGGGCGATGGGCAAGCGGTGGCCGATGTTGCCGGCGTTGCCGTGGAACATGAGTACCGTCACCTTGGAGTGGGGGCCGCCGCGCGGCCCGCGGATGTAGAAGGCGGACAGCTTCTCGCCATCGTGCGTCGGGATGATGAGCTCCTCGTAGTCTTTGAAGTTGTATTGGCTGGGGCGAGGCACATCGGTGCGCGAGTTGGGCGGGATATGCGAGGGGTAGATGAGGGTTCTGCGCAGCGGGGTCAGCTTTCGTTACCCTCACAGATAGGAGGTCTCTCAAGGGGCATACTTTTGCTTAAAGTAGAGCAGGGCAGTCAGACACGCAGCAACCCCCTGCGGCAAGGGTCGTGTTAGCAAGTTTTGATACATAGCCGGGGAATGAACATGAATGCTATTTTTTTTTTATTTTTCCTCTCTGAGTCAAGCATGAAGAAAAAGACTTGCCCCCTGAACCAGCCGGCGCGGTTGGCGTGACAGCCATTCGGGCACTTGCAAAGGGCGGGAGAGGCAAAGGTGTCGGGTCATACAGTGGAGACGAGAGCCGGCAGGCGCATGTAGCCCGCGGCGCTGCTCAACAGCGAGACTGTCTGCTCCAGGAGAGTGCGGGCGGTCGACGACGATGATTCAGGCGGCGACAGAGGTGTCGTCGACATGGCGCGGGCGCAAAAAGCGAAAAAAAGGAGGAGGGAAAGGAGGGCTGGAAAGGTGGTAAGGGGGGACCGGCAGATGATTATGTATGTACCTGTTGGCTGCTGTGTACTGCTGCTGCGTGTGAGGTGGTACGGATGCCGAGCGGTGTTTGGGGTTAGTGATAGTGTCCGGATGGCCCGATGACAGTGGAGGTCGGCTGCCTGCAAGGTCCTGGAGATCTGGGATCGATGTGGTTGATTGAGATTGGGCGAAGATGATTGGCGGTAGTTGGCAGGGACCAGGTCGAAGTGTTGGGGGAATTGAAGCTGGGGGCTGCCGTGCGGTGCGGTGAGGAGCTTTTGCAGCCTTTGCCACGCTTTTTGGAGCCTTTAGCTGTGAGGCTTGTGCAGAGCTAGCGCAGCGTGGGACTCGGCGGGCAACGGTCAAGGTCGTAGTGCCGCAGCACAGAGGGTAAACTGGGCTGCCGGAAATTCCCAAAACGGACAGCAGCAGAGCACGAGGCACAAATCTCGGATGGCATGGGCGATGTGTTGGCAGGCACTCGCAAGACAATGGGCTAAAGGAATCATGGATCAATGGATGCAGCAATGCCGATGATGCATGCAGAACGCAGTGGAGATCGTCACTTGGGTCATTTGGGTGTCGCAGTCTCAACTCACTGAGGAGAAATCTGCGGGCATTGCAGCCATTGAGCGCGCTGTGCAAGCGTCAGGGCCAAGAAGGCCCCGAATGTTTCCAAGAATGGCAATTGGCGATGAAAATTAGGGAGTTGGATTCTTGGAGGACACGGAAGAGCCATTGGACACTTCCAGGTTTGCTTGGATGATTGGAGTCTGGCAGTGTGGCACTCACGGCGATGACTGGCTCTGTTTGTCTCATCTGTGATCCTTCAAACATGTCACCATCGAGCAAGGCAGTCCAGTTTCATACGAGGCAAAAATTGCTGCTGGCCATTTTTTTTTGATCCCGCAAACTTCCAGCCTGGGCACTCCTATCGCTACGCTGTAATCGCTGCATGGGGCATGGTAGAACAGCCTGTTCCAGGTTGTTTGTCCATGCGCCGGCTAAGTCGATGCGACAGCCTACCATTAATACGTGCTACGCGAAGCTGGTATCGCAAATATCGCATTCTTGGTCTCAGATGCGGATCCGTATGAGCTGCCAACTGGCCCAACGAGCGGGGCGGCCAGCTCGGAAGGGGGGCATGATGTAATAAACGACAAGCATCAGAGACTTTACCATTTCTGATCGGGCCAGCGGCGGACGATTGCCATCCAACCTTACCTGATTGACCTGATCGGGCTATGTGTCATAGCGACGACCGTGGAACAGCGCAGACAGGACCGGCAATGGCGCAACCTGCATCACCAAAATATCCGTTTTCGACACTTCGTCCCTGTCTTCGTCGCCGCGGCGAACTGCTGCAGCTGCAACTGCTCGCCGCTTGCTTGTCAGATACGTATCTCAAATGGAAACCCGAAGCCAGCCCTCTCAGCAAGCCCGCCTGCGGGGACTGCAAGAGATACAGATAGCGCGCGCGACGCCGGCCCCTCGCATTGGGTTGCGCCGGATTCATGCGCTGTCTCCAGGCCCAAACAGCACACAGCAACTAGTCACTCGGCTGACGGGCGCTCACCCAAGCTCTGAAACAAAGACTGACGTGGGCAGCATGAGGGATCGACGCAGCTGACGAATCGAAGGCCTTGATGCCCCAGGCCCAGCTGTCGCCAGGCGGGACTGCGGGATGATCGTCGTCGAAACGCTCCAGAAGCCCTTGGGAACTTGGGACAGGGGGCTCTGGGATATGCTTCAGTCGCATCCTGAGTCCGAGCAGATTCCCAAGAGCTAGAGCTAGACGCACGACAGCGCCAGCGACAGCAACCTCACAGCAATCATCAAAGTTGCACACTGACTTTTTGCTGGCTACATGCCGAATTCAAATTGTCGAATTGTCACGGATCCGCACTTTCTTATGTCGCACTGCTCCGCTTTTCTGGCATGGCCGCGCCCCTGAGTGGCTGCAGGCTGCACTGCTTCCCAGTTGGACGACGGGCTGCTCTGTGTCGCGCTTCTTGTCGCGGAGCCCCGCCAACCTGAGCGGGTCTCTGACCTAGGGGAGCAAGTGGGATGGCGGGGCTGTGTGGCTCGTGGGGCGCGACCGCACGGGACCGGCAGCTGCCCTGCTTGCAAGCGGGTTCGAGTGGGCGCCAGTGGGATTTCTGTGGAGTTGTGGATCCATCCGCGCCCGAAAATCTCCAACCAAAAAATTGGTAAAAACATCCAAAAGGCTTCACAACTTTTTCCTCCTCAAGGCTAGAACACGCAGAACACGACCGCCAGCAGAACATCAGACCCAGAAAATTTCTGCTGTTGCAGATCCCGGATTTCCATCGTTTTGTCCAGCCAGCCGGGTGCTTCCCGGATTCACTAACTGCGCTGTTTTAAGGTTAACGAACCCCTCACGTGCCGTGACCTGCATACAGCCCTTCGTCCACTTGACTTCCCGCTGCCGTTGTCGTCTTTCCGTCTTGCTGCTCGTCTGCTCTCACGACTTTCATTCGTGCCCAACGAAAGAGCCCGCCAAAAAAAAACAAAAAAAACAAAAAAAAAAAAGAGTGTGCACCATTCCCACGCTCAGCCGCCCGCTGTCAGCCGACGCCAACTTACACAGCGAGCATCCATCCATCCCAGCAGCAGCGCAGCACTCGCTCACCTGGCCGAACACGGCCTGATTCTTCTCTCAGCTTCTCAGCCTGACCGAAGGTCGCCCAAGCAGACTCGGGCGCTCGCAGAGCCTTGTCTCGTTTTGCGTTCTGGTTGGAGCAACACTTACACGACTGGACAGCCCACCGACCGTCAGCCATTGGTCATCGCCCAGGTGTCGACAGCCGCCTCACTTCGTGCATACGGACTGTCCACAAACACGGATTCTTTACTACCTGCCCACTTCGCGCAATTGCGACACTCATCAGGAAGTCTGTTAGCTTCACCCCACCAACGCCGTCAAGATGGTCTCCTTTTCGTGCGAGGTGAGTACATAACCTCTTGATTCTAAGATCAATATTCCCTCAATATCCCCCCCATCAGTTCGATGGGAAGATCCCGGCTCGTCAATTTTGATTCTGTCCACAGCCATCGCATTCCAGGAGGGTCTAATCTGGCAGTTATACCCCTCCAAGCCGCGCAGCAGCATAGAAGAGGCAGTCTGGGCATTCTTTGACATCACACCCGCATGTACATACCACCTCGACGGGTCACATCCAACCAGAGAGGCTCATCAGGGTCACACTTCCCGGCACCCCACCCCCCTCCCTCCAGTCCCGTCAACTCCCTCCGTGTCTAAGCAAGCTGCTCTCCCCTTCTTTGGGTGTCATCCGTTGTCTTTCTTGTCTCTCGCTCTCCTATTCTCTTTTTCATTGTCCCTGCTCTTTCCCCAGGCCTGACCTTGCCGTCTGTCCATTACAAACATTTTTTTTCTCTCATTCATTTGCTGACCTGTGCAGAACTGTGGTGACGTTCTCACCAAGAAGAAGCTCGACCAGCATCGCAGCCGGTGCCGGGGGGCTACCTTCACCTGCATCGATTGCATGACGTATTTCCCGGGCACGGAGTACAGGTCGCATACGGTATGTTTGCTGCTGGCTCCTTTATATTGAGTTGCTTGCCCCGCTGACTGAATGGCAGAGCTGCATAACCGAGGAGCAGAAGTATCAGGGCGCTTTGTACCGGCCGAAGAAGGGCAAGGGCCAGAACAACCAGAATAACAGCAACCAGAACGGCCAGGGCAACCAAAACGGCCAGAACGCCCAGAACGCCCAGAACGGTCAGAACAATCAGAACAATCAGAACCAGTCTGCATCGAACGGCCAAATGGTCAAGCCCACGCCAGCATACGCCGAGAGCGTCCCCGACGGGCAATCATGGCGCGAACCTAACCACCAGAGCGACGACGAGGACGATGCTGTTGCCCCTCCCCCGCGTGTGCCAACGCCTCCTCCTTTCCAGCCCAAGACCAATGGTACGACCAACGGGGTGAACGTGTTCGACTTCCTCGTCGCAAACCCCACGCCGACTGCGTCTCATGTCTCCCTGCCCGGTACCGCCGCTGCCCCTCAGAATGATGAGATGCAGCTTGTGCGCTACGACCCCGAGGCCAACGGTCAAGCTGAGCCAGAGCCCATGCAGCAGGACGGACCGGCGCCGCAGTTCCAGACTCCCGCGCCGAAGAAGGATAAGAAGGACAAGAAACGCAAGCGTCTGCACATCGAGACCGACCAGGTCATGACCGATGCTCCGCCGGTGCTGCACTCCAACCTGACGGGTGGCATGAAGGCGCTGATGTCCGGCCCCGACGGCTATCCACCCTCTCCCGACTCCTCTGGTGACGCCGAGACTCCGGCCAGCCCGCTCAAGAAGGCTAAGTCCAACAAACACCATAAGTCGGGCCGTCAGTCGACCGACAGCTTTGGCGGTAGCCTGATGGCAATGATCGCTGAGAGCATGAAGCCCAAGTCCACGCCTACAAAGAAGAAATCTTCCTCCAAGAAGAAATCCAGCTCTTCCTCCAAGAAAAAGAAGAAGACCCCGACCAAAGCCCTCGAAGCGCCCAAGGGGCCGAAGCTGTTGGAGTACAAGAAAGAAACCAAAGGTGAGAATGGCGCTATTCCCAACAAAAGTAACGCCATGGTTGTGTTCCGCCCGCGCGCCGAGCACTTTTTGTCCTTCGTCGACAAGGGCCCCGACAGCGTCCGCGGTTGCAGCGTGAACAAGGTTCTCAAGCGGTACCATCGCGTGCGTGCGGCCGAGGGCTTGGAGGCGAATGGGAAGAATGCGAAGCAGTTGGAGGAGAAGGAGCTGTGGCGGTCATTGCGGATGAGGAGGAATGAGAGGGGGGAGATTGTGCTTTTTTCAATAGACTCTTAGGGGGGCTGAAGGGGAAGAGAGGAATGGGAAGTAGGGAAAAGGGGAGGATGTGGTATGATCTTGGGGGAGGGGGGGGGTGTGGTGGGGAGTTAATTCTCATTTTTATCTTCTTCTTGTGATATTTTATCATGTTGTATTTGGTAGGATTCTTTTGTTATGATACCTTTTTTTTTATGTCTGGGAACGGGCGATGGTTTTGGAGTGTGTTGTTTCTGGCATTGGTAATTTTTTTTTTTTCGTTTGTTGTGGTGTCCTCTGGATGTTGTGATGATCATGGTCCTTTATGAGTTGCGTTTCTTCTACTTTCCTTACAAGTTGCTTTCTTTTTTTTCTTTTTTTTTCTTTTTAGATAGCGGATCTCATCAAGTGTTTTGACGGGCATGGATGGACTGCTTCATGTATCATGGACTGGACTCTCCCAGGTGAAAAGCCAGCTTCAGGAAAACCAGGACATCTCTTTGGGTTACTTTACTCTCGTCATAGCATAGCGAGCGTTTGATGTTTTTGCATTATCCATCTACTATGATTTCACTAACAGATTAGCAGATAATGAATCAGAGTTAACTTTACGAAATTAGTGACAGAATATTGTGAGCTTGTACCCTAATTGTAGCGTTTTCTTTGGCCATCCAGGTAGCTTAGTTCAGTTCAGGATTTTGTTATTTTTTCCACCATCCAATAACAGCTCAGATCCGAAACTGAGTTTTGTGAATGTCTTGTCGACAATGACCTTAACCATCAAGCCCCCAAGGTCGAGCTCACTTCTCTGTCTTAATATGTCGACGAAATACAATGGCATTGTTTCCAAGAAACTTTTTGGAAATTCCCAAAGTTGCTGATTCATTATTCATAACATTACCCTCTATCCTCACCCTCATATGTACAACATCATGAGCCAATCCAAACAATAAATCTCCTTCACTTCTCATCCTTCACTATTACTACTAATCAGCCCCATCCCTCTACTCTAGAACTCATCACGGTGCCCTCAACGGCAAAATCTGCTGCGCCAACGCCTCCCTCCTACACAACGGACACTCCGGCTTCTCCCTAACCCAATCCCCGATACACCTCCAGCAAAACACATGACCGCACGGCGTCGCAGCGGGATCCCTAAGCCCCTCCAGACACAGCGTGCACATCCTTTGCGCGGACCCCTTGATCCATCCCATGACGAGCCCCTTTTCCGGGTCAGCAGGCGGTAAGGACAGGTCGAACCTCGCCCGGTTACCCTTTGGCACAGGGGTGTGTGTTGTTTGCCCGATTTCGGCCAGGGAACGCTGGTTGCCGGATGTGCCCCCGCCGGCGGTGGCGTCTGGGGAGAGGAGGGAGTTGTTGGAGGTAAGAGCGTGTTCGTCTAGGGAGACGTCGACCATTGCCGAGGGAGCTAAGATGCCGCGCTCGCGGAAATCAGGATCATCGTCCTCGGACTGTTGCTGTGCGGCGCCGGACCCGAGGATTTGTTGCTTGATGTGCAACCATCCCCGCACAACCATCTGAATTACCAACAACACGCCCAGCACCTCGTACCCCGCTCGACCGCCCGCGTTGGGGTCGATCCGTCGTGTAAACACGTACCGCAGTCCCCAGATGCGTTTGGAGAGTGAGTAGTACGCGCCGGTGAAGTAAAAGATTGCGAGGGTGACCGCGTGCAGGTGAGCGGCGTTTGTGAGCGAGGAGAGGTGAGTGAGGAGGTAGCGCAGGACGCGGTACTCGGTGCTGGGCTGCCCGAAGCGTGTCTGGTCGCGGCCTTGTCGGACGATGGTTGTGAGTCGGGAGTGCAATTTTTTGCGTAGCGCGGTGCGTGCACGGGGCAGGAGGCGGTTGAAGAGGTAGGGGATCAGGACGGAGGTCAGGATGTAGCCTGCTCGCCGGGGGAGGGAGGGGAGGAGAGGGCCGCCAGAGCCGTCGTCTTCGGGGGATTTTGAATCTGTTAAGGATAAGGCTGAACCGGATGGTGCTGGTTTAGGGGAGGGCGCCTCGACCTGCACCAGGTCACAGTATTCTTCGCCTAGCGTGCGGTTCCCGATGAGCGTGGTCAGGCACAGGTAGAGGGCGTCGGCTAAGGCGCGGGTTTCGGTCGCCCAAGAGTGTGCGGCGCGGGCGCCGCGCAGACGACGGTGTAGATCAGAGAGCTGGTTGGCGAGTACGCCCTGGAAGTAGGCATCTTTTTGGTGCGCGCGAATGATGTCGGGGGCGGCCGCGAAGGGATAGGGGGAGGTTGTTACGGGGGGAGGGGGACGCGGTTTGGGCGGTTGGGCGGCCATGCTTGCGGTCGGGTTGTGACGATGACGTTACGCGTCGCGGATGGTGATGTCGAGGTCGAAGCGAGATCGGGTTGGCGTTAGGCTTGGATGGAGTCGTGTTGATGTTATCCGAGGTGTGTGGCACGGTAGCCGCGCGGTCAGGAGCTCAGGAGCTGAGTTGGAGGGTCGTGATTGTGCGGACGCGGCAAGATTTCAGCCGACGCAGACAGTAGGAGTCGAATTGAAGCAGAGCGACCGGCGCATGGGGCGGAGTGGCATGATGGTGAAGATGGAGACAAGATGGAAGGAGGAAGACGTGAAGCGTCGTCGTCGATGCTTTGCCTTCTTCCAGCCGCCGTCGGCAACGGCAGGTGCATTCATGTGGAGACCCGCTGAACCTCGGATGATGACTAAGGTGCGGTCTCTTTCGCTTGCTGACAGGGATGACAGGCTCAGGGACCGGATCGCCAAGATGCCAAGAACTAAGGGATCCGCCGTTATGGGGTATGCAGGGTTGGGGATCACTGTAGCGCACTGTGAGGACACGGTGCATTTCAAAGGTCCACGGTTGTGGTTATGGTTTGACGACGACGTCGTCTCTCGTTTCATCCAAAGCATCGACAACCAGCTTTCAGATTACTCGACGGGAATCCTCCAAGCAGCGAGCACGAGACCTCCTTCGCGACCGAAAAGTTACCCCATTTTCAATGATTTTTTCGGTTTTCGTCCGATCCTTGACAGCCTACGATTGAATTGCATTTGCGAGCTCCCTGCTTCATCGAGGACGTCAACGACGACAGCAACCACAACGGCGACAGCAACAACTCCAGCGTCTTCGATGACGCATCCAGAATCAATACTCTTCAGATTAAAACACAGGCACGAGCACAGACACAATGGACGGTGACCCAGCAGTCGACCCCCGGCTTGACTCGTTCAGCCTGACCTTTCCTCTGCCCTTCCGCGTGGCCTTTCTCGTCATCCTAGGTGGGTTCGCCTACTAGGGTTTCGGATATCAATTACCAACTAACGTCCGTTTCGCAAGGTGTCTGGGGATGGGGCGTTAACTTACACTTCCTACATATTCGCCGCATTGATGTTCCTGCTTTGATCCGATACCCAGCCCGATCGAGTCCAGCCCAACTAAGCCACCACCACTCGACCTACCGCCTGGCCTCTCTCCTAAGCACCTGCACGGCCGTTTTCCTGGTCTTCTTCTGGCTATGCACTCGCCGCGACCCCCAATCCGTGATCGACTACGACTGGATTCCCATGATAAACCTCGCCGTTCTCTTCGGCCTGCTGCTTCTCCCCTTACGACGCATAGCTGTTGCACATTCTGGCCGGTCCCGGTTGCTCTGGATGCTGCGTCGCATATCCGTTGGTGGGCTGGCTGAGGTTAAGGATGGCAAGTTCGCCGACATCCTACTGGCTGATGCCCTGACCAGCTACGCCAAAGTCCTCGCCGACCTGTTCGTCTGCCTGTGCATGTTCTTCTTCGATGGCCCGAACGGCTCGGCTACTGCTCGTCCGGACCGCGCCTGCGGTGGCGACATTTTGGTTCCATTGATCATGGCCGTGCCCAGCGCGATCCGTCTGCGCCAATGCCTGATCGAGTACGTGCGCGTGCGCCGCGCCCAGTTCCGGGACCCGAGTGTTGGCTGGGGCGGGCAGCATCTCGCCAACGCGACGAAATACGCCACCGCGTTCCCTGTCATCATCCTTGCGACCATGCTGCGAAACAGCGCAAAAGTTGATAGCGACGGCGACGGTTCTCCCGGGCTGTATCGCGCCTGGGTCCTCGCATGCCTGGTGAACTCGCTGTACAGCTTCTACTGGGACGTGGCCAAGGATTGGGACCTGACGCTGTTCTCGGACGAGCGGGCTGCGCCTGACCATCCATACGGCCTGCGCCGGCGGCTGCTTGTGCACAAGCCTGTTGTGTACTACGTAGTGATTGCGATGGATTTGTTGTTGAGGCTGACGTGGACGGTGAAGCTCAGCGCGACCATGGATCGGATTGCTGATTTCGAGAGCTCGATATTCCTGTTGCAGTTTCTGGAGGTATTTCGGCGGTGGGTTTGGATCTTCTTTCGGGTCGAGACCGAGTGGATTCGGAGCACCTCTGGTGCGGATGATGCGTCGCTTATTTTGTTGGGGGAGTATCAGGGGAGTAAGTATGAAGATGAAGACTGATGATGGGTTGTTAGCTTACGGCGTCGGGTCACGGGGCATAGAGCGGCGTTGGCTGGTCCGGAAAGCTTAATGCTAAATGCTTGGAATTATAATGCATGGCTAATAATAGAGGATAGATCTTGGATAATGGCCTCAATTGGAGTTGGCTTTCTCGGCTTCTATTGCTGATTTGGTGCTGAAAATAACCTCTCAAGATTTGAGCATGTGTTTTGGTTCCCTTTCTGGGAGATGAAGGGATGAGAACTTGTGACGATGGGTTCTTCTTCTCAAGCTGAGCCGGACACAAAGGGGTCAACCGGAGCCTTAACCACCCAGTCTTTTGTCTCGGTCCGTATCTGGAAAGCAACTCGCCCTTACCAATGTGGTTATCGAATGTTCGTTCAAGTACTAGCGGCAGCATTGCAATAAAATAACATTACCATGATGGACAAGCTCATCCTCAACATTAACATCATTATCACGACTACCATATAAACCGCAGCATTGCCATTTCCGTAGTCGACCTGGCCTATGTCCCTCCTCCGCCAGAGGAGCAGCAGGTCGAAAAAAAAAAAATACAAACACATGCCTCTGTCCCCTCCTCCGATGGACCCTGCTAACTACACGAAGAGAAAGTGTCTGGAGTGTCGGGGTTCAGCGCCGGCATAAATGCATGGCTAGCAACGCCAGTTAGGGTGCACGATTTAACATGGTTATCTGCTGCCGGGAAGCTAGATCTTTACAGCCAGGAAGATGGAGATCCTAGAGTCGATAGGGAAGGAGATGGCGAAATCGAAGTGATGCTCGACCGGACAGGAGAAGCAGATAGCGAGGGATATGGTGGTCACTTCAGTCCGTTCAACAAGGTCCCAGGAAGAGATTTCCCGAGTCAGAGCATGAACATAAGATTGCCTGCTCCATTGATGCCTATGGTGTGTCGCTTGTGGTTGCTCCGGAACCATTGCACATTGTCAAGAAGAGGGAAACTAAAAAGGATCCATCACCGCGCTCAAAGCCATCCCCTCCAAAACTTCCTATCTCGCCACTGATCTACTGAACGCTGTTAAAGAGGGGGTGGTGCACACCACGGAGTTGGTCGTGCATGCTTACAGCAACATCACAGATACTGCTGCTGATAAGGAGGGAAAGAGGAAGGAAAAGAAGAGGGAAAAGTCAAAGAGAAAGATCCATACTTGTGGTCCGGAGCATAGGCAGGGCGCATTGCCCGATCGTACCAGCACATGGAGTACGGATGGTAATCCTGCTGGGGGAATGCATGATGGGTGTACGACGGTGGTCTCCTAGAGCGGCTAGAACGCCTATGGAGGACGCTGGCGGGCAGGTAGATCCTTGGTCGTAGCCACGGCCTGTGGGTGTCGCACGGGAAAAGAAAGGAGCTTCGAAGGTTGAATTGGAACTAGGTACGTGAATAGGAATGGGTTAGTCGTGAAACAGGACGTGCACCATTTTCCTATCATTGAGGCAGCTTTTTTTGACGACAGGGCAGGGGTTCAGACCCATTTGGAGGACAAGTTCCCTTTTAGCAGTATATAGTACTCAACGGACCAATTCAGGCCTGGGACTGGAACACCTCAGAGTTCAACGCCTGAAACAGGCCACGGGAATGAGACCGGGTTGGGGATTTTGTGGAGCAGCCCGGGTGGCTCAACGCTGGGTTATAGGGGTAGTCCAAGGCCTAGAAGTAGAGGAAGCGAGCCGTCACCGAGGGTGCCTGGCGAGAAACAGATGAAGAATGGACGGCTGTATGGGAGAGTTGGGTACCTAGATTGGGGGGGTCAGGAGCTCAGGCGTTCGTGGTAACACAGCATGATTGTTTTGTATACTTGTTTGCTTTGGGATCTTGTTACTACACTTCTCTGCTCGGAATTCAATTCCGAAATCTGGGCTTGTTCGTTGTGAATATGACTTTGTGCTTTAGCTTAGGAAGGCCAGATTGACAGAGAGGGGTTTCAGGGCAGTGCCAAGACTTTAGATCAGGGTCTTCAATAGATAGAAGGTAATACTGAGTGCGTGAATATCGATGGTTTGACATGTTAACTAGGCTTTGACGTTAGGTTGCTAACTGAGTAACTCTAGCCGACATTCGGCTGATTCACTTTCAACCAAGTTGCAAGCCACCGACCGATCTTCAATCGACGTTAAGCATCTGACTTCGAACTAATTTCATCATGAAACGTTCACTAACTTTTTAATCAGCTTTCAACTGACTAGGTTTCAACGAGTTCTCTCGGGGTATCCTTAACCTGGGGACCCAACAGCACATGTTCCGCCCCCAAATCCTGCGACATGGCAATATGAGAGTTCCGTGTGCGAGACTGTCCAAGTAACTAAAGTTCCTTGTATAGATTGCTACCTTTGGATTCGCTATGTCGATGCCGTCATATGTTAAAGTTGACTTTGGTCTCTTCTCTACGGTGTTTGTGGTCTTTCAGGGTAGCGGGCATTTCAAGATGCTGCGAGACGTGAATTGCTCTCGAGTTGGCTCTCTTTGTGAATTTTAAGGCAAATTGACGTTAAACTATTACAATTCCTCTCACTGAGCGATACAAAAGCTAGATGCTCCATGCCTAAAAACAAGACATCCGCTATAGTTTGAGCATTAAGGAAATCTGGCGATTAGTCTAATCATCACCGTCCCCAATTTTTATCTTCATTAGCTGACCTTTGGTTGTTTAGATGATATAATAGCCAACGAAAACGTTATCCATACTAAGATCACCAAATGTATTGATCTCATTATCGAGTCCGACCTTATCTTCTATTACGGTGCATTACTAAATGAATACTAATAAAATAATAGAGACTTATCATAGTGGATAGAATATGATGAGTATGGGATACTTGTAGGTTAACAATAGTGCAACTCTGCAAAGAAACCGATTTTGATGCAACCGACTTTCGACTGATAAACTTTTAACCAACGTATTAACCGACTTTTCAACTAATTTTCAACATAACTTTTTTTTGTAGCCAACTTATATACCACTGATGTTTAAGCAACCACTTCTTCAACTGACTTTTAACCGACTTTCCAAGTATCAAAGTTTCAGGTGTCGGACTTTGATACAACCAACTTTTTAGAGAGAAGATCAGATACAATATCCATAATACTACAGAAATATTCTTTCAATTGCAGAACCTTGTCGGGTTTGGCTCGACCGTACTTCGTATTTATAACCCCCGAGTTGACAATGATCCTCCACACTCTCCCCTTTCCTAACACTCGTGACACGCAGCAAAAACTGATCCGGTACGTACATGGGCTGACGTCATACCCCACCCATACCAACCCCTCCCCCCCGAAAACCCCCCCCCCTTCCCAACAACAGCAGCCCGGTCCAGAAACAAACGCCCAGCCGAGGTCGTTCCATGTTCCTGGTAGCCGACCCCGCATGCCACGCCAGCTCTAGCCCCAGATCGCACTGTTACAGATCCAAGCGATCCTTGCATGCTTGGACAAATTCCGATACGGTAACTTCTGTAGTGCATACCGAGAAGCCCAGGCGCTCGTGCCTGCCGAACCGAATCTAGCCCGGCCAACCAACCTCAAAACAGACCGCCTGTCCGCCTGGACCCTTCCCTGTGAACCCTTTCTTCTTTCTACTCTACCAGTCTGGAGGGGTAGCAACTGTCCCTGTCCAGACAAACGATGAGTGCCGGGTTTGCCGGGGCTGGGGAAGACTCGGTTCCAAGCGAGAGTCCTGCTGTAATAACGGCAGAGCGGCAGACCGAGATTACTAAAGCTGTCAAGGAAGAGAGCAAGAGTGGACTTGAACCCGAGGAAGATCTCACTATCTTAACCAAGGGGTCTCACTACTGGGAATTGTCCTCCATGGCGCCGCTCAATGCCGTGTCGGCGGTTAGTATCTGCCCACTTTTCTACTCCCATGAGACTCTCGCGTCCATGCCCATGATGAGGGTCAACATCCGCTCATACACCCCCAGGCCGCCATCGCCCGGCTGCGCGCCTACCGCCCGCCGCCCTTCCCTCTATGGGATCGTCTGCCGCTGAGCCGCCGCGCTGCCGTCCTTATGCTGTTGTATGCCGACAAGCGTGGCGACCTGCGCGTGGTGATCACAATGCGCGCGGCCAGTTTACGGAGTTTTTCGGGTACATCCTTTACCAGGGTTTTCTTAGTTCACTATATGCAGATTTTAATGCTGTTGTTGTCAACACAGGACACGCCGCCCTCCCTGGCGGTAAGGCCGACTCGCTGGATGAGACACCCTGTACGCTCTGCTCCCTTCATACCTATCCGCGAGCTCCAGGCCAAACTAACGCTTCTTTAGACCAAATCGCCCGCCGCGAAGCCTGGGAAGAAATTGGCCTGCCCATGGACGACTCCAAGATTCCTCCCCCCTTCCGCATTGAGCATCTATGCTACCTACCCATGAACCTGGCGCGCAACGAGTTAGTCGTGCGGCCGTGCGTCGCATTCTTGCATACCGCTCCCGATCCGACAACGCCTTCCGCAACCCCATCGCCATCCTCTTTCCCTTCTTTAAACCAGGGGCCTCGTTCACCAACTACTCAGTCCCCGGCAGCGCTGTCCCCCTCATCCTCAGCCAGCTCTTCGAATCCAACGAAACTTTCCAAGAAGAACACCGCGGACCTAACAGTGGAAGATTCCCTCATCCCACGCCTCGATGCCAAAGAAGTCGCCGCGGTCTTCTCGGCCCCCTTCCACAACTTCCTCCGCGCGACAGACGAACCGCCTGCCAGTCCCGAGGACGGCCCCCTACCCCCCGGGAAATGGTACGAAGGCCAATGGGCCACCTGGCACGACCAGGCGTGGCGTATGCACTTCTTTTACGTGCCGGTGTCGAACCAGAAGGTTGTTAGGCCGAGTGTCAAAGGGCGAAAATCTACTACTACTACTCCTACTGCTCCTACTCCTGAAGCTAATGGGAACGGGGATGGAGAGAGAGAAGAGAAGAAAAGCCAGGAGCAGGATGATGAGTTGGATGCACCAAGGTATAAAGTGTGGGGAATGACGGCGCGGATCCTGGTCGATGCGGCGACCATTGCGTATGGGGAGCAGCCCGAGTTTGAGCATAATCGACATTTTGGAGATGAGAAGATTATTGTGCAGTTGGCGGAGCAGGGGAGGCTGGGGCCTAAGAAGCGGGAGAGGGACGCGGCGGCTAAGGAGAAGGAGAAGGACGGGGAGAGCAAGAAGCAGAAGGGGATTGATGGGAGTGATGGCGGGGAGTCGAGTAAAATGTGAATGTTTGGCTTTGAAGAGATAGATAGACTTTGGATAGAGCGTTGGTTTGGTTTGAGGTGGGCTGGTAGAGGTACAAGCCACAGTTTTCTTCCCATAATACAATCGTATGGGTAGATATATATATAGGTATATATGAATCAATGGCACGCCGTCTCCTTTGCCACCGGCGTTTTCCCGCCAAACAGAAGGTAGCCTAGTCCGGCACCGAACGACACTGCCAGCATCACCCAGCCGTTGTATGTCATGAAGATGAGCCTTGATGCAGAGGGGGTCAGATCATTCACTTAAGAGAGGGGGGGGGGTTTTCTCCCGCAAGACACAAGAGATATCCTAGGGGCAGGTAAGGAAAGGGAGACTTACATGATCATAAAAGCATAAAAATTCTGAATCCCGTATAGAATCGCCTTGATGTAATGCGCCCGACGAGTGACCGCGTCGCGGTTCTGGCCTATTTTATTTTTAAAGCGAGCTTCTTATCAACATTTATTGACCTTCTCACAACCCAACCAAGCGTAGACGATGGGAGGGGACCTACGCGGCGCGGTATCCAACCGTCTAGCCACAACAGCATCATACCGCCGAATCCCCTCGCGCAGCGCTTCATACCCGGCGCAGATGGTGACGATGAGCGCTAGCGAGACAAGCAGAGACGGCGTCGAGGTGATGCGCCACTGGCGGAAGACGATGCATAGGTTGTCGGTCGACCAGGTGAAGAGCATGTTCATGTTGCACATAGGGCCGGCGGAATCGGGACTTCCATGGTCCATACCAGAGTGAGAGGAATGGCCCATGTGGTGCATGTGGTCGTGGTGGTCCATGTTGATGAGAGTGGGAGAGGACGCGTGTCGTGATTGGGGGAGATGTGACGGGGTTAAGAGATGTCGATTGGCGTCAGGGAATATAACTATTCGGTATAGAAATGAAAGATAGTTCGCCTAAGCAATCAATCGATTCCGAAGGGATACGTCTCAACCCGAATGTTAGCGATAAAGCGATGAGGTTATGCTGTGCCCTGTCCCGATGAGATGTTGCTGATCAGCAACGATCGCGACCAGCATGTCAATATCACACAGCTCCACAGCGTAACTTACATACCCACGTGCGTAATTACCGGAGGAGGAAATTCCCGCTGGGACCCTGGCCCTTGGGGGGGGGGGTTGGGTTTTGGGAAAGGGGTGGGCGGCGTCATCGGCAGGGACCCTCCGTCGCGTTGCTTCGGACTCCTGCGGGGTCTGATGGCGGGGCATTGGATGATTTCTTGAAAACGGTCTCCGATGTGAGCGAGGGCTGTGAGCTCTTTCTTCCGTTAGTTGACAATTGACTCAATCAGGTTGTGAAGTTGGAGAACAGTCCCGTATTCTTGTTTATAAGACACACTTTGTAGGAAAAGCCCGATTAGACCTTCGTCATTTGTCTCCTTTCCTCAAGTCGAGAAGAGCTTCTGGAGCTGCAAGGAGCTGTGTTGGATCACTTTTTATATAATCCCGGATTCCGTCTTTTTTTGAGTCGATTGCACATTACAAGGAGGCTGACCAACCCTCAGGACCTCTCAACTCGAGACAAGATGTTGGCACCACCTATCAACCTCCCCAAGTGGTACGTACTGGACCATATCTCTTCACTCAAAAAGCAACTAAACACATTCCAGGCTGGAAGAAAACGGCCATCTCCTCCAACCCCCAATTAACAACTTCTGCGTCTACAACGGCGATGTGACCGTCATGGTACCGTACCTCCTCCTTCCCAAACAACACTCCATCTTCTTCTTTAGACTCCAGACACTTACCTCCCAACCCAGATCGTCGGTGGACCCAACGCCCGCACTGATTATCACATTAACGAGACGCCCGAATGGTTCTACCAATACAAGGGCGCCATGCTCCTCAAGGTGGTCGACGACGGGCAGTTCCGCGACATCATCATCCGCGAGGGCGACATGTTCCTGCTTCCGGGCAACACCCCGCACAATCCCGTGCGCTTCGCTAACACGGTCGGCATCGTCATCGAGCAGCGTCGTCCCCCGGGCGCGCTCGATCGCATGCGCTGGTACTGTCAGAAGTGCGGGGAGATTGTGCACGAGGCGGCCTTCCCGCTGACGGATTTGGGGACACAGATCAAGGAAGGCGTGGAGAAGTTCAAGAGTGATTTGAATGCGAGGACGTGTAAGAAGTGTGGGGAGGTGGCGGATTGGTGTCCTAAGCCGGGGTCGATCCGGGATCCGAATCTGGAGTAGGGGGATGGATTTTGATGGATGTGGTGTGTATTAGGCTTAATTTTTGGTTAGAGAGCTGGGAGGAGGCATTCTGCTTTGTTTAACCGCACAATCGCAACAAGATGAAAAAAAGAAAAAAAGTCTATTAAACCCCAACCCGTCTATGTCTCCTTATACTCATACGCCCCCTTAGATTCTTCAACTGCAACCTCAATCTTCGCCTCCTCCAGCTCCTTCCCATCAACCCTAATTCCAGCGCGCATCACATCCCCCGGAACCACGGGACCGACGCCCTTCGGGGTACCTGTCAACACAATATCACCAGCCTCAAGGGTCATGACCTTGGAGATGTCGGCCAGGATGCGCGGGATGCGGAACAGCATCAGCTGCGTCGAGTCCTGCTGCTTCACCTCGCCGTTGACCATCAGGTACAGCTCGATGTTATGCGGGTCCGGGATCGCCGACTTGGCGATGGGCTTGCTCAGGGGCAGGAAGGTGTCAAAGCCCTTGCTGATGTCCCAGGGGAGGCCCTTTTGCTTGGCCTCGTTCTGCACGTTGCGTGCGGTCATGTCGATGCTAAGGGCGTAGGCTGTACTTACTTAGTATGGGAGGTTATGGATTGAACATGAATGGGTAAGGCTTACACTCAATGGCGTCCAGAGCACCCTGTTCGTCGTTGGGATCAAAGTCCTTGAGGCGCTTGTTCAGGATCAGCGCCAGCTCGACCTCATAGTGCAGGTTCACGCCGCGCGGCCGGATCACGGGGCCCTCTCCGGGCAGCAGGATGGTCGAGGTCGGCTTCTGGAAAAAGAAGGGCTGCTTAGGCCGGGCGCTGTTGAGCTCGGCGATGTGGTCACTGGCAACGATATTGTCAGCCAGGATCGTTATGAGATGTCAAGATTGAGTCCCTTGAGTCGGGTATATATATATATATATATATATAGATAGATAGATAGATAGATAGATCTTGGACCTACGCATAGTTGCGCCCAATGCACACGACCTTGCCGGCCTTCTTGAGGGAGGCCAGAGTGGCCATGCCCCGGCGAAGGGAGAACGGCGTCATCTTGGAGAGCATCTTAGTTCTGGGCTGATGATGATGCTTGTGTTACTGTGTTACTGGCACAGACTGCGGTTTCCGAGCTCTCATAACCCGGGGATCAATGTCTGGGATGACAAATGCAGTTCTCGGCGAATTGCATCAATGGCAACGCGGCAACGCGCGGCAATCACACTCCATGAACAACGGATCCTCCGCACTTCGGACCCCTCTCTAGGCTGTTGGTTGACCCGCTCGGCTGGCGCTATCGGTCGCTGCGTCCAGGGGAGGGGTTTTGTGGACCCTGGAGATCTATATCGCTGTATCGGGTGCTTAAGGTTAACCGGGGGAGGGGTGGTGAGATCTGTCAGGAGACATACGTGACCTATGACAAGTTGTGAATGGAGTTATAGAGACATGATTTTGTATTGGGAAGTCCAAGTGGATTGCCAAGCACAAGTTTCATTTTGATAATGGAGAGGGTTCAGGTTCGAGCACAAACCGTAGTTATCCGTGGCATCTTTAACGGATGCCTTTAACGGGGCGTTTGGGAACACCCCGCGATGGGATCTGGAGCTGGATTGACGGAATCTCACGAGGTCCAGCAGCTCACAAAGCAATCAATGGGCCTTGATCTCGCCCAGTACTTGATAGGAGAGCTGGACTGGACCTTCAACTCGCGAACCACGTTGTCCACAGCAGACGGTTCGGAGACCCCACATCAGCTTGACCTCCCGATACTTCAGGTCCCGCAGCGGATGCGGGGTCCCACGCGACTGCAGGGGTCACTGGGCGGCCGACCTCACCGACAGCCATGGAGGGGCACCCTGGACGCTCCTCGCTGGTGACAGCTTGCCAAACAAAGGAATGTGACCACTTCTCATCATCTGTTTGGTTGATTTCGAGTGCTGCTAGATCTTCCACGGTCAAAGGAGGATCAACTACAGAAACAACCACCGATATCCGAGGGCGGACGCGGCCTTTCGTAAAGCCACGGCATCGGTGGACCTCCCACAGAACAAACCGGTTTGAAAGATTCCCAAGCCCCCAGAACTCAAGCTTCGAGTACCGACCATAGCTTGCGTGCTTTCATCCCATCGCTGGTGGCAACTTGAAAACTTTAATCCCACGACGTGCCGATTCCATCAGAACTTTATATATATAACCGATACATGGTACCAAATCTACACAACTCCCAACGTCGACGTAGACACAAGCACCCAAGATGGAGAGCATCCAGCTTGCCCAGATGCTAGCCGATTTGAACAGTCTCAAGGCGGCGGTAAGTCTCACCACTTAGCTCACCTTACCTCAGCATCGCGTATTCATCATCCCTCTCAGGAACCCGATCGCGCAGCAGCCCTCGTGAACGCCAACACCAAGACGCCGGCGCCTGACCCATCGAGCAAGCCGTCCTCGTCATCGACAGACCATCATCACCCAGCTCAACCGCATCTGCCAGGCTCTGCAGCCACCACTCCGTGCTCGGCCTCGCCCTTTGTCTCGCGGACTGCGTCTCCAGCAAAGTTTGACAAGTTCGGTCGGCGTATCCTGACGCCGCCGAATACTCGTACTAGCTCGGCGTATGCCTCGCTGCCGGGGACCCCTAGGAATGAGGTGTGTAGCTCCCAGCTCTAGCTATGACTTACTCTTGTTGCTTTGGCCCTAGGGATATGTCGCTCGCATCTATCCCCGAAACCCTCATCCCCCGGATGCGGTCATCACTTTGTCATTTGAACATACCGTATACTGATTTGCCAAATAGTTCGAGGACGATGTAGACCGTGCCCATGCCCTCATGGCGCTGTACGAGATCCGCGCCAAGCTCAAGGACCAGGACAGCCGCAGCCTGAACAAGCTGCGTGAAAAGATTGCTGCGCTGCACGCTAAGCAACAGGCTGAACGGGGACACTTTGGGTTTGGCAAGCAGTCGTGAGCGGCCACAGCGAAGCAGGAAAGCGAGGGGCAAAAGTGAAGGAAACAGTAGAGACACTCTCCACTCATCCTTTTTATTGGCGAGGACTGGACTTACTGCTGGATTTTGGACGAACAACAGGATTATTAGGATGCAATACGATACCTGGAAATATGCACGGAGTCATGAGGCGTTATGGGTTGGGTTACCTTGAATAGGTAGTGATATTGGGTATTTAGCAGGTTCGAAGACAAAAGGAGTACCAATATCCAGAACGGTACCGATTTCCCATCTACATACGGAGATATCTGATGCAGCCCACATTATGTTTTGATCATTGCTGCATGTAGAGGGGCTTGAAATCTCGGAGCAAAAGAGCCAAAGACGGATATTTCCTGACGAGCTGCTTAGTGAGCCCATCTCGTCGTCAATGCGGGATGAAGCATAATCTCTCCAAGATGGAGAACAAAAATGCAGGGATTTTCAGTGTGCCAAATTAAAGAAAAAAACTAAACAGAGTTTCTTGTGAACAAAACTTGGTTTGCTCAATCAACTCGAGTGTTTGTGTGCGACCACCAAACCGGTTGCTTCCATCGGCGGACAACCTTGAAGCTCGCCGCCGTATATTTTGGTTGATGACATCCCGCGCGCAGAAGCAAGCACCGCAAAAAATGGCCCCAACCCTGTATCTCGGGCCTTGGCAATGGACCCACCCGTTGCGCTAGCCAGCGCTCGGGACCCACCATCGAATGCCCGCAGGCTTCGAACATTCGCCCGCCTTCATCTGCTTGCTGCTTTGTGCTTTGTGCTCTGTGCTCTGGACTTGTTCACTTCCCATGATCTGCGCCTTCAACTCACCAGACGGGAAGCAGCCTCTTCCTTGAACAAGCAAACATCAAAACAAGGCTTTTCTCCTGTCAATTTCATCCCATCGTATCCATTTAATATTTGATTCGTTTTGCTGTCGGTTTGGTTCAGGAACATCGACCGTCTTCTTCCTGAACTTGCTGAAGAATTTCTAGCATTCGTTTTTCCTGTCAGTGAGAAGCATCGCCGATCGACAGCGCCAGAGCGTTTGAAGCTACTATCCATTCGAACGAGTAGACGACATATCGATAACAGAACACGGATCAAAGTTGAGAAAACTCGCCATAGAGAAATCCAGCAGCCATGGCGACTGCTACCGGCGTCGACTTGAAGCTGCTGAAGAGCACAAAGTTTCCACCCGAGTTCAACCAGAAGGTGGACATGAGCAAGGTCAATATTCAGGTCATGAAGAAGTCAGTGTTTCTGCAGCCAGCCCCCGCCCCCTCTTCTTCCCAATCCTAAGCATTCGTGCTGACCGAAACAGATGGATCGCCAACAAGGTCACCGAGATCCTGGGCCAGGAAGACGATGTCGTCATTGAGCTCATCTTCAACCTGATCGAAGGCACCCGAAACGTACGTCGCCCTTCCATACCACTCTACACTACTCTGGTGCTGACCAAACACAGCCGGACATCAAGGCCCTCCAGATCCAGCTGACCGGCTTCCTCGACAAGGACACACCCGCTTTCTGCAAGGAGCTGTGGAAGCTCCTCTTGAGCGCCCAGAATAGTCCCCAGGGCGTGCCGAAAGAGCTGCTGGAGGCGAAGAAACTGGAGTTGATGCAGGAGAAGGTGGGTACTGTGATATGATACCAATGCTCTCAGACGCGGCATGCTGACAGTCACGCAGATCGAGGCAGACAAGGCCGCAGAGGAAGCCCGCAAGCGCCGAGAAGAATTCGAGCGCCGCGACCGTGGTAAAGGAGGACGTGGTGGTGGATTTGGTAGAGGTGATTCATGGCGCGGTGGTCGCGCCCGGTCTCGTTCCCCTCCCCGTTTCCGCGAGCGCGGCCGTGGAGGCCGTGGCGGCTGGAGAGAAGCAAGAGACTCATACGTCCCCCGCCGGCGCGATGACTGGGACCGGCGCCGGCGGTCTCGCAGCAGATCTCGCACTCGTTCGCCCTCTCGATCCCGCTCCCGTACCCGTTCCCGTACCCGCTCCGTCTCCCCTCGCTCAGCATCCCGCTCGCGCAGCCCCAGCGTCGATGGCAGCCGCCGTTCTCGAACCCGTTCCCCAACCCCGCCGGCCCGTCGCCGTGGAAGGTCTCGCTCCCGCACGCCGCCCTCTCGTCGGGACACAGCCAAGCGACGCCGCTCGTCGCCTCGTCGTGCCCGCGGCCGCTCATACTCGTCCGATCGGGCATCGCCCTCGCCCAAGCGCCGACGCTACTCGCCTTCTAGGAGCCGAAGCCGCAGTCGTGCAAGGAGCTACAGTCGCAGCCTGCGCAGCCGTTCCCGTAGTCGCAGTCGCAGTCGCAGTCGCAGTCGCAGCGTGAGCCGCAGCCCCAGCCGGGACCGTAGTCGTAGTTGGAGCAGGAGTCGTAGCTCGTCGAGGAGAGCGGGCAGGAGGTATAGCCGGTCTGTGTCGATGTCTTCGTCACGGTATTCGCGGTCGAGGTCTAGGAGTCGGAGCCCGGAGAGGAGGGCTAGACGGGATAGCAGGAGTTTTTCGAGGGATAGTCGGCGGCGAAGCTTAAGTCGGAGTAGGAGTAGGTCGAGGAGCCGGAGTCCTAGCCGTAGTCGGAGCCGGAGTCGCGGTCGCGGCAGATATCGGAGTGCTAGCATTGCAAGCTCGTATGACTCGCAGCGGAGGGCGTCTCGTCGGCGGTCGAGGTCACGGTCACGGTCCAGGTCAAGGGGTAGCCGGAGCCGCAGTCGGAGTTTGAGCAGGAGTAGAAGCAAGAGCAATGATAGGAGCAAGGATCGGAGGAGCAAGAGCCGTAGCAGGAGTCCTTCCAGGAAGCGTGGCTCTTCTTCTCGATATGACAGCCGGTCCCCGCGCAGGAGGGCCTCGGATGCGTCGTCTGCTGCTGCTTCACACAAGTCTTCTACCCGTCGGAGGAACAGATCGGCTGATGGTTCAGGCGCTGAAAACAGACCCCGATCTTCTCGCGACGAGAGGGTGGTGGTGAGCGGTCAGACGAAGGTACGTACTTCTCTACACCCAAACATTTTCTGAGTAAGGAGGGGGCGAAATGCTAATAAGCTACTAACAGGAGGCCAAAACTTCCAGTGAATGATGACTATGCTCCAGAGGAGGAGTGTTAAGCGGTGGTTTTCACTCGAAAGATGAGATCCTTGATATTCGGGGATGATACTGAAGCTAACTGGCTGAAAGCTTTGAACCCTCATATATCGCGTTCTTGCGCTCGGCGGGCTCTCTGACCTGCGTCACTCAGCAGTTCTTACTTTTTTTTTTTCCCTCTCTTTGCTTTCATAAGTTAATTATCTTAAAACTGATTGGCAAGATGGGGGATAGAGAAACATATTTAGGTTGTAGTGTAGCTAAATGTACCTATTCACTGGGTTGACTTGGAAAGACGATACGGTGAAAGCGAAGGGTGCTATTCATATCAACTCAGCCATCTTCTTCCCAGATACTCATTTTAAGACCTCTACACCCAATGACTAATGACAATAAGATGGCCTCTCAGTATCAAAGCTAACATCTTGGCCCTTTTTAATCGTTCCGAGCTCTGATACTCATGTCGCACAGAGTATCTCGCACAGTGTATGCTTCCCAAATATGGCTTATGATTGGCCGTCCTCGGACCCACACACTATCACAAGATGCCAAGACCACGGCGATCTGTATCTCTCACTCGACTCAGCTGTTGAACGCGCTACATCCAAACCCACGCGACGTCCCTCCATCGCCATTCCATTAATCTCGTCTCCTGATTTCGCCGAGAGCAATCATCCAATCCGATTCGACTGCCTTCATCTTTGCGAAACCAGCTCTTCGAGAGAAGACACTGACCTAACCGATCGACCTGCAAAGCAACCATGACAGAAACAGCAGCAGCAGCAGCAGCAGCGGGCAAGTCCTCAGGCGCCAGCGTCAACGGCGACAGTAGCACGACGCCCGGGGTGAACTCGACCATCCCTGCTGGCGCGGGGATCCCGTTCTACGAGAAGCAGAGGCAGCATTTGAGAGAGCTCTTGAACCGCAGGCGGTTGTTAGAGCGAAAGCTGGTTTGTTTTTACCTCCCCAACTCCGCTCCGTTGCCTCATACCAGGGAGGTGACTTTAGGACAGAGAGAGCAGCGCTGACTTGACGAGATGATTGGATACAGGCTGCGCACGAAGAAATGATCCTCGCCAAGGAGACGGAGTACCTTGAGAGCACGCCTGCAGGGAATATCATTGTCGGATTTGACAATTATACGAAGGGGACTAGCGCGGCCGCGGCGCAGAGGAGGAAGAGTGGGTTGACGGACCAGAATCGAGTGTTTTCCCGGAGCTCGGTGTCGTATAACGCTGCGGCTTCGACCGTACGTCTTACCTTACCTCATCCATCCGACATTCCAGGTGCCTGTTTGTAGGCTGCAAAATGCTGACTCATTGTTCTTTAGGGGGACACACCCGCCTCGACACCGGGCGCATCCCATGCACCAATGCCGGTATCAGGTAACTTCCCGGGGAGGGATGGTGCCTCGGCGGCGGGCACTCCGGCGAGTACGACCGGAGGAGGTGGTGGTGGAAGTAGGTCAACTGCGTCGAAGAAGGGGAAGAAGAGTGGGAATGCGGGAGGTGTGGAGGATAGTGAGACAGATGGGAGGGAGGCGAAAAAGGTTAGGACTAGTTTTGGTGCGTCGAGGAAGTGAATTTCGTCTATTCAGAGGAAAGTGTGAGGTTGAAGAGGCAGAGTTGGGAGAGGTTGGGGGGTGGGGGGGGGGAGGGGAATGTGTGGTTATGACTGGAGCATTTCTCGGCTGGGACTATGAGGTGACGATTGAGGCTGGTGCATACCCCTTTTTCTTGCTTTGGGATCCTTGGCTGGCGTTTGGCGGATGGGATATGGCGTATAACGGGTTACATTTGCCTGTATACATAAATACATCAAATTGTGTAAAAAAAAAAAGAAAAAAAATATTGGGCTGGGATGACATCAAAAATCATCACAATTTTTTGTCATCACAAACATCCTTTCTAAAGTCAACTGATGAGTGCCGTGGCCCGGAACAGTGCTTCAAGCCTGTTGAGGGAGCTAGGAATCTCAACAAAAGTTATTGTATGCTCTCCTTCCTATCCGGGCAGCTGACAATGAAACAGAGTGATGAAAACGACACAGTCGCCATCCCCAGAGCTTCCCCTCTTGTCCCCTCAATGCGGGGTCCTTTGCGCCCCTCTTCAATGCTGCTCTCATTCGTCCAGCGCAGCACCCTCACGCTCACCGACATGCCCCATTTCAAGCCCGAGCTGACGCCCCCCGTCCACTCAATACTAAGCTGCAGCCCGACTAACTAGTATAGGTGTACTTTGTACATCCCTACCTTACTTGATATCACTGCCTTTAGATAGCTGGTCACACACTTTGAACTTACTTCTTCCAGGATGACTCTCATGGCGACACGGTTCACACCAGAGGTTCTGCTGTCGGCTCCGCGCCGGTCAGCAGCCGTACCAAATGCTTCGGGAACGAGGGCTTTGTACTCGGTATGACACCGTGTTTTTGAGTGTTGATGAGATGCAGCGATGCTAACATCATGCTTTTAGGTCTCGACGTACTCCTTTGAAGAGCACAAGAAGACCATACAACATCGCGTGGTGGACCTCAAGACAGGCCAGACAGAGCTGCTCACCGATGACTCCAACGTCAGCGAGCCGGTCTGGCTGACTGATGACGAAGTGCTGTTGCTCAAGAGCGGCGACAACGGCACAACGACGCTGGTCGTCCAGAGTGCCGAGAACCCCAACGCTGAGTTGGTCACCCCGCTTCCAATCCCTTATCCAAACTCTCCCCCCATGCTGAGATGAATCTCTATCTATCTTTGTCACAGAGGCTACGACATCACGACCATCAGCGCGCCCATCTCCAACGTCAAAGTCCGCCCCCTCCCCAATGGCTCTCTCGCCTTCGTCTGTGTCGCCCTCACGACCCCCTCTGGCTGCCTCTTTAACCCCGAGACGGCCGAGAAGCCGCGATCGACCGCTAAGGTGTATACCAGCCTCTTCGTTCGCCACTGGGACGTCTGGCTGAGCGAGCACCGCAATTCGCTGTTCTACAGCACCCTCGAGAAGCGCGATGATGGCTCCGGACCGAAGTGGCGCCTCTCCTACCTGGTTAATGCCCTGAAGGGGACGGGCCTGTCATGTCCGGTACCGCCGTTTGGTGGGACGGGGGATTTTGACGTTGGCACGGAGGGGATTTGCTTTGTGGCGAAGGATCCCGGGTTGGATCCTGCGATGTATACGAAGACGGATTTGTATTTTGTGCCGTTGAAGACGTTTACCGAGATCGAGCCGCCTAAGCCGGTGATTGTGAAGACGCCGGGGTTGGAGGGATATTCTCAGAGTCCGGTGTTTTCTCGGGACGGGAAGAAGATTGCGTTTACGAGGATGAAGAGTCGGCAGTATGAGTCGGATAAGACGAGGTTGATGTTAGTGAGGGATGTGCACGACTTGGAGACGCCGGCAGAGGAGTTCTTCACCACTGAGGATGGCGAGGGGAAGTGGGATCTCCGTCCGGACGCTATCCTCTGGAGCAAGGACGATAGCACGCTCTACGTCACGGCCGAGTGTCGAGCGAGAACACTCATCTTCAAAGTCCCCGCCGACCCAACCAAGGCAACCGACCTCCCCGAGCCCATCTCCACGCCCGAGGGCAGCGTGGACAACATCCAGCTACTCGGCGTCTCCTCCTCAGGCGAAGACGCCCTCCTCGTTACCACAACCTCCCTAACCGACAACTCCTGCTACAGCACGATCCACCCCACAACCGGCACGATCACGACCCTCTCCTCGGCCACCAAGCACGGTAAGACCCTCGGCCTGTCCCGTTCCCAAGTCGACTCCATCACCTTCCCCGGCTCGGACGGTAGCTACGACGTGCATGCGCTCGTCGTGCGCCCGTCGTTTTTTGACCCCAAAAAGAAGTACCCCCTCTGCATGCTGATCCATGGCGGTCCCCAAGGCGCGTGGTCGGATGCTTGGAGCACGCGCTGGAACCCGGCTGTATTTGCCGAGCAGGGGTATGTGGTTGTTGCGCCGAATCCGACGGGGAGCACGGGGTATGGGATGGAGTTTGAGAATGCGATTACGGGGCAGTGGGGTGGCAGGCCGTATGAGGATCTGGTGAAGTGTTTTGAGTGGTATGTTTACCTCTTGGCTGGGGATGAGGATTAATCGAGGGAGGGGGGGGGGGTTGAAAGGGAAGGGATGACTGACAGGAGCACAGGATCGAGCAGAACATGCCCGAGGTTGATACCTCCCGCGCTGTGGCAGCTGGTGCTAGCTACGGCGGGTTCATGATCAGTGAGTTCACCTTCTCCCACATCAATCCTATATCCAGGATAACTAACCCAATCCCCTAGACTGGATCCAAGGCCACCCCCTCGGCCGCAAGTTCAAGGCCCTAGTCTGCCACGACGGCGTCTTCAGCACACTCAACCAGTGGTGCACCGAGGAGCTGTTCTTCCCCATCCACGACTTCGAAGGTACCCTGGAGGAGAACAGGGAGGGTTACGAGCGCTGGGATCCGGCACGGTTTATTAGCGAGTGGGCTACCCCTGAGCTGGTGAGTCTGTCTTCATGGGCTTTTCTGAAAAAAAAAAAAAAAGATGCATTGAGAGTTACTGACGGCAAACCAGATCATTCACAGCGAGCTGGACTACCGTCTGCCCGTGACCGAGGGCCTGGCGGCGTTCAATGTGCTGCAGGCGAAGAAGGTGCCAAGCAAGTTGCTCGTGTTCCCGGATGAGAATCACGTATGTGTGATTCCCCCTTCTCTCTTTCTAGTTCTTGGCTAACTTGATGTAGTGGGTGCTCAAACCGGAAAACTCGCTCGTCTGGCACCGCGAGGTACTTGGTTGGCTCAACAGGTGGTCGGGTATTGCAGATGAGCAGGAGAGCAATGAAACGAGTGTGGTAATTCGTTGAGGAAGGTCGTTGAGGAAAGGAAAAAAAAAAAAGACGGAACACTGGAATCAGGCCCTCCTGTGAGGGAAGTGGAGCGGAAGTACATGTTAACTAAGAGTCAACTGTCCGTAAGCATTTAACAATCAAAAATGGTTATGAAACAGATCAAAAATTGGTCTTGGTATCCATTTGCTGAGAGCCGGTAAGTGGTGTATGTATCAGAGTCGAGATACAGGTCAAGATAGCTGGTTGGCTACCCTGATGGTCGAATGGCATCGTTTCTGCTAACAAAATCATTGTCACACACTTCACTGATTCACGGAACTTGAAATTGATGATCTAACATGAAGCTAGGTTCATCGCTACACTACCTGATCTACCTACAAGAATCCTGCCTGGTCCGGCCTGATACAATATCCTACAACCGAAAGAAAAGTCCGCCCGCCACGCCCCTCCTCCCTACAGGAGGGTACCAAAACTGAATAGTTTCCACTTTGGCTCATCCCATCAATCAACCCTCAGATCAGACATAGGAAAAAAAATACCCATACCCGATGCACGCAATTTAACTTCACACCCGGACTGTCACTCACACAGAAGGGGGAAAAAAACACTGACCGACAACAGAGAGAACTCGCCAAAGCCCGGGATGATTTTGTTTTTCCCTTCACAACAAATCAAAAAGAAAAAAAAAACAAACCCAGAGCCACACAGAGCCAGAGCCAAGCTTGCCTTCCGACCAACAAATGGTATCTTCTTTCCAAGACGCCAAAACGCCGCTCCTAGGTAAGGGGAGGATTGAAGGAAATAAAGGCTATTAAACAGCAGCAAGGGGGAGCAAAAAAAGATAGATACCGAAGCGCAATGAGGTCGTTCGATCCCTGGACGAAATTGGACAGAAATAATGTTTGTTGTCTCGGTGATATCCAATGCACCGAAACAACATCCATCCCAACCAAAGTCCAATTCACCCAAGCCCATTGCAACCAACCTAAGCCGAGACCGACACTTCCTGCGAAGCAGCCACCACGCGCTCAGCCTGGTCCCTAACCTGCTCGCGCGCCATCTCGCCGCCGGCCTCACGCTCGGCCCAGGCGCCCCACAAGCCACGTTTGCCACGGATGCGAATCGGCCCACCGAGCGTGCCCTCTTGCTGCTCGACCTTGATGGCATCCTTGGTAGCGAGAACGAGGCACTCGAAGAACATCTTGGTAGCATCGGCCTTGGAAGTGGTGCCCTCGGGCAGCAGGTCCTGGAAGACGACGTGAGTCTTGCGGCGTTTCTCGGCGTTGGTGGCGGCCTCCTCGCCGAACAGGTCGCGCAGGATGTGCACGGCGTGCTTGGTAGACACAGAAACGGGACCGCTGTCGGCGGGGTGGACGAGGGGCATCGTGGTGTCTTCGAAGGCGGGGCCCGGGCTGGCTGCGCTGTGGTGGTGGTCATCCTCGGCGCCGTGGACGACGGTTGATTCGTCTTGCTGGCCTGGGATCGAGAGAACGGTGCCGTCAGCGGCGATGCTCTGGTTGCCGACCATCGAGCGCTCCAGGTTAAGGACGGTCTCGTCCTCGGGGAGCTCGAGGCGGGGAGACTTGTGGGCGCCCTGCTCGTCCTCGCTGCCCAAGTCGGCAACGCCACTATCACGCTTGCGCTTGAGTACGTTGGGACGGATGGCGCCGAGGGAAAGGAGGCCCTTCAGCTCGGGGGCCCAGTTTTCGCTACGGCCCTCGAACAGAATGTTGTTGACGAAGCCGCCGTTCTTGTGGAGGTCCATAAGCCCCACAATGTACGGGTCGTGAGCAACAAAGGTCTGGGGCTTAAGAATGCTGTCGCGCTTCGACTGCAGCTCCTTGATCTGGGCGTTAGAAAGCATGGTTTGCTCGTCGGGCTGGAGAAGTTTCTTCTTCTTCTGACGCTGGGGCGCCTGAACGGTCGCAGCGCTGTCGTCACCGGGCTCGTACATGTCGGTGTTGTTCATCTGGCGGCTATACTCCTCCTCGACCTCCCTGGCAAAGTCTTCGTCGATATCCGAGAGCGGAGACTCGGAAATGCGGGCCCGGCTCATATCCGCACCGATGGGCTCGGGCATGGCGGACTGATCACCGACGTTGAACTGCAGGTCGTCGTCGCGCATCTGGATGTCGCCATCGTTGTCGGCAATCTGAACACCGTCACCAAAATCGAGATCGAGACCCAGAGACTGTTCGCGGGCAAGGCGGTCCTTGTTCGGACCAGCATCGAGCTCACTAAGAAGATCGTCCTCAACAGAACGAGCGGCGGGCGCATCTCTGCCGACTTCGATGCTCTTGTCCATTAGCTTGGACGGCCGGTCGTCGAGGTCCATGCCGAAGTCAAGCTCCAGACCGAGGTCGTCCATGTTTGCCATACCGAGCTCGTCTTCATCTTGGCTGTTGTCGTTCAGGAACTGGCTGTTGTTGTAGTCTTCCTGGAGGTTAATGTCACGAAGATTAGGGCGCAGGGTAGTCTTGCGGCTGCTGATGGGGGTGGCTGTGACATCCTCGAGCTGGGAAGCTAGGAAGTCCGCACTCGGCGGGGGCAGCAATTCGAGGTTGTCGTAGGGGGTGATCTTGTCAGGCAGAATAAGTGACTCTTTGTTCTGCACATGCATACTCGTGGGAACATCGTGGGTCCCAGTCGAGCGGAAAGCCTAGCGATGGCGTTAGCACAGGTCACAGATCAGGTGCCACAGAGGCGACATACCATCTTAATCTTCATCAGGGCTTCATTGCAATCATCAAGCAAGTAACGCGCCTTGCGGCTGTATATACGGACGACGCCGAGCAGCAGCTGGCCGCTCAGGCGAAGGGCGAGAGGAGCCTCATTGGGAGAGATGATAGCCTCAACGCTATCCTGCAGGTTGTGCTGGATGATTTGGACCTTGGAGACTTTGCGCTCCTGGTTGGCGGAGAGCCAGGCCTTGGCCAAAGGCCCGGTGGAACTCAGCAAAGCGCCAGACCAGAACATGGCGGCAGCGAGAAGAGCTCAGCAACAGGAGCTGTTAGAGTGCTGTAACTGGCAATACTGCGAAGCAAATATCGATATGAAAAAAAAAAAAAAGAACAGGACAAGCAGCTGCAGCGATTGATAAATGTCGCGCACGTTAGTCGGAGACGCGATGTGAGGGACCGAGGTGACGTTGCGAGCAACTGGGTATATTGGTGCTGGTCGTCTGGTCGTCCTCGAGCTAGCAGCCAAGGTGGAAGGTAAACAAGCCTAGGCGCGTTGCGTGGTTTGAGCAATGGGAAAGGCGCGTGCGATTAAGAGATGGCCTTTCGCTGCGGTTTACAACGCGTAATTGGCGAAAAAATCCGGCAAGATCGGAAACTATGTTCGTCGGAAGCCGAATCCAATCGCCGGAGCCAGACGCGACAGCAAGAAAAGCGATTTGGTGGGGAGAAAGCTGGGGCTGTCGAATTGTAAAAGAGAGAAAAAGAGAGAGGGGATATGGTTCGCCTTCGGGATCGAGCACGTCGCCAGGAAAATCGAACGCCGCCGCGAAATATGAGAGGCTGGTAACGCCCCACCTGTCTCTCGGGGAAGCAAAATGTTTCTGTCACGTGATCTAGCCTGATGTAACCACGCTGTAACGTACACGACACGTGACGTAATGGATGTATTAATTACGCGTTCGTACGCGTCTGGCTCGTGGTTGCACTGGAGTCCGGTTCCACGGTCAAAAAGAACAGGGCTACTGGCCACAGCAGAGAGCTCTCGCGCAGGATATCGACTGTTGTCTTGTATAGCCATGGCTTTCATCATTTATCACTAATATCGATCACGGACTGGCCGTCTTCTGTTCTGCAGCAAAGCCAGATACAAGCATGTCCACGGTCGATCGATCTGTACAGCGGGAACCTGCGCGAGCGGCAGCCCCAGTCACCAGCCCTGGGTCCCATCGTCTTCGGAGGGAAATCCGAAGACTCTGTGCCTTCAATCTGGGTCTTTCAGATCGTCTTGGACTCGAAAGCCATGGTTTCTTCTCTGAAACTGCCGCATCGTTTCCCCGATCAGATGAAAGCCCCGTCATGCCTCTGAAACTTTCCAGGCCCAGTCGCAGCTCGTCCCGCACCGTGGACAAAGGGCCGGTTGTCAGGGCCAACACCCCACACCAAACCACGCACGGACCACACTGGTGCCTGACCGGCGGGCTGGAGCTGCATGCCGGCATGCCACACCCCATGCCACCGAGCCCCCCCCCCTGCCCACACAGGCTATGCAGTGCCAAGCCTCCAACAAAGGAAAGGAGCCTTTGGAGACAACCACGTTTGACGTTCCACCAACGACGAACGACGAGCGGCGAGTTCGGTGCTGTCTGGACCCAGTAGCGTGGAAGGTCTCCATCCGCCTTCAGAAGTCCAACAAAGTCTCGCGAACTCCTCGCCTTCGCCGCTTCAAGGCGACGAAATAGGGGCTTCTCTTCTGCTTCCCGCACCACGCATTGGTGTTAAATTATATTTTTTCCCTTCTAATGTGCTAAGGTTTCGTTCGACTTGACGCTTTCTTCGTCTTACACCTGCAGGGCAGTGCTGTCGGTGCTGTGCCACTAGCTGTTGCTGTCCGCGCCCCTTTGCCATCGTCTTCGTGAATGTCGCTCGCCTGCTTCTCGGCGTCCTCTGCGCCCGTATCGCTTTCTCCTGGTCGATTCCCACTCGTGCCTCAGCATGGAGCGCCTCCTACGCAAAGATGACGACGGCGCGCTCCCTTTATACCGTCAGTCGCCGGACGCAGCCTCTCGTCTCTCCCCGGCGGACGACCAGAGGCTGCGCTCGGCAGCATCGTCGAGAGCCAGCCAACGCACAACGTCTGCGCAGTCAAGGGTAGGCCGCCAAATTTGTCTTGAGAGACAAGTTGTCCTCCGGGGTTATTGGGCTGGGCTAATTGGACCTGTCACAGAGCATAGCAGAGGAGTTCTCCTGCATGACGCCAGCCGAGGTCGCTGCGCGGCTCAAGACATCATTGACGCATGGTTTGACCCCCGCCGAAGCCCTCGCCAGGCTACGTGACTACGGCCCGAACGAAATCCCTCATGACGAGCCGGAGCCGATATGGCTGCGCTTTTTGCGCCAGTTCCAGGAGCCGCTCATCCTCCTGCTGCTGGCCTCTGCCGGCGCATCAGTGCTCGTGGGCAATATGGATGATGCCGTGAGCATTACGGTAGCTGTCACCATCGTGGTGACCGTCGGTTTCGTGCAAGAGTACCGCTCGGAGAAGTCAATCGAGGCCCTCAACCACTTGGTGCCCAACCACGCCCATCTCGTCCGGCACCAGCCGTCTAAGTCGAGCCCCGGCTCGCGGACTCCGAACTGGCCGAGGAGCGGCGAGAAGACTCCTGACTCGGTCGAGAGCGACGGCTCCCCTACCCCTGAGGAAGACGTGCTGGAGGCGACCTCGTCCAAGGTCATGGCTTCGCAGCTGGTGCCGGGAGATCTAGTGCTGTTCACCACTGGCGACCGCATCCCTGCCGATATTCGCGTTACCAAGGCTACCGATCTGACCATCGACGCATCCAATCTCACGGGAGAGAACGAGCCTGTCCGGATTACTGCTGAGACACGGAATCGCCGTGGGCTCGCCACTCCCTCTGGCAGCGCAACTCTTCAATTGCCGCAGCCCTCATTCTCAAAGCAGCTTAACGGGGACTCGACCGAGGCGAGGCATGACCCGCACGACGGCCCGCAAAACATTGCGTACATGGGGACATTGGTTAAGTCCGGGCATGGACAAGGCATCGTCTTCGCCACAGGTGGTAACACGCACTTTGGCACTATCGCGACGAGCGTCTCTGGCACCGAAAGCCCACGCTCGCCACTGCAGCTCTCCATGGACGAGCTGGGCTCGCAACTCAGCAAGATGTCGTTCATCATCATTGGTCTTATCTCTCTACTCGGCTGGTTCCAAGGCAAGAAGCTCCTCGAAATCTTCACCATTTCCATCTCCTTGGCTGTCGCTGCTATTCCGGAAGGTCTCCCTATTATTGTTACGGTGACCCTGGCTCTGGGCGTGCATCGCATGGCCAAACACAACGCCATTGTTCGCAAGATGCCAAAGGTCGAGACACTGGGTTCGGTCAACGTCGTTTGCACGGACAAGACGGGTACTCTCACAATGAACCACATGACAACGGCCAAGATGTGGTACTTCGGTGCTAAGGAAGCCATTGACGTCGATTCGGACGACGAAGCGACGGAGGCCAAACCAGACGCTGCCGCTCTTCGGATCATGCGCATCGGCAACATCGCCAACAACGCCCGGCTCGCCCAAAAGTACACCGAGAACGGAGCAGCCACTCGGTCCGTCCTCTCGCAGGGCTTCGAACGCTCGCTGCACTCACGATGGGTCGGCCAGCCGACCGACGTAGCCATGCTCGACCTCTTGGACCGGTTCAAGGAACATGACGTTCGCGACTCCATCGGCCCCCGTGTGAGCGAGACCCCGTTCAGCTCCGAACGCAAGTGGATGGGTGTCATCATCGGCAGCAGCGAGGGCGGCGGCAAGGAGTTTGCCTACATGAAGGGTGCTGTCGACAGGGTCCTGGATGCCTGCGATACCTATGTCACAAAAGACGGTCGGGAGATCGTTCTGGATTCGGCTCGCAGGAAGGAGGCGTTGGATGCGGCTGAGAAGTTGGCCGCTCAGGGTCTCCGCGTGCTTGCTTTTGCTAGTGGTCCCATTTCCAAGTCTGCCCGGAGGGCTGGTGCTAAGGGTGAAGCTTCGGGCAGCCATGGACATGAGGAGTACTACAAGGGTCTTGCGTTCGCTGGCATTGTTGGCATGAGCGACCCCCCACGTCCCGGCGTCGGCCGGTCGATCCGAAAGCTGATCCGTGGCCGGGTCAAGGTCATCATGATCACCGGCGACGCCGAGACCACGGCCCTGGCCATTGGCAAGCAGCTCGGCATGCCGATTGCTGCCCCTAGTGAGCACGCTGCCAACCAGGTCACCGTGAAGCCCGTCCTGCGCGGCGACGAGATTGACGCGATGACTGAGGAAGAGCTGGCGCGCGCCATGGAACACACTACTATCTTCGCTCGGACGAACCCGGATCATAAGCTCAAGATTGTCAAGGCCCTGCAGTCCCGCGGCGATATCGTCGCCATGACAGGTGACGGGGTCAACGACGCTCCAGCGCTCAAGAAGGCTGATATTGGTATTGCCATGGGCATGCATGGTACTGATGTCGCCAAGGAGGCGGCAGATATGATCTTGACGGATGATGACTTCTCGACCATCTTACATGCCATTGAGGAGGGTAAGGCCATTTTCAACAACATCCAGAATTTCCTTACCTTCCAGCTGTCGACCAGCGCCGCCGGTCTGTCACTTGTTTTGCTGTGCACTGCACTTGGGTTCAAGTCCCCCCTGAACGCGATGCAGATTCTCTGGATTAGTAAGCAACTCCCCCCCCCCCTCCCCTCCTCTTCCCCCTCCTTCTGTCCCCCCGCGACTCTCCTTCTTGTTTGTTATAGCCCACAGCTAACATCTACAGACATCATCATGGACGGACCGCCCGCACAATCCCTCGGCGTTGAAGCAGTCGACAAAGATGTGATGAACCGCCCGCCGCGGCGCCGCGGCGACCCAGTCCTGACGCGTCCCCTGATCACGCGCGTGCTCACCCAAGCCTTCATCATCATGGCGGGTACGATGCTGGTCTACCGGCACGAGATGCTCGAGGACGGCGTGGTGACGCGCCGCGACACCACCATGACTTTCACTGCGTTCGTGCTCTTCGACATGTTCAACGCGCTGGCCTGCCGCAGCGAGAGCAAGAGCGTGCTGCGCGGCGAGGTCGGTCTCTTCAGCAACGTGCTCTTCAACTGGGCCGTCGCTCTCAGCCTCGCCGGGCAGCTGCTCGTCATTTATTTCCCTTGGTTGCAGGAGGTATTCCAGACGGAAGCGCTTGGTTGGCGCGATTTGTTTGGCCTTGTGGTGCTGTGTAGTTCGGTGTTTTGGGTTGATGAGGCTAGGAAGTGGTGGAGGTATGGGCGTCGTGGGGCGAGGTTGGTTGGTGGAGGGGCTGGGTATAGTCATGCGGTGTAAAAAAAAAAAAGGGTTGTTTTCATTTTCTGGCTGGCTTTTATTGGCTTAGATGAGTTTAGAGTCATGAGGGAGAGAGGGTTGGTTTGGAGAGGAACCCATGAGGAACGGTGCCACGGTTCGTGACTTGTGTCCTCTGTCGTGTAAGTAAATGGCAATACGTAATAGACAACACTCCTTACAATATCTCAGTCTCTTTGATGAGCTGTCTGCATTCATTATCAATGTGTCCCAACCGCTGCTGCTGACATTTCTACATCGCCCCTTTGATCTATGGGCCCTTTAAACTATGCAAGAGCTTTCAATGCCCTTGGCGAGCTCTCTTCTTCGCAAATCTCCGAAGCACTCTGCAGCTTTACAGAGAGCTTCAAAGCCGTCAGTACCAATCATGGTCAAACAGGTGAGTCTTGTGAGCGCTACGCTGCTCAGTAAAATCAACACTCTTTGAGAGAGGAAAGTTGCCACACATGAGGAAACCACAAACGCAGCTCTCAGACCCAAGAACTATCATCCATTACCTAACTCTCACTGAAGTTGGTTGTTCAGAGACCAGAGCTCCGGAAAGTTATCTCTGCTTGAGAGCTTGACTGGCATCTCATTCCCGCGGGAAGTTTCCCTCTGTACGCGATACGTAACTCATATTACCCAACGCCGAGGGCATCGTATCCACATAGACATCGGAATCACTCCTGGAGGAAACGGCTGATGAAGAGGATAAGCGGCACCACTTCTTGACGTATGCCAAAGAGTGCGACGCCGACGGCGAGCGCGCCTTAGGAATCCTGACAAAACCGGACTTGGTAACGAGTAAGAACAGCCCGTGTACTCGACAGGGATGGCCTGGCCTGGCGGTTCCAAGAGCTTGTGATGGCCGCGCTTGAAGCCAACTGTTCGAGTAATAGCATCTTCGAGAAATGATCCCGGGCTTCTTTTTTATCACTCATGCGGTAAACTTGGCGGATGAGTTTAGCTCCGAGTTTGAAAGAAGAGGAATGTTGCGATTCTTTCAAGACATTCCCCCGGGGAATTCTAATCCTAGCTTTCCGCAGTCCGACGATGAAGATAGTAGAGATGGAAGCATACTGGAATGGAACTACCCCAAGACTGCTGATGAGTTCCGGAATCGAATGAAATCATCCTCAGCGATCCCTGCGATGTTGAGCAGCGAGAAGGAAGCATCGTTGAATAGATCAAGGACAAACATCAGCGGCTCGCGGGGTAGGGATCCCAGGACGGTCAACGTCTCTGTGCTGATGACTGCCTTCAAGAAATAGTAGGGCAGGTGGCCAATTCTCAGCAAGACGTTCATCAGGGAGATCATCTCGATGATTTATCATTTTTCTCATCCGGATCTTGCAGGCCGTCTGTGCAGACAAGGATGTCCAAGACTCTTCTTCACTCAAGAGCCCCGGCGCTTCTGTCGCTTCTCGCTGAACAATGAATTAAGCGTGTAAAGCTTGATCTCACGTTCTATCGAGACAAGAAAACTCGGCAGCCTCGATCCCTGCCTTGTAACCATGGGGGACTTCTTCCAACATCGCCGCCCGAAGCTCGTCTCGAGGGAGATGCAGGTGGAAGCTTTTAACATGGGCGCCCCAACATCACTGAGCAAAGTGCATCCGCTTGGTCGGCGAAGCCACCCAGAAGCTGTCGAACGTTGATGATATAATCCAGTGGTTGCATGACGACCCCGAAGCTTACTACGGCGTAGCGCGAAAGCGCACTCTCGACAGCTTGGTCCACCAGGCAGTGAATTCTCAAGGAGCGCCTTGGTTCGGCCCGGAAGCCGATTTCCTCTCGATATCCATGGCGAGCAACCTGCAGGTTGGTAAGCTCAACCACCTGTTTTCCTCTTTTCCTCAACTCTCTCCTATCACTGCTTCCCCTGGAAATATTGATCAAATTAACGGTGTATGTAGCAAGGTAAAAGGGACATCTTCGCAAGCTTTTGCCAGTATCTGTAGCTCCAGCAAGCCATTGCCATTGCACCAACATGGCGTCGGATGCCCCGGCGTGGTCTTCAGGCTCTTTCCGCACTGCTTCCAGCACGTGGCCTGACTTGCAGGAACAACGATACCGTGACGCCAGCTCCAAGGACGTGGAGCTCAAAATGTTTCGAGATTCCAACTCACTCACTCCCGCATTCGGCTCCGAGTCAACTCTTATACCTGACACTAACCACGTCCACAGTTCTCAAGGGCGAGGAGGTTGTCCCTCGTGATGCGACCTAAACTCGGATCAAACAACTAACTGCCGGAAGCGCTCGAACAGAGATCCTAATAGAGTTTGGAGACTTCTTGACAGATTCAACAATTCGTTACTACCCTTCTTCATCTTTTTGTCTGCGATAGCATTCAAGGTAGCATACTTGATATACTTGTGTTTTACTGGCGAATCACCAGTCATCTTTTGGCGATGAAGATGGAGACTCCGTAACCTCTCGACTTCGTTCATGGACAATGAGAGGCAGATGAACTTGTAGATAATGAGATATTTAATAGAGAAATTTGAAGACACAAGACGTAAGCTGTAAAAAATGCCAAGATGTCACTGGGAAGTATATTTTGGATAGCAAGCAAGTATATCGATGTAACGAGTATTGTCACTATATTCATAATCCGATATATACGCTTTTCACGCTTTATATCTGATCCCACTAAAGCATTGGATATCTCATAGCCAGTTCCACTGGTCCCTGAGGCAGTTAGGACCAGAGTCATGTCAGACGGTGATGAAGTACCACTCTTGTCGAAGAGTGAGGACATGCGCTGACTCTCCAGGTTGCTGTTTGTGATTGGAAGGTTTTGTGCTTGATGGCTGGCGTGGGGTGGCCATGAGCGTAGGGTGATAACGGTGATTTGTGACGCGCGTGGTAAAACCAGGTGCAAAGAAGTGTACTTTATATAATTCCAAGGTAAATGTTTCAAGGTGAAGGAGGAAAACAGTGCATGTCAAATGTGGGTGTTTGATGTCCTCATAAACAAAGTTGAGATTCTTCCCCTTGACCTTGGAGGGAAAGTTCTGAGAGGTTGAGGAGAAAGGCTGACAGCTGTGTGTCTTACAATGACAACTCTTCCACGGGACAGGTCTTTAATTTATTAGAACTTTTTCTCTTGAGATGAGCATGCTTGACTCGGCACTCGAACTTGGAAACACATCAGTCTATGCTCACTGAAGCGCGTGTATATCCACAGCTTTACCCACTAACTCCCTCGGGGACAAGCTTCGTTATACGCTACAAGCACCAATATATTGACCTTCCGCATCCTTAGACCTGGTTCTTTACATCCAACCCTTCCAATGGATCCAGGGCTTGAGCTGAAGCCTTTCCAGCACAAGAAGCTTCAAGCAGAGCCGACCATCAGTCGATATATCCCGGAAAACAACCATCCGTCGTCGGAAGAGCAGCTCTAACTGTTAACACTCATATCGTCTTTACATTTCTACCATAAGCACATTACGGGATACAAATGCGTCTCTAAAGACCGCGGCTGGCAATATCTACACATATGCCTAGCCAATTCTGAGAAGTCATCAGAAAGCATGGGGAAGACAGTGTTGGGGCGGGATAAAGTATCAGGCTTTTTCACTGCAAGATGTTTCTGATCACGATAACCTATCTTGCATATTGCCATAACTGGCATTATTGGATACATTGCGTTTGAAATCAGACTCAAAGAATTGTAGGAAAAGCATCTTGGTGAATGACCATATAATAGGTAGTAAAGCTCACAGCTGTTAGCCGTGCCCTTGAGGACAGACTTATTATTAGCGTGCAGAATCGAGTTAACTCCATCATCATCACACGTGTGTGTGTGTGTGTGTGTGTACAGATTATCCTGCTTTGTGGACACAGCTGGCTTGTCAAACTGGTCCAGAAAGCTCCAAAATCACAGGTATGGATTATCTATGGGCTTCCCATTTGTAAATGACATTTCCGAAAATAGTTGAAGCGTCATGAACAGACATACTCGTGCTAACATTGTGGGTTCACCAAGCTGCATCTTGTAAATTAGCACGTGCCTCCCGTAACATACCGTAAACTGTGCAAGGCTGGCCCGTAACGATACATCCCTGGGGAGCTGCCAACTCTTTCAACACCACAGCAACAGCCACCAGCACCAGTGGGGCATCATCAACGAAGCCCAGGGCTGCAGCACAGCACCCCCTCAACTTCGTTCCCCGCGACCAGCGATGCGTCGCCCATCTCGCGTCTGCTTCCCTCATTCCAATGTCACCATCCCTCTCCAATGGCGCCGTCATCACGCCAGCTCCCACAGCAACAGCGACTACAACCACAACCACCATCCCACTCAATAACCGTCCCCGATCCTTAACCACCACTGCAGCAGCCATGACGACCCCATTCTCCCTCCTCGACAACGACCCCTCCTCAGCCCTGCGATCCGCCACAACCCCATCTGACGTTCGTGCCGCCCTAGCCGCCCTCCACGCCCGCGAATCTGCCCTCACTGCCTCCCTGCACACTCTCCTCTCCGCCCAAGCAGACCTCACGCGCCAGCTTGCCCGCCTCGACAACCTGCGCGCGGCCCTCGGCGCCCAGGCCATCGCCACGCGCAGCATATCCAGCACGATGCTGCACCCGGCCGCCGAGACGGCTGGTGAGCTGTCAGGCCGCGTGCGCGCGTTAGATCTGGAGAAGCGTCGCGTGGACGAGACGCTGCGTGTCGTGGAGCAGGTGGCCGAGCTGAAGGCTTGTGTGGCGGGCGTCGTGGGGAGTATGGGTGCTCCGCAAGATTGGGAGGCTGCGGCGGGGTATATTGCGCGGGCGGCGAGGGTACCGGAGGAGATTGTGCGGGGAGGGTTTGCGGCAGCGGTGGTGCCGACGGTAGAGGTGCCTGATCCGCCGTGGGTGACGCTGGAGCAAGCGAGGGAGAGTCTGTGTGGGTTGTTTTTGAGGGAGTTTAAGAAGGCTGCTGCGGAGGGGGATGCGGCGAAGGTGACGAGGTTTTTTAAGCTTTTTCCGTTGATTGGGAGAGGGGATGTTGGGTTAGATGTGTATGGGCAATATGTGTGTCAGGGTGTGGCCGGGCAGGCGAGGGCCATGTTGAAGGAGGGGACGACAGGAGCAGCAGCTGGGCAGCCTAGGAAGGATGGCGTGTTCTTTGCGAATGCGCTGACGAAATTGTTTGATCATATTGCCAGGATTGTGGAGGCCCATGGTGGGCTAGTTGAGAGGCATTACGGGACGGGAAAGATGGTTAAGGTGATTGAGAGGCTGCAGATGGAATGTGATGTCCAGGGAGGCATCATTGTGGACTCATGGAGCGACGAACGTGCGGTCGATCGCCGGCTAACCGATGTCAAGAGCTATCCCTTTACCTTCCTGGTCCAGAGCTTCCTGCCACAGAACCGTGGCTTTGGAGGTGTGCAGAGGGTAAATTCACCCGCTGCTGGAGGGGGTACCAATGACGGCCGCAATAGCGAAGACGAGGGCGTCAATATGAAGGAGATTGATGCCCTGTTGTTTGAAATAGCGGCCATGTTGGAAAAGTGGTCCGTCTACTCACGGTTTATTGCCACGAAGTGCAAGGTGGGCTCTCTCTCTATCATGCCTCTCTCTCACCACTCTCTCAATAGTGCTAAACTTCTATTAGGACCCCACTACCCCCGATGATGCCCCCCTCACCATGCCCGAGCTCCTCATCAAGTCCAACCTCGGCCGGAAGGTCGCCAACAAGCTCATCCAGCCCTACAACATCCTCACGACCTTCTTCTTCCGGCGCTCCGTCGAAAAGGCCTTCCAACTCGACGAATCCCCTCCCGGCTTGACCCTCAACATGAGCAAGCCCATCGACAGCAACCCCCCCTACATCATCTCCGCCGTCGACGTCGTAATGTACATCGTCAACACAGTCATCCGGCGCTCCATTGACACCTCCCAACGCGCAGTCATCGATTCCGTAATCCCCAACATCTCTTCCCTCCTTGGCTCAGACTTCATCGGCATGATCCAACGCCGCATGCGCGACGAGTCCTACCCGAAACCCAACGTCCAAGGCGGCTTCCCGCCCGAAGACAAAATCGTCTCCTTCATCGTCCTCCTCAACAGCCTGGACATGGCCAACGAGTACCTGGCGCGCATCGTCTCCAACTTCCTCAACCCGCCGGACCCAGCAACCACCAACCCTTCCCTCGCCCCGAACGGCATGCCCCCGCGTACCCTACAATCCGCCTTTCCCTTCCGCTCCGACGCCACCGACGTCGCGGTCCGCCTACAAAACCTCAACGCTTCCTTCACCTCCAAGGCGACCGAACTCCTCAACGAAGGCCTCAAAGTCCTCTTCAGCCAGGTCGTGAAGCCTCGTCTCCGACCCATCCTCACCGACGCCTTTCGCGACGCGGACTATGCCCTGGATGAGCAGCAGACCGCTGAGCTAGCGATGCAGCTCGTCAGCGACGGCACGCTGCAAGCGGAAGACGAATTGCTAGAGCAGGTGCCACGGGCATTCGAGCGCGGCTGGGACGCGCTGATGAGGCCGATTGGGAGGATACTCAGTCCCAGGGGGTATACTGCCTTGTTAGACTTGACGGCGGAGTATTTGGCGAAGGTGTTGGAGAAGAGGGTGTGGAGTTATGCGGGGGGCAGGGCGAGTGCGTACGGGGCGATTAGGATGGAGAGGGACTTTGGGGGAATTATTTCGGCGATTAGTAAGGGAAATTATGCGGTTCGGGAGATGTTTGGACGGACGGCGCAGATATTGATGGTAGCGAATATGGAGGAGGAGGAGTGGGAGGAGCTGGCAGGCGTTGCGGAGGGGGAGATGGAGTGGGTGTTGAGTGAGGAGGAGAGGAGGAAGGCTAGGACGATTGTTAAGGCGTGATAGACTTTTGAGAGGAGGGACGGCATTTCTTCATCGAGCAAACATGGCTCATGATATCACGGTTGGGATTCAAGGTTAGATTTTGTCATTTGGCACAGGCACAAAAACCCCGAGAATTAATAATTGATGTTGAGGGAACGGGGCATTTATTTTAATAATCCGTATCTACCTGCTGCTACCCCGAGCTAACAGGCGGGATAATAGCAACCTCATCGCCCTCTTGAATCATCACCTCGTCCGGTCCAGCCTCAGCATTGTCAGCTGGCACGTCTACATAATTCAAGTTGATGGTGACCAAGCTGTGGTCAAGCACGCTTTTCCGGATGCCATTGTACCGCTCCTCGAGCATGGCGAACAGCTTCCTCAGCGGTAGCGGCGCTGGGAAGGCCTCAACATTCTTGGATGTGTATGAGCCAGCGCTGGCAAAGTACAGAATGTTGAAGTGGCCTGCCGGCGGTTTTGGCGTCATGGCTTCAGATCAGGTCCTGAGTATAGCCTTAGCTGTGTTAGCGTTAGGATCTGACACCGGAGGAGTTGAGGATTTCAAAGACAAGAGAGAAGAGAAGAGGTTGTTGGTCAGAGATCTTGGTGATTTTGAGAACCATCATATCGGACTCAGGTAATACATGCTGTTTCGTCCATCATTCCAACAAAAGGGGTGTTGTGTGTATGAAAATCAGAGAGCACTCACCTTGAACGTTATGATGATGATGACGATGATGATGATGGTTGAGGAGTTGCGTCTGAGGGGGAAGATCGGCGTCCGCCGAAGAGCCCCTCTACAAAAGGAGCCCAAGATAAGAGCCGGAGCTCAGCGAGAGCTCTACATCACGTGCAGCGAGTTCCTTGCCCGCTAATACTCAAGACATCTCCGAGGAGCTAGAAGCCATTGGGACTTGAGACACCACGCTCCCTCGTGCTGACCCTGAAAGGCAGACAAGATGTATGGCTTGCACCTTTTCAAGGAGGTATTGCGATACAGAGAGAGGAGAGCAAATTTGCGTGAACTCGCTGGAAGCTTGGTCGAAATTTATCCTTCGATTTTGTGATGGGCGAGCAATCCGATTGGCCATATGCCGACTTTGGACCCACACAAGTCCGTCTCCACCTGCTTTAACCCTAACCCTCTTTGTATCAAGGTTCGATAAGCTATAATGTCGATGTTGCTCTCTTGACAACAGATGTAGGCATTGGGACTTTTATAAAAACTCAGTTTGTTATGAGAAAAAAAATATTTGAACCATACTGTTGACTTTCGCGGCGTCGAAAAAAAGTCGCCCAGTCTGCCCAGTGATCGAGCTAGCTTCCACTTGACTTTGAGGTCACGTGAAAGAGCATACGTATGCCAAGATCAGAGCCGCTTGGTTAGTCAGCAGTCTCGATCCGGTTCGATCCAGGTCCACCTTTGCTGCTGGAGTCAGCCGCGCTCCGTGACAGGGACACGACACGACCAGCACAACTCACTTCGCCATCAACTTTCCGCCGCGCGCCATCAGAATGACAAGCGAAAGTGAGTGATATTGAATACGCCCACCAGGCGCTACACTTTGCGACCACTTTTACTCAGACAAATGCCCACAGACGGCAAGCGCAAGGCCACCGAGGAGCCGGGGTCGCCCTCGGCAGCGAAGCGCATTAAGCAGGAACCGAGTGAGACCGACAAGGACAAGAAGGAGGAGAACAAGGACAAGAAGACCGTCGCAAAACCGCCGCCGATCCCGTACCCCGAGAAGCCGGCCGTTATTGAGGAGCGTAATGGCGAGATCGAGTTCCGGGTCGTCAACAATGACGGCGAGCGCGAGAGCCTCATCATCTTGACCGGCCTCAAGTGTATCTTCCAGAAGCAGCTGCCTAAGATGCCCAAGGACTACATTGCCCGGTTGGTTTATGATCGTACACACCTATCGATCGCCATTGTCAAGAAGCCGCTCGAGGTGGTGGGCGGCATCACGTACCGGCCGTTCAAGAACCGCAAGTTTGCCGAGATTGTCTTCTGCGCTATCTCGTCCGATCAGCAAGTCAAGGGTTATGGCGCACACCTCATGTCGCATCTCAAGGACTACGTCAAGGCAACGACCAATATCGAGCACTTCCTAACATACGCCGACAATTACGCCATCGGCTATTTCAAGAAGCAGGGCTTCACAAAGGAGATCACGCTCGACAAATCCGTCTGGATGGGCTACATCAAGGACTACGAGGGCGGCACAATCATGCAGTGCACCATGATCCCGCGCATCCGGTACCTCGAACAAGGCCGGATGCTCCTCAAGCAAAAGGAATGCGTCCAAGCCAAGATCCGCGCCTTCTCCAAATCCCACATCGTCCACCCGCCGCCGAAGCAATGGCGCAATGGCAACGTAACCCCCATCGATCCTCTCTCGATCGACGCAATCCGCGAATCCGGCTGGTCCCCCGACATGGACGAACTCGCACGCCAACCCCGTCACGGTCCCAATTACAACCAACTCCTACACCTGCTCAACGACATGCAAAACCACGCCAGCAGCTGGCCCTTCCTCGTCCCTGTCAACAAGGACGAAGTCGTCGACTATTACGACATCATCAAGGAGCCGATGGACCTGTCCACAATGGAGAGCAAGCTCGAAGCGGACCAGTACCAGACGCCCGAAGATTTCATCAGGGACGCGAAGCTCATCTTCGACAACTGCCGCAAGTACAACAACGAGAACACACCCTACGCCAAGTCCGCCAACAAGCTGGAGAAGTTCATGTGGCAGCAGATTCGTCAGATCCCCGAGTGGTCGCACCTGGAGCCGTCTTAGAGGGACGCTCCGGCGACAGCGATGGTGGCGACTGCGACACGAAGCAAAGGCGGGAGGGGGCCTGCAGTGCAGACGGAAAAGGAGCAAGAGCAAGAGCAAGAGCAAGAGCAGGAGCAGGAGCAGGAGCAGGAGCAGGAGCAGGAGCAGGAGCAAGAGCAGATGGGAAAGGGAGAAACGAAGAAGGAAAAGAAGAAGGACAAGAAAAAGAGGGAGCCGGAACTTCCGGCTGTGGAGGAGTTGCCCAAGCGGAGGAGGGGACGGCCGCCGAGGAGGTACTTGGAATGATTCTGTTTTTAGTGTGTGTAATGGATCAGGAGCTTATATGGGGAGTTATTAGGAGAGTTTTTTTTTCCAGGGAGGTTATTTGATTTCTGGCATTGGGTTTATTTGAGGGGTGCTGGCGTTACTGGTTATGAGAAGCCTTACAGGAGGTATTTAGGACTGTACAGTGCTTGAGGATTTAGGCTGGCGTTAGCTTGATTATAGCGTCTACGTACTTAGATTATCATCAGACACATATTTTTTTCAAAAAAAAAAAGAGTCCATGATTCAGAGCGAAGTGATAAATGTCATAAAGCGCAAAAAGTCATCATCCATTACAAGTACAAGCCGAAACCAGCCCTTTGGCCCAAAGAAAAACAACAGAATAAGTCTAATATTATGTCCTAACAATACCATTCCATATCACATCCCTTACTCCTCATTACTTCTTACTTTTCTCCCTCTCCCAAACTTCTTTACCCACTTAGCATCCCACTTATCCAGCTCAACCGCACTCCTCGGCTCCCTCCCCTTCGCAATCCGTCCCTTTTCCCCCAAAGCCGCATGCCTCTTCCTCCTTCCCTCAGGTCTCTTCCCTCCCCATTCATCCCACTGGAAGTCACAAACCGGCCTCTTCAACTCCAGCTCCCCCATAAATCCCGTCCCAAACCGCTCCACAACCCAAATTAACACCCCATTTGTCCACCCAAACCCCTCCACAACCTCATATTCACCCCCGCCGCCCGCCACACTCGTCTTGTCATCCGAATACTTCTCGAACATAACGCCCTGCTTATCCTCGCTCAGCCCTTCGATCCGAGGCGTCTCGGAGGTCGATCCGCCTGTGGCCCACCACGTGCAGAATGTCGAGTCGAGGTATCGTTGGGCTAGGCGAAGAGCGAGTTGTCGCACAGCGAGGTAGGATGGGTCCGAGGGACCAAAGGTTGCCGGTGTGGAGAGCAGCGCGGAGATGAGAATGTGTTGGAGGGGCGGCCAGACGTTGGGCTCGTCCCATTGTTGGCCCGATAGATAGTTGGATGCTGGGACAGCTCCAGGGTTCAGGTTGAGTAGATGTGTGACGCGGGAGAACGCATTCAGCACGGCGAGGGGGTTGTTTTTGAGATGGATGGGGGCTGCGCCCGTCCAGAAGGGGTAGAGCTGGGCCGGGGTGAACAGCACCTGTTGATGCTTGCGGGATTGGACGCCCTGTTGTTCTTCGGGGGTTGTGTCGTCATCGACGGGGGAGAAGATGTGCTGGCTGGAGGAGGTCAGATTGTAGTCGAAGTAGGACCAGTGTGTGTGGTTCCACATGAGCGTATACATTGCCTCGGAGCGGGCGCGGGCTAGGGAGGCGAAGTGTTCTGCGCCTGTGGCATTGCCGGTCTGGTGCAGGAACTCAGAGAGGATGATTTCGTTCTGGTAGAGTATTGAGTTCAGGTCGACGGGGACTAGTTCGCGCACGTTGAGCGAGCGCAGGGGGAAGTAGACGTCGCGCGCTGCGTCAGAGGGGGTACGCAGCCAGCGAGAGGAGTAATCCCATCCCGACTCGGCACCACTGGCAAGATTGGCGTAGAGCGTGGCCTTCTCGACATCAGTAAGTGGCTTGTGCACGGGGTAGATGATGCCGCTGTTGGCATAGTACGACTCGTTGTTCGCCGTGATCCAGTCCTCCCTAAAGGACTCGGGCCTTGGCTGGTTGTTGTTGACCGCATAACGATGCAGCGTGTACGTCTTGCCATTCGGCGCAGGGACCTCAACGCTGCGGTTCGTCGTCCAAAAAGTATACTCCCTCAGCAGCAGTGGCACAGCCCGATCCAGCAAAGACGTATCATTTGTGTAGTCGACGTACGTCTTAACCATGAGCGTCAGTAACGGCGGCTGCGACCTGTTGAGATAATACACCCTAGCTCCATTCGGCACAAACCCGATAGTCTCCACCAGATCCAAAAAGTTCTCGATAATATTCCTCGCAATTTGGACGAAGCTGCCGCCCGTACGCAGCAGGCCCTCAATGATCCAGTATGAATCCCAATAATACGGCTCACGAAATCTGCCTCCCGCCACGACGAAGGTCCGGTTCACAGGGATGAAGCTGTTGGCGCAAGTGCTGCAGTTGCCTGCACCTGGCCCGGCATATCGGCGGGTTAGATCTGGCCAGATGTCGATTACTTTGCCTGTGAACTCGCGAATGACGGGGTCAGAGACCTTGGTGAGGAAAGTTGGCTCCGTCGTGAGCTCGGACCGAGGAACCTCTTCGAGTTCTCCGCCTGCTGGGGCGAAGTACTCGGCAAGGAAAGCTTGGAGTTCTGAAGAGTTGGATAGGGGATGGGGCAAAGACTGGAAGGCGGCGAGCACTTCTTCGAGGGGCTTAATCGTCGGCCTGGAGGAGGTTAAGATGTGTTACTTGGGCTGTTTGAGAACGCGGCTTACATGTCGACAAAGGTTTTCGAGTCAACAAACGGCCGCGCGAGTTCAATGGCTTTAAGGACTTCACCATAACAATACAGGGGCGAGTCGCACGGAGCGATGACAGAGCCATTGATGTAGATGGCCGCAGCGAGCGGCAGGACGACAAGGCTTAAGGTCGTTCGCAACGAGAGTCGTCGCATCATGGTCTGGCTGCTTCTGGGATTCTTGATGATTCTAACCAGAGCGTGTATGTTTTCTCAGACGAAAGGCCACGATGAGTGAAGGATACCAAGAAGCGAGGGAAGCATGCCGCTCAAATATACACGGGATGGAATGCTGCGACCAAACAAGGGGATGGATGGACGGGACCGTTGCGGCGGGACGGGATGTCGCGTTGGTGTTGTAAACAAGGAATTATGGCAATTTACATTTTAGGCAGGAGAGAGATGGAAGTTGGAGAAGAAGATTGGATGAGGAGAAATGAGGAGAAGCTCTCCGCACTGCCCTGCCGGGTTCAAGGTATCTTGAGCAGCAGGGTAGGGCGATCGCAACCGGGCTGAGCGCGTACGGGTCGGTGAAGTCATTGGCAGAGAGGGGATATGATCGCTGCTGCCGCTCTCAAGGGATCAGATACAAAAAAAAAAAAACTAGACTAACAAAAAACCAAACGAAAACACAGCCTGGTAGCCCAGGGCCCAAGTCCATCAAAAGCCATTGGCGAATCTTTTTCACCAAACCTTTTTGCCCTGCTCTTTACTCGGGCCTACTTCTTGCCAGCGTCGTCCTGGCATTTGTCAAACTCCGACAGTGATCAAGAGAGAAGCTTGGAAATAATAGGTAACATTGCATCTCCCCCGCACCAACAATGGACCGAGTTAGAATGAATTGTCCGGCATAGGCCCGGACGGAGCGCATAGTGCCGACTTATACGGCGGGGATGGGTTACTAGAATGTGTCTTATTGGTCTGACGTCACCAGGACTCACCAGGATGTGTTGCGTTCACCGAATCCCAGACCTTGCAGATTGCCGGAGCAGTCATGAGAGTGTCCAAGCGAGCTAGAAATTTGCTTGCTCGTGAGCGTCTCTATCATCTACCTAAATAAACTCTTCTGTTATTAGAAATAACCCTATTCCCGTGCCCACTCTCCCCTTCCCCCCTTCCCCCTATAAACCATTACTTTTCACAGAGTCTTCTCTTTTCATGAAAGTCTGTTAACGCAACAATGCATGGCACTTCGATCGGGCGATTCGCCAAGCCATCGGCCCTTCTCGGCTAGCCAATGGCTCCCTTGCAACAGCGGCTGGTGGCTGCGCAGGTGCCGGTGTAACTTTTGGAATAGCCTGCCATCTCGCTTCGCCGATGGGGACATGGCTTTGCCCACTGCACGCCCGGCGAAACCTTTGCCGTCGGCCATTGGTAACAGCAGGCTTCGGCGTTACGCTGCGTAGTGAATTAGACTGTTTTCTGAGCCTTAGACTGGCTTTAGCCGTACCAATTATTCTGTGGGTTAGATGGCAATCGATGCTATGATGCAAGACGGACTCCTTCGCTAATGTGTCCGGTAAGGGGATGCCTGACCTTGAGCATCGCTCTCTTGCCCTTGGTAAGGGGACTTTGAGCCGCTCGACTCGTCGACTTCCTTTGTCCTCTCTTCGAAGACCCTCTTAAAGATTTTCTGCAGTCTCGGCACAACATGATGTCGATTCTGCCAGATTTGATAATGCAGCACCAATCTCCCATCCCACATCTTCAACCCCTCCTGCTGCCCCAGCTCAGCAAACCTCTCATCTGAGCACCCAGCAGACTTCAGATCCAGCCAGACCATATTGGTATGCACCGGATAGACCAGCCTACCCCCTAACGTCGTCCACATTCCCGCCACCTGCTTCGCCAGCTCATGCACATTCTTCAGCAAGCCCCCTTCACCATTCGGCCCCTTCCCAAACGTCTCCTCCACCGCCACTCTCGCCGCAGCCGTGAGCACTCCAGGTTGCCTTAGGCCGCCGCCAATAGCCTTGCGCATCCATCTGGCATGGGCAATCGTCTCTTTAGAGCCGACCAAAATACTCCCGACTGGTGCGCCCAGTCCCTTGGAGAAGCAGAGACTGACCGTGTCAAAGCACGCTGCGTAGTCGACCAGGCTGCCCGCACCAGCAGCAACTGCTTCCCACAGGCGGGCGCCGTCGCAGTGCAGCTTGAGGCCGTGCTGGCGGGCAAAGGATGAGATTCTCTGGGCTTCGGAGAGAGGGAGGATCATGCCATTGAGGGTATTTTCCAGGGAGATGACGCGGGTTGGACAGGAGTGGATGTCGTTGGAGAGGGTGATGGAGGCTTGAATGTCTTGGAGGGTGAGATGGATGCCGTTGGAGGGGGTGACCGTCTGGAGGGTAGCCCCTGTAAGGCTGGAGACTCTGGAGGGCAAAGTCAGTGATGCTTTCTTTGTTGGGGGGGGGCATACCGAAAGGTAGGCTCACCCTCCGGCCTCGTAGTTAGCAATATGTGCCCGGGAATCACAGAGCACGCCGTGAGGGGGCTGAGTTAGCAATGACCTCAAAGCCAGCTGGTTGCCCATGGTACCCGAGAGCACAAAGAGGGCATCCTCTTTGCCGGTCAGGTTAGCACAGAAGGCCTCCAGGTTGTTGGTAGTCGGGTCCTCGCGGAAGACGTCGTCCAGCAGGGAGCACGACTGAATAGCGGCCAACATTGAGGGGGTTGGCGTGGTCATGGTGTCGCCTACGCTGACGTCAGTGCCCACTGAACTACACTTCTGCTTGCCCGCACCCCGATGCTTGCTCAATGCTCACTCACTCCTCAAGTCGATGCCGCCTGCGCCGTAGCTACCGACCCAGGTCATCATGGTCTTTGCTGCTGCAGACTCGGATCGCGTATTCTGGCTCCCGGACGCAGACGGCGCTCGGGCAATGGCCGACGAGCTAAAGCATGCCATTTTGCTCACCGTCGTCGGCGTCATCGAGCTTGCCGTCGTCCGGGCGAGCCCGGGTTTGATTATTTTCTGTCCATGATGTGTTGCGAGTCTTGTAAAGAGTGAACCCTGAGATAGCCTCAGGGTGGCTCTGTGCATGCTCTTACCACCAGTTATTGACCACATTGCATAATCCCCCGTCTTATCAAAATCGCTGGATTTGGGGATATCAACGCGAGGTGCGAGCAAATCGGGAGGAGAAGCAGGCTCGCTTTCACTGCTTCCCGTCTTGGCTGCCGATTTCTATCGGCACCGGTGAGCTCCACTACTGCCGAGATCCCGTAGGCTGCCTAAAAAAAAATGGGGCAGATTGCGGGGCACTCGACGGCAGGTGGGGTCCTGATTGGTCCGTAGGAGAGGAAGCGTCCTTCAATGGCCTACCCTGGAAGTGTCCCAGCGGAACCAAACAAACGACTATATTTAACTACGCCCGCTCTCCCCACGTGGCCTGGCAACAGCACAAAGACTCGCCGTGTCCCTGGGATTTCGATATCTCAAACCATTGTATACTCTATGCGAAGTATCATACGAGAATTCTCCAAGATCGCCATGGCACCGCATTGAAGCAGCTGAAAGTCACTTGGCTTAGCTAAGAAGTTTGAAAGAGCTGAAGGGAGTTGCCATTGGAAGCTTCTCCGCCCCTGAACGTGCCAATCGCGGCCCATCTCCTCTGCCTCAAGGGCCCTCCCCCGACTGCTTTCGGACAGACTTGGACACTTGCGCGAACATCGTTCGATCGGCAGCCACCAAGCAGGACTGGTGCTCGGCTCCGGCCCGTCAGCAGACGGTCTTCCGAGGAGGGGGAATGATGAAAATAAACTCTTCAACTTACTCAGCAACACACAGCGGTATATTGAGAAGCCATCGTGCGATCAGAACAATTTTCTGGAATAGATTGGATCCTGTTAGGGTTTTATTACGCTAGTTCGATATGTATAAACGCCCGGGTATCTTCCCGATCCCAAATGACGACCCCGCGAACGATTCTGATGCCGCTTCGCCTTCTCGTTCGTCCCATATTCAACCCTAGGTATAAACCGCCAGAAGAACCCATTTCAACCAGCGACTGAAGAAACAGTCATGAGAGATAAAGGAGATAAAAGGACACAACACACTTGACCAACAACTTCTTCCGATACCCGATACCCTTCCTCAACGCTATGAGCGAGCAGATACAAGTCACAAGAGATATCAACTTCACTTAATTCACCGAACTCGCCCTCCTCCCTTCCCTCTCCGGCATACTTCCCTGTCCCCACGCCATGTGCTGTCCCAACTGGAAACCATGCCACTCCCCAAAGGCATGCTCCAGCCCAGTCGCCGAATTTCCATGATGAAACACATGTTGTCCATGTTGTGTCGCAGCAGCAGCAGCAGCGGCGGCGGCGGCGGCGGCGGCGGCGGCAGCGGCAGCAGCCCCCAACTCATTCGTCCCCACAACCAACGGGGGATGCCATCCAGGCTGATTAAATGGCGACAAGCTCGGATCATGAGGGCTTATGGGAGAGTTGACGTAGTGATGGAAGTCGGCAGCGATGAATTCAGATGGCGGGCTGAAGCCTGCTGTAGTGGGGGCGACAAAGACGTCAGCTGTTGTTGGCATGGTTGTTGCTGTTGCTGCTGCTGTTGTTATTGTTGTTGTTGCTGGGAGAAAGTTGTTTGCTGCCGCTGCGGTGGCAGCGGCTGAAGCTGCGTATATCGCGGCGAGGGAGTCTTGGTGGTGTTGCTGATGATGATGGATGTAGTGAGGGGGGGAGGTTACTGGGGTTGCGTCTGTCATTGGGCGGGAGGGGGGTGAGCCCCCGTGGTGACGGGCGTGTTGGTGATGTTGGTGGCGGCAGTGAGCAGGGGAAGCAGGAATTCCCTGCTGCGGCTGTTGCCGCTGCTGGGGTTCGGTCTTGACACTGGACCCCCTTGTGCTCTCGGCAACCGACACTGCTGAGCTATCGCTTGGAGACCGGCCATGACGATGATGGTGTTGTTGAGGATGATGAGCCTCTGGCATAGTTGTCGCAACAACGATCGTCCCGGGGCTCTGTGGACTACTCTGAGGGTGCATCCTCCCACTATACGGCGACATCTGCACAACCTGGTCCCCTGCCACAACCGGCATGATCACCTCCAACGTCCTCCTACGTTTTGGCACTCCAATAGCAGACTGCTCCAGTGGGCTAAGAGGCAGCCTGGCGATCAACCTCTGCAAGATTTTGCTCAGAATCCCCGCTCTCCGCGACACTTTCCTCAGAGCCTGCAGCTCGCACCGCGCACGCTCAATTACCCTCACAACAACATCTCTCTGCGGCAAATTACACGCATCGTCGTGCAGAACGGCAGTGCATAGCGTCGTTGCGCCATCAAAGACGCACAGCACGGCGCTCTCGCAGCGAGTGTTGGTCAGGTGCCGCGCGTCGAGGAAGGCGAAGGCTTGGTGGAGCATGTCGAGGGCGGTTTGCACGCCGACTGCCCTCAATGTTGATTCGAGGGTTGGGGTCATGGGCATGGGCTTGGTCATTGACGAGGGGCGGACTGATTTCTGACGGAGAAAGGGTCTGAGATGGCTGAAGAGTAGCACGTGCCCTACTAAGTGGAGGTATCGCCGCTGGAAGGCGATGAAACGGAATTCGTTGGTGTCCCAACGTGTGTCGGGCGAGGTGAGGGAGTATTCTGGGGGAAGCGTCTGAAACCAGTGGTGTACAATGCTGCGGATGCGGCTGGCTGTTTCGGCTTGTTGATGCCCGTGAGTTTCTCCGCCCTCTTTTGAGTCGGAGGGTGAGAGTCGCGGTAGGGCCGCCGAGATGTCGAGGCACAGCCTGTACTGAAGGAACATGTGATGGAAGGGAGATGGCTGGTCGGGGTGCTCGGGCGTCTTCTCGAGAGCGAGAGATGCGGAAGCGATCTCGCAGTTGGTTTGGTCGATTAGGAGGGGTCGGGAGAGCATTGAGGCGAGAGTACTGGGGAAAGTGGTCAGCAGTTGCTCTGATAAGTGGCAACCTAGACTGGACGAGTGAAGCACTTACAAGTCCCAGACGTACAGGATGACCCACATTCGGCGGCGCATCTCGCGCTCGAAATCGCCCATCCCGGCCGAGACGGAGTCTTGGTGCAGTCCTGCGCCAGTTAGCACCCCATCCCCCTGCAAGCCGCATCTCAGGGGTTACATACCTATCTCATTAGCCGCCCTAACCGCCCGTCCCAGCGCATGCCATGCCTCCGTCCATCTCTCCTCCGACTTGTACCAGCTTACGGCCAGAAACAGCTGCTGCACGTTCACCAACCCTCCCTTGCCGGGCCCGATGCTGGCCGACAGCCTCTCAGCCGCCGCATGGAGCTTCGCTGCATACGTCACGACGTCGGTCTTCAGCTCGGATTCTAACCTTGTCCGGACGTCGTCGTTGGCGATGAACTGCAAGGAGCAGGCGCAGACGCGGAGGATGAGAGTTGTGAATGAGAGGGACGAAGTTGATGAGCTAGTCCTGACCTTGGAGTCCTCGCGCTCGCGGTTGTTCCACCAAGCCGCGTACTGCGACCGGAAGGCCGGCGGATAGAGGGCGTAGTAAAAGTGGTTGGCTGTGTCGAGGAAGTTGTCGATGAGGAGGTCTGGATAGGGTAAGTTTCTCGTTCTGGACTACCTGTCTTTTCCCAAGGATGGGCGGCCCAGTTAGGAAGAAGAAGGGACATACCTGCATAGCGCTTGTCGGGAATCGCGCTTAGCGCCTGTCGAAGCTCTTCTGGCTCCCCAATGTCATCGTCATCCTCTGCAGCGAGATGTCGGCGCTGGTTGCTCGATGTCAGTCACTACAGCCCTCCCTTTCCATTGTCGTGTTATAACTCCTTACCCTCGGACTCTCCTGCCCCAGCACCAAGTGGTGGTGGTGGTTCAAATACCCCAGACCGCCCAGGGCCCCGCTGATGTCGCTTTCCGAAACATCATCGTCGCCGTCGTCACCATCCTCATCAGACGGACTCCACTTGCCGTCAGAGCTCTCGAGGCTGCGTTTCCTGGAAGTCCTTATCCACGCTGGGTGTTGGTACCTCTTATTTGAGGAGTTGATCCTGGAGGATATCAAGCGATATATAACTTACCTCGTCTGTGTGTGCTCAGCAACAGCACGTTCCCGCTCATCTTTGCCAGCACCCCGTGCGACAAACTGGCACCGATGGGAGACACCGCGCTTCTGGCAGTGATTGCATGGAAAGAGACGGTTGCACTGAACGTTGCTCGATATTAGTTTGACCCTTTTCTTTTTTTTTTTTTTCCCTCAGATATGATGACAACGATCATGGGAACACAAAACCCAGCCCATATGAGATGCGACCGGACACAAACTGGATCGTTTGTAACCTGACTGTGTGACCTTGGCTGAGGCTATTTGCTCAAACCTTGTTCCATGAGCATGATAACTTGTTTTAATCTCTTTACCTTTTGCTTGCGCCTTTGACACTCAAGACAGGACACACGAGAAGTGATGACGTTTGTTGTTGTCGTTGACGGTGTCGTCCCTGTTGCCGCGGCTGCCGCCCCGGCGTTTGTTTTTGCTGCTGTGTTCATTATGGCTGTTGACTTGTGTAAGGAGATGACGCGTTTCGGGTCCTTGCCGCCGTCGGCCCCGAGACGGGACGGTGATGGTCGTGGCCGTTGTGGACAAAAAGGAGATGAGGAAGATACTGATGATGGGCGTGGATATTGTTGTTCTACAACAGTGAAGGGGATTGCCGAGGGGAAATGGCGGAGGACGGCTGTTGAACCACCCATCTGTTGTGCGAGGGTGCAAACAACAAGGAGAGAGGAGATCAGGTAAGGGAAATCTGAGGTATTGGGATTGGTACAAGAGAGACAGACAGACAGCAGAGTGAGGGAGAGAGGGACAGAGAGAGAAAGTGAGAGAAAGTGAGAGAAAGAGAGAGAGAGAGAGAGAGAGAAAGGGTTGCGCGATGACAGCTGTGCTTGTTCTGTGTGGTTGGCGTATGTGTGGTATGTGTCTCGGCAAGTGGTTTGCTGTGTGCTTGTCAAAAGCGCGCTGCGTCTAGTCTTCTCTACCGCTACCGCCGCTATTGCGCTGGAGGAAAGGAGGGGTCTCACTCGAGTCTGGCCGAGTCAAGTCCGCGTCTGCGCTTTGCGTCTCTAAGACTCGATTGTTTTGCCGCCACTGGTTCGCTGCGAGATCTCGAGACTTCTTGTATCACCACAAACCCCGGATCTCTCTCAAGGCAGATCGGGAGATCCAGACTGCGCTTGAAAATCTCAGCCTTATTGCGGCTCACCGACCTTTTTGCTTCGCCGTCTAAAGGCGCACATCAAACTGCAAACTCGATTACGATCCCACCAACACACGCTGATACACAACACGCATACATCCAGATTGGTATTCTAGACTGGATGGCCATTGATCAGGCAGCCTCATTTATCGATTCGATCAACCAACGCGCGCCAACCGATTGATCGTATCGCCGAACACACGTCTTGGTATCGAGATGTCCCTGGGGGTTGAGGCTTGCCCGAGATGACGCCGTTCTTCTCGGCCAACGAGGGCTGTTTTGGATAAGTCTCCTTCTTCCCTGGACTACGGGATCTACTAGTGCCTCTAGACGGGAAGGGAGGACAATCCTCGACCGTTGATGACTGACGGGGGTCAAGTTGATGATCGACGAAAATGAAAACGTATCCAAACTGATATACTACTCTGTCTTTCATGTCGTGTTTTCAATGATGAGGAAGAGCATGCATGTGTGTATACTGTACTGTGGTGAACGCCTATACTATCGCATTGGTTTGAGACCGAGATATGCCCTTCATATCTTGTTGTTATGGAAGCTCAATCAGAGCCCTCACTTTTTGCTCGGATACACTTAACTTCAATCTTCTTAAGCTCACAAGATTGCAGACGCCAAGACACATGGAATACATACCTATACAGTGTATCTTGCACAGCCCATACTTCCTACACGGACCGAGCCGCAAGTTCAAGGGGGGAAAGAGGGGCAGATGAACGGTTTGGGAAGAGAACCAACCCAATGCGGGGTGTGCTGAGCCTTGCGGACTCTGGGAGTTGCCTCTTCTCTGCTCTTTTCACGTCTCATTCCATACCACTGACCTCTCCAGACAAGGCAGATTCTAGGGTTTGGGTCATACATGGCACTTACCGAGGTCCCCGATCCGGGGAATGCGGGAGAGGGAAGAGTGATCGGCGAAGAGGCTGAGGCCATGCGCACTGGGCTGGGGTAGACACATTCAACTGTTGAGATCGAGGCCAACAGCAGCCCTCCTCGGCGGATGTTGACCCGGGCTGTTCTGTGGAAGATGGGGATGCTTGATTGGATGGGCCCGACGCGGACGATGTTCCGTGGCCCGGTGCAGGGCCAATCTAAACTCCGGAGATACTGTGCCAAGGGGGACATGTGATAGGTAGTTTTTGATATATCAGAATTTTTATACTTCTTTGTGTTGGTTGAGGATGCCTGGAGAGGAAGGGGGGTTGGCTCGGTGATCGATTGCAGCGCGTTGTGGGCACAACTTTGCTGCTGTCGCTCGCGGCAGGCAAGCCAAGCGTGCAGATTGTCTTTATCAATCTGATTATGGATGCGATTGATCGGATATGGGGGGGCTTGGAGTATTCAGAAATGAGGATATTGAAAACAGCGTGATGAGAAATGATCCTCACAAGAATCATGCGGTGACCCTTATGCCTTTTACCATGTAATCGCCACTCTTTACCCACTCATTCCTGACTTCATCAGTCTATTTTTGCGCTCACTAAAACCCATCGCCTCGTGTTCGTCTCTCTAGCTCTCCACAGCCGAATCCTTCCGTGCCCATAAGGATCACAGTGTCCGTTCCCAACTCTGCTACCCTCCATCCAATAGAGTTGAACGTGAAGCGTTTCTTGAGTATGCCAATCATAGATCCCTTACATCATGAGATCCCCTCTTCCTGCTCCTCCCTCCCTTCCCCGATCCGTGACAAGACGAATTGTCTGCTTGTCCCCATCCAGCCTGGTAACTTGAACCTCGATTTATTTGGCAAAGGAAAGACACATCCCTTCCTCGGATCCGAACGCTTGGGACGAGCTGGCCAGTTAGAGAGCGTTATTCTTTGCCCTTGGGCTTCGAGGCCAGGGATATTCTGCGTCTTTTTTGACCTCAGTCACTGCGATGTTGACAGTGTTGATCATTTCTTATTCTGAGTACCATCCTTGGCCTGGTCTCCCCCCCACAAAATCATGCAGAGTCTCGTGCAGATTCTGTTTCTGTTGCCTGCCGGGCAGATCATGTTCACTCTCTTTGCCTCACCGCGGCTGTTGATTATCTAAGATGACATAAGCGCGCGCTTCAATACAACAGACAAGACAATCGGGTCGTTGCTGGCAGAGTATCATAGCATCCGAGTAAAAAATTCTGATCGCCGCAGCCTCATGTGCCCAGCAACAACCCACCACTCTTGTCAAGCCAGTCAGGGGTTTTGATTAAGAAGCTGTTTGGGAAGGTGTTTGTTTCATTTCAATAGCCCTCTCGGGGAGCGTGTGACCCTGGGGCTAAAGATCCGGACTGTGGCTGCAGCAAGGCGTCCAGGCTCGCCGATGACTTGATGGGAAGGCTTGATTGCGGCTTGACGGGGAGATCAACCGCCAGATGAGGGAGGTTTTACCTTAGGTTATCCGCATGCAAGATCGACATGGGGGTTCTCAGTACTAACACGGACTAGGAAGGCTGATATCAGAATCAGGGTTTGAAGACAGATAGGTCTGCTCTCTCTTCAGGGAACTTTCTTTGACACACTTCACTGTTGATGATAATACACACCAGCCATTTGGAACTTCATATAGTGAATAACTGAGTAGAATTGGGCTGAGCAGCTATTGTAGGCTCATCGCTGGCTTGATGAGCATCTTGCCAACCAATGTCTCGGATAATGCACCAGGAAGTACCATCATCAGCTCTGGGCGAAGAGCCTCCTCAGCTAGCAAGCATGTTTCCGAGCCATGTATACTTACGCATAGATTGAAATATCCATATATCGACAATGATCAGCCTTCTATTTTGCTGGACTTTTAGTCTTTCAGCCATCTCGATCCACTTATATCACCGTTATACTCACATCTGGCCCTAAAACATCAGAATAGCACCGAGATGTCTCAGCCTTCCCTAGTCTCATGGCAATTGACACAGTACCTAGCAGGCCTTAGCCCTTCTTGAAATCTTGACTCTAGGGCTGAAATAAAAGCCGCAGGCGTGGAATCGCACTGCTCCCCCCAAACCAGAAGGAGGAGGAGGGTGGAGGGGCGGACTCTTCTAGAACAAACTCACCTGACCGCCTCTTTTTGCTTCGGCCCTACCAAAGAACAAACAAGCAACAAAGATGATCTTGTCAAGTTGCATGCTTAAGCATTTAACAACCGATGAATGTCTCAGTTAAACAGCTTACTTGCATTTACATCCTATGGTTTTACATGCTTGGTGTTTACCCGGAAGAGGCCTGCTTATCAGAGATGAACTTGAAAATCTAGATATACAGATCAAACATAAATCAGACATGTCTAACCTTAGTCTTCCCTCATGAGCAGTAAGAAAACCTAGGCATCTGGCATGTGGGTGTGATGTACCACCCGGAACTATCCACAAAACTTGTCATCACGACAATGGCACATTTTTGATAGCGTTCATGCAATGCAAATGCATGCGCAAGCAAGCACACCTAGACAAGAACCTCTTCTGGGAAAAGGACCTTTTTGTGGCTTTGTTGTTGATGGCAAGAATACCCACACTACGTTTTGGGTACATATTAGTTTGTTTCTCTTTATCACATGGTTCATAGGCAAGGGGGTGTTTTTATGTGTTTCATGCCTTGTTAGGCTGTTGGTGTTAGATGGGTTGACTATTGTCCTTGTAAGCCTATCATCCATGCCTATACTCTTTTCTCTCTGTGATTCGGGGATGGAGACATGATATAGCTATGCAGTTAGCAAATTTAGAATCTTTTGTTCCAAGCCTGCGGTTGGTGATTAATATGTGCTGTCTAGGCATAATGACTTTACATAAGGCACTCCAAAACTCCAATGGGGATAATCTGTACTTTGCTCACGGTGTCCTTAACAATGAGTGTTCGAAAGAGTGAACATAGAAAAAAAAGGGAATATAAAGAGAATGAAATACGAAAGAAAGAAGAAAAGAGTCTAAGGTTGCGTGGCTGTACATTTACCCTCGTCCGGATTGCTTATTTGGCCCCTGGGGAAGAGGTAGAAAAGGGTCGGATAACTTAATGAGAAGGCTTGAGTATGGAAGAAACTATAGGAATGACAAGGTGAACAGGCAAAAACCACACGAATCACTGTCTCACCACCCCATCCTCAAGGCCACAGGCAACACTCATTAATTCCTTGAATTCCATCTCCAACATAGGTAGGTAGGTAGACAACCAAACACAAAAGTCATGCAATCCTATACACTACCAGGTACAGGAAGCAACAGTACTCAGTAACACTCATGAATAGCCTCAACAGTTAGAGAATGTAGTGATGAAAAAAAAACAACAAAAAAAACCTAAAACACCAGACATGCACATGTCCATACACCCAGTGAGGTAGACCCAACACGCAGCCCAGCTAAAAGCCCAGACCCGACCAGACCCGACCCGACCAGACCAGACCAGACCCACACCTACTCCTAACAAAGTGGATGTTTATAGTTCCCCATCACGCAGCCATATGTCCAAATCCTACCATTCCATTCATCATCCATCCATTCCTGAAGAGAAAATAGTAACTCAACACCAAAAGGAACCAACAATCCCAACAATCGACTCACTCAATTAGCTTCCTCCCAGACCTCTTTTCCCTTCCTCTCCTCCTCCTCCCCCTCCCTCCTCCTCCTCCTCCTCCTCAGCAGCCTTTACACCCCCCAACCAACTCAACACAGTAACTTCAACCTCATCTCGTCTCATCTCCTGCCCGGCCTCCCTCTGCCCCTCCAGCACATCATACAACCGATACAAATGACCACTCTTGGCCTCCAGTTCGGCCTGCAGTCTCTGAATATCCCCCATCAGCTTTCTTCGCTCACGCATCCCCACAGCCTTGTCCATGGCAAAATACTTTTCGTTGAGGGACCGCAAGCGCATTTGCAGATGGTCAATCTCGTCGCGGGTTTCCTTGATGAGGACGGCGAGGGCTTCGCCGGGGGGCATAGACGGACGGATGGTGGGTTGGTCTTCTGGGAGGGGGACGGGGCGGTTGGGGGTTTGGGGGACCGTATTGGTAATAACGCTGTTCGCGTTGTTGAGGGCTGAGGGAGGAATGGGTTTGGACGCGGTGACGGTTTTCTTGCCGCGGGAGATATCTTCTGCTGTCAGGAGCGGCTCAGCGGGTTTGGAGCCGTCAGGGACGGAGATAGCCGCATTCGGGACGGCGGCGATGCGCAGGCAGATGTTGCAGTTTGTGGAGTTGTGCTTGCAAAGGCTGTCCAGCACCTGTTTGACATCCCGGTTTTGCTGCATCTTCCCCGGCGTTCGTTGCCTGTTCAACTCGATAATACTCGCGTCTGAGTGCCTCCTTACGCGCTCCCTGTTCGCCGGCCGGGGCGTGTTATCCCCCTCACTATCGGAGACCACGCCCGAGGCAGTGGCCCTGCGCGCGCGTCGCGGCGTCGATGCCGCGTCCAGCCCGGCAGAGAACGGATCGTCCTGGTCTTCGTGACCAACGATGCTCATAGCAGACTTGACGCTGAAGCGGGCGGCGTCGTCATCGTTGAACTGGCTCTGGGATGGCTTCTTAAGAATACCCGTTAGCTTGCCGCCCTTGGGGGTCCGTGATTGTGCGCGGGGGGTCCGACTATCTGATTTACTCCGGCCGCGGGCGGCCCGGGGTGTCTGCTGGGCGCTGCGGATCCGGCCGCTCTCTTCCATATCGACGGCGTACATGTTATCGCGCTGTTGCTGCGCAATCAACTCCTCATACGTCTTGCGCAGCTTGGCGATCTCGACCTCGATGGCGTCGGCATCGTCGTGGCTACGGGTTGCGAGCTGGGCCAGGCGGTCGAGTGTGTCTTCCTCTTCATAGGCGCCGTTCTTCTCGCCGCCGTCATACTGATGATGAAGATGATGAAGATGATGATGATGATGATGGTGGTGGTGGTGGTCGGGGTCAATTTCGTCATGCCGTTCCTGCCTAGGGGAGATGATACGGGCGACCTTGGCAGGCGTCTTGCTGCCGCCGAGGAACTCGCGCTCGGCGATCTCGTTGATGCGGCTGGTGAGCTCCTTGACCTTACGGACGGCAGCCTCTCTACGGTCTGCCTCCCTAGAGTCCAGCTTGCGAGCATCCTCATAGTCGATGTGATGCTCAACCATGCCGTTAACATGCTTACCGGAGTCACGATGCTCCTTCATCCGCTGCCTCTGATCCAGGAGGTGATCATGCAGATCCTCCTGCTCGGCACGCAGACGATGGATCTCCTCGACCAGCTTCTCATTCTCGGCCGCCAAGTCTTGATTCTGCTGGCGTAGAAGCCGGATCTTGCTCTCCTTGGTATCGATGTCCACCTCCCTCTGCTGCAGCTTCAGCGTCTGCATCTCGACTTTCTTCTTAAGCTCCTCGACCTCGGCCTCGAGCTCAGCGTTCAGCTCAAGCACGGCTTCGTCTCCATTCAAGCCCTGCATGGTATCGATCATGTCGTCACGGGTTTTGATGCCCTTCCTCAGATCGGCAATATGCTGGTCGCGTGCAGCCACCTGGGCCTGGAGCTTCTTGGTCTGCTGGTAGTAGTCCTCATTCTGGCGCTCCATCATGGCATTTTCGTGCGACAATTCGCGCTTCTCCTTCTGCAGGGCCTCATACTTCTGACAGACGGAGGCGAGCTCGTCGCGGGCGGCTGCCAGGTCCTTCTGGATGCCGCTCAGCTCGCGACGCAGGCTCTCGTTCTCCTTCATTAACGCCTTGTTTTTCTCAGCTAAAGCATCCCTCTGCTCACGAAGCTTCGCGTTCTCGACGCTCAGCTCGGCATTCTTCAGCTCCAACGCCTCCTTGTCCTGCATCAACTGCAGTGAGGCATCACGGTCCTTCTGCGACGCGTCGAGCTCGGCCTGTAGCTTGGCAGCCTTCTCCCTTGCCATCTGCGCCTGACGCAGGGCCTCATCCCTCTCAGCGACCAGCGCAGTATTATGAATATCATTAACCCCGACCTGCCGATGCGTCTGCTCCAGCCGTTCCCTCAACTCGGCAATCTGCGCCTGCAGCGCCTGATACTCCGGCCCGACACCAACGGCCCCCGAGCCACCACCAGCACTACCACCAGCGCTCCTCCGGAACGAGGTATCCGACTCGGAGCCGATGGCACTGTCCGAAGGCTTCCGACCCTTATACCTCTTGAGCTCAGCCTGGAGGAGATTAACCTCTCTCTGCAGGCGTTCCGCCTCGCGCTGTAGCATCGCGTCGTGGTCGTGCAGCTCGCGCACCTCCTCCTGGAGCTTATCCATGGAGACGAAGATCTGCTCGTCCTCGGGTGAGATGCCGACTCCTGGTAAATCGGCGTGGGCGGCCTGCGAGTGGCGCACGATGCCGTTGGGGCCGCCGGACTTGCTGGACCTCACAAAGACTGGAACGCCGTTCTTCATGGTGCTAAACCTAAGAGTACCGGAGGTCCAGTCGGGGAGATGGCGGAATGCGGGGAGATAGAAGGATTGGCTCATCGGGCTGGGGCCGGTCTGGTCTGTCGCAGAATCCGTCTGATGGCTGGAGGGGGGGGCAGGGGTTTCGAGAGGAGGGGGGTAATGATGTAGGACTTCTCTCAACGAAGATGCCCGGCGTGGGGTGCTACTATCACGTCGCTCGACGCGGATCTTGGTCGCGATGGTCTGCAGCTTGCTCTTGCCGAGATCAGGAGACTCGGGCTCTGTGTACACAAATCGGGAGCGGCGAGCACTGGATGGCGGCCTGCTGGGCGAGTTAGACAGCACGCTCGACACGTCGGTCTCGGTCTCGGCGCGGGCCTGCATGCTGGCGTGCATACTACGCCGCCGGAGCTCAAGCACCTTGTCGATACTATTCGCATCCGACTGGCCTGCGACCGACCCAGACGACCCCGGGGGAACATTCTCCTTTCCCCGGTCTCGATCTCGATCTGAGCCGGACCGGGCAGGCTCTTCTGTGCTGGCGGTCGTCGCGCTGGTGTGGCTGCTGGACGGTTTGTTATTGTTATTGTTATTATTATTGTTGTTGTTGGCCTCTTTGGAGACGAGACCGCTCCACTCGGGAAAGGTACGGGCAATGACTGATGTATTCAGCATGTCGTCGGGATGGTTGTTCCTAGCAGCAGAAGACGAAGCAAAGCGGCTGGAACGGGCTTGTCGCCTCGCGGGGGCCTGAACCTCCTCGTCTGGGTTGAAGGAGAAGTTGGACAGGCTGACGACGTCCTCGGTGGTGGTGCTGACGGTATCGTGCGAGCCAGTGGTCGAGGGCGGAGAGCTGAACGGGTGATTGTACATGCGATGCTGGAGCATTTCTTTTCTAAGCCTAGAGATATGCTTAGGTTTGCTACTTGCGGCGGTCGTGACGCCACGGCTGCCTGCTCTATTGCTGTTGATGTCCATGTTGGGGAGGGGGCGCTGCGCGTCGAGCGCGAGCTAGAAAGTGGGCGCTGGGGGCGCTGGGACGGATGTAATGGGAGTAGGCGCAACAGGATTGAGAGGAAAGAAAAAGAAAGGGAAAAAAAAAAGCACGCGATCGCGGCTGCGACTCGGGTCTGCGGACGAGTCCAATGGATCGCTATTGGCCAGAGCGACTCACAAAAATTCAATTCAAAACTGCGCTTGATGTTGGAAAGTTGTTTCAATGTCGTGGCGCATCGCGGGGTCTGGCAGTCGCGATGTCGTCGGTTATTTTCTTTTTTTTTTTCTTGCAGAGTCAGTGTCGAGTGTCGGTGACAGTGAACAGCGACAGGGAACGCGATCTGTCAGCGGGACCCATCCATTTGTTTACAATTTCCAGCACGACGACATGGGTGTAAGTGGGGCTAAAGGCTGAGGTGGGGCAACCTGTAGGAATTTTGTGATTTCTGATTGGTCAACTCTGGGACTGACTGCGGGGCAGCACAGCGTAGTGCTCTGTTGATTGCTCCGTTCGCGGGAGAGACTCAGTGAAGCGCGAATTAACGACATCCGCGTCAGTTGGCCCAGGAACGGCGGGAACCCTGCTCCGGATCAATCAATTGGATGAGGCTGGAATCCCTTGAGCCGATGGAAAGACAGCTGGATACGTATCTGATATACGTGCCCACGGATACCCTAGTCTATTTTGACCAAATCGCCCTCTGCCCAATGTCACTGCGCCAGTGGCACCCTTTAGAGATGGATACAAACACAAAACACATCGTGAGCCCGAAGATATATAGGAATCTAAGAAAACTGCCAGCTCTCAGTAGCGATCCCCCGCAAGCCTCCTGCTCTGTACCTCGCCCAACGCCTTGGTCCCGCTGAGCACGGTAACCACGGCAACGGCCGCGATGACCGGCAGCGTTTGGAACAGGTTCCAGCTGGTGTAGTACATGAAGAAAACGCCCTCCATGGCCACGATCGAGCCGAAGAAGACTGCATGCGAGACTGGGGCCGCGCTGAGGGCCTTCGGGAGATGCTTGATGTTTGCGCCGAGGAAGAGCCACTGTTTGTCGTCAGCATCACACTCTAACCGGTTCGCTTGCACTCCAAGTCAGGACACTTACGCTGATCAACAGCACCGGCAAGCACGCAATTACGGCCAGCGCAAAGAAGATAGATACCACCTTAGGCGGGCTCTTTGGGTCGGGGTTGAACTTGTGGAAGATGAGGGGCTTCTTGCCGTAACGCACTGGCGCTTCCCTGGTCGGCGGCGGCAGGTTCGGGTCCAACTCAACCTTGATCTCGAAGACTTGTCCGTTGTATCCCTGCGCTGAGCCAAATGAAGCCAGCACAATGGATGCCTTAAGAGGTTCTTCGGCGGCGAGCAGCTGGACGGGGAGGTCTTTCTGGGTCTGTGGTCGTCAGCATACGTCCTTCTTAGCAGATATTGTCCCGGAGACAGCCATACGATCTGAACCGTAGCCTTCCCGCTCTCCTTCACCGTCAGAGGGAACGGCGCTTCAACCCCAAGGTTCGACTCCTGCAGCAGGAGGAAAGCCTGGTGCGGTCGCTTGCCGATGCCATTGTCCTTTGCCGTCAGGCTGAGCTTCAGAGTGTCGGTAGCGCCGAGGGTCACAGGCTTCGCAAGAGGAGTCCTGGCATTAATCCTGCTATCGGTAAGCCTTTTGTACCATCAATAATTGATCCAAAATGTCATCCATACCTCTCCTTGATAACCTCACCCGCCTTCTTGGGCACAACCTGAATTACACCCTCATCAAACCCCCAAGAAGTGGCAGCCTGCGCAGCGCCCGCGCACAGCAGCAGGAGCGCCGAGGCAACCGAATGTGTGAGCCGCATTGTGGCGTTTTTATGATGCGAATGGTTGCCCACGGTGGGACGAGGGGTGCCGGGTGGACAACAAGGTTGGTGATGTTGCCCGCTCTGGCTGTTGGCGTTGCTTCGGCTTCAATGGACACTTGTTCGCTGGGAGCTCCGGCGATGCAATGTATGCACTAGTGACGCTGCCGAGAGCTCTGGCCAGTTCGGGGTGTGGCGCTAGCCGTATTTGGTTAGTTGCTTGGCACCTGATCTTGGCATTCTGGCTCTTGGCATGGGTGAGATTTTGGTCTGATTTGATCTTTTGATTCCCCCCCCAGACCTTCATGAAGTCAAGGTACACCTGGTGTTTTCTACACCAGGTTCTATCATTGAGAAGATCTACCGTTCTCTCACAGAAAGCAAATGAAACTGCTAGATTTCGATGAGAGCGGCCTACTAACAGTAAAGGAAATACGTGTCCGGTGAAACAGTCCGTGCGAACGCCATCCCAACGAAGGCTTTATATTCGGCTCCATGGTACCAGGGCAGAGAGGGCAGACACAGGTTACTTAAGCCTTAACTTTGAGCATAACGACTCATTTCCAAAAAGGTCATGACTAGCAAGAATGTTATATGTGGAGATTTTCATATCATAAAAGCTTTAGATACTTGCACGTACAAATCTGGCTACCCGACCAGCTAGAGAGCATTTCGAGATCTAGTCCAGCGAGCAACAACAATGCTGAAGGAATCAAGACGAAGTTAACCGTCAGCTTTCGACCGTAACATTCCCCCGCCTTCAACACCACTTATATTCGCCGAGGAGCCAACCCAACATCATGACCATGCGGGGTGGTGAAGTCAGTTTGGGCGACCCGAGACAAGCGGGTCCCTGCTCTTATTCACGGCTTACCGGACTTCCGGCAAACACACATTGGCAGCCAGCAAGCGAAGCATGCAGAATCTGCCAAACATCAAACGGCTGCAACATAATCCGGCAGCTGGGCACGGTCGAGCAAAACCAATAAGGAAAAGAAAACGTGAGAGTCAAACCCGTCAGTCAGCCAAGGCTATGAGCCGGTGGTCAATACGAGTTGAGCGGCGTGGGCAGAGAGAAACAAAGCCGCGGGGTTCCAGGCTGCTCGTGTTGTTGTGATGTAACACTACCACCGGCCACGAAAACAAGCCTTGCATGGAAGGAATATCTGGCTATTCTGCTTGACTCTGAGTCGGCACTGCTTGAGAGTCTCGTGACTCGATTCCCCTCATCAGGATACCCAAGCAGACGGGAATCTTTTCCCTTTCTTCAGAGGGCCCAGCGTCATCCGAACCACAGCAATTTGCTATGCCTCAGAAAAGTTCAGCTCTCATCTGGCACAGCTGCAACTGCAAACTGGCGTCGGGGAATTTTCATTGGTGCCGTGTGATGCATTACGTATTCCTTTGAGGCGTGTCCAGCCATTCGAGTGATTGATTAACCACAAGGCGGAGAACAAGAATATCTTCAAGCCTTCAGGGTTGGCTTGACTGACGAAGCTGTTGCACAAAAACATCGGATGAGCTCGTGGGGAGCTTCAGTATTGTGTTGTCAAGCTTTTGGAGCTCAGTTCCCTCAGGCTTGCCTGGTGGGACCGCTCAGATGAGTCTCCAGCTTCCAAGCGGACCGGTCTTTTTGCTTTTCTCGAACCTTCACATTTGCCCACTCCATCCGCTAGCATTAGCGTTGCAGATGCTGAGATGATAAACTCCGCCTTATGATGCTGCCGGCTGCTGCAACTCCGCCAGGCAAAACTAATGGCAGATTGATCATACCCGTAAGATGTTGCAGTTTCAGCTAGACTCATGATCCGACCTCCTGGAAAAGAAAAAACACTGCAGCCGTGCCGTTGAAATGCTTGGACCGCGGATCGGCGATCCACCTTGTTGGGATGTATCTCCCGGGCAAGCTCTCACAGGCGTGACGCTCCCATCACTCTCGTCTTTGCGCCACGGCAAGGACGGGGAGAAATGGAAGGCAACTTGCTTGAATGCTAGAAAGCAGCTGGGAACCTGGAACCCCAGACAGCCAAGCCTCCAAAGCCGCTGAAAAACCAGGGATGGACAGCTTGGAAGTCCTGTCAGCCAACCAGCTTGCGGCGCCTTTATTGCCTGACGTTAAGCTCGACCAGGACACCAACACCGATTCAGTAACTCCACTGCATGCCCCCGGGCGCCCGGTGGGAAGCTTGGCCCGCCGCCCGGGGGGCACCCCTGGCAATCCCTTTTTTTTACAATCATGCCCGGTGCTCGAGTTGCTCGCGTTTTTTTCCCTCGCTCTTCTCATTCTCCAGGTTCTCGGTTTCCCGGCCTTGTCTCCTCCAGAGCCGCGAGCTGTCGTTCGCTTTTTAATCCTCTGAACATTCTTACTCTCGTTTGGTGTTATACCTCTTGTTGCCTCTGAGCCTGCTAATAGGCACTGTATTGCGTGATTGGGTAATCATAATCCGCCGGCAAACAAAAACACATCCGCATCGCCTGTTCCGAGACCCCGTCAGGTGTGTAAGTCATGACCTCCCCCTTCCCCCCCCCCCGGGGGGAGACTGGACTGCTGGACCGTGAGGTGGATGGACCGCCAGCCAGGCGGTCTGCCGTGTGTTGATCCACTGTTTGCCGGCAATCGGCTGGCTGGCATGGTCCGTTTTGTCTCTGGGGCAACCTCTGCTGCTGGGGGAGGAGGCTGGCATTCCATCTTTCCTTCCGCTCCATGCCCTTCTCCAGCCCTGAGACTCTGACTCCGTTTCCTTACGAGTCCACAATCAACTGACAACTCTCCGCCAGTCTCTCTGTACATAGATCGGTCGCTTCGGCAGACGGCATCACTAGAACGCTATCGAACTACTCTTACCACCTGCTCACCTAACCTACTTGCTTACTTACTTACTTACCTACCTAACTGCACGATCGCTTAATAATCACCATGGTCTCGTTCAAGACGACTTTTCTGGCGCTCGCCAGCGCTGCCGCGGTCGCAGCTGACTACTGGATTGACCCTGATTCGGTCAGCATGTCGGAGAGGAGTACGTTTGGACCATTGCTACTTCTGTTGCTGGCTTGCAAGCTGCACGTATCCGCTGGAGAGGGGAAAGACGCTGACTGGCGACACAGAGGCGTGGTGCAACGACCAGCGTACCAACTGCCCCATCATCTGCCTGCAGACCACTGTCGGCTCGCCAATTGACAACTCGTGCGATCCGGTACGTCACGGCCCTTCTCATATACAGGCACCAACCTTCCTACGGAAAAGATGGCTGACCTCCCCACCAGGAAACCCTCACCTACGGCTGCGTCTGCAGCGACGGCCGGCAGCCCAACATGTCGGAGTACACGCTGACGCTCCCCTACCACGTCTGCATGCGCTGGGGCGACCAGTGCGTCGAGGCGTGCGGCTCCAACAACCTGTGCGCGGCCGACTGTCGCGAGAAGCACCCGTGCGGCGCGCAGTCGCCCAAGCGCGTCAACGCCACGAGCACCACCACCTCCGCCTCGGCTACGGCCACCTCTACCGCGGATGCCGGCCAAGTCTTTGACGGCTTCGGCGACGGCTCCTCGGGCGACGGCGAGGATGACGAGGATGCGGCCGGCCAGAAGGGCGGCGCTGGTATGCTCCGGTTTGGTGACTCGTATGGTGTCGCGCTTGTGGCGGCGGGGTTGTTTGCTGGATTTGTGGGCTTCCTCTGAAAGACCGAGGGGTGTGAGGATTGATTAAGGGGCGTGGTGAATGTGGGTTAAGTTGAGAAAAGTGAGCATGTGTTGGGGGATTTTGTCAAGGCATGTTTTGTTTCATGGGGCATTGTCGTTGAGGGGTGTGATAAGCAGGAGCAGCGTTAATTGTCATCATCAGTGTTACCTTGTTTCTAATGTCTAACTTTTCCGAGCCATGTTCTCCAAGAGGTGTGACGTTGAAAGGGAGAGTGTAAGTGGAATTGGTGTTGCATTTCGGACTGATTGAGCTTGCGTCTTTCCGTTAGCATTCGTGTGGTAGCGAATCAAAGCATCTATCTTATGTACGGGGAAGTTTTGTTCTTGCTGGTGTGGAACAATTAGATTGTTTTGTTGCCTTCGAGCGACAGGTTTTGCCTCAGGCCACAACTCTCTTTTTTTTTTTTTTCTGGAGATGCCTTCCGTCCTCCCCGCAGCTGCTTCCATCTGATGTGGTTGTGCCCTTGGGGCTGGTCTGACTCGAGATGATACAGATGATTTCTTTCGCCACGCTTGAAACCCTGAGTGACTGCTCGTTGTTCCAGACGAGGGTTAAGCCCTCATCCACAGAAGCAGCTAGTTTTGATCACAAGGTGGGCTGCTTAACAATTCTGGTGATATTTATGCGAAATAGCACTTTATCTAAGCGTTGGTGTCCTTTCACATGTCAGGAACTGCCGTCAATGGCCACTGGACAGGAGTCGGTGATACGGGAGACCATGCGTCCATTTTCCGTTACTTGGGCTAACTGGAGGTCTGGAAATCTGCCCGTGAGTCTTGAGCGGCTGCGCGCTGCAAGCCGGGCCTAGGGTGGGGCATGGACCCCTGGACGGAACCCTGAGCTTTTGGGGACGGAATTTGCATCTGATTCGGCGATAAAAGCACTTTCTGCAGATTTCTCAAGAGGTTAAAAAGCAGCCATCTGCTGCTGCATATTCGTGCAGACAGAATTCAGTCCAATTGCCCGTTGACTGCATTGACTTCGGCGGAGACAACAGCCCGACCCGGTACTGAGGCGCGCCGACTCCGAGCGAAATCCCGCTGCGTGCCTGTTTCTGCTCGCTGGGATCGCTCGTCTACTGCAGTCCCAAACCCTCAGTGGCCCACTGCAGGGCAAGCAGCGAAGCCGCAGCCAGCAGCCAACAGCCAGCAGTCAGGGCAGCGCTCCTGTCTCAACAAAAACCTCGAACCCGCTCCCGCTGGCCGCGTGGGATGTGCTGTGGGACTGGCAGCCGCTGTGGCCTCCACCATACCCAGACCACGTAAGGGACACTCGCTGCTCGCCTCGCTTGCGTGCTCTCCGACCAGCTCTCCAGCCTACCTCTGCCCTTTGGCTGCCGAAAGGCATTGCATGCGCTGTCACCCGTCACCGCCGCACAACCTCCTTTTTCTTTCAACTTTTGCACTTTTTTTCTGTTTCTCTGTTTCATTTTTCTACCTAGAACTGAACCCTACATAAAACAGCCTGCATCTCCCTAGAAGGACGTCCATATACACTAGACAACTGCCGACTTAAGAACCCCATAATCGACAACATTCCGCTGTCCCTGTCCCGTGCCCGGCCGATTCGACGCCGACGATTACTCCCCCTTTCTCTGCCGTTCGAACATTCCCTGCCCGCGCAGAGCCTGGCGCCGAGATGATCGGCGGTTTGAAGCGTTCGCTGGGTCGAATTTTGGAAAACATGGCGCCCAGCAGCTATAGTAAGGGCCCCGGCCCCTTTGACGTTTACTCCTTTTTCGCAGAGATTCTGGAGCGCGCATCGAGGGAAATGGAGTCGTCGAGGCCCTACGCTGACACTGCGCAGACAAGGCGGCCGCCGAGTGCGTCTCAGATGACGCGCTAATTCACCTCAAGAGCTACAAATACTCTGCTGTCGACAAGTCGCCAATATCCAACTATGTCATGAGGCATTATGTACGCTGCCGCTGCCGCTGCCCTGCCCCGCCCCCGCACCCGCCCTGGACGGTGTGAACATGTGAACAGATGCTGAGACTAGCTTGCCAGTGGAACGCCTTCGTCGAGCTGCTCCCCCTCTGGATCGCCCCCAACATGGTCACGCTCATGGGGTTCATGTGCATCCTATGTAATGTCGGCGTGTTGGTGGTTATGATGCCGGACCTTGAGGGACCGGTGAGTGCCGCCAACATGCTCCTGTCAAGAAAGATCACCCCCTGACCTGTTTCCTCCTCGCAGGCCCCGTCATGGGTCTACTACAGCTTCGCTCTCGGTCTCTTCATGTACCAAACTCTCGACAATGTCGACGGCAAGCAGGCTCGCCGCACCGGAACCTCGTCCGGTCTGGGTGAGCTCTTCGACCACGGCATCGACTCGCTCAATTGCACACTCGCCTCGCTGCTCGAAACTGCTACACTCGGTCTCGGTACCTCGAAGGCGGGCATCTTCACAGCTCTCGCCCCGACCCTGCCCATGTTCTTCTCTACCTGGGAGACCTACCACACGCACACGCTTTACCTGGGCTACATCAACGGTCCGACCGAGGGCATCCTGCTCGCCTGCCTGATGATGCTCATCTCCGGCTACTACGGGCCCGGCGTCTGGTCGCAGCCCCTCCGCGAGCTTCCTGTCGCCACAATCCTCCACTTTTTCGGCCTCTCCGACTCTATCCTGCGCGACATCTCCTTCATCGACATCTGGGTCTGGTTCCTGGGTCTCTCCGTCCTCCTTACCCATGTGCCCTTCTGCGTCTACCACGTCGTTGAAGCGCGCCTCTCCCGCGGTCAAGACATCCTCCCTGTCTTCCTCGAGTGGACCCCGATGGCCGTCTTCATCCTCTCCTCCTTCGCCTGGCTCTACTCTCCCTACTCGACCCTCGCCAAGGAAAACCACCTCGTCCTCTTCTGCATCGTAATGGCCTTCGTCTTCGGCCGCATGACCACCAAGATGATCCTGGCGCACCTCACCCGCCAGCCGTTTCCCTTCTGGACCGTCATGCTCTGGCCTTTGGTTGGCGGCGCTGTGCTCGCCAACCTGCCATATTTTGGCCTTCCGGCGGTCTCGGCGGCGGTCGAGTACTGGTATCTGGTGGGATACTGCGTGTTTGCGGCGGTCGTGTACTTCCAGTGGGCGTGGCTGGTGACGACGAGCATTTGTCGATTTTTGGGAATTAACTGTCTGACGATACCTGCGGAGAAGCAGAGGGAGTTGATGGCGCAACAGGCGAGGAGGAAGAAGGAGGGGATTTTGGGCGGCGAGGGGCCGGTTATGGGCAATGGGAGGAAGGCGGATTAAGGGGCAGGTAGATAGGGGTTGAAGGACCTAAAGGAAAGGGATAGGTAATGAGGCTGAGAAACAGCCCTAAAAGGAGGGAAAGAGAGTGAGAGTGAGAGTGAGAGTGAGAGTGAGCACGGGATCATACCATCAACTGGAGATACCCTTTTCCTCGGAATAAGAAACGAGGAATCATGCATGAGCAAGCCGGATTTATCTTTTTCTTCGACTGGCATCTTTGGCTCCCGCTTGGCTTGGTCTGGTCATGATGACATGAGACAATCGCCCAAAAAAAGGGAAGAGAAGAGGGATCAAGAGGAAAAGAAGGAAAGCTAATGGAAAGATCTTTTGGGTGGCTTGGCTTTGGCATTGCATCGCGGGCGGATGGGATGGCTGCTAAGGCGTTGATTCACAATGTGGGAGGTTTATGCTTTGGGAACGATTGATGATGATGATGATGATGACGATGATGATGACGATGGCGACAGCGTCACGACCGCCATGGGGGTGTGGGCGCGGGAGAGCGGTGTGTTTTACGTTGCTTACCTACCTAACTTGCCTAAAGTGACTTTAACTGCTTAGACATATATAACTGATTGGACTTAATTACATAACTATTCACATATACCTAATTTATTTTGTGGTGTAAGAAGAGTGAAAGTGCGAATGGGGCAGCCTGTGGAAGTATAATAGAGAGGCTTAATCAGGAAGTCAATGGTCAGCACGTTGAGATTCGACATTTTTCAGCACAGTAATCATGAAATATTTAAGAAACGGTTCACATAAAAGTCGTGTCATTTTATACCGATTTCCTCATTTACAACCCTATGATCTCCAGAGCTCTACTCTCAGCGCCTAACTCTCTCCCAGACTACAACTCATCCCTTACCCTATCCCCCTCTTCCCCCTCCTGCTTCTCCCCCTTAACCCCCAAAAAACCCTCCAGATCCATCCACTCCGCCACGAACCCCCCCACAATCCTAGCCCAATCCCTTACCGTCCCCAAATCCAGATGCTCTCCGTCATCTTCCATCGTATGCCACACTTTCGGAAAGGGCATCGGTATCAAGTGCAGCACGTTCACCCCCTCTTAAGGAAAGGCATATGGTCGTCCTCCACATAACCTCTTACTACCCTCGGGTCACGGTCCCGGTCAGGGAGGAAGGGGGTTCGGGGGGAGGATTCGAGGAGGTTTAGCTTGCGAAGGCGGGATTCTAAGTTGGAGAGGGAAAGGTAATGCACGTGGGAGTGGAGGAAGTAGGAGGGGATGGTGGGGGAGGGGGAGCCGAGAAGGTCGAGAAGGAGGAGAAGGGAGATGGAAGAGAGGGGGGTTGGATATTTAGAGCCGGAGGGATAGGGGAGGGAGGACCAGGTTGAGGCGAGGGCTCTAAAAGGGGGAGGGGGGGTTGAAGTTAGATATCAGTATATAGGGAAGAAAGAAAGTCGGGAGGGGGGGGGGGAAAACAAGAACGTACCGTGATCCGTAAAGGCTATCCTCAGCGCTCCATTTCAACCACGCCTCCTCCCCATCAAACAAAATAATCTGCAGCCCCTTCTCCTCCTCTTCGTAATCATCATCCTCATCCTCAAGACCGTCCCATCCTTCAGCTGCCCTCTGTTCCCTTACCCTCGCCATGGCCTCCCACTTCCTCGTCAACGCCTCGTCGACCGCCTTCGCGGCATACAACACCAGGGCACACGGCACAGCGCTATCAATCGCCCCGATGAACCCCTCCGGCTTATAGAGACTATCATAATGCGCTGCCAGCGTCAACCGAGCAACATCCCCTTCACTCTTCAGCCTCTTCCCCTTTACCGCTTCGCTCCCCCCATATTGCTCTGGGGTAATTATTCCTGGCAGATAGGGCTTCACCCAGGGAGGATCCCTCCTCAGGACCAGATTCGCAAACGGCACTCTGACTCCCTTCCCATGGATCGGCGTCTCGGCGGTCGTGTTGTGCCATTCGATGCGCCAGCTGGGATGCAGGTTCTTTTGCACCCAGGAGACGAAATGGTGCTGAACGGCGGCATGGCCTGGCGTGCCGGGCACGCGGGGACGGAGGATGGGGGAAAGGAGGGCGGAGGCGAGAGGGTCGAAATCGGGGTCGGGGTCTCTGGGGGTGTTTTTGAAAGGGGGGAGGAGGGTGAGAGCGTGGTCGGAGAGGGGGGTGTAGGCTAAGGTAGGGAGGGTTAAGAGAGATAAGAGTAGGGGCTTCATTAGTGGGAATGTTTAAGTCAGGATGGAGGGGTGTGTGTGTGTGTGTGTGTGTGTGTGTGTGTGTGTGGTGTGTGTGTGTAAAGGGAGAAAGGAGTGAGAGGGCCCGAGGGGCGAGGGGGAGACGATTAGCAGTCTAGGTGAGGACCAACGAGGAGTCGTTGACTTTGGGTTGTTACAATTCCTAATCGAATCATCAGTTGAGATTAAAAGAATGTCAAAATGTCATTTTACGAGCTCAAATAAACAAGATATACAAATGCAGGGTGCTCAATGGTGAGTCCCAAGCTTGGTGGTGTTTGTTCAAAGGCTCAAGCTGTCCTCACGGTCCTTGGCGTTGCCAACAAGCAACAACCCTAACCCTCCCTCGATACCACCAGGGCCCACCAAACTCTGGAGAAGTGGACCACGGCCCGTGATCGCGGGACGGTAAACTTTGGCAGTTTGCCCCACTTGAGCTCTAAGCTGATCTGGCGCCTGTATCGCCTGTTCCTCTGACTTCTAGGTCCATGTGTTCATGCTCCGGCTCTGTGCCGCTTGGCCCTTGAAACATCCATTGCAACGCTGCTGTTTCCCCTAATTTCCACTTTTCTTACCCAAGCGACGCAGTTTGTTTCTCCTTGAGTTCATCTCCAAGTCAGCATACTTCCAATTGCCATCACCAGCGGACACCTGTCGTCACTTACCATCGCTGCTCTTTACACGAGGCTCAGCTCGAGAAGCGCATCAACTCACACGTCTCACCCCGACAATTACACGACTGCGAACAACCAGCGTTCCCCCCCATCGCAACGCCTCCATGGCCTGAATGGCGACATCAACACCTGCCCAGCAAATACATCCCGCTTCCTCAGACCAGCGCGACCCGCGCGACAATGAGGGCGACACGCCGACACCGGTAGCCAGCGCAGCCAGCGCCTATGAACAGCGCGAGGCTGACGACCGCCCACCTCTCTTCCCAGACGACATCTCTGACAATGCCTCGCTGCCATCAATCCCATCCGATGCGCGGTCAAACCAGCAATCCTCTCCAACAGATGAGGCCGTCCCGCCGTACTGGTCCCAGCCGCAAGATACCCAGATACAAGGCGTCCTATCTCCAGGCCGGGCGCGCGCCGTGTCGAGCGCTTCAGCCGAGTCTGACTTGCCAGGGGTTATTACGCTGCAAGACAACGAACAAGAGTACGATGACGAGGATGATGCTGAGGATGCTCGAAGAGCGACCCAGCTCCAACACGGCCGCGACCGCAACCGCGCCTGCTGGGCGCGCAGCGTCGAGGTGACGGACTACGTGCTGGTCAACAGCGGGGCAACTAACATCGGGGCGTTTGTGGTGTGGAACATCAGAGTGGAAACCATGAACGGAACCAAGATGAACATACGCAAGCGGTACTCGGAATTTGATGTCCTGCGCCGCAGGCTGATTCAGACGTTCCCCAACTTTGAGGCGGCCGTGCCGGCGCTGCCGCCGAAGAGCGTGCTCAAGAAATTTCAGCCTAGGTTTTTGGAGAAGAGGAGGGTGGGGTTGCAGTATTTTTTGAAGTAGGTCCTCCTCAACTTGAAGTGTTGAGACAGGGGCATGCAGCATGCTAACTGAGCCAGCTGTATTCTGCTTAACCCTGAGTTTTCGGGGTCGCCCGTGCTCAAGGAGTTTCTGTTCTCATAAATGAGCGGAAGGGCGGATACGGATACAATGAAGTTTTACGAAGTCACGAAGCAAGCGTTTATGCCACGTAATGATAATTTTGGATAATGGGCGCAGCATGATGGGCAAGGCAGTGCTTATGCTGTTGGCGATGGTAATTATGTACTGGTTTGGGAATTCTTCACAGCCGGGCCTGGCCACGATGGATGGATGGCTGGTAGTAGGATCACGCTAACTAGGGTCACTCAATGGCCAACTCGGGAGTAAGCCACGCTTTGGATCGGATCTCGCGAGCGAACTAACTCAAACTTGATGATGTAACGGTTATATCACGGCAATGCGTGTGCGAGTTGGCATGATTAGGTTGACATCCTCGATCTGCTTGTTATTCTCATCTGGGTCAAGACGAGAATGACAACGAGACGAGGCTGTGTGACTAACCCAAGCCACGGCATCACCATCACTAGCCACCAGTCAACGCCATAGTTAACGCCACAGCCACGTCCATCAGGATCACCTCATGCACTCACCTGCCCCTCCAGCCAATTAACGAACAGTCCCTCCACACAGCTGCACACGGCGAAAGCTGGCTTCCATGGCCCCGCTGTGGGTCTTGTAGTGGACCATCCCCCAAAGCTAAGCTTTTTGGGCTACTAACTAGCCACTTTGCTGTCGTAAGCCAAGATTTTTTTTTTGCCGATCGTTCCTAACGTCTGCGCCTTGGTCTTAGTCCTGCCATGCGACTATGGTAAAAATTCCTAGACATATTTGCTTTGTTTTGAGTGATCACTCACAAGACTGACCGGTTCAGCCAATGGACGGACGGCCGGGTTTTGCCGAGCGATAGTTGAGGTTGCACACGGGGTAAAGGGTTACAGGTTACTGCTGCTGAAGTGGGATGTGCGTAGGTCCTTGCTTACATGTGCGGTGTTCATATCCTGTTCAGGTTTTTTTTTTTTAATTGGGGTGTCGGGTGATAGTTAGAAGATAGAGAGGGGTTGGTTCCGAGCTTCCAGGTTGGGCTGCTCAACTCTAACTTTTTAACTCTACCTAGCAGGTATCTTTTTTTTTCTGCCCTTTTGGTCGTCTTCATCCCGTACTGATGTCGCGTTGTTGAGTACCTAAATAGATTTAGGACGGTTCATCTGAACTAGAGTTTGCCAGGATCGCCATCTCATCTACCAGCTGTTCCAAACAAACTTCAAAAAGGCGTTCACAGCCAAGCTGTTGGTCTCTCTAAGCAGTAACCAACGCTTCCTCCAACTGCCGACGTACCACGTACCAGCGCTTTAAACAGTATCCAAGACTAAACGCTTCACCAGCATGCCTCCGGGAGCAGAACTTCCCGCCCTAACCCTCCGAACGGGCAGCGCCGACCTCGCCCGTCCTCTCCCCCAGCGCTCTACCGACCCGGTTGTCTCGTCGCGCAGCCGCCAGGAATATCTTGATTCTCTCGTTGTGCCAACAAAGGAAGAGTTCGACAAGATTGCCGAGAAACAGGCTCAACGCGAGGCAGACTACAAGCGTCAACGTCGCGAACAGCGTCGCAGTCTAGAAGCTGCCGCTATTCAGTCAGCGCCGTCGTCGGCCAGGCCTGGAACGGCGTCAAGCCAGCAACAACAACGACCAACTACCCACCAGAGTGATGGTCACGGTAGTCATAACCATAAGCGCTTCTCTTCTCTGATCAGCACCTTGAGCCGACACAGCTACGAAGAAGAGAATGCAATCCGGGAGGAGGCCGCGACAATTATCCAGCGGAATTACAGAGGTTACCGTACGCGCCGCGAACTCCAGGGCTTGACGATAAGTGCGTCGAGTCGATGGATGCATACCATTCGTGAGGCGCAGTGGCGGGAGGTGCTCGCGCCGAGACCGAGGAGTAGTATCGAGCAGGAGGGATTATCGAGCGCGAGAATGAATTGGAAGAAGGCGACGGCTGTGGCGAGGCATGCCGGGGGTGTAGATAGGGTTGTGGAGGACGAAGACAAGAACGAGAATTCCTCGATCTCGTCTTCATCCTCCTCCTCGTCATCATCTTCGTTGTCGTCGTCGTCGTCGTCGTCGTCGTCGTCTTCATCTTCCGACTCGAAGGAAGGACTGCGCAACAAAATAAAGAAAAAGGTCAAATTCCAGAGATATAAACACAGGAAGAGCACGCGTAAGCAGAACCCCCCCGTCGAACCCCCCGACCCACGACCCATGGCCCTCCAATACTTCCTCGAAATGGTCGACCAGCGCCACCGCTACGGCGCCAACCTCCTGCTCTACCATGCCGTCTGGAAAGCCTCCGCCACCAACGAAAACTTCTTTTACTGGCTCGACGAAGGAGAAGGGAGAACCGTTAACCTCGATGTCTGCCCTCGTTCTCGCCTCAATCGCGAGTGCGTGCGCTACCTCTCCCCAGAAGAACGCAAGTACTACCTCGTCACTGTGGACAACCAAGGCCGTCTCTGCTGGGCCAAAAACGGCGAAAGAATCGATACGTCCACGCACTACCGCGACTCTATATATGGCATCGTCCCTAAGGACGATCCAACTCCGGCATGGAAGCCCCCTGGCGTAGAGGACACACTCTCCCCATCGACCACGAACCCCTCCTCCCGCCGCTCCTCAACCTCTTCCTCCTCCTGGTCCTCTGCCTCCTTCTCCCCTCTCTCCACAACCTCCTCCTTCTCCGCGACAGCAGTAACCCGCTACCCGCCCGGTTCCTCCACCCTCCCTCCCGTAATCTCCTCCCCCACACCCCTCTCCACCAACCCCCCCTCTCCAACATCCGCCCGCCACTTCAACCCCCTAACCAACCTCAAGCCCTACCTCTCCCCAACCGCAATATTAACCACGTTACTAAGACACACAATCCGCCCCAACACCTGGATCTTCGTCCTAACTCCGAAGACATCCCCCCCACAACTCTACATCTCCCTCAAATCTCCCGGCACATTCCAGCACTCCTCCTTCCTCTCCGGCGGACCCACGGCCGCCGCAGGCCTCATTCGGGTCCGCGACGGATATATCACCCATCTGTCACCACTAAGCGGACACTACCGGCCGCCGGCGAGCGAGATGAAGTGGGTCGTTAGGGTGTTGAGAGAAGAGATGGGGGTTGATTTGAGACGGGTGAGGTTCAAAGGGAAGGGGTATGTGTTGTTGAGGGGATTGGAGGGGTATGAAGAGGTGAAGAGGAAGGGGCGGGAGTTGAAGGGGAAGCTGGGATGGGGCAAAACCGGGGAGGGGAAGGAGGATAAGAAGAAGATGAACAGGGGGTCAGGTGAGGTAGATTTGGCTTAGTTTGGTTGGTTTCTTTCAGTAATATGGTTGGTTGATATGTAATGTGTTAGTATCGGGCTTCAAGACATGAGCAAGGTATAGAAGCATGGAGATACCAGCGGTTAATTAATTTTGGTTTGGAGAATCTCGATTCAATGGTGTAATTGCAGTTATCAATGTGCTATTGCTCCATGAACACTGAGTCACATCTCATGACCATGGCATGATCATTGTCCCTAAGGACTCTCTTCCACATCACTGGCGTCAAAACTGAACCTTGGCTTTGTAACATATAAAAGAGTGGCTCTTTTTTTTTTTTTTAATAACCCCTCCCCTTTTTTGACCTCCTTTTGCCAACAATAACCTCTAACTCTATAGATCCTTTCGCACCATGATAAGAAGTTCGGAAATAACACACTCCAGCCTAAACCAAGCCATCATAAACTCAATTGTCATAAAACCCTACCCAAGTCATCCTATCCCCAAACATAACAAGCTTTTGATAACCTAAGTAAGAATAGCACAGGGAAAAAAGTAAAATGAGAATGATAACACACTTTGAAGCAAACATAACAGGAAAAAAAACAAAGAAAAACTAAGAACCTCAAACATAGTGGCCACTTGACCTCTCTTTACCTCTCTTCCCTGTTGCTCAACCCTCCTCATACATGCCCCAATGCAACCCCATCCGGCGACGGCTCACTCTTACTCTTCACCCTCCTCGAAAGATACCTAGGATACTTCAACCCCCCACTGTCGTTATCTCTCGGACCAGGCCCCAACAACCCCTCCCCATCCGAAACGTCACCATCTTCATCCCCCACATCCTCAACCCTCCGTCCCGTCACCTTGTCGTGCTCCTCCTCTGCTCTGACAGCCCTTGACAAAGAAAGAAACCCCATGCTCGATCCCGCCGCAGACGTATATGAAATCATCCCTCCCGAAGGGGTCGAATGGAAAACAGTGTACTGCCCCTGTCCCGACACCGGGACCGACGCCGCAGCAGGCACGACAAAGACCTGCCCCGATGGTTGTGTTGGCCCCGTAATGAACTGAACATGCTGTGAAAGCTGCCCCTGCGGTCCAACAACGCTCTGATACCCCATCTGAGGCGTCGGTGGTGGCGGGGGTGGGGGGAAGGCATGCACCAGTCCCGCCGCAGCACCGTCTTCGTCATACCATCCATCCATTGACCGGTTCAGGGCGTGCATGGCCGCCGCAGCCGGAGTCGAAGTCAGGTTTCCCCTCGTCGCCATTGTCGTCGTGGGATTTGGTTGTATCGAATCCGCTGTCGCAGTAGCCGTCACACCGATCGGAGAAAACGGTGTCGCGCTGGCTGACAAGACTCCATACCCACGAGCGGAACGCGGCGTGAACTCTGGCGCGCCGGGATTAAGTTGTGAAGAGCCCTTGAGTTTTGCGGAAAGGGCACAGGTTAGAAAAATAAACGGACACACATGGCGCTAGGACCGGGTCAAAGTATGTAATGTATGCTTTGTGTTGACGTGTTGTGTTGATAACTATACACTCATTTCTTTGACGGGTCTCTAGCTCATACCTCTTTCTTGTGATTGGTAGACGCAGCAGTGTTGCCATTGTTGACCTTGGCAGTGCCGTTTCCAGGTTTAGTGTTGGGCTGTTCGCTGTTCTTAGCTACGCCATTCGCAGAGTTGCTGGCTTCGCCGTTGATGATGCTGGACTTGACCTTCGCCAACTCGGTCTTGGCCTTTTCAGGGGTCAAGTCATTGACAATGCTGGAGGTGGACTCGTCATCGGTGCTCTGGTCGCGGTTCTTGGACTTGATGAAGACCTGCTTAGACCACAGGTCTGCATACTTGCCGTTGGCGCGAATCAGCTCCTCGTGGTTGCCCTGCTCAACGATCTCGCCGTCCTTCACGACTATGATGCGGTCCGCATTCATGATAGTCGACAGGCGGTGACTAAAGAATTAGCTTGAACCACAGCAATGGAGGGGAAAAAAAAAAGCGCATACGCAACAATAAACGTGGTGCGGCCCTCACAAAGCTTTCGCAGAGCCTCCTGGATCTTCTGCTCAGTCTCGGTGTCGACCGCACTGGTGGCCTCATCCAACAGCACGATGGCCGGCTTCTTCAGGATAGCCCTGGCAATCGCAACGCGCTGTAGTTCGCCACCGGAAATCTTGACGCCGCGCTCGCCAACCCTGGTTTGGTAGCCTGCTGTTGTCAGCTTTGCTCTTGAGCCTGAATCTCACCTCCACGAGGGGACATACCATCGGTGAACTTGAGGATCTGCTCGTGGATGCAGGCTGCCTTACACGCCTCATATACCTCCTCGTCAGTAGCCGTGAGCTTCGCGTAGCGCACATTGTTGATGATGGTGTCGTCGAACAGGATCGGGTTCTGCGGCACGACACCAATTTGTGCGCGGAGGCTGAATTGTCAGTACTCTCTCCCGTCTTGAGGTACGGTACAACTTACCTATGCAGATCGACATCGCGGATATCCTGCCCATCAATGCTAATTCTGCCTTTGGTGACATCGTAAAACCGATCCAAAAGCTTGAGGATGGTCGATTTGCCGGCGCCAGTGGCTCCGACAAACGCAACCGTCATTCCCGGCTCTGCCCTGAAGTTGATATCCTTCAGGATTTCTTTCTTGCCATCATACGAGAAGTGCACACCCTCGAAGCGCACCTCGCCCCCGTGGAACTGCAACGGCGGTGCCCCATGCTTGCTGACGATAGTCGGCTTAGTCTGCATGATCTCCAGCAACTGCTCGGCCTGCAGTAAATCCCTTGAAATACTGCGACCCAAGCTCGCAAAGAAGGTCAAAGGTGACACCAGTTGCGCCCAGTATGTCAGCAGCATAATAAACTGACCGGCAGTTGCCTGGCCGTGGGTGATTTGATAGACAGCAAGGAAGGCGCCCGCGATAAGACCGGAGAGCAAAACCAGAAACTGGAGGGCGTAAGTCAGGATATAGCCGAAGTATACCTTCTGGGTCTTCTCTACGCGATCCCTGACTGCAGCCGAGTAACGGTCCTCTTCGTGGCTGATCTGGTTGAAGCTAGCAACGGTCGACCAGCCCTGAATACCGGCCTGGCGGACGTAATGCTCGCGGTACCACGCGCTCACTTCGCTCCTACGTGCGTTCTTCAGCCCCGAAATCATGCGCGTGGCAATATACATGAAGACAACAGCCGTGGCAATGGTAATAAACCCTTCGTATGGGCCCAGCATCGCCGAGAGATAGACAAAGGCGACAGTCATGTCAATGAACATCGGAACTGCCCGGAAGCAGACCGACTCGAGAATGTTGGAGATGCTCTGACCGCACTGGATGGCCATCATGATGTCCGAGGAGCTCTTGGAGTCGTGAAAGTCCGAGGAGAGGTTCAACACATGCGAGTAAGCCGCTGTGCTCAAGGCGCCAAAGGTGTAATACTCGACCGGGATCCAGAGCCATTGGCGCAGCAGCGAAATTCCCGCCTCAGAAGCGACCAGCTTCAAGCCGGCAAAGATTGAGACCTCAATCCAGGGGTTCTTATTGTTCTGACCCGTCAAGCTATCTTGGATGATACCCATCTGGCGTGGAATCAAGAGGTTAAGGAAATTAGATGCCAGCAGGCAGAGTCCAACGAGCACAACACGGACCTGAAGCTCCCTGTTGTTCACTGGCCAAATGTATGGGAAGAAGATCTGGAGTTCCAACTTGTTAGTGCATACCATCACTCATACACACAGTCCACAGAGGCTCTAGGATGGTACGTACCACAAGGTAGCCCTTGGCATATGTGAGCCAGTTGCCGTTTTCCTTAAGCCGCTTCTCCATTCGCTTACTAGCTTTCTTTTGGCGACTAGCCCAAGGGTTCTCATCGTCATCGCTATCCGAGTCGCTGTCACTGTCATTGCTTGAGCCGCTCGTGGTCCCATAGCTGTCCTGGTTGCGTCCAGCCTGACCGTCGACATCGGCTTCATTGACGCTACCATTGGCCCTCAGTAGGCTCTGTCGCTCCGAGTCGGTGGCTTGTTCCGGCTTAGCAGCGCGGTTTCCCATGTAATATAACGCAAAAGCGGACGCGGCAGCGAGGTATCTGACTGTGACAACCAAAATCTCAAAGATTTCCGCCCACTCAAGAGACTCTGGAGACCGGGTGACCCAGGATACGACCTGAACGACGGGCTCGAAGATGAGAGCCACTGCAAAGGTGCCAGTGTAAGGGTACCAGACGGGATGTTTAGAGTCGACAAGCCCGGCAAAGACCACACCATAGGCCAGAGCGCACGAGAGGAGGCTGATGACCATGTCTTGATCAGCGATCGGGAACTCGTGCAGCGCCAAGCCCCTGGTTCCGAGAGCAAGAAGCTCAGAGAAGTATGTGAGAATGATCGAGGCGAGCAGCCAGGTGATGACCCGACGACGAGGATGCTGCTGCTTTGAGATCTTTGTCTGCAAGGTACAGATGGCGAAGCTGCTGGCTGACATGTAGTAGAGGAAGATGATGGCAGGGTAGGCATAATGGAGTACTGAGAGCATCCGGCGAAGGGGAGCCTTAACCGACGCTACGTCGGCCATGTCGTCGATCGCTCTTGGGTCTAACATTGTGAACTGTCAGTCACCAATTGGTGAGATATGATTGCTAGTTGTTGTCGTCAGGGACCGACCAAGTTTCAGGGGATGCCGCTGACCGATTTTGGGATAGGTATTAAATATCGAAATATAGCGAACCAAGACTTTTTTGATTGGCGAGTCGAACCCAGGTACATCCGAAACCTATCTCCAAGTGCCTGAAGTTAGGCTGCTTAGCCAAATCGTTCGGCACCAGTTCCTATAGGTCCTCCGAATGATGGATCGTGCTTCCTGAAGTTTTGGACTGTTGTCAGTGTTTTGTTGTGGAGGATACCCGTACCTGCAGTGGCTTTAACCCATAGAGAGTTAGTATCCGTCCGTTGCTACGGCAAGCTCTACAACACGTCGCTACCCGCGCGTGTGGTAAATACCTACCTATGAGCCCCGTACTTGACAGTTTTGCGGCCTCTGCGCAGTTGCCGCGACAAACAATAACCCACGCTATCGGGGTCGACTTGTTCTGCCCAGAACTAATATCACAACAGCAATTAGTAGTTGCCCCTTCCTCCCTAGTCAGTTGGGCTCTTATCAGTGGCACAATTCTCGCATTCTTCCCGGAATGACAGCCGCCCAAAGCCTTTCCCGTACTTACCTGCTTCACAAGGGATGAAGATGTTTCTATCAGATAATTTGGAATATAAGAGAAGGACTCAGCCCTTAGATTTTGGATGTTGGCCTAAGTTCAAACCCTAACACTGCCGGAGACAGCAAAGGTCCACACCAAGATGCAAACTCTCTCTTAAGAACCTCATCTATGCAGATGTTGGAAGTAAGACCTTCACAGGAGCATCCAGTGTTAGCTCGCTCCTAAATGATGACATCTGACCCTGGCATACACAAAGGGTTCACAAGCCTTCTCGTTGTGTCACTCTCTAAGCCAGAGTACAGGTCTGGTTGGGATCACAACGAAAACACAAATGTCGTGACCAGCTTTGAGGGCTGCTTTTGTCCCTTATACCTTTAAGTCCCCTAGGAGTCTGTCAGCTGCCTGGATTTTTGAATCGGCCCGCACATATGACACTAAACCTTTTGATTCGAAGTCTGACAGGGAACCAAACTACACTTTGCAAAGAGTATGTAGGTAATGATTTATCTCCCCCCCCTCCCTTGTTTTTTGGATGAGGGCATCACCGACTCCTCAACTGGCCCCCGAGATGTTTGCAAGGAGTGTCGATACAAATAAGTATAAACCAACAAGCGCAAAAGAGAGGGGATTAACAAGCAGCACAACTTTAAGGAATATCAAGTAAAGGGTCTAGTCCAAACTGTCGGTAAGCTGCAAACGTCACATGTGATCTATCTCCAAAGAATGAAGCTTACCCTAACCGTGATCTGGAGCTGCTCACCCACATAACCCCCTCAAGCATTCATCCCCGAGGACCAAGTCTGCAGGAGACATGGAAAACGACAGATCTCCTGAGAACATGACACTTATGTAGATAGTCTTTTCCAAATATCGAACGACGATGAGAGCACCAGCATGATTTCTCATACCATCCACCAACCGGCCACGCCGATCCTATAATTATAGCATTGCCTTACTTCTTCACACCTCAGAGATCTTTTGCCTTCTCTGACAAATGAAGAGGCATATCCGTACCCTCACCAACAAATTGTGACTTCTGAGACAAACAAGTACTTGTCACTAACATAGAGAGGTAGCCCTCTAATCCTTGTTATCTTGCCTAGAGGAATTTTCGAAGTATACTTCCGTGGAATACGGATACTCGATGTTTAGCTTTCCGCTACCGCAAGTAAGGTTCTCGGCAAAGATATTATAGCAATGATAAGGCACTCCACAGCTGAAATGACAGACCGTCGAGCACATGTGGCTGTCTACAAGGGTGTGCTACATTGGGCCAAGGCAGTGTTGGGGAGCCTCTCTAGCGGCGAGTGATCTCAGACGAAGATAGGCCGTGTAAAAATTTTTTTTTGCACGAGCTTCGTAAACTACGCGTGGCAAACATGAGTTGTCGTATTTCTAACTCTCAGAATATCTTACCACCCATACCTATGTTCATCCGTGTAGGAAGAAGTTACCGGCTTCTGATGGCGACTTATACGAGGCAGTTTACACAGTACAGCGTGTTGAGGAGGCGCGGGGGGAGGGGGGGGGAGGAGGGGCTGTTGGGTTGGGGTCAAAAAATCCAGCTCTCGACAGCTAAGCGGCTGTTTTAAATATCCTTTACCCGGAATAACCTCAATTGACCAATCCAAATCGTTTTTCTTCTACACAATAGATAGGTGGGTAGCCATGACGCCTATCGGCATTTTGTGTCAGGAAAACGAGCCAAACGGAACGGTACCGTTGAAATCCAGCTACTGCAAGAGACGGGCGACTGAGTAACAATCCCCATCTTGCAGGTAGGTAGCTCATGTCATCTTGGCCTAATAGTATGTATGTATGTAAATCCTAAATTGCGTCACCCAAGGGATAACAACATGCGCGTGCCGCCAGGCTTTCGGTCTTGGGCGCAGCGTCACACATCGGAGCCGGGTGAGTTCCGCGATTCGGTCCCCTACCCACCACACCTGCTGCCGGCAGATGCGAGTTTTATCACCTTCGGTCTGTGAGTCCGAGACAAATTTGACAGGCGATTTGATCGCTTAAGTCCGACGTCAGAAGGCGCATGTCGTATGAAACACCGCAATGCCTGTTTGTGGCAGACCTTCCTGAACCTTGGGGGCTTGAGGGAGCCTGGGAAGAACACTGCTTGTAGCCACAGCCCCTGATCTTTCGAGCATGGTTACAAACACAGGTGGCAGCCGACTCAGGTGGTAAACGACCGCCAATACAAGGGCCCCCGTATGTGTTGGCATAGGATGAAAGCGCTGTTGGGAAGGGGGGGGGGCAGGCAGTTCTAGGACAAAAGAGAAACCTTTGAGAGGTCAAGTCGAAACCTTATTGCGATTCCTGATACTTGGAGTCGTCACCCCCTTTTTATCCCAAGCTTAGGGGCTAAAGTCCTGTGACAAAACCTGCTAGGGAATATAGGTAGTTTCGATCATCAGAGATCATCAAGTATCCATGGGGGTATGGTCTAGTGGTATGATTTCTGTTTTGCACTGGTCCATCCATCAAGCATTACAGAAGGTCCCGTGTTCGATCCACGGTGCCTCCATCCCGGGATATTTTTTTTCCCCTTAACTTCAAGCAGCTATCCTGGTAATTTTCTTGCCTTCAAAAATCATATCTTCGCTTTCGTTTTCATATAGAATCGACTATTCAAGAGGCTGCGGCTAAGGGGCCTTGGCACTGAGGCTTCTGTTCTGTCTCGACAGTGGAACACCGTCCAGCTACCCACATCTAAGACTTCGGCTCCTAAGACTTCGGCTCTCTTCCAACCAAGAAAACCGTCAAGTCGATGTCATTGACCATCGGCTACCGACGATTCTCTCGGCGGATCGGTTGTTCATGTCGTCTGCCACTTTTGCGCCGACGCTGACTAGTTGATGTGATGCAAGCCTCCGGCTCAGCCCCACCAAAGAGTTCGTAGGGTTGACGCCCCGAAACTCACCCGTTGCATCTGTCTGTGACTTGATCACAGTCCGTATGTATGAGAGGGAAAGGAATTCCACGGACTGAATGTGGCTTTGCCAGAGAAAGTAAAATTTAGCGACTTATGAAGTCAAGAAGAAGTAAGACCTGAGTAAGTGCTTATGTAACAGCTTGTCAAGGGGTGCTTGTAACTCTAGGGTAGGCGAGTTGGTGAATCGGGATGGTCATCCGTCATTGGCAATGCATCGGGACTTGATGATCGAGATACTTTGAAGGATCCCATCAAAAGCAAAAATCCATGACCCTTCACCAGCCAAAAAGCCAGATGGATCACCAAGTTCCAATCATTCCACACAATCCTAAGACCGGGAAGAGAACCTCGTAAAATCTATCAAACCACCAACAACCCCCCCCCCCAAAAAACCCACACCCACTCAAGCCTCACTCTCCTCCCCCTCCCCTTCCCCGCCTCATCCTTCTTTTTTTTCTTTCCTCCTCCCTCAGCAGCCTCCTGACCTCCATCAACGCTTTCCCCAACAAATTCAGCCCCCACCTCTCCCTACCCACCTCCTCAGCCTTCCCGGCAGCAAACCCAATCCCCCAAATGCGATCCATCGGGCTCGCCTCCACAATCTCCCTGTCTCCTGTGCGCAGCAGCATCTCTCTGAGCGTATAACTTGTCGTGACAGTCCTGGTCCCCTCTTCGTTTTTCTCTCCTTCTTCGCCGGAAACAGTCTCAGTCACCTTCACAAACCAGCCACTCCCCTCGTCCCTGGCCACGGGATTCGTGAACTTGAGGATATTGCCCTTGAGCACGATGCGCTCGCGCTCGCGCCGCCAGATGGCTTCGTTGAAGTTCTTTACTTGGCGGCCCAGGGCTTTGACGTCGCGCGGGTGACGAGCGGAGAGGATGCGAGGGGCGATGGCGGTGTCGTTGAAGAGGAGGGCTTTTTGGTACATCATGTAGCTAGAGAGAGAAAAGGGGGTCAGGATAGGCGATACAAAAGTAAGCATGAGGGCAAGGGGGTGGGGGGGGGGAGGTCTGGATGTTGAGAGAGGTGAGGGAGATTGAGATCCCCTTCCGTAGGCAAGGAGGTTCATTTAAGACAAAGGGAGAAATAATGTGGTCATGGTAAAAGTTGAGGTGCCAAAGGGAAAATGAGACGTACTGCTCTGCAGTGGGATAAACCACGGACGGATCCTCAGGATCGAAGAAGGCACAATGGTACCATTGCGAGAAGCACCCTCCTTCAGGCTCTCTTTGCCGCCAGAAGTAAACCGGTGGGAGAGCTGGAGAAGTAGTTGATGAAGCCATTGTGTTTGATTGAGATGCAGGGGTTGATGATTCTTTAGGAGTTGTCTTTTTGCTTGTCGACGGAGCTGCCCGTTTCCTCGGACGGTGTGAAGGTTGAGTGGTAATGCTTTTTGGGGCCATAATAAACACAAAACTTGGACCGGGCCGATGATTTATGAGTTTTAGTTGAGAGATCCAACTGAGATGAATTCTATCTCTGATAAAACTCACACCTCTTAAAGCTAAGTGATTCATTGGATTCAGCTCATTGCCAAGGTGATGGTTGCCTAAACGAAGACTCACACCGAGAATTCATGTCGGTTGCTGAGCCCAGCGTCGCTTCACAGCCTTTCAGCCGCACAGCAGCTAGAAGGCCTCGCTCATTCCACACCATCGGAAAGGGATCTCGTCAATGAAGGGTATATTAGTATACCGATTTGCAAGCTTGCCAGCAAGAAGCGCCCGTCTTGCCCTTTCCCTTCTTTTTCTTTTCATACATGAAAGTAGATAGCCATACACGCAGTATACTTTTTGCTCCCATAAAAGCCCATCTCCAATGGAGCCCCCAGCAGAGTGGTGTGTGTGACGTTACGTTATCGCCGAAAGTTGAAATGAACCCCACCCCCTTCCAAATAAAAAAAAAAAAAAGAAACGCATTCGCTCCCTCTGCCTCTTCTATACCCTGAGATCAAACCGATGTAAAAACTCCCCGCCAGTCTTGACGCGGCTAAGATCCCCGGATGCCATATGATACAGTATGTATGGTCATAATAGAACACAGCAAATGAAAGGAACGCCGGTCAGCTCTCTCTGGAGTCAGACCACGGCGACATAAAAATACAAGTCATTGAAACAAGCTCAGATCCACTCGCGACCGCTCTTCTGCATCTCAATCAATCGCCAGCCTCTCGTCTCCGGGTTGTTCACGTCCTCGGCGATACGGGTCATGCCAATGGCGTAGGTGACCAGCTGCACCTTGTCCTCCATACCGGCCGCCAGCTGGTTGGTTTTAGCATTGCGGTAGACATGGACCTCCTGGGTCCGGCAGGTGACGATGAAGACGGGGATCTCGCCGGGGTCGAGGATGCGAGCGCGCAGGATGTCGACACCACGGATGTCGAGGATGCGGCCATCCGACTTGAGGCCGGCCTGCAGGTACTGCTTGGTCAGAGCCTCGTAGACGGAGAACTGGGCCTCGGAGAGCCAGAGCTTTAGCGTCTCGATGTCACCCTTGACGTAGGCGTCTAGCACCTCGGGCAGGATGTACTCGCGCAGCTCCTGAAGGAAGGACTCGAGCTTGAAGGACGGGTCCATCTGCCGCACCTTCTTGATGACCTGGGCCGTCTCGTTCTCAGCGAACCAGCTGGCAACCTTGTCGGTGATGCTCCGCGCCGTCTCGATCAGCGGATTGTCCGACTCGCGGTACACGTTCTTCATGTTGAAGAGACTCTGCACGAACTTGCTCGAGTCGCGGAACTCCCTCCAGGCTTCCTTCCAGGCGGCATCCTTGTGGACGGTCAGGCTAGTACCGGCACTGCGTAGTGTTAGCGTGGGTCAAACAGCCATAAAAAGGGTCGGAACATACTTAGGATCCTCCTGGAAGACCTGCGGGGCCTGGCCGCTCTCCTTGAGCATCTTCTCGCGCAGTTCCTTCTGCCTCCTGCGCTCCTCCTTGTCGGTCCAGCCGCCATAGCGGGAGCTGCTGCCGTCGTCAATGACGTTCTTGACATTCTTAAAGGCCTCCGTTTCGCGGATGGGCTTGGTGGCCTTGTCGAGCACCTCGCCGGTCTTGTTGGCACCCTTGCGCACGCCCTTCATAACGGGAGTCTCCCACACGGTCTTAGCACTCTTGCCGACAACGGCAGCAGTGGTCTTGACGACGGTGGCCGCGGTCTTGGAGACGACACCCGACGTGGCTTCGTAGGCCTCGCGAGCCTTGCGGATCGACTCGCTCTCGGCCAGCTGCTGGGCACCAGACGCGAGGGCCTTGGTCGACTCGTTCCACTCCTTCGACTCCTTCAGCTCGTTCTGCATCGTCTCGATGAAGACCTGCCACGGCGTCTTGTCGCCATGGGGCGGCGGCGGGGGCATCTCATCCTTTTTGCTCTTTTTGGACTCCTCTTTCTCCTTCTTGGGCTCCTCCTCCTTCCCTTCCTCCTTCGCCTTGCCCTCCTTGCCCTCGGCCTGGAGTGACCGGGCCGAAGCATGGAACGCGCGGGTCCGGGCTGGCGATAGGCTGTCTAACCTGATGGCGGTAGCGGGGAGGGTCGACCGCAGGATGGGCTGGGGTTGTCGTTGCTGGTGAGAGAGAGATCTGAGAGCAGGAGACGTCGCGGCCTCGGAACGAGCAGTGCGGACAGAGAGGAGACGATATTTCGAGGGAGTTGTCGAGCTGCAGCGAGCAGTGCTGCGAAGAGCGGACACCCGCAACGGGGCAGCGGGGGAGGAAAGCCTCTGCATCTGCCGGGCGGTATTCATGGTGATGGCGTTGTAATTACAATGGCCGCGGCCAAAAAAGACACAAAAAAAGAGCAGAGGATATAAGAGAGAAGTATTAATTGCGCCGGGAAACGCGCTGGGTCGACGGCGACGGCGCAAGAGGGGTTGTTGTGATGCTGGGGAAGCTGGAGATCGGGCGGGTTTTTCTCTTTTTTGCAGCGTTAAGAAATTCGCCCGACGAGCGGCAAACAAAACAGCCCCCTGGTCCGAGATCCAGAAACCTTTCCTGCTGCAGTCCTTGTCACCTGCCAAGACCCCACTCGGCAAACACCGGCTGGGCAGGCTGCGAGCCCTGTGAGTGGCCAGTGGCGCTCGGAGGTTCCCCACTTCATATGCCCCACTACGGTCCCCCAGGGCGCGGGCCACCCAAAATTTCCAGTGGCCCGTGTTGAGGTCGTCATCGTCGTCGGTGTCGTCGTCGATCGAGATCACGCAGCGCCATAGCGACGCCGATATCGCCCAAACTCGACCCTGACGTCGACCTTGACCGTCCTCCCTCTCTCCGCGCAGCTTACGAAGAGCCACGACTCCTCGGCACCCGGTCGATCCGGAAGCGCCCTCATTCTCTTGTTAGGCATCTCAGTTGAGCGCCGTATGAACGTTGGCGCCTCGAGATGAGCCGCTTCCTGACCAGCCGCCTGCTGGCGGTCCCTGACCTCGCCCGTCCCCTGACCAAGTCCATACTCCCTGCGGTGAGCACGCTGCAATGGGCCCGTCTCTTCTCCCAGTCTCCCGCTGTGCGGAACGATGATTCCCAACAGCAGCAGCAGCCGCCATTCCCTGTCGTTTCCCCGCTCGTGCACACCGGCCCGAGCCAGCAACAAGCCCCGACCTCAACAGCCACGACCGGCGGTAGCATGATGAGCAAGTTAGCCAAGGACGTGCTGGGCCGGGCGATCCGGCCATCAGCGACATCGTCGTCAGCGGAGGAGGACCTGATGCGCGAGGTGTCGGCCGAGGAGAAGGAGGACGACGACAGCGAGGAGCCGTACCACTTCCACATCTACAGTCACAAGCATAACACGCACGTGACGCTAACCAAGCCGAACCGCGACGTGATCATGACGCTGTCGTGCGGCAACCTGGGCTTCCGCAAGTCGCAGCGTAAGCACTACGACTCGGCATACCAGCTGGGCGCCTACTTCATCGACAAGATGCACCAGCGCGGCTTAGTCAAGAAGATCAACCGGCTCGAGGTCGTCCTGGCTGGCTTCGGTCAGGGCCGTGAGGCTGTGGTGAAGGTGCTCATGGGCGCTGAGGGCAAGCACCTACGCCCCAAGATTGTGCGTGTCTCGGATGCTACGAAGCTCAAGTTTGGTGGTACCCGCAGCAAGAAGCACAGGAGACTTGGTTGAGGTGTTTTCTGGTTGGATTGGATTGGCTGGCTGGCGTGGTTTGCATGGTGTATGGGAGTGTATGGGATACCTATGCCTTACAGGATGCGGATGTGTGAATGGCATCAGGGTCTAGTGTGTAAGGCCCCTGTATTGTACATGTCTGTATACTATATATCAAATTTAGACGATTAGACGACCAATTACCTGAAACAGGCCTGGAAAGTGTGAGATCCGTGCCATGCGGCTCAAGATTCAATACCTGGTTTTTGATTTTGAAACGAACCGAGTCAGCGGTTCGCCTTCCGCCCCGGACGGGAACTTTAATGGCCCCGCTTGGCCCGGACCTGGCTGTTGTTGGACCCACTCAAATTTCTTTGAGGTATTGATCCAGGGACGGACTCTCACTTTCAAGCTCACTCATCGCTTATTTACCATCATTGGGATCCTTCATGGTCCAAACTTTGCTTTCAACCCCACAAGCCATGCCATCATAACCGCCATGACGCCAACAAGCTTATCTCAAGCCATGGGTTCACCTGCCCCAACTATGCCATCCTCCCAAGCATCACCCCTCAACCCGTCATCAACGGCATCAACACCATCAACATCATCACCCCTGTCTCACCTTCCACTCGCAGCCCCAGGTTCAACTCCCTCACCATCTGGTACCCCCCTCGGCCTAGACAACCTCTTCACCAACCCGGTCTTCGCCGGCGGTCTCGGCCTAGGCGCGCTCGGCGCCGCCGCCGCCTTCGGCCGCCGCGCTCTTATTTCCACCGCTCAACTCTTGCGCCGCCAGCTCCTTGTCAACATCGAGATCTCCAAGCGGGACCCCTCATATCCCTGGGTTCTCGCCTGGCTTGCCCAACCGCGCGATGACCCTGGGTTCTTGGCGCGCAGAATTTGTAGGCTCAGGAATCTGAGCATAAGTACCACTACGAGGAGTCTCACGAGGGATGAGGCTACAGGGGGAGGGAAAATACATGCTGATTTTAGAGTTCAGCCGGGGTTCGGGAAACATATTATACGGCATTCGCCGGGGGTGTATATTGCTGTAAAGAGAGAGAAGGCGGGGACGGCGACGACGGCGACGGGTGAGCCGCACGAGACGCTGACGCTGACGTTGTTATGGATGCATCGGCATGTATTAGCGGATATTTTTACGGAGGCGCACGCGCTGGCACAACAGGCTCATGAAGGGAGGACGGTGGTTTACACAGCGCGGAGGATGGAATGGGCGGTGCTGGGGCAGCCCAGGATTAAGCGGCCGCTGGGGAGTGTCATCCTCGATAAGGGGGTCAAGGAGATGTTGGTCGCAGATGTCAAGGAGTTTTTGGCCAGTCAGCAGTGGTATGTTGAACGGGGTGTGCCGTATCGGAGGGGGTATTTGCTTTATGGGCCGCCGGGGACGGGCAAGACGAGTTTCATTCAGGCGTTGGCGGGGGAGTTGGATTATAACGTGGCCATGATCAACCTGAGCGAGCAGGGCATGACGGATGATTTGCTTGCTCACTTGTTGACTCAGCTGCCGGAGAAGAGTATTCTGCTGCTGGAGGATGTGGATGCTGCGCTCGTCAACCGGCGACAGCGCGATCCTGATGGGTACACCGGCCGAACTGTCACGGCTTCAGGGTTGCTGAACGCTCTAGATGGCCTCGCCGCAGGTGAAGACCGCATCACCTTCCTCACAACGAACCACATTGATCGACTTGACCCAGCCTTGATCCGTCCTGGCCGTGTGGACATGATGGTCCGCATTGGCGAAGCTACACGTTATCAGGCAGCGGAGATGTGGGATCGCTACTACGGAGACATTGACACCGACCATTCCGGCAGGGAAAGATTCCTTCAGCGGATGGATGAGCTGGGCCTATTTGGTGGTAGCGAGACGGATCCCAGCGTGCCGAAGAGGCATACCTCGACAGCGGCGATCCAAGGTCTGTTCCAGTTTAATAAGGGCAACATAGAAGGGGCGATTGGCATGGTTGAAGCCTTGATTCCAAGGACATTTGAGGCTGAGGAGACATCGCCTGAAGGGACTATCAAGTCGCCGGCATGAGCGGGGAAAAGTTCTGTGTATTATGTCTGTATAATATTGTCTTGTTTTGTTAAGCATATGTGCGCTTAGAGAATGCGTACACGGCAATTAATACCCATCTAATGGAGACACCTGACTTTGTTTGGGCATCGGGTGTTTGGACGATGAGTTTTCTCCTCAACTCAGGTCCAATTGTGCTTAGACTCAGAGATTACTAGACCTTGCCTCTGGACCCTTTCGTGATGTGACGTGTTGCTCCATAAATGGCACGCGGTACATTCATGAGATGAGGCGAAGCCTCTCATTAGCTGCTAGCTAGGGCAAATATGCCAGTAGGCACGATCCTTCAAATTCCCACAGGTAAGCCGGAAGTGCATTCTCGCTCTCCAGGACTGCTGACCACACAGCTTTATTAATGGAGAGCTCGACCAAAGCTGACATCATTAATAGGCGCCTCGGCATCGCCTATCAACGGACCAAAAATTGGACGTGGCCTGTCACTGCTTCAGGTCGAAATGCGGTAAGAAGATGCGCTAGATGCGACTCTTGCTGTATCCCAATGACCGACTGACTGTGTATCGGCGAGGGACTCTTGCTGCCGAGGAGGAGACTGATGGCAAAGAGCGATTAAAACGATCCGAGCGCGTCAGGTCGACGGCTCGCTGGCCTTTGTCTTGGAAGCCTCCTTGGCAGACTTCTTCGAATCCTCGACATCCTCGATGCCCAGGGCTTTGAGCTCGCGGATGAGCTCGTTGATCTTGATAACCTTGGCGATCTGCTCCGGCAGCAGTGCCTGGCCGTTCTCCTTTTTCACTTGCAGCTCCCTGGCCTGCTTGAGTTTCTTTTTAAGGCTTCTGACCTTCTTCTCTTTCTCGGCTTCCGGATCGGGCTGCTTGGGAGGCTCTTCGGACTTGGTCTTTTCGGAGGGCACAGCAGCAGTCTCTGACTGTTCGTTGTGCTCGGCGACCTTGCCATCCTCAGCAGCAGCCTTGGCCTTCCTACGCGCTTCGCGCCTCTTGGCGTTCTTGTTTGCGGCAGCCGACTGGGCGGGCTTGGTGACTTCGTCCTTGAGGCCCTCGGCGCCAGGGGGTAGGCCGCGGCCGCGGTTGCGGAAGTCCTCCGCCCGCTTGTTCTTGTAGATCGCAACATCCTCAGGGGGGATGTAGCCATCGCGAACGCGAATCTCCTTGCGAATGCTCCCGTCCGCGCGAACCGACGCAGGGATTATGCGCTCGCCACTCTTGGGATCGGTCACGATCCCGGCGTTGCTGGTCTGAAGCTTCTGAGGGGGCATTTTGCCGGATGGGTTGGTAATGGTGACAGGAAGATTATGGAAGTTAATCAAAGCGACAGGATTACGAAGTGTTTTGTCGTGCAAACGCCGAAGCGTTGAACGCGACGAGATGCTTTGCAGTGTTCGTTTCGTCGGCGAAGTTGTTGGGGTCAAATCCCAGGAAGGATCAATCGCAGGCGTTTGAGAGGAATCGTTGGCGGGGCTCACATGCGCCAGCCTGGGAAGAGATGCCAAGAACAAAGCCAAGCTTCGAGCCCCACGTGCAGCTACAGCCAATCAGCTTCGGGTCCGGATACTTCCGTGCGGCCTTTCCGGCAGCAGCCAGTGGTCAGTTTTGCTCTGCTCTGCTCGCTCCGGGTCCGAGGACGCAAACATCCAAGGTTGAGATCAGCCGAAGCGATCCTCTGCTTGCCGTTTTCCTTGCACTTCGCCCGCGCAACGTCACCTGGCACGTAGCCCCGCAAATTGGGATCTTAAACAGTCACAATGGTGCGTTGGACATGGTCTATCTCTGTGTATTGACGTGAGCTGACATTGACGGCGCATGCAGGCCTCCTCCGCGGTTTACAAGCAAGTCCCCTCTCGACGACCCCGTCCTCGTGCCTTTACTCGGCCGATCCTGTTACTGTCGACTACGTGCGATTGCTAACCTGCTCCCTCAGCACACTCTTCCGGAGGAACTGGACCATGCTCGGCGTCGTCTTCGCCAGCGCCTTCGCCTTCGAGCTGTACGTTGCCGTCCGATCTGGGAGGGATGCGAGAATTGGAGGAACATGTGGCTAAGTGTGACACAGGGGCTTCAACACCGTGATGGACCGGATCTGGGACAACCACAACAAGGGCGTATGTTTTCTCTCTGGTTGTGTTTCGTGTGAGGGGATGATTGCTGACGCAGGAACAGCGCCAGTGGAAGGACATCCGGCACAAGTACGTCCAGGGCGGCGAGGACGAGGAGTAAGAATTGTCAGCACCGACGTGATACCACGAAACACCGGGAAAATGGGGCGAGGATATCCTCGCCGTGTACATGTCTACGTGCCTGTAGTACGGGGATGGGTATAGAGGAATAGAGCTTTGGTTTGGAAGACGCTCTCTCGCCTTGAAGCTAGTCGTTCGTTCGACATCGCTGCGATGACGAAATTTGCCTCAGCAGTACGACAGCACGAATGCGAGCACCATGCAGTGGTTCTGTCATCCATATCCGCACGGCCCAGTTGGTTGGCAGGGACCCGCGTGATGGACGTGATGGTTGGAAGTCCCCTTTTTAACAGTAGAATGGAGCTGTCTGAAAGTCTATCCAAGGTCTAACTGGACGTATGGACATTGGGATGCAGCTTTGTCTCAAGTCATGTCAACTCCGTCCGGCAGTCGTGGACTTGGAGCCCAAGATCGAGTCTCCTGGCCGACAGCCAGCATGTTTTTTTTTTTTTTTTTTTTTTTTTTTTGGTCGCGACGTGAAATGTCGCCCTTCGTAATCTTTCGCAAGTCATTGCCCTTGACCCGCATAACAGAATCTTCTGATGACTTCAACACCAAATCCTCGACATTCCTGCTCAAAAACTGGTAGGTGACTGTAAGCCGACCAACATAGCACAAATGTGGCTGCGCCACGGCTTCTGTGGCCCGGAAGTTCAAGTTCCTGCTTGGGGCGGTTGCACCGCAGCTTGGGATCTGGAGGGGTAGCGCACATAAAACCCCAACCCTAAGACAGGAAGCTTCCTACCCCACGTTCTGCGGTTATCCACTTTCGGCTTATCAAGCAACCGCCATCCACAGCATCACAGCTCTAGAGTTGACGCTTGACTCGAGCCAGCTTCAGACAGGCAAGAATACCAAGCCACGCCGCGTGCCATAGTTCATCAGTGGTTCAGATTCATTTTTGTTCTCTTTCGACTTTGTATCCATTTTTGCGTCGGCGTGGCATCCATTCACAAACCACATCGCCCGACTTTTTTTTTCATCCTCTAGCCACCCCGAGCCAACTTCGATCTTCAGCTTCCATCATCGACCGACCCCCACCTTGCTTCTCTTCTTGCATCCATTCCTCTCCCACCACAGCCACAAAATTTTCCGCGATACCCAATTCTTGATACCCATACCCGATTTCCGCGATATGATTACCGATTTCTGACCAGCGACGACTTCGACGATAATCATCATCGAGCTTCAGGTGGCCCAACATCGACGACAATGGAGCCGCCCATGTCAACTCAAGAGCAGCAGCTCTGCCAGCTGTTGCTGGAGCTGCCTGCTCGCCACAAGTACCGCTATGGCGAAGAAGCCGAGCGCGATTTGCTGACCGGCCTGTTCTGGTGCATGGCTGGCGGTAGGGACGAATACATGAATCTCTTTTTTCCAACTGGGGGCCCACTGCACAATGGCACTCTCAGGCTCCGTGAGGCCCAGGGCGCTGTGGATGGCGCTGAGTACACCGAAGGGGCTCGAGGCAAGGCCTGCGGACATAACTTCCACGCAGGCGAGCCATGCTATCTGTGCAAGACTTGTGCCGTCGACGACACCTGCGTCATGTGCAGCAAGTGCTTCGAGGCCAGCGATCACGCCGGCCACCACGTCCGTCTGCAGATCTCGGGCGGCAACGGCGGCTGCTGTGACTGTGGTGATCCAGAGGCTTGGAAGCGACAGTTCTTTTGTACTATCCATTCATCCTGGGAAGCCGAAGACAAGGGCAAGGGCAAGCAGCCATCACCGTTGCCCGAGGACCTAGTCAACAGCATCCGGATGACGATCGCCCGCGTACTGGACTTCATGTGCGACGTCATCTCATGCTCGCCCGAGCAGCTTCGCCAATCCAAGACCTGCGAGTCCATTCGTCAGGACGAGCGCATGTCGAGGCTGTCAGAAACCTACTGCGGCGGCGACACGGAGGATCCTGGCGAGTATTGCGTGCTGCTCTGGAACGACGAGAAACACACCATCTACGATGTCCAGCACCAGGTTGCTCGCGCCTGCAGGACGAGCCTATCTACCGGGCTCAAGAAGGCCATGGAGACCGATCTGGTCGGCCGCACCATTCTCGAATACAACAGCGACCTTACCAAGCTCATCGACATCGCCACTGTGATTGAGCAGATTCGCGTGACCGTCACCATTCGGTCATCGCGCGACACCTTTCGTGAGTACATGGTCAACAGCCTGGTTGAGTGGCTGAAGGACATCAGCCTGTGCAGCGTCGGAGAGGATCTTCACATCTTGCGGCAGACTGTGTGCGAAGAGCTCCTGAAGCCCTGGCGCAGGGGCAGCCCTGGCACGCACTCGAACGTTGGTCAGGATGGCATCGACGACGAGGACAGAATCGAGCGTGAGCTTGAAGAGCAGAATAGTGAGTTCATTCGTCAGCAGCAGCGCATCCTTCTGCAGGCCCGCCAAGCGGCCCAAGCAGCTCGCGCGCGTGAGCAAGCAGGCCAAGGTGGCCAGAACAACGGTAGCGACGATGACGAGGATGAAGATGAAGAGGAGGAGGAGGAAGAGGAGGAGGAGGATATGGGCGACGTCGACATGGACGAAGATGGGGATGAAATGTTTGACGACGACGACATCCTCATGCTGGAAAACCGTCCCGAGGGCGGCGACGAAGGAGAAGCTGGCGGCGAAGATGGCGGCGAGGATGTGCACATGCAAGATTGGCGCCAGGATCAGGCCTCAGGGGCACAAGAAGATGAGCGTCTGACTGCCGGGGCCCCAACGAACCTGCCACCCCCTCCAGGTTCGGCAGCGGCAGCTCTGCGGCGGGCCGCCCGCGAGAGGGAACTTACGCCGTCCGACTCGGATACGGCCGAGCCGCTGATCGCCCCGAGCGTCTTCCCCAAGACGAACTTGGAGATCCCCAAAACACCACATCCGAAGGGCGAGCCGCTCCCTCCGCCGCCCAAGCCCGGTCACTACTGGGTCCTTCCCCCAAGTGGTTATGTCGAGCAGGACCATGTCCCAGTGGCAGAGAATATGTTCGAGCGGTTGCGCCTGGACTGGCTGTTGCTGTTCGACCCACGCATGTGGAAGCAGCTGCGTAACAACCTGAAGTCGCTCTACATCCAGACCCTTCTGACCATTCCCGAGTACAAGCGCATCCTTGGCCTGCGCTTTGCTGGTCTGTACACTACGCTGTCGCAGCTGTATCTTGTTGGCGACCGCGAACCAGACCACTCGGTCATCCACCTGTCGCTACAGCTGATGACGACACCGTCCATCACGGCCCAAATTGTTGAGCGTGCCAACTTCCTGACAACTCTGATGGCCATTCTGTACACGTTCCTGACCACACGCCAAGTTGGTCACCCATGGGAGGTCGACTCGAACGCCGTCATCGCCTTCGACTCGGGTGTCCATACTAACAGGAGGGTGTACTATATATTTACCGACATTAAGTATCTGGTGGCATCTGCTGATGTCCAGGAGCGTCTGCGCACGGAAGAGCGTTACATGCTGCAGTTCCTAGACCTCGTCAAGCTGCACCAGGGCGTGTGCCCCAATGTTCGCGCCGTCGAGGAACATGTGGAATACGAGGCAGATAACTGGATTAGTGCGTCGCTCATCATGCAGCGCACCAACCGCATGTGCAAGATGTTTGCCCAGGCCTTCCAGAATGTTAAGGACCATGGGTTCGAGGCCGTGTCGAACGCGATCCGTCTGACGGCCAAATCGGTTATTATCAACTCCATTGGTGCTGAGCGCACCCGGTTCAGTCAATGTGAGATCAAGGATGAGGTGCGGTTCAAGATCCTGGATGACTTCGAGTTCGAGCCAGCTGGGCGTGCATTCAAGGTTGTCAAGTTCGTCGTTGAGGAGGAGCCAATGAGCTTCCATCACCCGCTGCACCATTTCCTGTCGTGGCTCATCGAGTACGGCAAGACGATGCCGCTCCAACAGCTCAGGAGCCTTCTGAGTTTCACGACCGAGGACCTCGTCGCCAAGCCGCGCTCTATGGGTAAGAAGGTCATGCCGCGGCATGCGGATTACACTCCCGAGGACTACCTGATGGCCGCGTTCGACTTCCCCTTGCGCGTGTGCGTCTGGTTGGCCCAGATGAAGGCTGGTATGTGGGTGCGCAATGGCATGAGTTTGCGACACCAGGCCGGTACCTACCGTGGTGTCACTCAGCGTGATGTGACCTACCATCGGGACATCTTCCTGCTGCAGACCGCGCTGGTGGTGTGCGATCCGAGTCGTGTGCTCGCTTCTATGGTCGACCGCTTCGGCATGGAGAAATGGTGCAAGGGCATCTTTGAGCAGAAGGTCAAGGCTCAGGACGACAGCCAGCACCTGGATGTGGTTGAGGACATGATTCACCTGCTTATTGTGCTGCTGAGCGACAGGACCATGCTCATCCCGAGCGACGAGGGCGAAACCTCGGAACGAGCAGCTATTCGTCGCGACCTTGTGCACATTCTGTGCTTTAAGCCGCTCACCTTCTCCGAGATCTGCTCCAAGCTTCCTGATAAGGTCAGCGATCGTGAGGATATTGACAGTTTCTTGGACGAGATGACAACGTTCAAGGCACCCGAGGGCTTGAATGACGTGGGCTTGTTCGAGCTGAAGCCCGAGTTCTACGAGGAGATCGACCCGTACATCACGCATTACAACAAGACGCACCGCGAGGAGGCCGAGATGGCGTACCGCAAGGCCGTGGCCAAGAAGACGGGCAAGTCGGTTGATGATATCATCTACGAGCCCAAGCTGAAACCAATTACATCCGGCATCTTCACACGATTGGCCGAGTTCACGGGTACTGGTGTCTTCGCACAGGTCATCTACTACTCGTTGCTCTACACTCTCAAGTACCAAGACTTCACGCCGAGCATCCAGGCTACGCGTGTCGAGACCTTCCTTCAGATGTTGCTGCACCTGATCATGTGCTCCATCATGGAGGACAAGACAACCGAGCAGGACGGTGAGGAGGTGCCTTCGTTCGTCGTCAACGCCCTTATCAAGCAGGCGCGCAGCAACTTCATGGCCGAGCACGCCAACAAGAAGTCCATCGTGGCGCTCCTCGACCTTCTCCTGTCCAAGGATGACTTTAAGGCCTGTCATCAGAAGATTATCGTCATCCTGCGCCGCATGCACGAGAAGCGTCCTCGGCTCTTCGAGCAAGCCTACGAGCATCTTGGCCTTTCCCTCGACCATATCACCGCCGAGCAGCGCGCAGCATCTGCAGCTGATGAGGAGCGTGAGCGCAAGAAGAAGGCGGCCCTCGAGCGTCAGAAGCGTGTCATGGCACAGTTCCAGGCACAGCAGAAGTCCTTCATGGAAAAGCAGGGCGATATCGACTGGGGTGAGTTTGACGATCTCGACGAGGACGAGGAACTGCCTCCTGTTGAAGAGCACAAGAAGTGGTGGAAGTATCCCGCCGGCACGTGCATCTTGTGCCAGGAGGAGACAGATGACCGTAGGCTGTACGGCACGTTTGCGTTCTTCACGGAGAGCTGTATCTTGCGCCAGACGGACTTCCAGGATCCGGCTTTTGTTAGGGAGGTTATCAAGACGCCGGAAAACCTAGATCGCTCGGCAGACTCCATTCGGCCGTTTGGCATTGCTAGTGAGAATGTTCAGAAGGTGCAGAAGATTAACCAGGACGGCGAGACCTTTGAGGTCGAGAGGCAAGGCATTGCTAGGGGCTTCCCTGCGAAATTGTCGCGCCCTGGTCCCGTTGCTGTTGGGTGCGGTCACATCATGCACTACGGCTGCTTCGAGGCTTACTATGAGTCTACCCTGCGCCGGCACACCCAGCAGATTGCGCGGCATCACCCCGAGGATATCACGCGTCTCGAGTTTGTCTGCCCGCTCTGCAAGGCTCTCAACAATGCCTTCTTGCCTATCGTTTGGAAGGGTAAGGAAGAGGCGTACCCAGGCCCGTTGGTACCGACCTCGTCGTTTACCGACTTCTTGGACCATCAGCTCCGGTCCGCGTACTACACATTGGGAGCCAATAGACCGGCGGATGGAGCACAGGAGATGTTCCGGTCGTACACAACGAGCCAGATGATGACCAGCATTGCGGAGAAGGTTGACCAACTGGAGAAGGACGCTTGGGAATCGCAAATTAGCGTATCGGGGCCGGCTGCCACAAACCCTCTAGTACAGCTGCTTGGGCTTACGATGCAGGTGTCTGAACCCCAGGGTGCTGGAGGCGGTGGCGCTGGTGTGGGTTCTCAAGGGGGTTCCAACCAGCAGTCCAATAAGACCCCGATCCGCGAGCTGGTCCGCGTCTATCGTCGTTTACGGGACACATTGAGGCGGAATGGTCTTAAGTCGAAGTACAACTGGGACGACGACTCGGCGAACGAGCTTTATGGGAGCGACGTGCTCGCGCGTGCCGTCGGCTTCTCCATCTCGGCTGTTGAAATCCAGCAACGCGGCGTCGAGGCCGAGTATGGGTCGACATTCCTCGAGCGCATTCCGACCCAGGTGCTCACGCAGCTGCGTATTCTGGCCGAGACGGTTACTTCATTCATTGCTGTCGGTGGCCAGCGCGATCAGGGCGACAACCGTATTGATACCGAGTACCATCGTGACAGCGAGCGCCAGCACTGCCAGATGTTCATGACACAGTACCTCGACGAGGAAACCGAGACTACCTACAACCCGGCCAAGACATACCCGCCGCTACTGAGCCTCGACCCGTTCGTCTACCTGTGCGAGTGCGTCTTCGGCGTCGTCCCGGCCCAAGATTTTGAGATCGCGCACATGGTCCGTCTCTGTTACCTCGCCGAGATTGTCAAAGTGGTATATCACCTCGCCCGCAACACACCAGCTATGACATGGATTAAGCAGCTCATGCATCGCGATAATATCGCCGACCCGGCTGTTGCACGTTTTGCCCAGTTCTGTGATGACCTCTTCCACATGGACATCCACTCGGCTATGCACTACGCCGGAGGGGACGAATCAACCCGCCCGGGCGCCACTGAAAACCGGGCCTTCGATCAGCCGGGCTTGGACAGCTGGGAGGGCTGGTACAAGTTCCTTCGCAAGTACGCGCTCGTCTTCTTACGCAAGTGTGTCGTGCTTCTGCATGTCAAGTTCGGCGTTGATTTCAACTCTCGCGTGTCTCCTCGCCCTGAGTTGCCCGAGCTGGAGCGGTTGACTGAGATGTTGCGGTTGCCGTCGCTCGAGGATATGCTCACCGCCCTGAACCCAGAGATGTGCCAACAATTCGGCTGGCCGGCCGATACCAGACGCCTAGTCGAGGGCTGGATGAACCACCAAGCACTGTGGCCGTACAACGGGAGTGAGGAGCAATTGCCAACGTCCGCGGTCGTCAGTCACCCAGCTATCTTTGAGCTGTTGGGCCTGCCGAAACACTTTGATTCTCTCATTCAGGAGGCATCGAAGCGGAGATGTCCGACAACGGGCGGCGGCATTGCCGATCCCATGATCTGTCTGTTCTGTGGCGAAATCTTTTGCGGGCAGACCGTCTGCTGCATCAAGGAGTTCCCCCAGACGAGGCACAGTAGCCGCATGTTGGGGGGTGCGCAGCAACATATGATGAAGTGAGTCCTTCCCCCCCCTTTTTCTCTACTTTCTCAGAAATGAGTGCTAACAACGGTAAACAACAGGTGTCAAAAGAACATCGGCATGTACATCAACGTGCGCCGCTGCGCCGTCCTCTACCTCTCGCGCCTGTCCGGCTCCTGGGCGAACACCCCTTACCTCGACCGTTACGGCGAATCTGACATGGGCCTGCGCAGCGGCAGGCAGCTCATGCTGAGCCAAAAGCGCTACGATGCCGGCCTGCGCGCCATCTGGCTCAGCCACGGCGTGCCCAACCTCGTAGCGCGCAAGCTCGAGGCGGATATTAATAATGGCGGGTGGGATACTTTGTAAGTAAATTAAGCACTGCCTGTATTTTACCTTACACTTTGCTATGCAACACACACGCTACACTATGCAACACTCCTCCTCCGTAAGTAGGAGGGAGTAACTGTGGTGTGGTGTTTGTTTTTCTCTTGTCCCTTATTTTCTTCTCTCGTTCCTTTAGATGAGAAACTTCCGATACTGATCGAGGGCCTTTTGTTTCTTTTCCCCTTTACTTTGGGAGTTTTAGTCTGGATGATGACTTTGAAGAGGACTTTGACTCGGATGTTGATGAAGATGATGTAATCTTGATTGAGGAGGATGAGTAAGGCAAAGGAGGGGTTGCACGTTGACTTGGAGCCGGAGTTGGAGTTGGAGTTAAGGTCCTTTCCTTGTTCTTGTTCGGAGAGGATGGAAGGAAGAGAAATCTGGTATGGATGAGTGGATGATGGGATACGGGTGAGAAGGGAAAAGTATAGCATGGTATAGTATAGCAGGAGGGACGGCTTCGAGCGTTAGCAGTACTGTAGATTGGGTGTCTGTGTATCGTCTATGTATTACATGTACTACTCACTACGATTACTTTGGATGATTCATTAAAGGACACTACATGGTTAGGTGCCATAGATGCAGTGGCTATTATGTCGTTCCGCCAGCGAATGAAACAGTAGGCCTCATCCCTCAAGTGTTGATTAAGACGTCGATCCTCTCCCCCTGTCCCTTGAGAGAAAATTTTCAGTCAAGGCAACAGACAAAATAACTCAGCCTGGACACTTTTAACGCAAAGCCAAAATCACAGACACACAACCAACAACAGCAATTCCCGCAGTCAACAAAAATGAGGATATCACCCAGCAGACGATGCAAAAAGTAAAGCGAATTTTCAATCGCATCTCAACTCGATCCACCCAGGGGTCGAACCTGGAACCTCCTGATCCGTAGTCAGACGCTCTGCCATTGAGCCAGCGGACCTTGTTGTCTATTGCTTGGCATTACTACCGAAGATCAGTACTCATGATACCCACAGCAGGTGGACGCTTAACTCAGGAGGGGAGGGGACCGACTGGTGAACTGAACTGACGTAAGATGAGGGAATCGAAAAGTGGAACGATGAAACGAATGCTCTGTATTGATGCTCTACCTCTCTACCGTCTAGCGATAATCATTTATTTTGATTTTCATCTTTTTGGTCCCGTCCCAAGTCGCTTGCACAACACACAGACCTTAGCACCGTACCCCTGAAAACACACAACAGTTACAACGTAAACATAAAAAGGAACATCAACCCAACAACACTGCCTACAATGGTTGGCTCAAGACCACATTCAGGGGACAATGGGCTGGAAAAGCTTCGTCAAGCCAGACTCCACGGTCCTCTGTGCAGTGCCTCAACAACAGCTACGTCATCCCTCCAACCCTGGAAGCCGTTAGGAGGACCACCACCCTGAACCTGCGGACGAAAGCCTGTTGGCTGCGTTCCTAACTGCCAACCTGTCGTAGTGTCAGCTTTGCTTTCCATCCCAGGACCAGTCGAAGCAAGAGGAGCAGGTGGGAAGCCCATTGGCAGCGCTTGTGCTTGAAGATGTTGTTGTTGTTGCTGTTGCTGTTGCTGTTGCTGCTGCTGTTGCTGCCCAGGTTGAAGAGATTGGAACGGGTTTGGATGAGGATGGGCATGCAGATATGGCGAACCACCTTCATTCTCTCTGACCTTGCCCATCCCATCCTCATCCTTCTTTCTCGTTGTCTGGTCAAGGTCCAATTTCCCATTCCCAAACTTGACCTCACGCCCACCCCACCAACTCTCCCCCGCCGTTGTCGTCGGCGCACCAGGAGGAGTGGTAACCCTAGAAGCACTTGGATACGGTGCAGGCGGATAAGGCCTTGACTGAATTGCCCCGGAACAACTTACCGCCCTCATACCTGTCCCAACGCCACCACCAGCAGCAGCAACGTTGGCCAACCTCATCGCCGTCGGTGGCGTCAGATTCCTCAGCGTACAATGCGCCGTCCCGGCTCGCCGCCACTCATATCCCATGAAGGCTGTCCGTCGTCTGACGTCCATTGCAACTTTTCTGGTTCGCGGATCCCGCAACAATCTATCCCGGGGCCGTTTCTTCTCCTTTTCCTTTTTTTTCTCCTTCTCTTCTTGGGGCTGTTGTAGCTGCTGCTGCTGCTGTTGCTGTTCCCAGTTGTTAAAGCCGTTTGGTATTGGTCCTACTAGCGCGTATCGCCTCACGAAGTCACTCAATAGCCTCCTCTCCACCAGATTAGTTGGCGGCACCAGCTCCTGTGCTCCAATAACCCTCAGTAGGTGGTCAACAGTCCCATTGAGGATGGCGGCACGAAGCTGGCCAACCAAAACTGCTGCATTTGGGTCATGGGCATGTGCAGGATGCGGCAGGGTCGCTAGGGCAAGCTCCTGCAAAGGACGGCGTAGTGGACGAAGGAAAGCCTGTTGCTCCAGCGTCGGACTCGGTAAGACGATGGGTGCTGCACCCAGTGGTGAGGGAGAGAGAGTCTCGATCAGCGGGATAGGAGGAGGTTGTTTCGTCGGGACAGGGGGAATATCGTGCCTCGGCGTATCGAGCATTTGATTCTGCTGCTGCTGTTGAGCTACACCCACAAGAGGCTGGCCCCATCCTGCCTGTTGCTCCCACCCCTTTACCCCCTCCTGCCCCTCATCCTCACTCTCACAACTCTCCTCCTCCTCACTGATCTCCCCACCGCCATCGTCAAAATACCGTGTATCCGTTTCCGAACTCAACCTCGGCACCAACGGTGGATCCACCTCATGCAGCCTCTCCCAGGGAACACTCCTGAACCACTTATGCGCCTTAATATCCTCTGCATCGTAAGGAAACACAAACCGTCCGGCAAAGTCCCTTAACCCATGCCCCGTCGCAAGCCGACTGCTGCTGGTGGTGGTGTAGCTGCCACTGCCCGCATAATACGACGCAGCCGACGAAGACGACGCCTCAGTCCCCATAACCAAATCCTTCATGCGATACCTCTTCGAGCACAACCTGTTCTCTTTATCCGTGATCAGGCTCGCCATCAAATGACGGCAACGATGGGACACAGTCGGATGAACCGGAAACCCAAATGTCTCCCGATGGCGCAGAATATTGATCTTCGTCTGCTGGCGTCCCTCATCCGAGAGGAACGGCGTGTGCCCATACAAACACTCATATAAGATAATCCCCACACTCCACCAGTCACACCGGCCATCATACCTCCTCCCCTCAATCACCTCCGGCGCCATGTACTGGCTCGTGCCGACCACACTCATGGCGGCAGCCCGATTCCCACATCGATTCCTCCACGCCAGCAACGGCTCGCCATCATGCCAATTCCTCCTCTCATGCCGGTCCATATCCCCCAACATAGCATGCGCCGCAGCAGCCTTGACGGCCCCTCTCCCGCCACCAAACTTTACTCCGTCATTCACCCGATCCTGCCCATCCCCCTCCACACAAATCCCCAACTTCCGCACGAGGCTCTACCTCTGCTGATTATAATACGCGGCATCATGCGCCCACTGGCCATCAAATGCCAGTCCGAAATCACTGATCTTGAGGTGGCCTGTCGCCGAGATGAGGAAATTGTCCGGCTTGATGTCGCGGTGCACACATTTCAGTGCATGCACGGCCTCTACGCATAAGATGATCTCGGCGATGTAGAACCTGGCCACCGTCTCGTGCAGCGTGTTCTCCCGGATCAAGAGTCCCAAAAAGTCACCTCCCGGCATGTACTCCATCACCAGGTAGAGGTTTGTCAGGTCTTGGAAAGCCTCGACTAGTGGGACAATCCATCGCGACCCTTCGCTCGCGACGAGGATGTCCCGTTCGGCGCGGAGATGACCTTCCTGGCTAGTACGGAGCATCCTGCTTTTGCGGATGACTTTCATCGCGTACACACGGCCATTCCCCCTGTCCCGGACGAGACGGACGACGCCGAAACTCCCTTTGCCTAAAAGCTTGACTGTCTCGTATCCCGCGCAGACTTTTCCTCCTCTGCCAGCTAGTGCTCTTGTGCATTTGGCCTTTTGGACTCGCACTTCCCGGAGGTAGTCGCTCTCCCCTTGATAGAACCTCTCCCGTGCCTGTTGGGCTTCCATGGCGTTTAAACCCCCTCCCCTTTTTCGGGAGAGATGAAACAGCTCTGCCTCCAGCGCTTGTAAACGCAACTGTCGTGCCGTCGGTCCGGGCGCCAGGAGGGCATGAAAATGTGTTTCCAGGAAAATCTTGGCTGCAGCAGCTCTCTCAACGGTTGTGATACCAGGCGAGCACCTCTCGATGGGGGTTTCGTGGATTGTCGTGAGACTACTTGCCGGGGAGGAGGAGGTTTGTGTGGTAGGCGGAGAGTTTGGACTGGCTGAGGAGATGGGGTTGCTGCTTGTTGTGGCGGTAGAAGCCGGGCTCTTGGGGCTGATGGAGCTAGAGTTCGAGTTGGGCGTGACAGGCGAATTCGGATTGGTAATGTCCCTCGGAATGGAATACAACGATGTCTTGCCGGTTGAGTTGGACATGTTGCCTGCCTCGGGAGAGGCGTTGCTTGCTTTACCCGAGTCAGAATTAGAGTTGCTTGCTGGCGTTATAGCCTCTGCCGGGCCGCTGCTCTTTCCTGACGATGACGACGCCGGTGGTGTTACAGGTCGGAATGTCTTCTTGAGCGAGGGTCTTTTCTTGCTTGGAGTGCGGTGAACAATGGTCGGGTCCATGGTTGGGGCGCGAAAGACGGCACTGGACACTCTGTGCAGGCCGGAAGTCAGACCCGAAGAGGATTTGTTGTTGGCCGAGGATGAAGATGTTGATGCCGGTGTGAACTGGAGGGAGTCGACTTGTCTTTTGGAGGCTGATGGGTGTCAATCTTGCGTATATCATATTCTCCAGACAAATAAAGGCAGTCAGAGACACTCACAGCTATTGGTAAGCGACCTCAGCGCAGAGGCAACCTTTAGTCCGTGACGACGCAATTTCGAGGGTAGCGTCAGGCCACCTGAGGCAACTGGACTCGCAGTCGTTGTCGAACTCGATACTGTCTTCGTCGTAACTGGCGGCCAGGTCTCAGCCTTGGAGCAAGTGTCCGGCCCGGCGGAGAGGTTATTGTCCTCGAACAGGCCTTGTCGGTCTCCAATGCCAACACCAGGCTTCATGTCGGACTCCTCCTCTTGCATGGGGCTCGCGCCAGATGCAATACTGGTTGGTAAGAAAACACCTGTGGGTTAGTATAAAACAACGTGCAGTTAAGTGTCTACATTAAGTGCCGATAATGGATAACGAAAGTGCTGGTTTGTTGGCAAACAACAACCACGGGGTAGTAAAGAAAAACATTTTGACGAGAGACCTTTAAGGGGTCCATTTCCTCGGAGCGGACACTGAGGAAAGCAAGGGCATGAGTAAGGAGGCTCTTTCTCTGTGTGTTTCATCCTGTGACCTGTAGACTTCCATGGGGAGAGGGCCTCCGACGATACACTACTGGAAGAGTAAGCGTTAGTCGGGGTCTTTCCCCATAGACACCTCGTTTGCGCGACAACAATGGAAGAAGGGAAGGCTGCGTTCCGTCACCAGAGACATCCATCAAAAGAACAACCGGCGGACCGAAACACATGCATTGTTAACTGCCGGACACCATTGCGCCTAAATAGTAAACAACCAGTACAGAGGAAAAGGCCATCCATTTTTGTCCCCATCCCGTGTGCCATGCGACCTCGTCATCCCCTCCAACAGCGCGTCCACTCCTAGGTCAGAAGCTCCCCAAGACCTGGAGCAGAAACACCCAGGGGGCTAACAACATTAAACCCATATGGCGGGCCAGTAGAGTATTATATGCCGAGAAGGAAACATCGATCCCGCCGAACGCGCACTCATAGGAAGGCACCCTTTACTTGATCTCGAGCAACTTGATGTCGAAGACGAGCGTGCTGTTGGCCGGGATGCCGGGCATCGCCCGGCTGCCGTAGGCCAGGTGAGGGGGGATAGTCAGGCGACGCTCGCCACCAACCTGCATGCCGATAAGGCCGATTTCCCAGCCCTTAATGACCTCGCCCTTGCCGACCCTGACGGTGAAAGGCGCACCCTTCTTGTTGGCTGCATGCAGTTAGCCTCTGACCAGCGTCAAGGTTATGGAGTCAGACTTACCATCGAACACTTTGCCGTTAGTAAGCTTGCCGATGTAGCGGAGGCTGACGCGGTCGCCAGACTTAACAGTGCGGCCAGTACCGAGCTTGCGGTCATCAATGGTGACGCCCTGGACAACCTTGACACCGAGACTTGGTTTCTTGAGGTCCGCCTTGTCATCCTTCTTCTCCTCCTTCTTCTCAAGCTTGTCCTTAGCCGGACCGGACGGGCCCTGCTCGAGATCCTTGGCGAACTGGACCTTCTTGTCGGACTTGCCCTCCTTCTTAACGTCCTTGTTCTCGGCGGGGACAGCCTCACCCTTGTTGTTCTTGAGCTTCTTTTGCTTCTCGGCCTGCTTCTTGTCCTTGGCGACCAGGTCGTCGAGGTTCTCGGCCTCCTCAGCCGGGCGCTTCTTGTTACCCTTCTTGGACGTATCGACCAGCTTCGGCGCCTCTTCCTCCTCCTCATCGGTGTCAATCTCCTTGATGCGAGGGGTGCCATCGATCTCATCCAGCTCATCGCTTTCATAGTCAGAATCTGACTCAAGCTCAATACCATGGGGCAGGTCGTACTCCTCATCCGAGTAGTCCTCCTCATCCTCATCGTCCTCCTCGTCTTGTCCCTCGGGCAGGACGTAGTTGCCGGTCAGGTAGACCTTGTGGGTGCCCTTAACGACGAAGAACACCTTCTCGCCCTCGGTGATGGTGATGTCAATGGGTTGTTGGTAGGTCTGCGAAAGTTAGTGATGCAGTTCTTTCATCAGTGAGGGACAGGGTACCTACGCGCTCGGTGTCGAGAGTGCAGACGACGAACTCCTCAAAGTTGGGTTCGCCCTCCTCGTCATCCTCGTCGCTCTTCTCGTCATCGGACTCGCTGGCCTTGGCCTTGCCTTTGCTGTCCTTCTTACCCTTGCCGTTGGGCTTGGCATCGGCATCCTCCATCTCCTCGTCAGACTCCTCCTTGGTAGCCTCCAGGAGCTTCTTGATGGCGGCCTCGCGGCGGGCCTTCTTGCTCTTGGCGGGGTCGCTGGGGCCGCCATTGACCTCCTCATCGTCGGACTCCTCATCGTCCTCGCTGTCCTCGCCGTCGATATCGAGATACTCATCGTCATCCTCCTCAGCGGTCGTCTTGATCAGCTTGAGGGTGGAGCGGGGCACTGTGGGAACGTTGCCCTGGCCATCGGTCTCTGGCTCAGCGGTCGGATCAATGGCCGCCATGGTGATGCGAATCTGAGTCAATCAATCAGCAATTGCAGCCCACTCTCATCGCTCGTCTCAGGCGACGCTGCTGGGGCTAAACTCACAGTCGCAGGGAACTCAAACTGAGCGGGAACCAGGATGTCACCCGGAGGGACCTCCAGGCCGTAGACGGCGACGGGCAGCAGGGACGACATTTTTTTGGATGAATATTACAAAGAGAACGATAAGATAAAACTCCTGTAGTAAATGCCCAAAGATTACCGACGATGCAGCGCTCCTGGGGATAAAACAGACACAAGTGGGATGGGGATGGGAGGTTGGCAGTAGGAGACGGAAAAGCGGCTGATGAAGCAGATCGGTCCCGCAGAAATACTTTCTGGCGAGACTGCTGCAGCCAGAAAATTTTGGAGCCTTTCCCCACATGTCCAGCCGGATAAGAGCTTATCGGCTCGATGGCTTCCCGGGCAACCAAAAAGTGGGTCCGTAAAAACTTCACCGCCTGCCCCACTTGGCTTAGCGTTTCCACTCCACGTTTCAAAAAGCCCCATCCAACAAAAAAGTGCGGCTCCAAGACTGCGATTTCTGCCGTTTGCCTTCGCAGTCTGCTTCCGTTGTTGACAACAGCCGCGCATCCACGACGATGAGTTCAATTCATGTGTGTCCTTGTCGCTATGCTCGACTCAACAGCCAGTTGTGTTTTTTTCCCTCATGATATCCAGGTGTCGTTTGTGTTTACGAGTCATCAATTCGGTTTCTTTGCGCTGAATGACTACCTCACTCTCACAGCAACCGCTCCCGATGTTTGAGCAAAGCCTTCGAATAATGCCATCAATGCTTTAAGAATCAAGCCATGACTGATATTCTCTCAATCTACTCTCTGCCATTTTCCAGAAAAGATGCCAACTCCATACGTGCTAATGGCGCTATCGTAAATCTGGCGACTGTTCCAAGACTTGTCCATGATACGATCCTGAAGCTGCCGAACTCATTACAAGCACCCTCACAAATGGAGTCAACACTCATCGCGAAGCCCCAATCTAGTATACCGGCCTTGAAGTAACTAATTGCTCTATTTATATTATCCGAAACAAATCGTGGGCAACCATAATGGTTGAGGAGACGACGAGATGCCTAAGAGTAACAGTATACCTACCTGGCTTGCAATGAACGGCTCCTTGTGGCAACCGATCTCATCGGTAACTGAACAACTGGCATGCTTCTTGACATCCAACAGAGTAAGGCAACGATGACTTTATTTCCGACGAAAATGAGTACAAAACCACCCTATCGTAGGCAAGGCCTCATGGCTGTTGCTGAAGTCAACCTAAATGAACTGAAAAACGGGAGACGTAGCACCACTTGATCTCCAGCCATTGTGCCATTGATCATTGTGATCAACCGTCACTTTCAACAATCGAACAATGGCTAACTAGAAGAAGATTATGTGCTCTACTTGAGCTAGACGGGGCTCCTCTTTGTCTCACCTCCGGCGCGCTAGGGGTCCAGTCTCCACTTCGGAACGGGCAGCAGGGTCCGCTCGACGGGCTGATGCTCCATTCTCTTGAAGCGTTGATTGGCCAACTCTTCCCACAAGACCGGGCCCACGCCGAGTGGTGGAGACAACCCGGCCCGGCAAAAGGTTGACGGTCGGACGGAGCATGGCGCAACGCCATCGACACTTTCTTTGCTCCTTAAAGTGCCAGTTCTGCAGTATCGTTTACCTGCATATCTCTTGCCCCACGGCATGAACACCAAAGTTCTATACTCATGCGGACCTTAGGTAGCTCTCCAGACCTTGAGGTCCCCGATGCCAAACCGTGAAGGTGCAACTGAGCTGGATCGATCAACGGGTGTCCCCCTTTAAGGTCATTTCTAATCGAGTAATTGATTGTGGAAACGATTAAAAACTTCACGAATCATGTAATTATCATCCCAACATATCACGAAGAGTGTGTCGAGGACCCCAAAGGTCATTACACCACGTCCTCCCCGCTTCTCTCGCTCCTCACAACCTTCCTACTAACCTCATACCTCAACTCCGTCCTCCAAAAGTGCAGCACCTGCGCTTGTACTGCCGGCACCGACCCAAACAATGGCGCAACCACCGGAGCAACAAAATAATCCACCCAATTCCTCTTCCATTCCCTCCTGGAAAAGCTCATGGCCCCTACCAAGCCCGCTTCGCGCATCTCTTTCTCCCTTGCCTCAACACACAAAGCATGGAAGTCTTCGTATAGGAAGAGGTATAGCGCGATTTCGAGAAACCCTAGTGTGCGGAGGGTGCTGCAGAGGACGAAAACCCAGGCTACGTTATGGGGGTCAGATGTGTTGGAATCTGTAAGCCGGACGTAAAGCATCGATGTGATGACTATGATGATCATTTGCGCAGGGAGGAAGTGTGCTTCGAAGAGGCGATGGAGGAGGATGGCTATGCGGAACCAGTTTGGTGAGGGGAGGGTGTCCGTCACAATGCCGGAAGGGATGTCGTTCTTGGCGCAGGTCCCCGGGTTGACATACTTTGCGCCGCTGCGTCCTTGTTGGTTAGCTCTCAACTAGGAGTTCATCAGGTTCAAACTCACAGAGCCATGTGAAGCGGTTGAAACGATATCTTCCTCTGCTCCCTCCCCCTCCACAACCCCCAAACCCGCCTCAGCGCATACCCACTATCCAACGCCCCCCACATATGCCTTAACGCCTGCCGATACCTTGCCCTCACATCCTTCCAAATACCCCTCACTCCCCTCCCATATCCTCCTCCAGTCACATTCGTCTGACTAACCGGACTCAACACCGCCTTCACGTTCAACTCTCCCCTCAACGCAAAGAAACACTTCAAATACATATGCAAATCCTCACCAATCGCCTCGGGGTCAGCATCCTACCCGCCCACGCGGTCAACTAGTTCAAGGGGGAGGGAATAGACTGAGATGGGAGGCGCGACGGTCGAGCCGGGGTACAGATTGGACATGCCGGCTGCGGACCAGAGGATGTCTGCTACGCGAACGAAACTGGCGACGGTGTGCGAGTTGCGGTCGGAGATTATGGGGGGTGTGTAGAAGGTTGTCCGGGCGGTTTTGGGGTGAGAGAGATGAAGGGTGGTTAGGTAACTGAAGTAGCTGGAGGAGAGGTGGCTGTCGGCTAGATCGACAAGGTTAGCGAGGGCCTGATGAAAGGCGGTTTGGAGAGTGCTTGCCATCAATGCCAGTGACGATCACATCCTTGCGTTGTGTAAAGCTGTACCGTTCGCTCAGCTTTCGTGCCGCCCATGCCATGTTGCTGCCTTTTCCGGGTAGTTCCCCAGGGAGGTCTGTTGGGTGAAGAGTGAAGGTGATGAAATGGAACTTGTTGACAAAGCTATTGATTAGGGTGACGACTTTAGCTTCAGCATTTGGCTCCCTCTCTTCCATTGCAAGGTAAATCTGGGCAACCGTCAGGGGTTTCATAGACTGCCGTTCAAGCGGGTTTGGGAAACTCACGTCATATGCGGTGCTCGCCTGAGGATGGGAAGCCAGAACTTCAAGTGTCTCTCTGAGCGTGTCGATATCCTCGTTGTAGTTAGGTATGATGATCGCATGGATGACCCCATCCGACAATCCAAGTTCCGTGTAGTCAGTATCCATAGAATCCCCATCACTGCTGGAGTTGAAGCCCTCATCTATCGAGCAGCACGAAGCGTTAAGGCTGGAAAGTGAGGACGATGAAGCACGGCGTTGGCGGTATAAACTGACATCTTTCAGCGTTTTGTCGTCACGTGCTCTGTGTAAGCGCCGTGTTACGGTGTAGATAGCCCAGCTTGCGCGCAGGGGGAATATGAAGGCAAGGATGTGGATAAGCAGGCAGTAGTAGGAGAACATTTTAATCACGATGCCATCTCCTGTTAGGGTTCTAGGTCTAGAATTGTCCTTTGACTGCTGCTAGTAGTCATGTCTTTGAGACTTAACGTTGCAAAACAAAATAGCCAGAGTTGACAAGGCAATAGTGGCCAGCATAGCTAGCCCGCCGATCCTTCGGCTGCACCATGCCATCAACGACATGTGTGAAGCGATATTGGATATAGAAAACAAAACAGTATGTCGTTTCACTCAAGCCAAATATCGAGAACTGTTTTATGACCTCTCAATGTGTCACAGCATGGGCTCTCACGCAGTAATGAGATCATTTTGAAAGCTGCAGCCTGTTTCCTCTACATCCAGGAAACTACCAAACTTTTTCCATGGTCTTGCCTTCCTTGCCTTCCACGTCCGCATTTAGTCAGGGAAGGGGCCTTGATAAACGCCAAGGATTGGCGATGTGATGGGACATGCAGAGGTTCTCTGGATCAAGATCACCTATGGTTAAGGGGGCAGGGAACAGCATCACCGCCTTGAACGGCCATACCTCGTTCTTCCAAAAGCACTAATGCTGCTCAGAAAAACTTAAACTCTGCACGCGAGAATAATCCCCCCCAACCCCCCCACCCCCCGACAGTAATTGCAGACGGTCATGCAAATCTTCAGAGTTTGTGACGTTCTACGATCTTCCCATATCGTGCCAAGACCGTCGTAAGGCTTGGCGGATACAGGCCAATCAATAAACCTCCGCTTGATTCGTCAATCATGCGCAGTTGTAGATCGCTCCACTTTTTGGAGGTCTTCCTTGGCGAGATCTGCAACGGCGATCGGGATAGCAAAACGTTACGTAACTTACAGGGCCAGTGTAAGAAAAAAAAACCTGCGTTGGCTTTCTTCAAAGTGGGCGTCGAGATGAAAAGATTGGTCGCAGAATGATCACCGGGTGGATTAGTTGATATATTCCAAACAGCTAGCGACCTAAGAGAGCAATGATCTTCCATAGTTAAACTCGGGAGATATCATGGGCCACGAAAAATATATACATGGCGCTAACTCCATTGACAACTTTTCACTTGGGTTCTGAGTCGATTATTATGTTAAACCCATCATTCACCCACAGCCCTCATCGCTCTGCCATACAGTTGCCTATGGCAAGCGCGCAACCATGATCGAGAGGATTTCAGCACTAGCCGTGCTGTTATGAGCTTTCTCATATGGGATGATCCCTATGAGTCCCTGGAGTCGTCGATGGACGCGGCAAGTTCAGTTGAAGGCCGTAAACCGTCATCGCGATCGTCCTCTACTCGTCATTCCCGCACATGCCACGTGCCTGGAATTATTAGACTCGGGTAGATATAATAAATATTCCGCCAACAATGAGATAACGTTGGCGTCGTCGAGAGCGCTGGGGTTCGTAAGTCTCTCTGTGCTTGTTTAGGTGAGCAGCGAAACTGAGAAGAAAGGCGAAGCCCATGGCCCAAGCATTCCAGGCTTTAGCAAGCATGCCGAGGCCAATGTAAGCCTCATGCAGTCACTATTTCACTCAACCAGAGCCGGGAGCGTTCTTCTCAAACAGCTTCTGGATGGGTTTGGCAGCCTAATAGAGTGTTTAGCTTTTGATATTCTCCCGCCAGGATGTTCGAGGAGAAACTCACATCAATAAACTTCTCCAGCTCCTTATCCAGGCTGGCGAGATCGTCTCGGCGCTTCTTGTTCTCGGCCATTAGCTTTTGCTTGCGCTTAACAAGTTCCAGGCGCTGCTGCTCTAGAGCCTCGCGCTCGGCACGCTCGTGAGCGATACGCGCCACCATAAGGGCGTTCTCGTCGGACTCGGCGTGCTCGGGGAATTTAGCGAGGAACTCTTCGACAGGGATGAGAGGGAGTTGTTGATAAGTATGTCTACATTTCTGTCAGCAACTGATGCAAGAGGGCGGTATATTCGGAGAGGCATACTCGAAGCTCTCACACGCCGCAATCTCCCCTTCCAAATGCCTCTGCTCATAGATCAAATTCTGCAGCTGCAAATGCAGCACATCAACTTCGTGACGCCTCTCAGCCGTCTGGGCCTTGGTCTCTCGCGCGCGGAAATGGGCCTGCCGGTGTAGACCCCGTAGATGAGCCAGGTTGGTATTAAGCAACTTCTGCTGCTTCGCGATCTCGGCCAGCAGCTCGCTGGGCAGCGGGCCGTTGGACGCGTTGTGGGCAGCGGTCGCCCGCGCTACGAGGTCTACCAGCTGCAGAGCCTGCTCGCGCGCCGCTTGCGACACTTCAAGTGCGTTTTGCAGCACAGGATCGTTGATGTATGCGTCGACCGTCATCGTGATGCGTGGTTGACCGTGGTTTGCTTGGGGGGGGGGGGGATTTAGGGCTGTGGCTATCGAGGGTTGGGGCGGTGGGGGTTCGGGTTGGTAGCGTTGGGTCTGGTCGTAGACTGGTCGGGACACTCTCTCTTCGTGGATTGCGATGCGATCGCGATGGCCCAAGAAATAGCGGTGGGATAACGACGGCGACGCGAGCGGAGCGCGCAGCTACTCTTCCGTAATCAGGATCAAATCGCGATGTCCAAGATCCAACGGGCCCTCGCGCGCCAGTGACGTTATGCTTGCGACCGACAGCTGCGGATGGAGTCTCCCCGTGGGCTCTTCAATGACGCTCACCTCGGCAGTTCTGTTCGCCGCAGAATCACAAGCTCGAGCGTGCAACATATGGCGGGACAGGGACCCAAGACCACAGAAAAAAAAGGCGAAACTTCCTGATGGAGCCAACCCCCTCAAGCCGTGCAGCAAGTGGGCATGCGGCAGGTGGGGCCTCTCAGCGGCGATGACGGCAGCAATTGGTTGTGCGACGCAGTGAAGTGGGGACCCTAACGGGCGCTTTCGGGCGTCCGCGGGCACAGGGCGAGCTGGATGCAGGTTTTGGCGCCGTTTTGGGGATTGGCGCTCGGCACGACGGGCTGAAGTTGCAGCTACGATTGCAGCGATGCAGCGAGTTTGCTGCACCGATGGCACCGGTGCGTGGCTTTCGGGAGATGAGGGGGGATCCAAGTAGCCAAGCAGGTCCCGTTGGATGGGCAATGGGCGGGATGCTTTTGAATTCTCGGGGGTCGAGGGAAATCCACTTTTAAATCGACAGGCCCCTCGTTTTACTCTAAGGACCCATGTTTTATTCTCGTCCCTCTACCCAGGCACTACAGGCGCAGGAACAGGCGTAGGCTGTGCTTCATTTTGGTCGGTTCGGAACGGGTGCTGCTGCTGGCTCAGATTCTCTATCCTCGACTGTTCGTTCGGCTGTCCATGTTGACGTATTTCTGATTATATTTTGTTCTGGGGGCGACACCCAACATTACCTTTTCCACTGTCTTACCGATTGCGGGTGTTTCGGATCCATTTAAACAACTCCGTCCACTCTAGGTCTTGTCTGCTTGCTCTGTGGTGGCGAGCTGCTCCAGGGAACACCATTGTCCTCCAGGAACTCAACGCCCAGCCCAACAAAAATCTCTCTCTGCCCTGAATTTCCAGGCCACTGGACCTGCAGCCAGCTCCAGGTTTCTCTTCGCACCCGACCCGAACCGAACCGAGCCATATTGTGAACCAGCTGTGCACCTCGACCACTATTTGGCCATAACTCTGGCCTGTTCGTGGCCTTAGGGAGCTCCTGTCTCCCGTCAACTGCTTATTTTTGGTTGTCCGAGTTTTGTCTCGCCAGTCGCTGCTGCGGCCGATTTTAACTATCTCAAAATGGCCTCCCACAACATGGGCGGGCCCTTCACCTTCAACGCCCACGATGCCGTCGAGAGCAAGACATCGGGCGCCCAGCCCCAGGAGCGCCCGGGTGCCCGCAAGAGGCGTCATTCGCACTTTGTCCAGCGCCGCAAGTCCATCGTCAACCACATTATGGAGAGCGAGGAGGGCATCCTGCTAAAGCTGGACCTGTTTCTGACTGAGCTGGAGAAGCGTCTGGAGTACTGGGAGAACTATGGCGAGCTCAAATTGGATTCGAGCATCTCGGCCGCCTTTAACACGCTACAGGCGGTGCGCACACGTTGCTCGCAGGTCTCTGAGGAGGTCATGGGTGCCGGTCGTAGGAGGCTGCACGTTATGGTGGAAACTCTTGAGTCGCGCTACCACGAGGCCATGGCAGCCGCCGGCTCGTTAAATGAGAAGGCCAAGGTTGGCATCGAGCTACTCGATGGTATGTTGCAAGAGATGGAGGCTCGCGCAGCCAAGTTCCGAGAGAAGGGTTTGGCCAACGCCGAGGGCTTTATCGACGAGGCCCAGCGTGTGTTTGATGAGGGTATCGAGCGTGCCATCCGCGCCGCCGAGTCGCTCGAGGACCATATCCAGCGTGCCATTGCTCGTGCCCGTGAGCAGGGCTTGCTGCGCTACGAGGAGCTGCCAGTCCCGTGGCGGATCAACCCTCACATCCTGCGCGGCTACCGCTTCTCCGAGACCAAGCTCGATTGCATCAAGTCGGCCTTTGGCTTCTCCAACGAGCTGGTCAACATCTGGTCGCACGCCCTGGGCCTGCTGCTCGTCCTGGCCGTGGCCCTCTACTTCTACCCGCAGACGCCTAACTTTTCGCTCAGCACCAAAGCCGACGTCTTCGTCGCGGCCATGTTCTTCTTCGCCGCCTGTCAGTGCCTGGTCTGCAGCATCATCTGGCACACTATGAACTCGGTCGCCGACGTCAACCTCATCTCCATGTTCGCCTGCGTCGACTACACTGGCATCTCGCTACTGATCGCGGCGTCCATCATGACGACCGAGTACACTGCCTTCTACTGCGAGCCCGTCAGCCGCTGGATCTACATGACCACCACCATGTTGCTCGGCATCGGCGGCGTCATCCTACCCTGGCATCCTCGTTTTAATGGACAAGATATGGCCTGGGCTCGCGTCGCCTTTTATGTCGCCTTATCGGCCACGGGCACTTTGCCTATCCTGCAGCTGTCGCTCACACGCAGCTTTGCCTCGGTCATTGAGTTCTACACGCCCATTTGCAAGTCACTGCTGGTCTACTTCCTCGGCGCATGCATCTACGCCAGCAAGGTCCCCGAGCGTTGGTGTCCCGGCATGTTTGACTACTTTGGCGGCAGCCATAACCTGTGGCACATTGCTGTCCTCGGTGGCATCCTGTTCCATTATACCGCCATGCAGTCGTTCTTCTCGCACGCTTTTGAGCTTGCGAAGGACGGGTGCACCGCTTATTAAATTTTTTTTTCTTTTTCTTTTTAAAGAGGCTCGTTCTCAACGGGCGGGACATAATTCAAAGTATTTGTTCTTATCTTCTTCAACGATGCAACCCAGTGACAGCTCATGTGGCTGTCTTCCTCGTCTACCATTCTGAAGTGCTTTCCGAAGGGTATCATGATATATCCAATGGATGAGGAAATACACACTCCGCACAACGCCCATTTGTAGACCCTACCGGAAACCGTACCCACAAATCACCTATAATCCAAAACAGACCCCGACGATGATGCGACATGCCAAAAAAGAAGTACGATGACACTGCACCCCATACACTCTCTAGAGATCGGGACTCTTCTCAGGAAACCGATCGTTCTCATGCTCTGGTAATGCGAACCCCGCGTTACGGGCACATGTTGCCAGGTCCTCGCCCTACAAGCTCATTTGTCAACACACACCGCACATCACACGAGATCATCTCCATAGCACGGCAAAGGGGGCAAGTCCTTACCTCCAGGCAACAGTACCCCGCGACTGGGGCGCAATATGTCCCCTTAGGGCAGTGGCTGTTGTCGATTTCGCAGCACGACTGCCAAGGCGTCAATCGCATGTCCCGCGGGGACAGGAGAAGCTCAGGGAGGATGGATGAATGAAAACTTACATGGCCGATTGAGGGGTTGTAGCAAAAGATGCTCTCCTGCATCAACACCAGTCACCCGTTAGAAATCTTCCTCTCTCTCAATCTCATTAGAGGACGGTTCATCATACCGGTCCTCCACATCGCTCCCATCCCTTGCCATACGTCGCTTCGCAGGACTTATACCGCACTGGCTTGGCCGATTGTGTTTGTTGAGGGGAGATGTTCTCTACTGTGCTGCTGGTGACAGGAAATGGTTGTTGCAGTTGGAACTGTGGGCTCTGTTTCTGGAAGATGACGACAGGGGATGCGAGTGTTGCTGTCCCCCAGCAGAGGAGGATGATTAAAAGTTTTGGTGACGGCATTCTGTGCAGTGTGCGGGTTGTGTGGGTTTGCAAAAAAAGTGAACGTATCGATGTCGCAAGAAGTTTTAAAAACTCAGGGTGTACGTCGCCCCAGTTGTTTTGCTGCGAATAACCCACAACACACACAGCCAAAATAACAAAAAAGGAGCAACTATCGATATGTTGTCGTTCTCGAGGACGAGGAAGTAGCAATGCAGGTTTTCTTGAAAAGGTGTTCAAGTTCAGGATATGACGACAAAATGAGTTGATGCACTTCAGGGGTATTGTTTTTAACTCCCGTGTGCGCGCGGACGGGCTTGGGCCGTGGGGTCTGGTTTGAGGATTGACAAGGGGTGGAGTTGAGACGGCGGTGCGGTTTGGCTTTGGTTTGAAGTTTACGTTGTTTAGAGGGCCCTTGTTGGTTCCGACCCCTTGGGACAGGAGCAACTCTTGGGCGACAAAGTAAGGGATAAGAGCAAACAAGTAAATAGTGAAGGTTAATGGATGAATGATGGAGGGAAAAAAAAAGATGAATGAATGGGGATAGATAAAAAGTTAAGTAGGTAATAAGTAGAGAGGAGGAGGTAAATTACCTTCCGGTTTGGACTTCCTGAGTGTCGGCAAGCAATGCTCGGTAAAAAAAAAAAGTCAACAACGAAATGTGGTAGTACCAGACAAAATAGGCTCAGGCCCGGAGCTGTTCCGTGCTATATAACCGCTCGGCCCGGTTTTTGCGGGCAGAGAGACATGAATTGAGTTGCAGTTAGTATGTCCCTGATGGTCTTGATCGTTACATAGTGCTGCGGGAGCAATTGATAAAAGCGCCCGGAGGACAAGGGGAGACTCAATATTAAGCAGACGCATATATATCCTGGTTCTTTTGGGGGCGGCGGACTGGGCAACATTGTTACACTACTAAGTATGTACATGCGGTCAGCACTAAGGAGACTACGGTCCTTCCAGCTGTGGGGAGCGGTGATCAGGCGTTCTCGCCATTGAGCGGATGGACTATGGGAAGATACGTGCCGTTTTTTAGTATCTTGGGTTATAATGCTGAGCTGACCACCCAAGCGGTTAGATCTGATCTCGATTTAAGGAGCCGTATGCCACATAGAGTGCATGGCGAGACAAAGGCAGTGCAGCAGCACAGAATAAATTGCAAACCGCACATTCGCTCAATAGTATATTACTTTTATCGCAAGTCTACCAAACGAAGTTCTTGAATTGACTTTTTTTTTTCCCACCATCCCAATCCGAGTCTGAAAAAAAGACGCCCATAAAAACAACAACCCATCCATCCAGCCGACAAAAGAAATGGTAAAATAAAATACTCATCATACATCAATTATAAACAGGATGAGAGATCACAGGACCAATAGCCAGGCCATATGCCTCTCCTCTCAAGTGGTTGCAATGCACTCCATGATAGAGCGAAAATTGCTGAAGTTGCCTATTTGATCCGACAAACCATGCTGAATGAGGTCCAGCAGGGACGGAGCCTCTGCCGAGATGATTATGTGCTAAGCGGGTAGTGTATAGCAACAAGCAACATGTGCTGCGCTGCCATTGATCTGATCTAGTTGCGAGAATGATGCGCTCTCCTCATTGTAAAGAGATGCATACCCTCTGACTGATCGTTCGTCCCCAACAGCTTCCAAAACCAAATATGTTTGTCTACCCGTTCCGTCCTCTATGATGAAATCGTTCCAACAAGAAATAGAACGTTAAACCGGAATCAAAAGCTGTTGGTAAAGGCATAAATTGGCTGGGTAATAAAGTACTGCTGTGACGACGGTTATGTCGGAAATGTCCTCCATCTATCTAGGTTGCTGTGCTGGCCCGGATGATGGAAGGCTTCTTTTGTCTAAGTCGGGTCTGGTTATCTTGTCTCGAGGTGAGAAAGAGGGTGAGGATACTGCCATCAAACTTGGGTAGTTGCCTCTGAGTGTCCAAGCTAACCAGATAACCAGTTACCTGGGTAAGGGTATAATTCTCCAGCTTTCCATGACAGGATGACGACCGGGCATAGGGCCTTGTGCGGTCTGCGGATAAATGCAACACAAAACGGTCGCGGCAGTCGTGCTCCGTCTTGGCGCAAAGAGTATCTCATCCCAGCAAGATGAGCTTTTGTCACCTTGTTCCGCGGCCCCAGTACTGTTTGTTTATCTTCTTCAAAGGCCAGTTGCTAATAGGTGACGCTCGGTGCTGACATGGTAATGCATAGATCCAGGAGGGGTCGTTCATGCTGTCGTTGGGACAACCGGCTGCACGCGTACGATAAATTGTGTGGGAGAGTGAAGCCAAACATCGGACACCCCGGACGTAGGGAGTCGTAGGGCATCGTGGCCGTCAGGCATACGATGGTCGTGGTTTACCGGGCGTGGGCGACGATCTCGGCATATACGTCGTCAGGGATCATCTTAATAATCGCGAGAGTCGTACGCTTGATCTGGTCGGCCTGGAGGGGAGGGAAGGATCGCAGGAGCTTGTTGGGGCTGGGAGAGCGTCAGAAAAAAAAAGTCTTCTTGAGACGACAAAAGAGAGATCTGTCCTACCTCGGCGACTCCAAGATCTTATTCCGAATCATGACCAGCTGGGCCACGATGCATAGGATATTCAGATGCGGGCCGTAAGCAAACAAAAAGTCCCAGAGCTTGAGCACCTCCGGCAGAGGCGGCGTGCACGCACACAACGTCAGTACGCTGGGGAACGCGTAGATCTCGGCCGACAAATTCTTGCTCAACAGGTACAAGCTCAGCTTCGGGTCAACGATGGCCAGCACCTTATCGACCAGCGCCAGACCCTTATGTACACCATCCATAGCGCCCCGAATGTAGCCCGGCAGTTCTCTTGTGAGCAGCTGGTGAAAGGCAACAAATGCCTCGGCCTCACTACGCGCAGCATAGAGGAACGGCGCGGCCAACACGTTCATTCCTTGCACATATGTACCGTGGTCGCCGGTGTAACAGCTGGCCTCGGAACCCTCGGTCGTCAAGGTCAAGGCCCGGCCACGATTCTTCGACGACGGAGACGAGGTGGGGTGTGAGGAACTGCTGTAGCCGCTGTAGCCGGTGCCTGGCCTGCTGTTGGACTGGTCGACGGACTGTCGGGAGCTGCTGGCGATGCTGGGGGTGCGCGCGCGACTCTCGCGGGCGTCGTGGAGCACCCAAGCAATGGCATTCAGTAATCGGATCAGGCTGGCCTCGCTGACACGGCGCCGGAAGAGAGGGTCGGTTGTGAGCGTTCGGAAGGTGTCGTTGCGAATCTTGGAGTATGCGGGAGATGCGCCGCGGTGGATCAGGGCCAGGTAAGTATCAGTCTCGATGATGGGGCAGTTGAGCAGGATGAGCCAGACGTAGATTCTGAGGGACGACTGTGCAAGTTAGCCGGGAGCTGTGACAGTATGGCAGGCAGGCCGAGCAGCATGAACTCACCATGCCGTCGCTGTCGGCTTTGATCCCTTGGTCGAGGATCTTCAGACGAGTGCTCTCGATAGCGCCCTCGACGTCGCCGTCGGGAGGGCCTTCACGAAGCAGTCGCTCGAGGGACATGGCATCGGCGGCGAGTGATCGCCGACTCAGGACAGATCGGCGTGGGACTACTTGGGCCATGGTGTTCAACTGGGAGACAGGAGCAGGCATAGGGGGTGCGTCGCTGTTGGAGCGTGCTCTCTGGGGCGAGCGGTTACTGCTCGCATGACTTCGCGGCGAAGGAACGGGCGAGGGGAGCTTTCGGAGGGTCGGCGGCTGTAGCTGTTGCTGCTGTTGATACTCGCTCTGCTGCAGTTGCTGCTCTCTCTGCTGGGCAAGTGTAGCAAAGCTGGCCAGGCCGAGCGATCGACGCGGGCGGTACGGTTGGTTTTGTTGTGGCACGGACTGGAGCGTTGGCTGGAGCGCTGGCTGGAGCTGTTGCAACGATGGCGCCGGTTGCAGTCTGTGTTGGGAAATGAATGACGGTTGCGCCGAGCTCTTTGCCCCTAGGGTATGGGCCGACTGCAATCTCCTGAGCCTTCGTGGTGTTCCGGCTGACGAGCCCGTGGTTGCCAGATTGCCCAGAGCGCCCAGGCTGCCCAACGTGCCTGCGCTCATGGTCCCCAAACCTGGAGGGGGGTGGGCCTGAACCGGAAGCGCGGGTAGCACTAGCGGCGACAGGGTTTCTCGCTTGGGACTAGGGTCCTTGTTTAATTGATTCAAATCTCGCAGCGTCATCTCGAATGGGATACTTTTCTGCGCGCGATCCAAGATCGGGCTGGGGACGGGGGAAAATTCGAGAAAACCGCACGAAGCAGGGCGTTGGGACGGCGAGCGGGCGACGACGAGGGCGATGATGGTTTTTGTTGTTGTTGTCGCCAGAATGCAAGAAGCGCTTGTTTTAGTTTTAGTCTTTGGGCAGCGCAGCAGTGCAGCTTCGTTTGTGCCCGCTGCTGTCCAATCGATCCCTCCCTAGCGCTCTGCGGGGGAGGCTGGAGGCCAAGCAGTAGAGGGCCCCTCGGGCTGCTGCTGCTGCGTGCTGCTGCGAATTGCATGCTGAACGGCCCCCCATTGGCCCAATTGGCCAGCTCGTGCGGCATGTCGCAGATTCACGCTGCTCAATGCTGCCGTAACATACAGGATGGATTCGATGGAATGGAGCATCCCGTCGTCGGGAGCCCCGTTATCCTTCCATGCTCGTGTTCATTTCGCGTCACCGCGTTGAGTTAGCAAGAGAAGCCAATATTGGCATAATCTGGTGATCTTCGCACCCTTCGGGCGCCGAGTGCTACTGTCTTGCAGGGCTACGAGATATATTGCTTACGGAATACAACGTGCAAGAGGGACGATTTCCCATCTCAAAGCAGAGACCTATCGTCGTTGTGGGTTTTCCCGCTATCCTGAAAACAGATTCTTAACGTTAGTCCAACGCTTGAATTTTTCCAGCTCCCACCCAATGCGACCTACCGTCGTCACCATGGCGACGGCGACGGCGACGGTTAGAGAATGACACCCTAGCCACATGGCCCCTCTTGGCGTGGCTAGAGGCCTACCCAGGGTTTAGCCCACGATCCACTTGGTGGCTTGGCAGCCGTTTCCCCGGCCATTTTGCCCCTGTCGGCGGTTATTTACCATATCCACAGATCCATGGAAATTCAATTTCTTTGATCGACTATTGAGAAGCACGGTTGCCAGGGAAACTCAGCCCATCGACGACGATCCTACACACGACATTGAAATGGAAGACTCCTATATATAGGTTTTTGCAAGGCATTTTTCTTCGTCTGAGAATCCTGTCATACGACGCGTTCGCGAATAGGGAAGCCCTATCATGGCAAAAAAAAAAAAAGAAAAGAAAAGAAAAGAAAAGAAGAAAAGAAGAAAACTTGTACTTGTGGCTAGATTTCCCGCTCCTCAGCTTGTTTCTCCGCGACGAGCCAAAATCAAGGCCGATAATTCTGTCATGCCAACATGTAGGAACTGGGTACAACCTTTCTTCCGTCAATTACCAACGCAGGGCTGGCATCTCCAAATACCTATTCCCGGGAAAAGTCCGTCAGCGAGAGACCCCGGATCGACAAGCTTCCCAAACCGGACACTCGCTGCGCTGGGATTGGTTGGCGGGACAAGCGAGGGTTCTCGATCTGTGCGCTGACTCGAGTCGAACTCCTTGACATCCACCACAGATGACAACCCAAGACTTGTGGCTGGGTCAGGATCAAAAGCTGGCTCAACTGTTACATATCAGTCAGTCATGACAGCATTGTTTGGCTTAGTCAAATGTATATTTGTTTTTTGGTTTTCGGATTGAACTTTTCGCTCGAGGTACGTTTTTCCAAAGAGTCGAACGCCTGTCGCCATCACTAACGCAACATTTGCACGGGCGCCCGAATTTTCTCTGAACATCCCAACTCTCCGCTTGCTCAAGGCCATAACAAGTGCCCAAAACCTGCGATGCTCTCTACTTCGTGGTGCGTGGAGTCCGGCATCGGCCAGGTGCTCATACCCGATACTTCGGAAGAGCTTTTTCTGCTGTAGCCTTTGACTAGACTCTGAGCGGTCTGCGAACGGGACGCTGCAAAAATCAAATCTCTCACCGCGATATCGCTCTTTTGCCCGGTCCAGGCTCCATTCTGTCGCACGATAGAAGCCACTAGCGGACAGGATTTGACGGTAATCGTGGGGTCGTGACAGTTGCCAAGCCGGACCTCAGATGGGAGACGCTGCCGCATGCATGAGCTGCGATCATAGGCTGCTATGAGGGATGGAGGGCCGGATCCGACGTCAACATGGAATTCTGCAGAGCTGGCTATGGGATTCTCATCGCAACATCTTTTTTGACCCGGCTCAATGGTGACGCAACGGCTTAAAACGACGCCATCACGGGGCGTTGAGGCTCAAGCAGATCGGCTGCGGTTTAGCAGATGGGGCAGAACCCGGGATGGTGGTGCTGGTGCACATGCTGCCGCTGCCTGCCGCACTCTCGGCGGCTCGCGTAGGGGCTAAGCTTTTGCGGCGTCTGCTTGGCACATGCCTAGTGCCAGGCTTGGCAAAGCACATCAGTGTTGGCGGGCATTGCATCATCGACACCCCACTGTTTTTTCAAGGCCCACGACCCCTCCGCAACTGCAGCCAGCCAATACATCTCGTCGCACCTCGCTCTCGCTCTCCAGCAATCCCCGGGCGGCCTGCTCAACACTGTTCCTGGTATCGAGATGTGCCGATTGGGCAGGTTATGATGCGTCGAACGGTGTCTGATGACCTCGATTGTGACAGACTCTGTGTAACGGTTGGACAGATCGGATCAACGCATGGGGTTGACGTTGCTTCTACCCTCCATCATATCAAGTCATTCTGCCCTCCGCATTGCACGTTGCGAATCAATATTCTTCAGCCTTTTACCGTGGAAAAGAAGAAAGAATGCAATGAACAGCCTGAGAGTCTTTCCCAGATCAGGCAACTTTTCAGCACCCTCTTCCTTCCCCCAGTTCCACTCCAACTTTCAGCCTGCTAGCTGTGAAAGGAATGGCAGCGATGGCGCAATCCGTTGATGCCCACTGATACCCACTGGTGCTCGTCCCTCCACATCTCTCGGCTCCGCTTCTCATGTGTATCGGAGATCTTTTCGTCCACCTCTTGCCCATCGTGCATGGAATCAGACGGCAGACCGCTCGTCCGGGGAAGCTGTCTGTCCCATCTGCTTTTTTTTTTTATATTTGAGGGGCCGGCCGCTTTTCTCCTACCTTCTTGCCACTGCTTCGGAGCTGGAGCTTGCGATCTCACCATCTGGGCGACGCTGTCGGGCACATCTCGGGTTGTCCAAGCGCCTTGACTAAGGGAGGGGCGATCTCTGTTCACGCGGATTCTCACCCCGAGAAACCGGCTTGACGCGCATATTCATATTCATCCCATCTCCCTCATCGCGACGCGCACTTCTCGGATCACATAAACAAATACGTTCAATTACCCTGCCCTGAATCCGACCATATAAGCGCTCACATTCCTCTTGTGTTGCCACATTTTCTTATATCACGAAACACAACTCAACACGTCTCGCAACCCTCAGTGACCTAGGCAAAACTTGCAAACATGCCTAACAAAGCTGGCCGCATCGCGGCCAAGGCTCTCGGTATCAAGCTCCAGGAGGAGGATCCTTACACGCGTGAACTCGAGAGGCCTGGCGCCTCCATGATCTCAAACGTTACCAGCCACACCTTCGTTGAGGAACCTCCTCATGTCGTTGATTGGTGCCTCGGCCTGATTCCCACGGGTGAGCAGATCTATCGCTACCTGCTCTCACTGTTTCCCTTTCTGTCATGGATCGGCCACTACAACCTTCAGTGGCTCATTGGGGACCTCGTTGCCGGTAAGTTTCGTCGATGTGTTTGCTTTTACAGCTGGGAGCTTGCTGACTCCACTAGGCATCACTATCGGTGCTGTCGTCGTGCCCCAGGGCATGGCCTATGCCAAGCTTGCCAATCTTCCTGTTCAGTTTGGTCTCTATTCGTCCTTCATGGGCGTCCTAATCTACTGGTTTTTTGCCACGTCTAAGGACATCACCATCGGCGTGAGCATTATCCTCGTCATCACATCATTTAAGGATGTTAACTGACTTTCCTAGCCCGTCGCCGTCATGTCCCAACTTACCGGTGGCGTTGTGGCCGACCTCGCCGAGGTGATACCCGAGGTCCCCGGTCATGTCATTGCGTCGGCACTTTCCATCCTGGCCGGTGCTATCGTGCTGTTCATCGGCCTGATCCGCTGCGGCTGGATCGTCGACATCATCTCGCTTACAGCTCTGTCCGCTTTCATGACTGGTTCGGCCATCAACATTCTCGTCGGTCAGGTCCCCACTATGATGGGTATCACTGGTTTCTCAACGCGTGATCCCCCTTACCTCGTTATCATTCACACGCTGCAGGGCTTGCCCCGCACCAGGCTGGACGCAGCCATGGGTCTGACGGCTCTTGCTCTGCTGTACATCATACGTACAGCTTGCAGCCTTGCTGCCAAGCGCTGGCCGCATCGCCAGCGCCTCTTCTTCTTCCTGTCCACCCTCCGTACCGTCTTCGTCATACTGCTGTACACCATGATCAGCTGGCTTGTGAACCGGGGCTTGCCTAAGGACCAGGTCAAGTTTAAGATACTGTTGGATGTCCCTCGGGGCTTCCAGAACGCCGCTGTCCCCGTCCTCAACAAGCGCATCGCTAGCAACCTGGCAAGCTACCTGCCGGCTACCGTCATCGTCCTGCTGATCGAGCACATTGCCATCTCTAAGTCGTTCGGTCGAGTCAACAACTACACGATCAACCCCTCGCAGGAAATGGTCGCCATTGGTGTTACCAACATGCTCGGCCCTTTCCTGGGTGGCTACGCCGCGACCGGTTCGTTCAGCCGTACCGCTATCAAGTCCAAGGCTGGCGTCCGCACGCCGTTCGCCGGTGTTATCACGGCTGTCGTCGTTCTGCTCGCCATCTATGCGCTTCCGGCCGTGTTCTACTACATCCCAAACGCATCCTTGGCCGCCGTTATCATCCACGCTGTCGGCGATCTCATCACACCCCGAATACCGTCTACCAGTTCTGGTTGGTTTCGCCCTTCGAAGTCTTCATCTTTTTCGTCGGTGTCTTTGTCACCATTTTCTCCACCATCGAGAACGGCATCTACTGCACGGTGTGCCTGTCGGCTGCGATGCTTCTGTTTCGCATTCTACGGTCCAGAGGCCGCTTCCTGGGTCGCGTGCGCGTGCATTCTGTTATGGAAGATCGCATCATTGGGCAGACCTCACGGCGTCTCAGCGACGAGTACGGCACATTCACTGGCATGCCTGAGGCTCCGTTCCGCAACGTCTTCCTGCCCATCACCCACGCCGACGGCTCCAACCCCGAAGTCGAGCTCGACAACCCGTATCCCGGTATCTTCATCTACCGCTTCTCCGAAGGTTTCAACTACACCAATGCTTCCCACAGCCTAGAATACATGGTCGAGTACATATTCAAGCACACACGCCGCACGAACCTGCAGACCTTCGAGAAGCCCGGCGACCGCCCTTGGAACGACCCTGGTCCTTCCCGCCGCAAGCTGAAGGAGGCAGCCCGGGCTGCTGCTGAGGGCGACAACTCGTACAGGCCCGATGTTGATCCTAATCTCCCCACGCTTAAGGCCATCATCCTCGATTTCAGCTCCGTCAACCATGTCGACATTACCTCGGTACAGCAGCTCATCGACGTCCGCAACCAGCTTGACCGCTACGCAGCCCCTGATATCGTCGACTGGCACATCGCCTGCATCAGCAATCGTTGGACCAAGCGCGCTCTTGCCGCCGCCGGCTTCGGCTACCCGACCATTCGCCCCGACGTTCCTCACCTCCGGTGGAAGAGCATCTTCAGCGTGGCCGAGATCGGCGGCGAGCAGAGCGCTGCGGCTGCCGCCGAGTTTGAGGACAACGAGAAGGAGCTTGGCCAGCAGCAGCAGTCTCAGCAGGATCTGGAGGCTGGTATGACTAAGCCTGATAATGCTAGCGGTCATTCTTCCTCGTCAGTCCACGCGGACGACCACAAGCAGGGTTCGACAACTGCGGTGACCAAGAAGACTAGCCCTGCTTTGCATGCTGGTAGGACAGTTGCTGTGCACGGCATCAACCGGCCTCTGTTCCATGTCGATCTCACCAGCGCGCTGCAGAGTGCCATCGCCAATGTTGAGGCTCGGAACGAGATCATGGTTCAGCAGCAACACCAGGAGACTGAACAGAGGCGGCCTAGTACGGGACATGAGACGGACACTAGTGGGACTCTGAACTAAAGTTTTGGATAAGTATGTAATGACGGGAGGGTTTTTTGGATTTTACCCTTTTGTTTTTTTTTTTTTGTTTTGGATGGCATGGCATGCTTTTTTGGTATGGGGCGTTTTGGGTACACGAGGACATGAAAGGGGGGAAGGGGAGGGAAAATAACATTGTTATCATACAAGGAAAAATGGAGGTTCAAAAAAATGGGCAGTGGCATAATGCATTGCATGTTGCAATTCATTGCATTTGGCAAGCTATTTGGTGCAAGCTTGTTGTCGGTCGATATCAATACCCTTATAGAGCATACATTGGATAGGCATATTGGTAATCAACAGCGTTGACCTGCTTTTTTTGTTTCCTTGATGAGTATCAAATTGATGATGTTTTGGTGTCCCTCGTTTGAGACACCTCGTTTTGGATTGTACGATTATGAAGTGAGACTTGTGTCTTAGACATTAAAATTTGATTATCATGCGGGCTTGTGATCAAGGCCCATAAACCTAGACATTAAACTACGTATTATCGTATTACATGGATACGGCATTAAAGGCCGGCATCACCTCCCCAATAAGCCGGATGAAACGGATCACGAACGCACTCATAACTGTATCATTTCTCAGTCCTCCCCTCCATCATGAAACATCCATGATACTCTCATCTTGCAAACTCTCCCACTCCTTCCCTCTAGAAATCATCCCTAACCTCCACTCCTACCGCCCTCGCCCGAGCATGCCTCACCTCCCACTCAAACTCCTTCAGCGCGCTCCTCTCATCTCCCCCGAAAAACAGTAGCGCCACCAACCCGTCCACAACCCCAGCCGCTAACCCGACCGTCGACGCCAACGCCAGCACAAACGCTGCATACGGCCAGTCCCTCGCTGCAGTCAACCACACGCCTGCTAAGCATCCACCCGCCAGAAACAAAGAGAAAAGGAAGTGCAGCGCCCGCAGACGGGCTTGGGTGCGCTCGCGCCTGGTGTAGGATGTTATGAGGGAGAGTATGTCGTCGTAGGCTTGCAAGGGCAGCGTCGGGACGAACGGGGTTGGGAAGGGGGCTCCCGGGGCGGGGGGCTGAGGGTTTGCTGTTGTGGGACGTATGCTGGTGCCGGTGATGGTTGGTTGGAGGGAGGGGACAGGGACGGCCAGGGCAGAGGCGGCGTCGGGTTCCGTGGTCGAGGTTGCGGCGCCGGGTTTATTTGGCGACGGGGCGTTGGTGTTGTCGGTGTGGGTGGAGGAGGTTGAGGAGGAGGAGGAGGAGGAAGAGGAGGAGGAGCTGGGGGGAGGGGAGAGCTGGTGAGCGTGGGAGTGGATGGAGGAGTGGTCCGGGACGATGGGGGCGGGAGCAGAGGTGTCGCTGTTCGGGGAGGTGGTCGGTTGGAAGGTAAGCGTTGCGAAGACGGCGAAATGGTCGGAGAGAGAGCAGCCGAGTTCAGGGTGTCGTGAGGTCATGGCTACGCGGGCGTTGGTTACGGTCCAGCGGCCACCGAGAAGTTGCGGGTCGCCGGTGCCGGCGAAAATGTAGTCTAGGCGCTGGCCACGCGGGTCTGAGGTTGGGTGGGGAAGAGGGGGGGGGGCGGAGGTTAGTGGACTGATTAGAATTAGAAGGGGAATGGTTGCATGGGAAACAAACATACCAGGCGTCTCGGGGTCGATCTCAATAGGAGGCTTGCCGCGGCCCAGCTTGCGCTGCTTCCATTTGGGCCAGCGCCAGGTGTTGAGGACGTTGTTGGAGCAGGCGCCGTTCTCGGTCAGGTTGTACTCGGCCGTTGGGACGGGCAAGCCACGAGCCTTCTCGCGGGGATCGTCGGCCGGACCGAGAGAGCTGTTGGGGTGCAGCACACGCCAGGCGTCATGCACCGGAGCCATGCAGGTGACGATCTGGTGCTGCAGCGTCATGGGTAGCATGTTGAAGTCGCCAACCGCCAGTGCAAGATGGCCCCTCTCGGCAGCACCACGCAATAGCTTCGCCATCTCCCAGGACTGAGCAGTCCGATGGCACAGGTACGAGTCGTCATAGGGCGCATGGGTATGGGTGTTGAACAACTCGATAATATGCTTCGGTGCCGGCCCATATCGAATCCTGCAGCACGCAACGCCCTTCCCGACGTACCAATCGCCCCTCCAGAAGGCAGTCGGCCGGCCATTGAGGGGGTAGCGATGCATGGTCGTCTCCTCGAAGGGCCAGCGCGAGAAGACGGCCAGGCCGGCACCCAATGCAGCGCTGTGGAAGCGCTTTGCGTAGGGCAACACGCTGCGCGTCTCGCGGCGGATCGTGTCGTAGTCCTCCTGCGTCCAGAGCTCCTGGAGAGCAACGATGTGCGGTTGCGGATCGAGCAGGGTGATCTGGCGGGCGATCTCGGCGACGCGCTCGTGGCGCAGGCGAGAGATGAATTTCAGGCCCCAACAGTTGAGGGTGAGGATGTTGATTTCTTGCGGGATGTCGTCCATCTTGTCTTAGGGTGAGAGAGGCGGTGGATGTTAGTGAAGGTTGTACGGTGAAGTTTTACTCGGGATGCGATGAAAGGGAGTGAGCATACTTCGAGTGATGTTTATTTATGAAAGAAGTGTCAGTCTACCAGACAGAAAGATGAATGAACAAGAGAGTTGCATCCGTATTTTGGATGAAGTCCACGTTGTGGCATGACCCAGAGTCAGGTCAATTCATGCGTCGGAGATGATCGACAATGTACTGTATTGGAAGATGATGAGCCCCCCGAATTCAACGGATGGCCGCTTGTATAAGAAATGAGAGAGGAAAAGAGAGAAAAGACGAACTAGTGCGCGATGAGCGTGGACATAAAATTATACGAAGCCCTCGGGAAAAAAAAAAAAGATGGGCGAATGCGAGAATGCGGCGTCTTAGGCGTCGACCCAAAGTGTGCGCTATCGACAGCCCCAATCTCGAATCTTTTTCTTGGGAGCACTTTTCGCACTTTTCTCTTCGGCCAGGGGACCTGATCGTTGGGTTCCGAGCTGCTACTGTCGGATCTGGTGACACCCACGACACCCACCGCGATGCCTGCTCCTCCTGCTGTGTGCCTGTCGTGGCCGACCGAGGCTTGTCCCAACTTATCCCAACCTGTCTCGTGGCTTGCGGTGTTGGGGCTGTCAGCCACAAAAACAACAAAAGCTGAAGGATGCGTGGACCAATTGACGGCGACGGCGCAACCTCGAGGATCCACGGTTCTTTTTTTTGCACGTCGGTGTCCACCCGCGCCGGTGGATCCGTTGATATGTTCATCAATGCGGGTCCACTTGCTTTTGTGCTTGGAGGAAGTAGGATTGGCCAATCGGGATGTTTTGGATGCTCCACATTTGCCAAGACTGGAGCGCCCTGGTTGTCGTGCTGCCACGGTTTGCGTTGCTACTACCGGGATGCAGCGAATTGGATGGCGATTGTAGCACATGCCACAGCGAAACATAACAGCACACCAGCAGCAGCAGCAGCAGCAGCAGCAGCAGCAGCAGCAGCAGCGTGTTGAGCCTAAAGACAACAGTTGAGTTGCACAGATGAACTGGTGACGACGACAAACGCGAAATACCTTAAGCGGCCATCAGGAAATGTCTAGCCCAAACTCAAAACCAACAATCCCTGCCCCCGAGCCTCCCCCCAAGCGTCGCAGAGTCCACGACGACGACGATGACGACGACGACCAAAGCCGGCAAACCACCCCCCCCTATCGCTCCCCTTCAACCAATAACCGAGCAGGAAACTCCCCCTCTGTCAGTGTCCATCTCCCCGAACAGAACCTCTCCATCCGTCGGGGGCGACCAAGCAGCCTCCCTCGAAGCCGAAGCCGAAGCCGAGAACGAAACAGAGACCGAGACCGCAGCCCTGCTGCCATGAACGACGACGAAAACCGGTCACGGTATCGCTCACGCTCGCGCTCAAGTTTACAGTCAGATTCCATTCGCTCAACTAGGTCGAGATCGCGATCGAGGTCACGATCGAGTTCCCAGTCTAGGTCACGGTCAAGATCAGATTCCCCCCGCTCGCGATCGAGCGCGCGATCGCGGTCCCGCTCTCGAAGCAGGTCTTACTCCTCCTCGCGATCGCGATCCCCTTCTCGGTCTAGGAGTCCGTCGGAGAAAGAAAAACAGCCGCCGCTCAAACCTAACTACAAACCCCGTCTCCTCCTGCAAGGCCATACCGCGGCTGTTTCACAAGCCCGTATCTCTCCCGACGGGAGGTGGATCGCCACTGCCAGCGCGGACGGCACAGCCAAGATATGGGATGCCGCCACTGGGCAACATGTCGATACATTAGTAGGCCACATGGCGGGGATATCCTGCGTCGCATGGGCTCCCGACAGCCGGACACTGGCGACAGGGTCGGATGACAAGTCCATCCGGCTATGGGACCGCGTAACGGGACAGCCCGCCCACGCCGTTACCCTCGTCCGGGCGGCAGCCCGAAGCGCGGGGAGCGCCAACGCCGGGAAGGGGAGAGGTCGCGGTCGCGGAAGGGCGAAAGAAAAGAACGGAACCGGCTCTGGTCCTGGAGAAGGGAAGGACGGAGTTCGAGGCGGGAGGACGGGCAAGCAAGCTCTTCTGGGGCACCATAACTACGTGTATTGCCTCGCATTTTCGCCGAAGGGGAATATCCTAGCCAGCGGGAGCTATGATGAGGCCGTATTTCTGTGGGATGTGAGGGCTGGACGGCTGATGAGGAGTCTGCCCGCGCATAGTGACCCCGTGAGTGGGGTCGATTTTTGTCGGGATGGGACGTTGGTGGTTAGTTGCTCGACCGATGGGTTGATGTAAGTTTTCTCTGGGGTTTTGCGGGGGAGGGGATGGGGGTTGAGGAGAAGGAGAAGGAGGATGGTTGAAGGATAGATGCTAACTGAGACATATAGTCGGATTTGGGATACCCAGACGGGGCAGTGTTTAAGGACGTTGGTGCATGAGGATAATCCTGCTGTTACCAACGTCTGCTTTAGTCCTAATGGCCGGTTTGTGCTGGCTTTTAACCTCGATAACTCTATCCGATTATGGGACTATGTACAGGGGACGGTTAAGAAGACTTATCAAGGGCATACGAACCAGGGATTTTCCATTGGTGGGTGCTTTGGTATCCTCACCGACGTCGATAACAGAAACAGCCCACGAAATGAAGAGGAGCAAAATGGCAGAAGTATACGTCGACAACCGTTCATTGCCTCGGCCAGCGAAGATGGGGATATCGTCATGTGGGACGTCAACTCGAAGCAGGTGGTACAGAGGATCAAGGGGGCACATAAAGGAGTGTGCTTCTGGGTTGATGTGAATGGCGGGACGATGGTGAGTTGTGGACAGGATGGAGCTGTGAAGGTCTGGAGGCATGTTCCTCCTAGGATGAAGATTAAGAGGGAAGAGAATGGGGTCGACGGGGAAGGGGATGTGACAATGGCAGATGGGTCGGTGAGTGGGAGAGTTAGGGAAGAGGAGGTGTGAGATGAAACGATATTCACGCAGGACGCAGGGAAAAAAAAAAATAAAATAAAATAAAAACATTGCGAGCACAGGGGTGAGGCAAAAATGCCTGGGTATATTTCACGGGCTTGATGGCTGTCGTATTATCAGTGCCGCCGTTTTGCGGCTGCTGGCTTATGCCAGCTAGGGTTCTGTTTTGTCATTGACATTCCGTCTGTTGAATGTCCATCAGGTGTGTGTGATCTTTAATAGACCCGAATATCTCCCAGAGACTCCGTGGTGACCAGTCTAACGTCTATTCAAACCACAAAGGCTCATCATGAAAAGTTATAGTTTTAACTCCCCCAATCCTTACTCCCTCAAGTAGTCTTCTCCTGCTTCTGTCTCGCCTCGATGACATCCACATCTAGCTCTTCCATGACCTCCAGCACCAGCGCAAGACTGTCAAAGAAGGAGTTGACGGCCACGCGCAGCATGCGATTAGTGGCCGCCTTATACACGACCCGCAGCACGGTCTGGTCGGTCGCGCCCTCTGCGGCCACCGTGCTCAGTTCGCGTGTGACCAATGGCGACAACTCTTTGTCGACGCGAAGGGCCTGCAGGGCCACAGAAGCCAGGCGGGAATCGGGAAAAGGGACGTTAAGGGTCCTGAAGCCAAGAGTCAGCGATGAGGGGTCGAGGAGGAGCATTTAACATCGCGAATGCAATTGTGCAGCCGAGCAGCTGAAGAAGAAAAGCAGAAAAGCTTACAGGGCGCAGGGAAACCCTGTCGCTTCGGGTGTTGCCATGGCTGCTGCGCCAGTAAGATGAGAGAAAAAAAAAAAAGATGGGGGCTGGAAGAAGGCAACAACCAAACAAATCAAATCAAGCGCCGCGATCGATCTGAGATAGCTGTACTCATCCGGAATCCGTAGGGGCAGAGGTCTCATTTCATGCCAATCATCTATCAATCCAACAGCCCTCTCTCACTGCCCGCTGCCCGCTGCCCGCCGCCCAGACAGACAGACAATTATGGATGGCGGGGCTGGTTGGTGGGGCAGCGACCAGCCTCCCCGATAAGATAAGGACCGCCCGTACTCATGCTGTGGGTCCCGTCCGTTAGCGCGGTGAGTTGTCCCTTGGTCGGGATCCCCAAGAAGGCCCGGGAGTGGCCCCCAAGCTGCAGAGTTGCCCTAGCAACAAGCCATCTACGGCTGTTGATTGGTCAAAAACTGGCGGCGATGGAGAGTAATAACACCAAATCGAGGCAAAAACATGCAGGGACAAGAGCTGCGAACACTACAAAACCTAGCGTGAGAAAACACTGCACGCTTGTCGCTTGTCTGCTCTCTCCTTCCCAATTGCATCCCTCGTCTGACACCAACATTGATCGTTCGCGATCGCGACCATTTTTTTTTAAAAAAAGAAAAAAACAAATTTGTTGTTGACGCTGCGAGCCAGGCCAATTTGAATTTCCTGGTCCTCGCAGCCCACAGCATCGGTGCCCGACGTAAACAAAATACACAGGCTGCGGCGCCCAGCTTTTTCTTTCTTTTTTTTTTTTGTTGCTCTGCTGCTCTGCCAGCTGCTGGTCTCTAACCCTGCGCGCGTCTGACCGCTGCCGTTCTCGTCGTTGGCCTTGACAACCCGCCACACGATACCCCGTCGTCATCGACCCCATCGTTCGTCCCCTTCTCAACAACGACTCAACCTGCGTCAACCCGGTCCTTAAGTTGGTCGAGCTTGGTCTCGGGAATACGTATCTAACGTATTTATCTCAATTGTCGCGTCGCACTTGTATTTGCGAAACCCGACGAGAACGTATCCGACGACACCGCCATCCGCACCGACACGGAACACGGTATATGCGCTTGTCCGCAACCTGGATCACCTGCCACGCTGCGACCACCATCTCTCCTGCCTCAGTAATTCCTGAAAGACGCGTCCAGCGGTAGCCGCAGCAGAGAATGGCGCCTTCTTATCGTCTGTCCGGCAATCTTGGACAGATCATTGAATACATTCCCGGTATGTTTTGAGCCGTAACCATGATGGACTAGCCGGCACCTTTTCGCAGCTCATCGCCATTGTTACTGTCGCCCCCTTTTGGCATTCCATTCATTATGGAAAGGAATCGCATCGCTAGCCAATATTCTTCCCGCTCTGCACACGATCCCTTCTCCCTTGACGAGATCTATGCTGTCCTCCACGGCCTGTATCCTATCGCAGTACTAACCTTTACAGATCGCCTCTATCTTGCGTCTTACGTCGAGCCGCCGGATGCAAACACTATCTTCCCCTATCCCGACCCGCCGCGGTCTCCCACGAAGCGCTCTGCGCGCGCCGTTGACGGCCCCTCGCCTGTCAAGACTCCGGCTCGCAAGCAGCCTTATTACTTTACCGTTGACGATACCCTGATTTATAACGCCTTTCACCACGATTTCGGCCCGCTGCACATCGGACATTTGTATCGCTTCGCCCTGCAGTTCCATGAGATTTTGGGAGCGAAGGAGAACAAGGACCGGCCCATTGTCTTCTGGAGCAGAGCCGATCCGCGTAGTATGTCTTCCTTCTTCTCCCCTCTCCCCACATACTCCCCCCCCAAAAAAAAAAAAAAAA